GGTGGAAATCCCCTGTACACCGTTGCTTTTATGCGACTTGTTAATTTTATCTTGTGACTGTGTGAAAACTGTGATATTGTTCGGAGATACTACAAGTGATTTATTAGTCCGACCCGCAGGGTTCAAGAACGCACCACTAGATGAAATTAAGTCCTTAGCCGACGCGCATTTGTCGCTTATGCCGCCGGCTCGTCTTTTACCTCCTCGACTTTCGACGTGGAAGCCTCCGCTTCTTCATCCTTCACTACTTGCTGATACATGGCACGGATCTGGGCTCTGGAGAATTTGGGCTGATGCTTGATGAGCCAAGTGCTCTCGTCTTTCGGGCACTTGTTGTCTTGCTTCCGATGTCCTTTGTGACCGCAGCAGAAGCATCGTCCTTCCTTGCGCAGTCAGTCTATTTCCATCGGCTGTCCCTGTCCCCCATACATGGTGCCCATTCCCGTCTTCTTATCACCTTGGGAGCCCCCTGAGTTACCCGTCTTTCCCTTGTTCGGGTTTTGTTGTCCTCTGGGGGTTCTTCCCGCATCTTCTGCCAATCCTACATGGTAGTTATAGTCCATTTGTTCGACTCGGAACTTCCATTCCACGTAAGTGCATGTCAGCACGGTTCCGGTTGCATGTATTGCGGTCTTCACATTCTTTTGGATGGCTGGTTTGAGGATTTCGATCATGTATTCCTCATTGTGTCGTTTCCCAGACTCCTTTGCTAGTCGTTCGAAGTCTCGGAAGAACTCCTTCGCCGACTTGTACGTGTTCTGTCTGATACGTTTGAACTCTTGTAATTTGAGTTCTATTTCCACGTCCGTTCTGAATTGGTCTTCTATAACTTGTCGGAACGCGTGCCATGCTGGATATCGCAGGTATCTGCATGTTTCATCATAGTATTCGTCCCGAGTGTGATTCCACCAATGCAACGCCTTATCTGCCAATCGGAACGTGCAGAACACTACCCGATTTGGGCTTTGTCCATGTGCGTTCATTGTGAATTGTTGCGGGAAGACGTTGAAGTAGTCTTCGCACTGGTTGAGGAACCGATCTACATCGTTTGACTCTCCCTTGAACTTCTCGGGAGGTTCTGCCAATTGGGGTTTTACTTGTCCCCATGGGTTCGTGTTGGCCACCCCGACTATGAACGGTGGTGGTGTGTTCGGTGGTTGTATGGGGTCGGTGGGGATAGGGATAGCGGCAGGACGTGGCAGTGATCGTAATGTGGGATTATGATGCGGGGATAAGGGGCCTTGCGGCACAGGTGCTGGTACCGCAGGGTTAGCTGGCACTGCGGCTGCTGCACCTGCGCTTCCTGGGGTGCCTGCAGCCGCGAATAGCCAGCTAGGGTCGACGTACCCTGTTCTCTTGAGGATGGATAGGTGGCTTAAATCCACTGTTTCCCCGCTTGATGCTTTGGATGGAGCCAGTACTTCGTACCGTTCTCCTGGCTCGGTGTAATCGTCCGGGTGTACTTGATTCCATAGAATGTTGGTATGGAAGATTGTTTCCTGATACAGCACTTGCCCACCAACCTGATTGTTTCGGTTGTTTTGGAAGTGCCTCCCTTGAGGGGATCCGTTCCACGAAAGTTCTCGTGGTAACTTCTTTTCTATCCAATGCAGCATTTCCAAATAAGTCATATTTTGCAGCTCGGCCTCAGTAGGCTCCCAAGCTAGATCCTTCCATGAACTCCGGGATGACATCTTCGTCACCATACTCCCCGACTCGGTGTTGCTGCTGTAAATCGAAGTCCGCCCTATTCCAGGGTTCTCGTAAATTTCTCCTTCTTCTAAGTCCGATTGGTCGGACTCGCTCAAAAGGCTCCGTGCTTCCTGTGACGATTCTGTTCCAGTTTCGAATGATTCGGGCCCACTCATTGACCCTGATAATGACCTGATCGAAGTCTGGTCTTCGGGGTCTATCCCATACCCAGGGTGCAACGAAGGGGATGGGGGCCGTGTGGGGGTGTTCCGGTGCGAGGGGATAGATGGCGTAGGGGATGACGGAGGCAGGGGCTTCGATGCCTTCGTACATGAGCCACGCGTCGGCGTAGTCCTGTATTTGTCGGCATACATCGCAGCTGGCATCGGCGTCGTATGTGGGCTGGCACTGGTCGAGCTCGGTAGTTGCTTCCCCGGCCCTATCGTTGATGATGACTGGGGTGTTTGGTCGTGTGATGAGGTTGAGGTAGCTTCCTTCGTCATCTGATGAGTCATCGCAGGTGTAGTAGTTGCCCCATGTTTCTCCTCTGGAGTCCAGCCTTGGAGGGGACCAATCGTTGCGCAGCCCTGGGAGCTCGTCGCTGTTGTAGTCCTCCTCTGTATCACTGCCTTCTTCATTTGAACCACTTCCAGTTCCATCTTCAGTTGTTCTTCCTTCTCCCAGATGATATCTAAGCCCTCTTTGATAGAGGTGCTGTCCGTCTGAATCATATCCAGGGTTGGTGGCTGAGTTTTTGGTTGAAGTGGGGGAAGGGGCGTCCCAGGGGTCACTTCCCAAGCTTTCCCCTTCGCTTTCCTCCTCGGTAATGGGAGAGAGAACACGCTGGTCCACCCTCCTTTCGTAGATTCCTCGCTCTTCTTCTTCTTCAACGACTGGGCCCCTTTGTGTGGGCCATCCTTCCACCTCGGTGTTGGACTCACTGGACTCGTCTGTGTCGGAGTCTTCTGTGATCCACTCGTCGTCGGTGATGAAGATGAAGTGGATAACGGGTTCGGGGCAGTCGTCAATGTAGTTGGGAGGGGGTGTGTTCGCTCGTCTAACCTCCGGGTTGGGGGCTTCGACGGGGATAGTTTCTTCGGAGACTGGCTCCTGGTTTCGTCAGTGCTCGTATCCATATAGGAATGCGAGGTAGGCTATGGCAATAAAGCCTTGTAGTCCAAAGAGGTTGGTAAGGTACTGTTCGATGGGGTTCATTCGTTACTGCTCGACAACGTGGTTGTTGTTGAAGAGTAAGAAAGTCTCGAACTAATTGTTAGCGACCGATTACACAAACAAGATCAAACAACTAAGCGTGACTCGCACTTCAGTCAGGCGCTTTATGTTGCTCGCAGGTTTGTGTGCAGGGAGCTATCGCTTAGTGAAGCGAGAGTGAGTTCAGACTAAGTTATTGGGTGAATAAACTTTAGTTCGAGACTGAGGTTTAAGACCTGCAGTCGAGCTACTTAAATACAGTTTGGGTCGTGCTAAATATACTACAAGTGTCTGCAACAGTGCGTTACATGTACTGAACCCTCATGGAGAATGCGATCAAGTCCGGAGAATTAGTATAGCAGGATTATGAGAGAGAGCCGATAAGATAAGATAAAGCACAAAATCGTAATAACCAAAGGGTACCGCTCGCTATCCTTGGCTTTTCCGACATGCTGAGTATCCGGTCGTAATATAGCATGATAGCTTTCATTGAGAGAAATGTGTCTCATAACTGCAGACCCCAAACCGGCGTCATCAACCAATGAGATTTCCCATGGGTGGTAGAAGCCGATAACCTTTCCAACGAGACCATTGACCAAAGCCTCGTCGACGTTCTTAATCAACATCACCTGTGCACCTAGCTTCAGCTCCAACAATGATTCAGCCAGCAGTGTATCCAATAAAGATGGTCGGATCCCCGAATCTATGGTGATGTATGAGATCAGCAACGACTTCAGACCCTTTAAGTGCTTCTTATTGGCCTCCTTGGCTGAACCCCGATGAGGGAATAGCTCGGTTGGTATGATGCTATTCCGAACTTTACCTACGCTTCCTGGCAGCATCTTTGGAGTCAAAGGGCGCCCAAGGGAAGAAAAGAGTGCAATTGCCATGGGACTTGGGGATCTGATTCTGAGAGAATTCAAAGTGTCCACCATGTCTACAAGAATCATAAGGAACTGGACAGTAAGGGAACAATCTTCATGTACCGCTATCTCTTTGTCGGAAAACCTGCTGAAGTTCCAATGAATAGTGGAGGCTTTCTTTCCAGGCAGGCGACTCAAAAGCAAATGACGGCTCGCGGCTGCCTTTGGTGACTGGAGGTAGCTGGAAGAAATCCCCACATACAACAAGCTACACTTTGTATCAGACAGACAAAGGGTTCTAAGATAAGTCGACAAGACAAACCTGAAGAGCTCCAAAAGGAGCGTTGGCTGCTTTGCATAACTCTTTGGCAATCTCAGACAAATGACCAAACAGGACAGAATCTACCATTGAAACTAGGAGGCATATAACAACGGTATATGACAGTCAATCTAAGCACCTCTTACCCTCGTCGATAATCAAGACCCGTGCCGATCGCCATCTTTGTGCAGCCTGCTTGTTGATGCGGATTGACTTGATTATACTTCGAAGATCCTCCTTGGTAGGTGCTATCCCACCCCAGGAATGTAGGGTGAAACCTGAGAGGCGTCATTCTCCATGAATTTCATGCCACGAGGGAAACCCACCACCAATATTGGATGCAGCCATTCCTGTACTTGCTGTGATACCCACAGCCAAAGGCTCTTTGGAATACTTCCGTTGAAGAGACACAATAATGCCCTTCAACAGCAGAGACTTCCCAGTCCCTGTCTTGTGGTCAGTTTATCATTGCAACCAGACAATCGAGCTCTCACCGGCAGCCCCTGTAAAGAAAACATTCTTCCCTTCATGAACAACCAGATTATGTATACTGGTCTGCTCTGGACTGAGCGTAAACCGAGACACAGTCACGGGTTGACCAGAACCTCCGCTAGCGACTGTCAGTTCAACCACAGTGGGGAAGAAGTCATTCAAAGTTGACTTGGGTTTCTTGACTGTTTGGTCCTTTTTTCCCGAGGCCTTGGGTTTGGGTTTGGAAGATTTCGGCATGGAAAGGTGTGGAACGGAAGAAGAGACAGAGAAAACCAAGCAACCTTTACTATGTGCTCATGCATGGGGAACAGGACTAGTGGAAATTACACATGTCATTGGAGATACATGAATGCTATCACAAGATAATAGAATCAATGCACAAGAGGGGTATAGACGAAACCTTGCCTCTTGCACCCCGCCACTCACTTGTGGCTACGTCTTCCTGCACGGCATCGGCGAGGGATCGGTTCTGCATCCACATCGAAAACCTGGTGCCTCGTACCCAGATAGATACATTCCTCCTCATCCTTCCATCTAACACATCTTGGGCCTGCATGTTGGGCAGCGATCGGCTCCTCATTGATATTGAAAATCCGGTGTCTTCTGCCAAGGTAGATACAACTGTCGTTGTCCACGATGTCCACGACATCCTGACTATTGAAGCCCGGATGAGACATAAATGGTCTGGTCATTCCCATGTGTACGATATCGCAGGAAGAAGCTTCCTTTTCCAGTTTTCCACCACGGCAGTCGAACCATGATTCGAGAACCTACCAAATCTATGACAGGGTGACATGCAACAAAAATGATGAACTTACGGTGTGCAAATCTGAACCAGAATCTTTCCCTAGCAACCGAAGAATATCTGCTGCATCAAACTGCTCATGCAGCACTGCCAAAAAACGAGGCCACCATCCCAACAAATCGTTCCGCTTGATGGCATCCAGATAATCTGGGATCACATCAGCTAGGAAAGCCAGTAGCGATATACGGGAGCTCCTGGTGTCAAGCTTAAAATATCGGTCAGTATGGTTCCTCCATAAGTACCCTATAGAGCGGCTTACCTGTGCCATGTTTTTCATGGAAGGACAGTTACCGACTCGACCACAACAAAACACAACAACTGGGTCACATGTGGGAGAGTCACATGCAGCAGAACGCGTAATCTTGACAGACTCAGAATCACCAAGCGTTACCTATAGTTCAGTTCGAAGCGAGGGAACCACCTGAACAGGGGAACAAAAAAACTAGGAAAGAAGAAGAGGATCTTCAAGTGGTGTGCAGAGAAAGGAAAAGTGTTAGTACGACATATCAATCTAAAATTTTTCAAAATATATTTGTGGCGTAAGGCAGAGATAATCACAAAAGAAGCTGAAGCAGCCAACAATGAAAGAAATGTGTCAAGTCCGACGAGCCGAAGTTCCAAACACAACAACACCTCAGTGATACCCACCAGATGTTCCCCCCAAAAAAATGGGGACCCGAAGCAAGCTGCATCATGGCAAACTAATGTCACCTCAAGGTTTACCGGTTGGAACCCAGCCTAATAAAAAATTTCAATTGACTAACTGCACGAGCAGAAAGTGTCTTACCAATGCATTTATGCTCACCACAAAGACAAGGCACCAGTCCAGCGCATTGTCTTAATTTCTGTTTTCGAGCCTTGGTTAACTTCTTGTCATCAGCGGATGTTACAGGTGGAGATAATGTCATCATACTGTTAGGACATCTCCACAGTATGAGATTGTCAACTCAGAGCCCGGCATCACTTCCTTTATGGTAAATACCGCTGCCAAAGAATTGTCCACAATGCCATCACTCAGAACGCAAGGGAAAAAGGCGCAATTGGGATCACAGGAATGATTCTAAAACGAAAGTCAGAGTTTGTCAAAGACTTAGAATATCATCACAAACAATGAAACGAGTGAACTGCCATGTCCTGTCAGCAACCAGTAATTGCACATTCCACAGATATCGAACTCACATTCCTGATCCTGGTGCTGTCGACACAATACTGAATGCCAGAATACCTGTTGCAATGGAAATCGAGGTCGACGATGTAGCCATGCCGGAAATTTTTGTACATGCTAGGATGAACATAAGCTGAAGAACATCCACAAGCTAATATTAACGTACATGGTGCGTCCTTTACAGTCACTGTCGGTAATGACCTCTCCGGTGAAGATTCCAACAAATGTTCCCACTGGAAGTCTATAACGTCCATCGTAAAAAGCTGCTATGATCACAGAGTAAGGGACTGAAGTCTGACAGAAAAGAAGAGGCAGAGTTACCCCATCCTTTACTGGCAGTGACTGATAGGCGGATAGGTACACGTCGCCCACGCAGTATCACCTTAATAGCACGTCAATATTTCAATCGTACCGACCCGTATAAACCCACGAACTGACCTTGTTTTGACAATGAGAGGTGCACTTGCATAGATGATTGCACCCCACTATCGGCACACCTGTATATTCAATCAATCTTGCTCCCCCTTCAGAGATGACCGTTCTTAAAGTCCCATCAGATGTGAACAAAAAGCTCTCAAGCCCTGTATCTCTTGCCATAGAAACCTGTTGGCGGAGACATGAACAATCAGGGTTCCATGCGCAGTCACCTCCACAAGTACAACCATGACCCAGAGTGATAGGAGAGCGAGGAACATCATTCCCATACCAGAGATTGTCAGTGTAGTGAAAGACTGGCAGGTTGGCCACGTTGTCTACCGTAAGTCGCTGCGATCTGTCTTCCACAGCCTGCAGTAGTGAATGGCACGGTTCGGCGTTTACTTCTGGGCTGAGAGGGAAAGCAGGCATGGCTTCAGGAAGAGAGAAAGATGCGACACAAGGGAGAATCCAGCCGTTCCTTGTCGGAGCACGCCCAAGCAATATTGCGCCGGATATTACATATTTTGACTTCGGTCTGTACCATCCAGCGAGAGGAACCTGGAAATGTAGGATGTGATGGTAAGGGAAAAGGGAAAGGCTTTAGTGTGTATCCTCATTGAGAGAGGAATGGTAGACGTCCGCGACATGTCCAATTCTTCCCACATGAACCAGGCCGGATGTCCCGAATTTTCTGGAAATCAATCGGATGTTTTCTTATCATAGAGTCGCCATCTGGGAGATTCATTTTCATCATGACTGGCCCTAGTGCAACCAGGGGATCTACCAGCACAGAGCCAGGCGCCCCAGAGGTATATCTTTGCTCTCCCTAGAAGTCGTCTGTTCACTTCTCGACCTTCAGAGCATTGCCCTTCCCAGAAATCCCAATCAAAGAGATACACGAAGTGGTGCCACATTCTGGCCTGCACGACGAAACTGCATACCTCCACCTCCAACAGTGATTCCACCACGTCACCAGAAAAAACGCGGAGGTCGTGGTGGTCAGGTGACATCAGCAAAACAAATTGCAACAAGTTTGCATCGAGAAGCAGGCCGAGCTGAGATTAAGGCCCAGGCTGTTCACCAGCTCATATACGGTGATAGGACCCAGCCATCCGGTGTGTGATGTTGACTTTGTAATGTTATGTTCATTAATGCCTCTGCTTCAGAACGTATTCATGTATGTATGGGACGAACACTGAATGAGCTGCGTTCACGACACAAGACCGACACCTTAGCCTCCCAGGCTGCCTCGAAGACACAGAGCATGAGGAAGACATCAAAGCCTATCTGTGAGACGTGCATCCTTGTAGAAGATACGCCGACCCGACCTGCAACCTTGGCCGCATATATTAGCCGCCATAAGGTCGGGGACGTAGAGGTGATAGATGGATTCGAGGTGGGGCCTGCCTCACATTCCATATCTGAGAACTTGACCAGGCTATCTCTAGCTCTCGGAGGTCCAGAAGATGGTCCAGATTACCCAGGAGAGTGTCTGAAAGACCAGACTTCACAAACCAGAGCTAACTGGAGATCAATGTCATCATGCCAACGTCGAGTGCCCATTCATGATCTATGAACTTGCAGGGGAGGAGGGGGACACATGTGGTGTGTCTCACAGTCATTCTATTAACAGTTGTTCTGGCTAACACAGGCTGGCAGTTCTGACGGAAAATGCCGGCACCCAACACAACGTTGAACTTTGGTTCGCTCAAGGCCATCCGGTAAGTCCATGTAGTCTGTGTAATCATTGCATTTTAATGGAAAATGGTAGAATGATCCGCCCTCTCCATCTACCGATATCTGCAGCAGTAACAATCGTCATGAAGAGCTGGCTGCCCACCAATATTACTTAGTTACGGATCGCCAAAGTGCATATTTGAATGTGCTCATGAAGTGCTTCTTCTCAACGGAATATGCGACTCTTATCAGAGCAGCCAAAGCAGGTTGGTGGGTTCAAGGTATCCAGAGCTGTTTCCTTGGCCTGGCCACAGTGTGGAAACTTCAGGTGGATGCTCATCTAGATGAAAAAGACTACGAGGTATGTGTGATCACCTGTGGTGGAGAATTCCATGGAGGTGAACTATACCTACCCGATCTCGATGTCTGTTTTGAGTGGAGTATTTTTCTCCTAGCTGTCTCTCTGACGTTGCTTACCTGGCCATCTTCAAGGTATAATCCTGGGGACATAGTGATTTTTCGGTCGCCATATCTTTACCACACTATCGGACCTTGGGAGCCCCTGACAATGGTCTCTGAGAGCAAGACTATGCCAGAGCGAGTATCATGGGTTCGCTTCACTCATTCAGATACAGTCAATTACTTGAAAGGGAGAAACTGGCGACCCGAGTTGGAGATGGGGTTTGATCATATGTGAGATTCAAGAATTTTCTTTCATTTGCTGAATTGGTAGAACTGATCACATAAATGCTAGACAAAATGTAGCTAAATGACAATATATCAAAAATCTGTGTCATGAAGGACCTGAGCAAGGCAAGGCAAAATCTTGGCCTCTACATCTTCACAATGGTACAAGCTATCAAGGACTACACTAGCGTGATCCAGATCGACAGAAGAAATGATGTACAGAAAGAACGCTCTCAAGCTAAGTAAAAATCATCCTTTAAACAGAGTAGTGCATTCGGTTGGGTTTTCACCTGTGCTAACAGAGCCGAGTAAGGCACATTGTAGTGCTGAGACGCTGAGGTACTCCGGCAGGGAAGTCTCCAAACCAGGGAGTAGATGTCCAACTAACATAAGGCTGGATGAGGGCGACATCTTCTCTGGGCAATCCCATGTTTGAATGCACAGCAGGGCCAGTGAGAGGGCATCAGCCGGACAAAACAAAGTCAAATGCTTGAGATGCTGGAGGCTTCCTAACGGGACATGAACAGGATAACCCTGACAAGCGGCTGTAGCTGCCTGTCCCGCTGCATACAAAAATAAGTTCACAGAAGATTAAGTAAGCAACAATGAGAACTCATGGTAGCGAAAAGACAATGTCCTCAATGTGTCTGCCACAACCTCTAGTATACCCCCAAGCAGTTTGAAATGGCACATAGCGAACGCTAAGTCCAGTACAGTCAGACATCCCATGCCTAACCTGCAGGGAAAAAGCTCGCCAGGTTCCAGTAGACGTTGGATACCCTCAGCAGCTTGTCCTACCCCAAATAGCTGCGAAACCAGATAGCTGAAATCTTGCAAAACCTGCTTATCATCACGACACTCTTGGCTGGAAGGATGAACCCCTGGAAGAGCGTCTGCTCTTGGGGAGTGGAGCACTAGACATTGGAGGGAGGCTGGTACAGGCAAGTAGATCTCTGGCTGAAGGATATTTGTGACACCCCATCGCTCTTGCCATGCTCGTCAATCCATGTTCGTGGGCTGCCAAAACATGAATGACCATTAAAAAGGCATTTCAATAAGGAGTTGAGCACATACCACATAGCCCTTGAATACGTCTATCAGTGATAACAATTCCAATGTGGTGCCCGGACTCAACATGGTCTCCAATGCGTGTTCCTCAAACACCACCTTCCTGAGGGCTAGGTGTTTGATAGTTGGGGGCAACAGGTACGGATAGCGAATGACCGGAATGTTCTTCAACAGACACTGACATCCTTGGATGGTCATGCAAAGCAGGTTTGGAAAGAGATTAAAGAAGAACAACACCAAGGAGATGGGCCAATTCTTGAGGCTGAGGTTGAGAACGCTACCGGCAATCTCTGGCGGTCCACAATGAGACCTAAGGAACGTCTCTTGGTTGAGGACATAGGGTTGGAAATCACACATATTGTGCGACTCTTGCCAATTCCCAGGAAGATCAAGGAAAAGGCAGGTGGGATCGCTGTTCAATTGGGACAAAGGCAACGGTTGGCCAAGCTGCTGACAAAACTTGTCCGTGGTGGCTAGAAGTGACCTGTAAAGAATACTGGATCAGTCAGAGGCGATTTCTGCTATGCCAGACTGGTATCTGTAAAGAGGGTGGGTACCTACAACTCAATGAGATTTTGGCAAGAGAAAAATGAACTTATGCACTGACCGTCGAGCCTCCAGTTTAACCGTTGCACCGTGGTTTCTTGGTTCTCGCACATTTTGAGGATTAGCTGGAGGGCATCACGTTTCCACCAAGAAACATGGTCAGAGCAGTGACGGCGATCGACACAATAACATACACTAGCATCACAAATGAGGCCTACCAAGCATATGGCCGGAAGAAGTTGGAGTTTCTGTTAGAGCGCATTCAGTACAAGGTCAGACATAGAGAAGTGTAACTGACCCGAAGGTCGTCGTGTGTCTTGACAACAACAACGAAGAGCGAGGAGGCCATTAATGCGTTGGAGAAGGCAAGGCAACATGATCAGCAATATTTAAAGCGGAACTCGACTCTATTTGCCAAATAAATTCGCGGATCCACTGCATTTTGGATGATGAAGGGCATCCGGACTAACGTTCCAGTGTAACGGTCGAGCGATGGAAGGCACGGACTGTCACATCTGTCACATCTGTCACATATATAACAGAAAGTGGCGTACCTTCTTTGGTGCGCATTTCTTTCCGTCAATGGCCGTGCATCCGCCTTGGGATGTATCTCTAGGGAAGTGGACTTGTGCCCCAGTTATCTATCATCTTCAAGTGAATCAGGATGAAACTGTGGGAAGGTGGTGACTACTGAACATGTAAATGCAGAAGAACTTCCTAGAGGCTCATCATAACATGTGAGTCACTTCATATTGTCAAATAGGTCTTCAAACTGATGGCGACATTTGGTGATTTTAGATCGAGGAGGCCTATTACAACTGTAAAGTTATGTATGCCATCTGGTACCTTTTCAACCAATCCAGTCTATATAGTGCTTTTGCCTGTCCCTGTGCACTCATGTCTTTCGCACACACTGGCTGGAAACCACCTCATGCAAGCGGAACACTGGGCCAGAAGCCAATCCAACTGTTCCATGGTAAGGCCATGACCCAAGTTGAGAAGGTCTTGCAGAATCTCGAAGATATGCGAAGGTAGGAATGTGTGATAGCAGCATCCACTAGGCTCGCAGAGCGATTGTCAGAATGTTGGCGAGCTGCTATTCCATGGCATCCTGGGCATAAAAGACACTTGTAATGGTGGGCCCATTCCATCCTTCCCCACCCCATCATTCACCACTAGAGCCGGTACAGAGCTGATATCAACCCTCTCGCCCAAATCCTTGGAACACTCATGCTTGGTGCCGCAGTCCATGGACTTATACCAGAACTCACATCCTCCACACTGCGCCAAATACAGATCCAACTCCAGAGTCGTCAATCCTACTCCTCGGAGAAACCATTTATTCCATTTACGAAAGACACGGGGGTGGACTCCTCTATGTTTACAGGTTGCTCCTGGGTAACATTGGTATTGCTGTGAGGAGTATATCTCTCCTGATTCGGAATACGGCAGGTGTGGTATTACACAGAGACTGGACCACATCCCGATCTGAATAACAATCAATAACCGCGTATAATCAGATCATGGACATCATTGCCTCTGTGTTTGTTTCAAGGATATTCCCTCCCATATGATATTGCTGTTAGCGAGGTAGCGGGGTTATGCAGGGAGCTACTAATTCGAGTAGAAGTCGTATAGTCAAGGGTTATTCTTTCTTCAACGAGGTTCATTCAATCTGAGAACTTTGCAGCAGCTACTAACTTCATGAATAGGACTTGGCGAGATTCCACGCTAAGAAGAGATCCACCTTCTTCGATTGGCTGCCTGTTCCTGAAACATGTACAAATATCCTCGTTGCCAGTAGGAAGTGGTCACAGTGACCTTGCGAGAAAATACGAATGCTAAGCCTGTCCAAATTACCATTAGTCTCTCTCCTTCATGAATTGAATTTGATCCGTCTGACAAACCGCAGGTCAGCATCAACCCACTTAAACGTCTTTACCACAAAAAAAAAGCGCCCTTCTTTTCTACAAAGCACAATCTGAGTTCTTCAACCATGATTGATTGACATATTAGGTTTCAGTCACCCGGAAGTCACATCACTTAATGCCGAGCAGAAAATTTGGAGGTCATTCCTATAGTTAGCGGTCGGATCCCTTTCATTTCCGGAGATATCTCGTCTCAAAGAAAAAGGTCGTGTTCAGAGTTATTCGCAAGACCTATAAGTAGGTCTCTCTTCATCATAGATTCACATGGTACTTCGTCATTCCCAGCGTCTCCTCAATTTAAAGGTGGCAGCAGCCCCTCAGGCTCTCCCCCGAGTCATTAGTTCGCCTACCACCACCCTGCCTGCAGCTTCCTCCTCCTCCTCAACGAATTCTGCCTCTGAGGAGCCTGTTTGGCCTCCCATTTTCGAAAACTACTGTGCAGAAACCTTTGCAGCCAATCTTGATCCTTACGACTTGGACCCGCTCTCCGAAGATCTAAACTGGGCCCTGCCAATTCCCTTGCTTATCATGCCCCCAGACATCCTGCAGATTGATCTGTTGTGGACGCTGATTATTAACAGTCGGGCTTTTCATCGTCTGGTAACATATGATCCCGAGGATCATTGCCTGACAGCATACGCCTAGTGAGCCCGCTCCTTCTTCCTAAATAACGTCCACCTCACCCCCCGTTTGAAGTCCTGGTACATTTATACCCTCAGAGCACTGCATTCAATATTTACCATATGAATGCCTAGTGGATTTTTTTGTGAGACTTCTCTCCTGACCGTACTATTGAGTGAACACTGACATAGTGCATTCAGGCTAAGGCGGCTACCAAGGGTCTGAAGACACCATCCTGCATCTGTGGACCTCTCAGTGGACAATGGGAAGTGTATACTCCTACGATACTACAGAAAATGTCGATGACATGCCAACAAGTGGAAAATCATGGTGAACTGGCTTTCTTTTGTGCCAAAGGCAATAATGGATGTCGTTGGTGGCGTAAGTCACCATTTCTATAATGAATTATCACCACTGATTTCCTGCCCAGAACCTGTCGTGCACTTGTTTGCAAATAACCAAGGACCAACTGATGTACAGCCTTGCCTTGAAGAGGACGAGTTTGTTGGATTCAGAACCAAGGACCTGCATGAGTTCGCTGCAGCTTCCCCTCCACCCTGGAGTTTTTTCTAATTCTTCTTAAGCGAAAATTGTCATTATCCCGAAGTCAACGCCTAAGTCGATGCCTAAGTCAACACCGCGTTGGTCCTCGGGTTCCCGCTCTGTCATTCCCACCCCTATCATTCCTGTTCGGTCTACGTCTACAGGTTTGACAAACCTTGATGGCTCCCTACCCTCTCTGCCATCCTTGACTGAGAGTACAATCAGTCCATTGCATTCTGTTCGCTCCATTGGGTCAGACACTGCACAGTCCCCTCTCGTTCGTGCTCTTGATGTGGCCTTCGCAGTCAATAGCAAGCATCCTGCATCCTCTCCACTGCTTTCAGGTATGAGTCTTATGTGTATCTGAAAGTTACGATAACTCACTGACGAGGTTGCAGGTATCTCTAAAAAGTTTCGAGCTTCAGGAGCCTTGGAAAAAGGCCGCACACCTAACGACTCCAGTCCCATGTATAAAAAGATGGGTGAGTCAGATACTTGGTCATGAGTTCAGGTGCTCAAGAGTCCTTGTTTTTTCAGTGTCTTCGAAAAAAAAGTACCAGCTGAGGCCAGCATCTTTTCCCGTGGATCTGGCTTCGCCAAGTTTAAACTTCGAAGGTGGTACTCCAGGAAAGCGGACTCCTGGTGACAGTATTTTAGATGGTGTGTGTCTCTATCCACATCCACATTCATTCTCACAGTGTCTGCCACAGTTTCCGATGACCATTTCTTCAATTTAGACCAAGACAAGACGTCCAGCGAGAATTGGGCAAAAAAGTCATACCGTCTTACTGCACCATGCCCATGCTCGAAGGGGGAAGGACCATCCAATGAATCCCCAACCCCAGTGTCGCCGATGCCAAACGCAGATGTCATCGAGCTTACTGATGAGTCCAGTGATGAAAACGAGCGAGTACCTACTCCCAGTACGTCCTGAAAATATAGATAACACGGCATGCTTTCTCAAGAGGTCTATCTTTTCAGGACTCAAAAGCCCGTCACAGGAGGTGATCGAAATAATGGATGGCTCCTCAGAGGGAGATCTTGACGATGTGGAGGTTGATGAACTTGACGATGTGGAGAGTCCGACTGGTATGCTCTTTCAGCCTGGGTGGATAGATGTTCCTCATGTTTCCCTTTTTACAGTGGCTAACCAGACGTCGACTGAAGTCATTGAGATCTCTGACAACTCAGAGTCGGACAATGAAAAACAAGAGGAGGCTAATGTCATTGGTATTTATACCGCTCCTACTGCTACCGTTTTACATGTTGCTCATCTGTTTCGGTAGTGGTTCCAACGGTGTGTTCCTGTGCACACTGCAGCCACAGCAAAATCCCTGAGGCCACGTTGGAGAGAAACAAGGATGCTCTCCTCTCTCCGGAAGGCATAACTTTAGAATTACTCCTGAAAAACCTGACTAGGTGCACATATTGCAAGGCCTACTATCTCGTCATCCACTGTAGTGGAGGGCACCAATGTTCCGTGAAAAATTCTAGTGCGTAAATGTATGGGATGGCAGTACAGCGGAGAAATTCTCCCTTTCTTGGTAGTGGTCTGGGTATCACAGTAATTCTTGATCTAGGTGTCAATTTAAGGTAGATATTAGGTGCACCTCAATCGAAGATGTTCATATTTTAGTCAGTTCACACGGAAATTTTTCTTTGAGGTAATCTCCGCATGGAGGTCTCAAACATTGAACCAAGCTTATTTCGTCAACTCCGTTTTAGCCCCGCAAGGACCTTGATTCGGACCTCAGTTTCAAAGGATAAATCCCATAATTTGCTTGTTACTTTCATATAAATGGCGGGGTTGTTTTCAAAGGTGGTCTCTAGATTCATCTTCTTGCGATTCTATGGACCCTCCTCCCATACAGGTATTTGCGCCCCTCGATAAGCCCGGTCTACCAGTGAGTGCTTGATTTCAGTCGTTTCGCCATGTCTGAGGCTCGGCGCCCTTCAGGGAATCCTGGAGTTACCAGAATTGGATCTAGTTGTACTGGTTCACGATGGAGAGGTGAGCGCGAGTGTTATCTCAATTGATCGTGCCATTGACGGATTTCGACAGGACTGGGACTCCCTATTCATGCCAAAGTTGGTTCTCATGTACGAAAACGGAATGAGTGTTACAGAGTTGGTGAAGTCTCGGGTAGAAGGTTTGTCAACTGAAAGCTCTTCCACAGGGAGTGTGCTGACATTGGACATCTGGCAGGTTACCATGTCTATTATCATTATCAGGATGCAGTAATCAAGGTCGCTGAAACCAGCGGAAGTCGGTTATACAGTAAAATATTTGCACTGCCTTTGGCTGTCAGTGGTTTCTCACCGGTGGCCCTGGCAAGCATATCGATATCTGCTATGCCGACATCTGCTACAACTTCAACCCTATCTTCAACAGTGATCCCAACAGCACCCTCTGGCTATCAAGCTCTCCCATTGGAAATCCTGGAAGAAGTCTGCTTGCTCTGTGATCCACAAACACGACTGTCGCTTCGAGTTGTTGATAGAAGTTCCAGAATCGTCGCCAGTCGTCACACCCATAGGCGTCTAAAGCTCTCTTTACCCCCCAATTGGCAGTCAAAAAAGACACCATCCCCCTCGAAGTTCTCAGTTGCCTGCTTCGACGAGGAACTAGTGATGGCTATATTCATATGGATGTGGTTCGTTGGTCAAAGGGCCGTATCATTTTCCCTCACCAATTATTCCATGATGAATAACACCGCATTCTTCATGAGACTCCTCCCCCGTTTGGAAACCCTTATCATTCAAGGAGTCCAATGTCTGGCTGTCAACAACCCTCGGATTCACTTCCCATACATCTGCCCCCATCATATTCAGCACTTAGTCCTTCGTAATGTCATCTTTGTGGATGTTGGAGTGTCAGCTCATGCCGTGGAGAGCTTGATGGCACCGGGAATGGAGCTACGGACAGTGGAGATCAACAACGTCATTCATGGTCATACAGTGAGTCCCGGATTTGTCTTCCTCCATAGATATTTCTGACCATGCCGTCGCATAGCCTGTCTCCATTCCTAACCCCTCGCCGCTTCTGGTATCTCGTTGGAGAGAGCGATGGGGACTATCCCCGGCATGGGGTCCCAGCCCTACCTCACTCAAGCTCTTTCGGATGGTACTTCTGGCTCCAAATTTCCAAAAGTTGTCGAACACTGGCCCCCGTCCTAATGGTAGACCACCATTAGAAAATTTTCAGTGCCTGGTCAGGCAACTTTTCCGTCTCCCCCATGGTCACATGGAGCTAGCACCGTATCTGGAGGACAATGAAATCTACCCCTGTTCATTTCCCACGACACACTTGACACAGCTGGATCTGGGTTTGACAGAGGAAGTTCTGTCTTTGGGACGTCCTATCTTGCGCCAAGTCGCTAATACTCTCCTGTATTTGAGGCTCCGACTATGTACGAGCTCAGTTTTGCATGTGCGCATGTATATTGTACTGACTAACCTTCTAGCAGCCAGTCAGACATTCTTGCCTATTGACTGGGATTCCCCAACAGAATACATATCCATGAGGGATCTCCAAGTACTGCAAGAATTTGTACTCATCACACCTCTGAGCAATTTGTCATATGGTCTCAAAACAGCGCAGAGCTGGTGGTCTCAAAGCAAGTTCCAGTCATGGACGTCTTTTGAACTTATAATCAAGTTACCTCCGAACGACGCCCGCCCTTCTTGGGGCTATAGGGCCACCCAGTTCCTGCGCGATTACTTATCTGCCGGAGACGTAAAGATTATCCTACAAGGATGCGACCTTCACATTCACGCTGGCGCTATGTACCGAGGACGGTTTCTGATTCATCTTTGGGCAGGTAGAGACGGCGCTGGACAGTTGAGAGTGGTCAGACAAGAGGATGTCGAGTATGTCACCAACTTGGTCGCGAGCCTGAAGGAGGATCCTCTCATACATACCAACCAGATAGAGTGGAAAGTTTAGAGATTAATGATGTTGTAGGTAGCAAGTTGGTTTTCAACTGTTTCATAGTTTTGAGCCAAAGTAATAAAATATCTTCTTGTATGATCATGACATCGCTAAATCCAGGAAAAAGTAATATTTCATTATATGAATTGCAATTGATCATCAGGGCAACAGCTACTCGTAACACTTTAAATGACCTTACAATAGGCGCCGTCATCCCTATTTCAGATTATGATCTTCGTACTATCTTACAAGCAGATTATATTGTGATGGAAGAATTAAATTTAAATTGTGATATATGCATAAGTATCTCTCGTGACTTCTAAGCTGTTGTACAGTTCAAATAAGTGTTATACACTGTTTGCATCCTCATATTATTACACTACACGCACGCCGACAACTCGAACGATGATTCGGATGCTGGTCACTTGATACTTGATCACGCATTCGTCATGTGCAGGTCGGAGCAGTAAACCGTCTATATGTTACAACAGATTTGTTGCATCGCACCACTGCCTCATTCGTTACCGCCCTTGCTGCTTATTCAATAGGTGGCTTGCACGCCTGGTTTCCTAGCTGCTCTATGAGCGCCGTGATGGATTCCTGCGACACTGGCATGGTGATAGTGATATACCCTCGTGCCTTTGCCTCCTAGCTTGGTCTTCTCCATGTCCTGACTCCACCACAGTGATGGTGAATCAGAACACCATTCCTGAGTCCCCCCCCCCCCCCCCCCCGCGGACTGATACTGCCCCTACTTGGACATCGACATAAATCCCTGTTGTTCTCTGTATGAGGGCATCTCCCTTCCCAAGACGACCACTCGAGGTTACGTCCCCCGTTGCCCAAGGTTATCTCCTTCGTTCACGCCATCCCCACCCTTGAAACCCCTTCATATCGGCATCCTCCTCCTCCAAAGAGGTCCTTAGCATCCCTGGTGTTGAAGCCGCTGCCCTGGAATGGAACTATGGGTCGTTAGCGTAACTGGAAGAACTCGACCTTGGAGTTGGCCCTCACCCCATTCCCCATTGTCCATTTTTCTTTAACTTATATAAATTTTTTTAATCATTCAAATATTTTTCTTGTAGCGTATCTGTTGTATTAGTTCTCCCAAATATTTATAATTACTTGGTCTAGTGGTCAAAATGTCTTCCTGATGATGTCGCATTTGGCATATTGAAGGTGCAGAGTTTGACTCTTGTGGTGATCATTTATTTTTGTAGCCGGGCAACTTCAAAGGAAAAGCTCAGGGGCCAGGGCCTCAGCCGCGTTTGTCTTTAGCAATTTAGCGGTGCTGAAAGTGGCAGACTCAGGGAGGGTCAACGTCGCGTCCTGGATGGCTGGATGTCATTGTAACTTCTTACTTTACATGCATTTCACTTCTAGGTCACTAAGAGTCTATGTTTGGATACCAGATTAACGCTTTACCTGACCCTGCACATTTTTGTTCCAGCTGATGACTTTTTTCCTTCTGTGTTTCGAAGGCGGCTTGAGCTTTCTGAGCTTTCTGTTGGAGATTGCAGTCATTGGGAGACTCTAATGATGCCCTATGAGCACGGCGATATTGCTCATGACGATTTCGAAGTTGCTGATTCTGTTTCTCGATCGCGGCATCCACTTTGTCCAGGATACCTGATTGGGAGCATGCTGACAAGGTAATTAGAGTGTGACAACATGTATGGGCAGATTCCTCTTACAGAGTCGTTGGAGGGAGCGACTCTCTCTCAGCATGTAATTGGTGGGGTTATTGCATGATAGGATGCCCATGGTACTGTGGACCTAAACAAATTAATGTAATCTGTGAGAGAGAGAGAGAGAAATGAGGTAAACCTGTTGAGCTTTGAGATGCATAAGATCATAATGATGGCCACGGCATATAGCACCAACAAGCAAACATTGTATCCCTTCTCGGTTGACGTCTGCATGCAGTGCTTCAGAGAGATTTGTGGAGGGACTACTGGTGCACCAAATGTCTAAGGGAATTTTGCTTTTGGCCTGACACATTGCTTCCAGTGCGAAACCCGAGTTTATCTTGTCGTCGAGCCATTCTGTCAATATGAATGTTACTCCTTCTCAATAAGAACAGGAAAGAAACCTACGGTTACCAGCAGCTTTTCCTTCCTGCCGAATACGCTGAAGTGTTCCTTCCCAATCCGGGTGCTCGATGCACATCAACGATCTCATGTCGGTTTTGACAGCCTCAGAGACCTTACAGGTGCAAATGTTTCGAGAGATATGCACGGTACATAGTCTCACCAATCGGTGAACATGCTCGTAGTCTGTCAGGTCCACCAGTCGTTTCCAGGGTTCATGAAGGTCCAAAGTACTATGCGGCAGTTCCTCCTGAGCTATCTGCTGCAGGTGCATGCCTAAACCTGGTTTTTCCGTTCAGTACTCTGAGAGGAAAGACATGATAGGAAAGACGTGATAAGAAAAAACCTTTTGCCTGGCCACGGTCCTGATCGATCCCCCAATGACAAATTCCTTGATGGGAAGAGAGGTTTGGAGAGTGCAGATGGTGATATTGGATATCCTTTCCCGTGTCTTCAAAGACTATACGACGAATTTGATTGAAAAGAAACTTGTGGGCCACAGCAGACTGTGAGTTCATGAATGCGCGACAGAAAACAATGGCTGCTACAGTGTGAAATCAAGAACGGAAAGTAGAGACACAAAGAACATACATGAATGAGACTTAGAATCAAAAGACACCAATTCAAATTCTTTGTATCCGGCGACTCTTTTAAAAGCGATGTCGCTTTGAACATGCGTGGCCTGGACAAGATCGTGGCTGCACTGTTGTTAGCCACTAACTCTAATCGACTTAGATCGTGCTAGGATTGCTACTCGCACTTCGGTAGGTGATACGCTAGCAAGTCAAAGGTGACAAAAGGCGGTGGGGCAGATAGTCAGAAGACCGGAGTTCGATGTTAGGTAGAATTAACCTTAGCCGAAGCTGGGGTTTGAACCAGCTGAGGCTCTACTTAAATACAAATGGATGTACTAATAATAGTACTGTGAGAAACCGTCCGTGGTGATCGCTCTTGCATCACTGCGCTGAGTAAGAAAAGGAAAGAAAAGAAAAGAAGAAAATGAATAAACCGTAACATTACCCCCTCCCTAAGACTCGTTCGTCTCGAATGAGCTGTTTGACCTCTCTCCGGTACTGGACGTTGATTGTTGGGATTGGGAGTAGAAAGACCAGGTGTCATCATCTGTGTCTTCTTCTTCCTCGGTATCTGTGTCCCAGTTTTCACGTATGCGTTCAAGGTTTTGGAGATTGACCTCTTCTTTGTCATCGGGACAGTCATCTGGGAGATTAATGTTATCAATGATTTCGGACGGAGGATAAGAGTTTTGTTGAGCGTCAGAGTGTTTTGGATTTGTACACTTGGATGAATAAACCGTGATGATGTCGGTGACACATGGGGGTGTCAGGATCATGGTATTCGACCGGCAAGTTATGAGGTATCTTGTCGTCAAAGCCGATTGTCTTCCCCCTTCCATCTACCGTCCACACCATCTTCTGCATACGGGCTTCGTAGTCGTTGACGAGTTCCTCGGCATTGGCCATGTCGGAACGCTTTACCCACGAGTTCTCCTCCGTTGGGTATCCTTTCCATTTTACCAAATACTCGGTAATGGTCCGGCGAGTCCGTCCACGACCAACGATACGATCTCTTTCCCCCACAATGCTCTCAACTTCGTACTCCTCTTCATCGTCGATGAGCTCTGGGGGCGGTCGTTCAGGGCGTGGTTGGTTTGGAAACTCGGGCGGATGGTATGGAGTTAAAAGGGACTCGTTGAAACGATTATGAATGTGCCATTTCGCGGGGAGCTGTAACTCGTATGCTGATGCTCCTTTCTTGGCTAGAATTGCGAAAGGCCCCACTCGTCGGTCTCCTAACTTCTTCGTTGGACGGGGGAGGTTCAGGTTGGTAGAATCCAACCACACCTTGTCGCCGACGCGATATTGCACCGCCTCCCCTTTACGCTTGTCATAGGTCTTCTTCATTGAGTTGGCTGCCTGCTGGAGCGACTCTTTCGCCTTTTCCTGAACTTCTTGAATCCCTTGGACCAATTTCGATGCGGCTGGCACTGCGCCTTGATGTTGAGCAGTCTTGATGACCTGCCCGTCACGTCCAAAAACTACTTTGTATGGAGAAAAGCCCGTGGCGGAGTGTGCGTGGTTATTGTGGGTGAAAGCCGTGAGCGGTAACCACTCGCTCCAGTCATCCTGTCGATAGCTGACGAACATCTTGAGGTACTTCTCGATTTCTTGGTTGACCCTCTCTGTCTGTCCGTCAGTTTGCGGGTGGTAAGCCGTCGATGGGTTTCCCGTTACTTGGAGGAGGGCGTAGAACTCCTTCATAAACTTTGATACGAAAATCGCCCCCCTGTCCGAGATGACTTTCTCAGGCATGACGCCATAGGGTACATAGACATAATCCCGCAGGATCTTGGCGAATCCTAGGGATGAGAGCTCCTCGGTGCATGCGATGGGTATAATAGTTTTGGAGAATCTGTCAACAATGACTAAGATAGAATTGTTCCCCTTGGAGTCCGGGAGCTTGGTGATCATGTCGACGGAAATGTGCGTCCAGGGCCAAGTCGGGACCTCGTTCGGATGAAGGGGCGCCCGCTTGGGGTGACGGTCCGCCTTGGTTCTTTGGCAGACCTCGCACCCTTTTACATAGACTTCCACCTCCGAGCGCATTCGGGGCCACCAGTAGTCTCGCAATAGGAGCTCCTTCGTTTTCTCTATTCCCGGATGTCCTGCCGTTATATGGTCATGGCGTAAGGCTATGATTTCACCTCTGAGCTGCTTGTCTTTGGGCACGTAAATGCGCCCATCGTACCATAGCAATTCTTGGTCCTGCGAGACCCCTTTTTCGTGGTTAAGGGAGTCAGAGATGCCCCGGTCCCACTTACGGGGGTCATGAGTGGCTAATTTGATCTTCTCGTGCAGTTCCTCCATGGTGGGCATGACGAGGGCCCGGAAGTGAGCTGGTTGGAGGACTGTTACATCCCGATTGTCTTGTTTTCCTTGATCGTGATCCGCTCGTCTGGACAATAGATCGGCTTTACGGTTTTGGGCCCCTGGTTTGTGGTGCAAGGTGAACTGATACTCCGCGAGTTCGGTCACCCATCGGGCTTGACGCCGATTAAGCTTTTGGGGTTTTCGAAAGTATTGCAGGTTGGAGTGATCCGTCCAGATCTCGAAGTCCTCTCGGGCACCCATAAGGTATTGCCGCCACTCCTCCAATGCAATCATGATGGCAAGGAGCTCCTTGTCATAGATCTCGTAGTTGCGTTCTGTAACCGATAACGCTTTGGAAAGGAAGGCCACTGGCCGCCACTTCTCTTCTTGCCATTGGGATAATACCGCGCCAATGGCTCCTTCACTAGAGTCGGCCTCTACTCGGAATTTTCCTTCATCGAGCGGGATGGCTAGAACCACATCTTCGCAGAATAACTCTTTGATTTTCTCAAATGCCTTCTGCTGAGCTTCTCCCCACTTCCACTCCACCTTCCCCGTGAGGGCCATGAGGGGTCGAACATGCTTGCTGTAGTTGCGGATGAACCATCGGTAAAAGTTGCAGAAGCCTAGGAAGGACTGTAGCTCCTGCTTCTTCGTCGGCACAGGCCAGTCCAGCAGGCCGGCGATCTTGACCGGGTCCATGCGAATCTTCCCTTCGCTGATGAGTACGCCCAGATATTCTGTCTCCTCTACCTCGAATTCGCATTTTTCGGCTTTGAGAAACAGGTTGTTTTCTCGTAGAATTCGGAGTACTTCTCGTACGATACATCGGTGGTTCTTCTTGTCTTTGGACGCAATGAGTATGTCATCCAGGTATACTGACACTTCTCCCACGGTGATGAGATCCTTGAAAAGGTCATTCATCATCCACTGGAAAGTGGCTGGCGAGTTTGTGAGACCGAAGAACATCACTAGCAGTTCGTAAAGGCCGCGGTTAGTTCGAAAAGCGGCCTTCCATTCATCCCCTTGTTTTATCCGGACATTGTTGTACCCCCACCGTACGTCTAGCTTGGTGAAGTACTTGGCCTTCTTCAGCCGGTCCATGAGCTCCCTGATGAGTGGTAATGGGTACCGGTTTTTAATGGTCATCTCGTTGAGCTTGCGATAATCTTGGACCGGGCGAAGCTTTCCGTCCTTCTTTTTAACGAAGAAGAACGGGGAGGCCATGGGAGATTTGGAGGCCTGAATGCATCCAGTGGACAAGTTCTCGTCTAAAAACTTGTCCAACTCCTCCTGCTCCGTGGGATTAAGGGGGTAGACCTTACAATCCAGGTTGGCGTCGGCATTGGGAATCAGCTCAATAGCGTGGTCCCATGGCTTTCGGGGTGGTAATTCGTCGAAGTTCTCTTTGGCGAATACGTCCTCGAATTCTCTATATTCTTCTGGTACGATCTCTTCGAAAGACTTAGGGGTCTTTCGGGCATTGGCCTGAGCGGCCAGTTCATTTGCTTTGGTCCCCATGGCGCGCACATGGAACGCCTCCTCGAAATCTATTACCAAAATGGTATCCCCTTCTTCGTATTCTTCCCAGCGGGACGAGGGGTCCGTATCTGGGAGTGAAAAAGGGATCTTGCGACACGTACAGCGGGCTAAGGTGACAGCCCCAGTATCCCAATCGATCAATGGGTTGTGTCTTTGCAACCAGTCGTGTCCAAGGAATAGGGGAGTTGAGCCTAGATCGACCACGGCTAGTTCGATCCGTTCCACGTGGTCTCCGATGCGAAGCCGCACCTCGGCATATTCCGTGATGTCGCCTCCTTTGTTTCGAGTCCCGTCGGCATTGTACACCGGGACGGGTCGAGCCGCCTTTTTGAGATTAAGGGCGTGATTCTGGGCCCAGGCTCGGTCTATAGAACTGCCGGTGGCTCCGCTGTCCACCAGCGCCTTCACCGAGTGTGTCTCCCGAGTGTCTAGGGTTTCCAACTGCACGGTGATTGATACATTCCGTCCTTTCCTCCCTCGTATGTACATGGGGGGTTTGGTAAGATCTTCCATCCACTCCCACCTACTCCTGGCTTCTGTGGCCGTCTCGGGTTGCTCCTTGAGCACCTCCCACAGATCAACTGTCACCTCCTCCTGCCATCGAGGATGTACCCACCGATTAAGGGTGGCACGGGCCGCCGCCTCACTAGTTGCGAGGCGTAACGCCCTTCGGGTCCAGTGCGGTCTGAACAGCTCGTAGTAGGTGTCCAGTACGGGCTTCCATTCTTCGGGTCGTGATATGACGTCAGGGGGTATCAGGGTTTCCGTACGCGGTATGCGGACCGGGATATCGGACCGCAAATGGGCTTCTTCATCTTCCACCTCTTCTACAGAAACGCGGGGCTTCGTACTCGTGAGTGGCAGTTGGTCACCGGGCCGGTCGGTAAGGCCCCTCGGCGGCATTTGGTCACCTTCCGACGAGTGGGTGGAGGAGGGTTCACTACCCTGTGTTCGGCCCTGGCCAAGGGCGCTTGTGCGCGGCGTTGTAACCTCCACGGTGATTCCGTACTTAACCTCATTCCTAACGCCGGCGGTACTCTCGGAAACTCTAGGCAAACACACACATATTGGCTCGTCGAGGGGGTCGGCATCGTTTGTGGATGAGGCCACTACTAAATGTAGGTGGTCTCCTCGAGTCCCAGCCTCAGCTGCTTTTCCGCCACTGACGAGAGGAACAGCCTGCTCTACATCTGAACAGGTAGGCCCGTCCGTCGGAGTCATCGGCCGATTCTCCCTGCCGGGGCAACGACCACCACGTCTGGCGTCCATCTTATCCTGACCTGAGGCGCTCGCTGGGTTCTCCAGAACTTCCCCCATTCGGTCAGGCGGGGGTGTCAGAGGTGGACCAGCCCCTAGGGGTTCATTGTCCATCGCTGACTGCGTAGAACGGCGGAAATCCCCTCCTACGCCATGGTCGTTTTGCGATTCCATATCCTTAGTTCCTTCTATCGGTAACACGGCGAAAAAGTTTGTGTATTGCTCGAACGGGGTACCTACATACGTAGTATAAGTCCGACTACTATTACAAGAGTGCGCACCAGATGAAACTAAGTCCTTTGCCGACGCCGTCGAATCGCTTATTTCAACGCCGGCTTGTCTTTTGACGACTCATCCTCCTTCTCCTTGACCTCTTCGATCTTGGTATCCTTTCCCAATTCCTCCTTCTCGGCTTCAGCAAGTAGTTGGCGCAAGCGAGCGACGTTGGGCTTTTTGCGAGGTGGGAGTTTGACGGGGATCCACTTGGACTTGTCGTCAGGGCACTTGTGCTTCGGGCTCCACCCGGTGTTCCCACACTTGAAGCATCGCTTGTCGGACCGAAGTTTATCGATCTCCATTGGTTGCCCTGCTCCACCGTACGTGGTTCCCGTGGCGTCCTTCTTGTCGCCGCTGGAACCCGATCCCTTCGATTGATTGCCTCAACCTGAACCGCCTTGGTTCGGGGAGGTCTTACTGGCGAGGCCCTGAGCCACGTCGTATCGATAGTTGGCGTCGATCCTCAGGACTCGCGCCTTCCATTGCGCATAGGTTGTGGGGCGCTCATTGTCCCCATGCATAACTGTCTTGCGTACTGTCGGCCTAATCGCCGCTTCCACTGCTTCGAACATCTGTTTTTCATCACCAAACTCGCCGCACTTGTGGGCCAGCCTTTCGAACTTCGCGAAGAATTCGACTGCGCTTTTGAACTCCGCTTGTCGAACCTTCTTCCATTCCGCCTTCCAGATAGCGACTTCCGCTACTTCTCGGAATTCCTGCGTGATGTCTCGGGAGAATTCCGCCCAAGTAGGGAATCTCCAATGCCCCTGGTCGTCCCGATAACGGTAATATTGATCGCCCCACCACTGTTTCGCCTTTTCCCATAGATATCCTTGCACGAAAGTGATCCGATAGGGGTTCTGGCCCTGATCGTTCATTGTGAAGTGCAGCGGGAATACCTGAAAGTACATTTCACAGTGGTGGAGGAATCGATTGATGTCCTCAGACTCCCCTGTAAAGTACTCGGGTTGCGTGATGAGTTTGGGTTTCACATCATTCCACGGGTTATTGTCCTTACCCGCCGCCAACATCCAAGGCGGTATGGGATCCGGTGGGGAAGGTACTGGAGGTGGCACGGGAGGATTAGGGGGTCGCGGGAGCGACCGCAATCAGTAATTATCCCCGGGCAGGGGATAGTCGCCTGGGTACACTGGCCTCTGTGGAGGCTGCACTGGTGGTGGAAAGGGCTGCTCGGGTTGCTTGCCCTTGTTTGAGGGTCCGGCGCCCGGGTCGTCCATGTCATCATCGTCGTCGGGTCCTGCACCTGCCCAGAACTGCTCGGTTTCAAGCGGGTTAGGCATTGGCTGGGGTCGCCGATAAGGCGCGCAGCCCGGCTGTTGGTTGTTAGGGAACACCTGGTTCCATACTACGGCGGCCTTGTGCCACGTCTCTACTTCCAGGATGTTCTTCATCAAGTAAACGTCCCCTAGGGACTTCGCGTATCGATAATCTTCTCCCGCCTCCGTGAGGAGCCACTGGGAGTCCTTCTCCATATCCTCCATCATAATTTCATATAGGCCATGCCATGGTAGGATATTAAATATTGTGGGCCGAGGGGCTAGGGGGTCGACTAGGACCGTCCGAACTGCCCTCATCACCTCGGTCTCGAGGGAGCTGTTGGGCGGCCGACTCAGCATTCTTTGCCTCCTTCCTCTCTCGGGCGATGCGGTCGATCTCCCTGTTTCTTCTCCACCTCCCGATGTCGGAGTCGGGATCGCTGATCTCGTCCTGGTAGGCGTTCCAGGCTCTCCTTCTGGCCTCGAGGTCGGTGCCGGCTCTTCGAACGGCTCCGGAATACCGAACGGCGGCGGCGCGGATTCGATTCTCGACCTCGGCGTTGGTGGCGTCGGGCTCGAGGGGTAAGTCCCACCAGCCTCCTCGTCCCTGGAGCGCGTCTTCTTCAGCCCACCTGATGCGTGCATCATGTGCTCTTCCTTGCTCCATTCTGGCCTCGATCTCTGGGGCGAGTCGGGCTCGCTGAGGGAGTCCGAGGGACTCGACGTACGTGTGGTAGAGTAGGGGCCACGGACGCTGGGAGGCCGGGACGGGGGTGGCAAAGGCTCAGCCTGGTACTGACGGCTCCCAGTTGGAGACTCCGGCAAGGCGCTCGGCAGCGGTAACTGTTCCAAGTTCCTCGTTGTCGAGGTCTGGGAACTCGCTCCAAAGCTGCCCACTCGTCGGCTCGTGCGAGGAGACGGGGGAGGGGACCGCAGAGGCCTCGGACCCCTCAGGGATCGGGTCAGGCTCTCTTCTGGGCGCGATTCTGGCCACAGGAGCCTCTTCCCTGTTGTCGGCGTAGACCCAACTGGTCCGGGGGTGCCAGGCGACAGGCTCTCCCCTATCGGTTGGCCAGGACCTTGAAATAGACTGTGAGTCAGCTGTACCGGTGGTAGCCACGGAGGCTCCGAGGCCAAGCTCTCCGGAATCGGTGTCGTAGTCGTCCTCTTTCCTCTGTACAAACCTCCTTCGCTCTGCTCCGAGGTCTGGGTCTCCCCACCTTGCCTCAACCCACCGTGTTGAAGACCTTCCGCTCCAGTTGTCTCCGGTATAGGTAGCATCTTCCTCCGTGTTCGGGTAGATGTCGTTGAGGAGGTCGTCGAGGCGGGTTCTCTCGAACTCGGTGAGCTCGTCCCCTTCGAACTCGGTATCAACCTCTTCTTCGCTCTCGTCCACAGGCCTGGTGACGGGTCTTCGGCCTCCGTCGTGGCTTGACTCGCCTTCGACTGGAGACTGGTCGAAGAGGCCTGGTAGGGGCGAGTCTCCTCGGTCGAGGAATACGCCCCGGGTATCGGTGATGTCGATTGAGTCGACTGCTGCGCTGGAGGCGCTTCTGTAGGAGTTGGTGCTCGACCCTGAGGATCGCGAGCTGGGTCGCGACGATGTGTAGAGGGATCCTCCAGATCCCCCGGAGTTGTTTGATGCGACATTTCCTAGTGTCTGCTGGGATGCCGCGGGTATGTGAATGACTGGTGGCGGGTACGCCGGAGTGCTCGGAACGTAATGGAATGGGAGTTGCGCACGGACTCGTCTCTGTTGTTGAAAACAGCGGCGTAGTCGGTACAAAATAATGGATAAGAAAAAGAGTATAAAAGTCGTGAAGACGGCGAGAATGGAGTCGGACCAGGGCATCCATAAGTGGGCTTATCCTTGGCGTAAGTCGACGATTGACCATGCAAGCTGATAGACAGCGAGAATGGTAAGAACAATGAGAAGGGCGATGATCAAGCTGAGGTCGGTCTCGTAATTGGAACCGTTCATCAGCAGGATTTCGCAAGTTTCGTCTGTGGAGGTGCTCGTCAATACCAACAGCAAAACTGTCAATATGGATGCGAGCTGGAGGGCGAGAATGAAGGGTTTCGTGTTTTTAATAATGGCGCAAAAATCCGACCCAGAGCAACAGGAGTAGTCCTGCAAACACTGGGGATGGGACGTATGCGCAAGCGAGGAACACTCGAAGGATGGTTACAATAACCAATCCCAGAGGGTCGTTGAGGAGGAATCGCAACACGGAAAGTGCCACGACAATGAAGAGAATGACAGGGAAAATGTTGGGCAACGGTAAGTCGTTGGGCAACAGAAGACGAGCTTCGGCTAAATGTTAGCCACTAACTCTAATCGACTTAGATCGTGCTAGGATCGCTACTCGCACTTCGGTAGGCGATACGCTAGCAAGTCAAAGGCGACAAAAGGCGGTGGGGCAGATAGTCAGAAGACCGGAGTTCGATGTTAGGTAGAATTAACCTTAGCCGAAGCTGGGGTTTGAACCAGCTGAGGCTCTACTTAAATACAAATGGATGTACTAATAATAGTACTGTGAGAAACCGTCTGTGGTGATCGCTCTTGCGTCACCGTGCTGAGTAAGAAAAGGAAAGAAAAGAAAAGAAGAAAATGAATAAACCGTAACAACTGTGGCATCATACATATGATGATTTTGAACGTGTGGTCCTGATCGCTGAGTGGAAGCGGGTCTTCTGGGTCATGGTAGTTGGCTAATGTGTCCAACTCACTCCATGGTAACTCTTCAACAAGGCGAATATAGACTTCCCCAGGTGAAGAGATCAGACCCTCTTGGTTTTGAAGGTGGATTACACCTGAGAAAAAACAGTCACCGATGAGATTAGGATGGAGGGGTCAATGTCTTACCTTGCAAGCCCGTGCCTTCTGGGAACTGGCGTTTCACTGATGTATTGATGAGGGAGGCAAGATGATCAAGGTTTGCCAGAGAAGGATGAAGGTCTGTCGCCATTGGGTGTGGAAAGTCTGGAAGGGACTTCCTCAGGAATGAGCGAAAAAGGGGGTGCCTCAGAAGGCAACGGGGAGTAAGATCAGGCAAGTCTGGGCCCATATCCTGAAGCATCTGAGTGAGTTGACACTTCAAAGGGTCCGGTGTAGTGGCCGGTAATGGGATGGGGTGAGTATGAGGAGAACAGCAGACAACTAGAACTTTTGGGCATACTTCCCAGTATTCAGGAAGCGGTATATATGCTGTGATCTTGGAATCGCATAATACGTTAATCATTTCGGTCATGAACATTGTTCCGTCTGTTCAGGATCGGTGAGTGTATGCTGGATGCTTGGTTAATACAAGGAAAGGATTTATTTTATCAAAAATGGACATACGGCAGTTAACCTTTATGGAGGAATGATTCCGAACATGACTGCATGGAACCAAAGGTCCAAAACCTTCCTGTTGCACCTTCTGTTCCCAGAAATTGATAGCAGCGGTATCGGCCTGACACAGGGCAGCCAGGTAGTCAAGATTGTACATGCCATCCGATATAGCGTGATTGACGTAGTGCTTTTTAGAATGAATGCTATAATGCTGGCATCTGTATAGGTGAAAAGGTAAGGCATAAGTAAAAGATATTAATAGACATTTGTATGCAATATATGGTTTTCCCAGGTTACTGCTCCATCGCATTTCTATCCTCCCATGGCACTTCTTGGCAATATGCTGTCTGCGGCATGCTTTAGTAGGAGTAATGTCACGTCTGGTGTTCCAAGCCTGTTCAGCATCAGAATAGAAGGTGTCTTCTTGCCGCTCATGAGGGCACCCTCCGTCTCTGATAGCTACCCATAACGCCAAGGTCTTTTGGAAAAGATCCTGCCCAGGAGTAGGTTCTGCTGCAAGAGCCCTTTCCTCCTGAAGTTGAAGCTCCAAAGAGTGTCGGGATGCACCAGTATGCCTTCTGTCTCGGTGATCAGCGGGTACGTAGGGACAGACTTTGACACCCTGACCTGAGGAATGAAAGTCAGAACATAGCCACAAAGAAGCGGCAATCCCTACGTACATGTACGGTATACCCGTTGGCATGGAACCGGCTTACCACAATCATCCTGAAGGAGGTAAATGTGGACATTCTTGCGCCCTGCACTCCCAGGATCGCCTAAAGAATATGCAAAATCCTTCAGAGGGTTGTACACCTGTTTGCCGGAAGACATAGTGAAGAGGTGGCCAATGTTACCACCTCCCATCTCTTCAGAGGTCTCGGGATATTGGATAACCTTGTCTACGGGGTAGTGATACAGAGTCTTCAGCGTGGTGCGGCCGTTCAATTGAATATTGTGTTCGATGCGAGTGGCTGCCAGAGAGGATTCAGATCTACAAAACGGTGATTCTGGAAGGGGATTCAGCAGCTGTTCCAGTCTCAGTGGAGCCATATGCCTGTACCAGAGGAAGGCTAGGATTGTGAAGGCCTTTTGAAGGTGGAGCGGCTAGCATTTACTTGAGAACCATGGTTCTAGGAGCGGAAATGACTAGAATGTCATTCAAAAGATGACGGACAAGCGTCTTTGAATGATTCTCTGATGGGAGGAGCGGGATTAAGATTCTATACAATCTAGGATCATGCCAGTCTAGCTTCTTTGGGACGGATTAGCCCGATGAGGGCGTCGGGGTCACAGCCTGTCACAAGGATGTTGCTTGCTGACTAAGTTGTTTACAGTGTCACGTGCTTTTACTGTCCGGCCGGTGGCTGTACCTTCCGACCCGTCTATCCGCGCCCACGGCTTCCGTGCCTGGGGCCTGGCTTCTTTTCTTCTTTGTCTAAATCGGGATGGTCCCAATCGACCTAGGACTCCGAAACGCAGTTCGACAGAAAAGGTGTCCGATATGAAATGTAAATGGGTACAAATACAAGGAATACCCCAAAGGGTGTAAGTTCAAACCGACAATGAGTACATTCGGAGGCCCGGCTACTAGTACTTATGAATTCGAAAGGGATCGCGGGGACAAACAGTTACGTAGGCAATGGTGAGATAACAGTGACGAACAACTCGGAACTTCGCATATCAGAATAGAGGGGGTAACGTCCATAATACTTAGACACTACTTTTGTACCGGAGGGAGGGCATTTACGAAGATGGATCTGACATCTACCCTTAATTATAGTAGAAGTAGAAGGTAGATGATGGGATCTAGGCCGTATCAATGAACTGTCATGATGAGGGGCTGCCCTTCTGAGCCAACTTGTCGATCTCTGCATCTGATAGCCCAACTAGGCGTTGCAGAAGATAATCCACCTGCGACAAAAGTAAATTTGGGTATTCCATAAATAACAAACATATTTACCTCGACCTCTTTTGTCAGTGGGATAATGAAACTCTCGTAAAGTTCCACCACACCAGCAACGTCAATTTTGGATGCCCCATTCACATTTCCGTTGGCTAATTGAGTTCCATCGGAGGCAAAGTCCTGGGCGTACGTCTCTGCCTTTTTCTGTAATCGGATCAGCAGCTTGCGCTCGACTTCTGGTTTTGTTATGAGTGCCTCTAATGCCTCCCGGTTAGGTTTCAGGATGTGCGGAATGAATGCTGCAGGGTCTTGTAAGAACTTGGATTCGGAAACGAATTTGCCTAATCGGAAATGTCAGGACGAAAGGTGGCTACTAGCATAGAGCGGTACCGTAGTGAACCCTTTTACTGATTGCCTGCAGGACTTCGATATCAATTGTTGCAGCGCTTCCATAATTGCCGTCATCTTCATACTCCTCGTCTCCGACGATTCCCTTGGCCCGTTTTGAAGCCGCGAGGAGCAGGGTGGCGTGCCGGGTTATACGGGGGACAATGGTGCGGGTGTAGAATGAAAGGATGGATGGATTCACGTTGATATTATTCGGGTACAATATTTGCGGAAAGGATAAGGGCGGTATGATGGGTTCTGGCAGGTCGCTTGAGAAAGGGTATTCGTCTGGACTGAAGGAGAAAAATGAGCATATGGAAATATGAGGACAAGGGGATATGCACCTGGTATATCTTCTTGCCTTGGCTGATAGATAGATGATGATAAGCGACTGGAGCCCCTTTTGGTAACAAATGTGCTCACCGTGAAACGTCTCGGTCTCTTTGAGAAACCATTCTAGCCAGCTACCATTGAATCCGATGTCATGCAATTCCTTGAATGCACCACGCTGATACATGCGAGCATTGTGGACAAACTGGGCCCGCTCGATAAGGGAGAAGATAATGGTATCCTCTAGCCTGACCAGGACAGAACGAATGCGGTCCAACGACAATGGATTGCCGATGGTGAGGTTTGACTGCATTTTCGTGGAACTGCGAGGCTCATTAACAGGCTAACCATGAGATGATGGTGACTTACAGTTCGAAATAGCAAAGTCGAGCTGGCCTTGCACTCCAGTAGTCCAGAGTGTCGGTACGATTCAGCAGGGGACTCAGTTAAAGCTGAAATCGTGGTCGTTGCGGAAGGAGTTGGGAATGGTGATTCGGCCGCGGCTCTGTCGGCCGTCACAGATCAGCGACCACGATCGAATCCCATACGTGCCACCCCGCATTCCTGCCCCGCACAGCAACCTGTTAGAATGCACTAATACCGCGCAACGGACGGAGTTATGTAGTTTCTAGCTCGTTACAGTACATAGCACCCGATGTCAAGTAATTAATCACGATCTCTGGCTGACATTGAATGTGTCGGAGTCTGCAATCCAGGATCCACCTTTGGGTCCCCTACAGCCGCGGTACCTTCATTCATTCAAAACATTTTCCGGTACCGGGTACGGTATTGGCATTTTTGGTAATCAATTCGTATAACTGAGACTCGTAGCGTCTTTGTTGTCCAGGATTCCTGTGTCCTCCAGACGATCAGGACAAGTGCAGCCACACTGAGTAGCTCTTCGGAAGCGTTTCCTCAATGGGTCAATGATAGAGTCATTTCAACACAAGTATCCAGTCTCGACTGTCAAGTACTTCATAGAACTGGCTTGCTCAAATCATTGCCGAGCGTATGAGTGAAAATCTGGATGGAATTTGTCCGAGTCGATTAATATTCTTGCGGGGTTGCAGGGTTGACATGCACGTTAACCGGCAATCTACGGTGGCAAGCGCGATTGACGCTGATTGACGCGTTATCCTTGTACGAACGGTGCATTTATGCGGCACTCGGTCCGACTTCCAATGTTTGTCTATGTATAACAGTAACCTCCCTTTCATGTCAACCGCCAACGACAATTGACTGTCTTTTACCTTCTTCGCGTGATTTGCCACCAAGAATCGCTCTTTTCTGCACATCTATCTCATCTAGAAGCATGATGAGGCGATCCCAAAGTGTACGGAATCAGCCACGCCCATCTTTAGCCCTAATATCCGATGATCTTGGTGTTCTTAGAGAAGGCGACGAGTCGAATGAGGATGTCCTTCGGAAGCAACTGATTGAGAAAGATAGAGAGTGTGATCGGGTTTGTGGCCTCTTTCTCATCTTCCAATATGTTAACTTATTTGTATTCATCAGTTACAAACCCAAGTCCAGCAACTCCAGGCGCAGCTTGCTCAAAGGCCATCATTAGAATCTGTCCAGGAGCTGCAAAAAGAACATAAGAACTTGGAACTCCTTCTTCAAGGAACACAGAGAGAGAATGAGCGTTGTATGGCTGATATCGAAAGGTTCGGTCGTACACAAGGCCCGGGATCGTCCTCGCTGACCCAACTTTCAGAGGAAAGACACGTGAAAAAATGCTGGAACGTGAGTTGGCCCGGTTGGCGGGGGACAATTGGCAGGCAAGGGATCTTTAAGCATATAGGACTTTCACCGTGGCTCATCTTTCGATAGGTATCACTAGACATAGCGCCGAGTCCAGCAGCGTTCCAGCCACATGCCACTCTTTCTGGGCATCGACACTCGCTCCCTTCTGCCGCGTCCGACGCCAGTGGTGACATTAACAACGCGGCGCTGTTAGCGCGTCTTGATCAGATTCGTTTGACCGTTTTGGGAATGGAGCAAAGGGCCTTGCAGAGAGAGGAGAAGCTTAACAAGAATATTCAAGTGGCAGAAGCAGAAGCTCGAAAGTACGAAGATATATCCAAGTCCTTGACTGCGTAGCAAGGTCTGTTCCTCACGATTCATCAACGATACCGCACGATACTGTTACACTATCATTTCAGGCCATGGTCTATTTGTATTATAGCACCCGCAACGTTGGATTTAACGGCAATCTGTATATAAGAGCCCGTATAATATGTTTGTTCGAGTGATTGAAGAGCAGTAAGATCAAGCTTCTGGCATTTCCTAGGACATCGTAGCCATCGAAAGACCATGGGTGCGTTTCAATCGTTTTCAAATTATCTTTCATCTAGTTCTGATTGAAAGGCAAATAGCAAGATTTGGATTATGATAATCCTATGAGTCATTGGATGAATTGCTTGAAATATAACCCCGCCTTTGGTAATGTCTCAACGGAATCCTGTATTGGGGTCCTTTATGGTACTCCGATACTCCACCGACGTGGGAACTGTATTCGTATGGGGACCTCAATTTGCCCCGGGGAATTCCTTTGACTCGCTATATAAACCACGGGATACTTCTTGATCTCTCACCATGGCACCTGCGCCTCTTCTTCAAACTAGTGCCCCTGCACCCACCTCTTTCCCGCAAAAGGCCTCCATGGATGTGGCAGAGGACTATGATGGACAGTATCGCTTTGCTCCCATTCAGGAGTCCCAAGTCTCAAGGGCCATGATCAAGCGGTAGGACGGCACTCCCTCTAGCAGATCTTCGACGAGAACTCAATTTATGATCCTCCATAGGTACTTTGAGACCATGTACGACAGAGCGATTTCCGACGTCGTTATTGTCGGTGCTGGAAGTGCAGGTCTCACCTGTGCTTATCATCTAGCTTCCACTCGCCCCGACCTTAAAGTCACTATTATCGAAGCCAATGTCGCGCCTGGAGGTGGAGCGTGGCTGGGTGGGCAGCTCATGTCTCCCATGGTAAGTCGGGCCATTAGGATCGCTTTCTCGGTTGAATGGCTTTACTTAAAGTTATACTCAGATAATTCGCAAGCCGGCTGACGCATTCCTCAGGGAGCTCGACGTTCCCTACGAGGATGAAGGTCCTTTCGTAGTAGTAAAACACGCAGCGCTGTTCACCTCTACCCTGCTGTCTGCTGTCCTCAAGCTTCCTAACGTCGTTTTGATGAACGCCACGGCCGTAGAGGACCTCATTATCCACGAAGACTTTGCAGGAAAACAACGCGTAGCCGGCGTGGTCACCAACTGGACTCTTGTAGCTCTGAACCATGACACTCAATCGTGCATGGATCCCAACACCATTACTGCACCAGTCATTGTATCCGCTACCGGGCATGACGGACCCATGGGCGCATTTTCCGCCAAGAGGCTCGTCAGCGCGGGTCTCTTGAAAGAGCTGGGAAACATGCGAGGTTTGGATATGAACCGCGCCGAGCCAGCCATTGTGAACAACACTCGCCAGGTAGCTCCGGGCCTTATCATGACTGGTAAATGAGCAACGCTGCCCCACACTGTTTTGATCTGATTGGTATTTCGCAGGCATGGAACTCTCGGAGCACGACGGATCCAACCGAATGGGTCCCACTTTTGGGGCTATGATTGGTAGTGGAATCAAAGCGGCCAAGGAAGCTATTCGTGCTTACGATGCTGCGAAAATCGTAGGTGGAAAAGTCGTTGGATAAGCTGAATGAATGTATAAATGTAAATTGTACTTGTACCAAGAGAATTTTCTTGAATACGTTCGATCATACACGCGATCGTAATCGATGACGCGTCCAGCCCTTACCTAACTTGATACAGTACTACCACCATGGGTATGGAATTGCCTTCACCAGACAGCCCTAGGGAACAAGTCCGTGTCTTGATGGACCGGAAATCCAACATCGAGGCGGAGCTGGAGGCTCAGCTATCTATTCTGAAAGCAAACTCATCGACGCTGCATTCTCCTCTGGTCGACCCGGATGGGTTCCCTCGGGCCGACATCGACATTTACGCGGTACGGGGCGCGCGGATACGCATAATCGAGCTACGGAATGATCTAGCGGCATTGATGAACGAGATTGGGAAGAAGTTGGAGAACATATACGATCCGAGTCTGGTGCCTCAGGAATCGGAGTCGCCTGCTGACACTCCTTTTGCAAGAGTTGACGGAGTGGCACCAGGAAGTCCGGCTGCGGATGCGGTACGCGAATCATCTCTATTCAAGTGTGATTTCTTGTTAACTGCTGTATTCTCAGGGTTTGAAGCGCGAGGATCTCATCGTGAAATTTGGTTCACTTACGGGTCCAACATCCCTACAGGCTGTGGCGGAGGTCGTAGGGGCCAATGAAAACGTCGGCTTGGGTTCCAATTATGCCGTTACATTATCTGATGCTTGCATAGCGGAGTATTTCAATCAGAGCTCTTCGAGACAGTCAGCCGGTTTTCTTCAGCCTAACACCGAGAAAAGGCTGGGGCGGACGAGGGATGCTCGGGTACGTTGTTGTGTTCTTAATTTTTCTGTAGTCAATAACTGGGCCCTCAGTTGCCACATTGTGCCATACACAGCGCCATGATGTTATTCAAGTTATCCAGTAATGATTGTACCACCAACATATTAAATAAAGTCAAGTCAAGTAACAAAGTTGCCGTATGACCGGGATGAGATTCACATGAATCACTATGAAGTTTCACATACTGGGAGTTGGTCGACTTGGATTCACAGTAGGTGATGTTTGACCTTACGGGTTACATCGAAATCTATGAACGAGACACAAACAGGAAGTTTCATTCGATCGGCGATACTAATACACATAAACTTCCATAGCTGCTAGAAATTCTTCGTTGGATTTAATTCGTGCATCGGCTGCACTTGCAGTCGCCGGCGTCGCAAACGCAGCTATATTATCTACTCATCAGCGTAAAGTTCCTTTGACTCGTGTGGAACAGTACTCACGCGTTGCAATTGTTATCGGCTTTAGAGCATTGGCATTGTCCGCCCTCGCAAGAACAGCTGTTCCAATGGGAATATATCCGTCAGCATGTATTGTAGGATGTAAACCAATAGTACTCACGCATTGCAGGCGCACTGGGTGCAGGTGCAGCTAAGATTTGATGAGCATGTAGTCCGTGCGATGGTAAACAAAACGATGCTCACGAAGAACATTTGCACGCAGCGACTGCACAAGCCTGAGTAACTGGGACTTGGGCAATCTGGGTAACAGTAGTGAGGTCAATGCAGAGGGTATAGCTGGAAGCCTGTACGCACAGTGTACATGATTATTGCTTGATGGTTGGCTTGAATGAGTTTCGATGGCTAATGTTGGTGGTACTGGATTTCTGGGACAACTTGCAAGGCGAGAGGCCTTATATATGATTTTTGGGAATAGTAATCAGTATATCCACTAAATCGCGCACAGCCCTGACTGCATCCATAAAATCGCGCAATTACCAATCAAGTGACTGGCACTGATTCGAGCCTATTGGTATTACTAACACAGCAGTCCAATAAATCGCGCATGTCGCGGTATTAACAAAAGACGTAGTAATTCGAGCCACTAAGGTTCATCGAGTGACCAAAATCAACCCAGAATATGTTCAGAAACGAGACATTACAATTTCGCTCTAAACTTTGCGGCATCCGTCCCAAACACAATTGCAGTGTTTGCAGCTTCCCTTTCGGCAGTCGCACCCTGGATGATCTGGACGCCACGTAGGGCGGTCAATGATCCGCCTTCCAGGACCCATCTTTTGAAAACCTCCGAGTCCGTCTGTGCTTCATCCTGATTTGTCTTATGTGACCATATTGCGTGTTCCAGAAGAAACAGACTCGATGCCACGTTTCCGAGTAGAATCAATGCGTGCCTAGGTAGGAGGGACGGTATTTGGGCCTTGTAAGCTAATGCTGCGCCATCTACAGAGTGCTTCAGCGTATCCAAGGCGTCGATGATACGGACCCTAAGATCGTCCGGGCAAGAAGCCATCACTGACTGCGCCCACTGTTGAATGCTAAACAATTCGGCTTGTGTACAGGTTTGTTATGACCTACTGTCGTGAAGGCTATGAGCACCAAAGGGTCTCTAACCGCTCGGACAACATCCAAGGACAGTACTGTCACGGTCCCTTCCCATATTCTATAAAGATATCAGCAACACGTATGTGTTATTGGCATTGTATGACTGACTTTTCCACTAGGCGATCTCTGATAAGCCTCCCTATCTGATTCTCTTCCATATAGCCTGCTCCACCAAGGGTGACCATGGCTTCTTCCATCGCCGCGCAAGCCCTTTCCGCATTGAATGCCTTCACCGTTGGTGTCAACATCCTCACCAACCTCTCTTCTTCCGGTGTAGCCACTTGGCATTCCGCTTTGCCCATCAGTCGAATGACGCCAAAGGTGAGATGCATGAGGGCTCTGTACGTTAAGCTGATATCCGCCAGCTGTGCCACATGCAACGGCGTATCTCGCAAGAGTCCTGTCCCACTTTGAATTCGACGTACGTCCGCGTAAGACGTAGCGATAGCGAGACATCGGCGCAGACTACCAAGTGACGCTATGGAAGACCATAGACGGGTGATGTTCAAGACAGGAGCGATGCTTTTGACACCTTGGTTGAGTTCGCCGACAAGATACGCCTCTGAACCTTCGAGCGAGAGTTCGGCAGTGGGCAAGGCATGCGTGCCAATTTTTGTCTTCAGACGATGTAAGTATACCTTATTACTGGCTGCGTCAGGACGGGGGTCGGAAGGTCGGCGGAGCAAGGGCACTCGCAGGGGAACCAGAAACAGAGAAAGGCCCCGTGAAACGTCTTCGAGTTTACCGGTTCTAGCAAGTGCTACGGCAACGTCACTCTCCGTGGCACTAGAGAACCACTTAAATCCGTTTAGAGAATATTGTAACCCGAGTGTATGCTCGGTCCCAGTAGAAGCCGCTACGGTTTCTGTTTGAGAAACATCCGAACCTCCTGGTCGCTGAGAATACCACCACTACATGAGTCTGCAAGATGAGAGTCGGTTGAAATTCGGGCTTACCTCAGTCATCCACTGGCCGGATACATATGCTAAAGAAGGGTCTCGGCTAATCAAACGCGGAAACACATGCTCCTTCATACCCTTCGTACCCATCAGTTCAATGACTCTGGCTGCACCATCGGTCATACTCAATGGACAAAAGACCTTTGCAAATTATTAATCGTGCTCGATCTCAGAGCGTATTACATACCGTATGTTCATCTCCACTCATCAGGGTGGCTTTTGCAAAACCATAGATCCGACTGTATTCACCATACGTGCGTTCGTAAAAGATGCCAGGAAGGCCTTCGCGCTGGGCGGCAGCCTTGAGTTCCCGGAAACCCTCGCTGGTTCGAAGCTCGTTAACATGACGGCCCCACTGATCATATTGGACGACTTGAGGGTTCGACACATAAGGACCCCAGGCTCTTATGTCTATAAAATGGTGTAACATCGCATAAGAAATATTGATACATCAACGCACTGGTAACCACTTCTTCACCAAAGCGAACAAGATCAGGCAGAATATCCTTCTGCACGCTGAACATTCATGAGCAACGATAACACTCGGAGTTGCGGCTCAAAATTGGTACGCACTCTACCGGAAGAATCCTCTTCAAAAGAGAGGGCAATGCTGGGTCCGTAGTGAAAGCATTTCCTTCAACAAAAGGAGGCTGAAAGGTGAAGAGAATCAAGGTCAACTCGAAGGTGACTGTAGAGGCCTCGCAGACCTGCTGGAATCCTTCTTCGACACGCATAATGTCAGACCGGTAACAGATATCAAAATAGCCGACTGCGCGTTGTTATATACTTTCCATGGTATTGGTATTGGTACCGGCATAAGGTCCCAATAAGGAACGACCATGGTCATGAGCTCTCCTCCGAATTTTCAATTAAGGGTAAGGACCAAAGGAAGAAAATTACGTCACCATTGAATATGAATCCCTTTCTTGTACATGTTGGACTCGGTCTAGTTCAGCCTCAAGCAAAAGCCTCGAAGGCAACTCCCCCTGACAACGACAGCTGGGTATGGACGATAAGCTGGTATGTGATCGACTCGACAAGGAAGAAATGACTTGAAGCTAAACAGTCTATGTTTGGTGTTTAGATTATATGCTGCTAGCTTGTATGATACAGCTAATAAGTTATCTACATCTAGGTGGAATTGCACGACTATGAATCAAAAATAGCCCCAAATGCGAGTATACCTCTGCTTCGAAGACCATAAATCACTTTCTCCGTCAGCTTCTGGTTGGAAATAACACAAACACATTCCGGCTTGTATTCATCCACAAGACGGTTCGTGAGCTTGACGATGTCGGGCTTCCCATGCTTTCGCGTATCTTTGATAACCTCATCAGATCCTATCTGCGACTAAGAAAACTTTCCACATACCGTACACCACCGCACCAGGACTCGCCGCTAATATATCATCAACTAACGGGTCTCCAAATGTTGCACGCGTATTCGGTGCCATCCAAAACAGCTTATGCTCAATCTTACCACTCAGTATGTGAGGCGTGAACGGTGCGATACCGCTACCGGTAGCAACGAACAGCACCCTCCGGAACAGAGGCACAATCCGAAGCGCACCACACGTCGGGATACCCCTCACCCAGATCTCCTTCGGTGGGTTCGTGATCATCTCCGTCGTCCAGTCACCTGCCTGAGATATGATAATCGAGTAACCGGTCACTTCAGGAGCAGCAATCGTGGCAAAACTGTGCCATTCATTGAGCGGATCCGTGGAGAACCGTTGGAAAGAGCCCGGAACGGGATGTGGACCTAAGTGAAACGGAGTCAGAGATTTCTAGGAGACAGCGTAAGAATGACTGGCCATAGTCGACGAAGAGACGGACGGCGTGGTTGGAGAGGACGACGCTTCGAACAGGAACCTTTTGCAGTTTCGTCCATGGAAGAATCAAGGACCAGCTTAACACCATCATGAGCCAGAACGGAGCAGAGTGTACCAAGGCGTGTCCGAGGGATTTGTCACCTTTGTAATCATTGGTGAGGACGACGACCTGCAATCAATGTGTCAGAAACTCAACGTAGAAAGTTGAGTGAGCGATAAATGTACCTGAGACCAAACCAGTGCAGTTGCAGTCCACCCCATGAACCGATGCATGCGCTCGAACGCGTCATGGCGTTTGACCCGGAAGGTGGGGTAAGCAAATACGACGATCCCAACTAAGAAGGCAAGGACGATGTACGTCAGCGACACTGTCGCCACCGAAGTCTGGAAATACACCAGTCATTTAGAATCAAGTGAACAACTACCTCAAGCAGAAGCATACCCCTTTGCCTTGAACGAGTTCTCTAGTCGCTTGGACCGCCAAAAGGACGAGCCAGATTGTACCCGAAACAGCAGCACCAGAATGGATGCCTCCATTGTGATACACCCTCGCAGCCGTCTTACGAATGAAGAAGGGCCATCTGAAAAACACGTCAATCGACCGAAAGCACTCACACCTATTAGGTAAAGAGAACTCACGACTGAGGAACAGAACATGCGACTGCGAAAAGCGCGTTTATAACGTGTTCCTGCCGCATGAGAATAGCAATAAATATATTCGCAACGGCGACGAGCGCGATCTTCTGAGAATGATGTCCACGAATTGCGTAGGAGATGAAGATACCCATGTTCGTTAAGAACACGACCGAGAATAGTCTCCGGTAGATAGAGAAGGCCTGCAGCCGTAGATTGCGCACCAGGCGCGGCTGGATCTTTTCGGGCATTTCATCCTCCTCGTAGCCATCCCATGGATTGACCTGCTTTTCAGCGTCGAGGACGGTGACGGTTGATGTGGACTTTTCAGGAGAGTGGTGAACGACGGTCTCGGCGGGACTGTTTGGGAGAGAGGATGTACTGGTGGAAGCGGAGTGGGTAAGCTCGACTGTATGAGTGTTGGGATCCATCGTGAGCTGACTGAAGAAACATTGGAGAGTATGGGCATGCTTTTAAAGAGGCGGTTTCCCGAGTCGGTCACGACTGGTATTATGCAGAGGCGAGTTCCCGGAGATCATTGGTAACGTCTATCGCTGTATACTGCGACAGCCAAGATCGAGCCAGTGTGGATTTCTTCATCCGGGCACTTGAATAGGAAAATGTTGGTTAACATACAATATGCACAGCGAAAAAAGATGCCCGAAAGTCGCCACATATGTGCGTGAACGTTAATTGACATCAACTTTGATTTGAACCATGATGGGAAACTTGATCGCTATCAATGAAATGGGCGTATTGGGCAGACAATCAATGGCTTGCATGGGGATTGTATTCGTTCTGATTTCATGAGCAATGAAAGAATGATGTCAACAGTTGGAGACGCGGGATGGTTATCAGATACCACTTTCGAGCCTTCGTTGCCACAAAGGACAACCAAAAAAATAGAAAATTATATCGCTGGTCTCTTTCACAGGTCCTCGGGACATCGAAATAATCCAGCAAGCAGACAGCTATTGTTCCTTATTGCTTACTGAGCCGCGTCGCAGGGGAGGAAACCTTGAGTAAGCATCAACGATCACCGCAGATAATGACATACACACGTACATCGGCGTCCACAGTATGCAACGTCTGTTTGAGTGTGATGTGCGCATCACGCGCCATGCACCCTTGAGCGCTTGAGAAGTCGGCCGGTTCTTCCCGCGTCTCAGCGTCATCAAACAAATGAAGGATGACAGGAATGATCCTTACTGCTCAGTTGCGACACTGGGACTTAATAGGGCCCGAGTCGGACGCTGATATCTCGCACCGACAGCCCGTGTACTTAAAAGGCCAGTCCATTGAATACAAAGAGAATACCGACGCGGCCAGTTCATCGTCCATTGAACGACAAGGATTGTTTACGAGACTAGTCCCAGACGCCGCCAAAACGTTGCAGTGCAAAGACTTTTACTAAGCCACTATCAATGAATGCGGGAGACAGGTATCCTTGATTCGGTACTGTATACGAGCTGCACACCTTCCGTGAGAACTCTTTCGGCCAAGATCGGCCGAATGTAGCAGAACATGTCAATGATGGTATCGAAGAGGCTTGATATAATACAGTGGCCAATAACGATACATTGATGGATGGAGTACACAAGGAAGAGGTGGAGTAAGTAGAAACTCCGATGCAACCCTCATGCTTTGATCGTCAGAATTGACCACGTGGATAACGTACAGATAAGATTCAGGCCTGATTATCTAGTTATGTTTATCTACTTAGAATCCACCTACTACGTACGAGTCGAATATGGCCCCGAAGGCAAGGATACCCCTGCTTCGGAGACCATAAACGACCTTCTCTGTCAACTTCTGATTCGAAATCACACAGACACATTCCGGCTGGAACTCGTCTACGAAACGGTTCGTAATCTTGACAATATTGGGTTTGCCGTGCTTGCGAGTATCTGAAACAGGGATCAAATTAGAGTAAACCGAGAACGTAAACAGATGCCAGCGCACCGTAAACAACAGCTCCGGGACTGTTCTCCAAAACAGAGTTCACCAGCGAATCACCGAATGTTGCCCGGGTATTGAGAGCCATCCAAAACAGTTTATGGTCAACTTTTCCACTCATAATGTGCGGCATGAACGGCGCAATACCGCTTCCAGTCGCCACGAATAGAACCCGCCGGAAAAGAGGAACAATGCGAAGAGCACCACACGTGGGCACACCACGCACATAGATCTCCTTCGTGATCATCTCCGTGGTCCAGTCACCAGCTTGAGAAATGATGATAGAGAAGCCAGACTTCCCTGGTACTGCAATGGTAGCGAAACTGTGCCATTCGTTCAAAGGGTCGGTAGAAAATCGTTGGAAAGACCCAGGAACAGGGTGTGGGCCTGAGTGATGATCAGAAGCCGTACAAAAGGACAATGGGAAACAACCTCACCGTAGTCAACAAAGAGTTGGACAGCGTGGTTCGAAAGCATAACACTGTTAACCGGGACCTTCCGGAGATGTGTCCAGGGAAGAATGAGGGACAAGTTCAGGATGATCATCAACCAAAAGGCGGCCGAGTGCACAAGGGCAGAACCCAACGACTTGTCACCTTTGTAATCGTTGGTCAACAAGACGACCTGCAAATATGCGTTGAATAATAGGCAATGAATTTTAATTAAAATCTGACCTGTGCCCAAACGAGTGCAGTTGCCGTCCAGCCCAAGAAACGGTGTACACGTTCAAATGCGTCATGGCGCTTGATTCGGAGTGCCGGGTACGCAAATAGAACGATGCCGACCAAGAGAAACAGGATGATATAAGTGAGCACTACGGTCGCTGTGGATGTCTGAAGAGAACCAATATCAGTATGCATAGAAGGAAACGAATCAGGAATCTGACTTACCCCTCTGTTGTTAACACGCTCTCGTGTAGCTTGTACGGCGAGGAGAATGAGCCATACTACCGCCGAGGATGCAGTGCCCGAATGTATGCCTCCAAGGTGATACACTCTCGCAGCGGTTTTACGGATGAAGAAAGGCCAGCTGCGGGTTAAAGATTAAACAATCAGAACAAAGGCGACACAGTCACGGCGACGAAAGAAAGACTTACGACTTCAGGATTGAACAAAAGATAAGGAACAGAGTGTTGATTACGAGTTCCTGTCTCATGAGAATAGCAATGAAGATATTCGCGGCGGTGACCAAGGCAATCTTCTGGAAGTGGTACCCTCTGATCGCGTACGAGATGAAGATTCCCATGTTGGTAATGAACACCAGTGAGAATAGACGACGGTAGATCGAGAACGCCTGGAGTCGTATGTTCCTTACCGGTCGTGATTGGACCTTTCCGAGAATCTCGTCGTACTCATAGCCAAAGGGTTTCCCAGCTTCTCATCGGAGAGGCCGCCCATGTTAGATGACGTCTGTGACATTGCGGTGTCCGCAAGAATGAGGGGAAGAGAACCGGGTGCGGTGTTGCTCATTGCTGCACAAGCTGAAGGTTACATCCGAGAAATGTCAGGTTTTAAACCAAAAAATAGTCCCGAAGAGATTGAGGTCCTCGTGCATTCACAACTAGGTGCTAATTGAATAATTGGCCAATTACTGCGAAGGTTGATTCGGGAACAGACGTTCACATGGGCCGAAAGCCTCCCGAACCGTGATGTTCTGATATCTAGCCAAGCATCGGCATAAATGATATTTCTGCCGCTAGTGTTCTTTGTGATAAATTCAACAAAACTCTCCAGGCTATGCGTTACAAGAAAGCTCACCTGCTACTATGCCGAAATATCAGCAACATTCCTTGAAGGAATGGAGTCTTGTCATGGCATATTATCAGCGGTTTCTTTCATTGCCAGATTTGCAAGTGTTGGAGTATGCAGTGAGGCACTACGTCGTTGCGCATCATCTGGAGCATCAGGGAGTTTATAATAATCACCGGCAAAAGATACGAAAAAATCTGTGTCTAACCCAGGTCTGTGGGAGACCTCTCAAAAGGTGTTCACGTCTACACGGCATCCGCCTAGCCCAAGTGCGTCAGCAGTACAGGAAATGGTGCCATAAGATTGGAACTGCGGCAAAAAGTGCGGATGTAGTTGGGATTCGAGGTGACGGAAATCTGTGAAATTTAGGGAACATCAGTTCTTCTAGCATTCTAATTCGTCACGATCATGAAGTGGCATGGAAAACCAAGAGGCAGGGAGGCACTTTAACAGGATGGGAAAAAGTCTTGCAGGAAGTGAGAATTGAGCAAGGTGTCTGCCTCCGTTTTGGGGCAGAACGCTTGGACGGGAAATACCGAGACCGGGATGATACGCAGGGAGTCCGACAATGCGTAGGATAACACTACCACTTGAAGATAATCCAAAGACGAGAAAATTTGACTCCAAAATGTTCGTGTTTCCAGCGTTGAAACAGTCAGATGCAGTTTCGGTCACATGGGCCCTTGAGCATGCTTTGTCGTTAATATTTTTGACAAATCTTTGACCAATCCGCATCGGAAATGCACCATTAGAGCCAGGAAAATGTTGTATAATCAGGACTATATTCAGCAACTAGAGGAGGCGCCATCAGTGGTTGACAGCCAATTGATATAGTGAAGTTACCCCAAGCGAAGGTGCCAAGGTATGTCGAGCTAGATTACTTCGACAGGTCAAGTCCTACGGCAAGAAAGAGAACCACTACAAGGGAATAGCCGTAGAAACGAGTCTAGTGGCTGTAGTACTCGATGATAGGAATCCACCTATTATGTCTCATCCAGAGTAGTCCCCCATCCTCAGAGATGTATCTACGCTCTAGGTGCGTGATATTTCAGAGCCCCTAGGGCAGCGACACCGCTTGCTCCCCGATATGTACCACCCTGGATGTTCTACAGACACGATAACCAGCTGGTGCCCCACGTCGCAGGCGATTCCAAAAAAAAAAGACAGTGTCGACTCGGAAAAATCAAACTTGAGTTAGCGGGTGAGGAGCTTTAACGGCGTCGTGAATGAGCAGCAATATGTTCATACCAGCCATTACTATTAGTATACGTTGAGCGCTGAACGTTGGAGCGGTTGAAGAGGAAAACAAGATGAGTGGATGCAGTCAGAAACAACGAGTGGACGATTGACACGGATTAGACAACCTCAATGCGCGATTTGGTGGTCGTTGCTTCTTGCTCTGGTATAGAGTTAGAGTATTTCCACGGCGAAAAAGAAATAAAGATAGGACCTTCGCGGAGAAAATGCCTGTCGTTGACCTCGTCGTCTTTGGAATGGCCCGGTAATTGTTACGTAAGACGGCACCTCGGCGCACAGCATGCCTCTACAGACTCCGTACTTATATCCAAGGGGGTCGCAAAAACCGAAAAAATCATATCGGGTCGAAAAAATTTTTAAGGCCTCGATGGACCGACCGACCGACCGCCGTGGAAAAAACATACCCACAAAGGAAACATTATGTAATCACTCCGTGTCGGAGTCATCCGCCAGTGCGAGCTTTCCGCATACTTAGTTCTCTCATCCTCGATCTAAATGCTGATAGTATATGATTTTTGTCTGCTAGCAACAACACCGTTCTACTGTACATGACAGACCCTTCCAATTTTGGATCCGTCGAACTTGACCAAATATTTTTACAGCTGGTAACTCCATTCTCAGTAATCCTGCCGATATCCGGCAGCATGCCCTTGGCGTTTTGAGCCTTCGACATCATTTTGACCGCTTTTCCGGCGCTTTTTTAGCCATGTTAAGTCATGAATATCATATATCAGCTGAAATAAACACCTCCAGCAGTGTCTAGGGTCTCTGGATGCTATTTTACAAGAGGGGGGCAAAAAATTTTTAAGGACCTTTTGGACCGACCGACCGACCAACCCGATGTGCCGGCTTGCCGGGCCGCAACCCCCTTGCTTATATCCTTCCCCTGCTTTCCAAGGTTACACTACGACCATTTGTCACGGCGTGGCCTGCTGCTGGCTGCTTTTAAGCTTCGGTTCCTTGACTTAAAACTGTTACTACAAAAGGAGTAAAGGAAATCCCTCCAACATCCAGGGCTCTGTTGATTCTATGATGCGTCATAGAATTCGTTGCTCGCAACTTGGGTTGGGAAATTCGTATTTGTTGCGCCATTGTGTACATGTGTCGACCCGCAAACTGTTCGGCTTCATGAAATGTTGATGCCAGGTCAAATATGCCTTTCTCGGGTTGCCAAGTCACCCTTGGTACCAAGACTATCCAACGGTGGCATCCACCGCGCTGGGGTGTAGGGTCGTTGCCGTGATGCATGTTTTACCCCAGGTAAGACCAGAGTTAGGCTCGATACTAACAACGGAACGCGACTTTAGGAGCACGAGTCCATCATGATCATCCTCGTGTAGTGCCTTACAAATGATTAATTAACTGGCCTTGTTGTGGTTAACCTATAGTACTTACTTATCTTTTGATGCATCCGACCCTATTGCATTCGCTGTCCGTGCTACATAGTACCTTTGCCTCGGAAGCGTACGGCCAACTTTGGCCTGGGAGAGGAGTGCGTATATCAACTCGATCAGCATTGGCCCTGGTGTCAAAGACCTAGGTGTATGATGCGAAGGGGCCGTCCTTGACTGTTACAGTGGTCTGTCCTGGCGCATTCATCTCAGCGAGACGGGTGAACCTACTTACTGGTTGTTTCCCAGAGTCCCCTCACAAGAGCCAACCGATACTCTTATAAGTTATAATGGGCATTAGGGTCCCGGGCAGAGACAAACAGGTTACGACGCGGTCGAAGTGTTTGAGAAGTCAACGTACACGGATCAACTGGCACCAACATATGGTCTTGTTTATTCGTCTTTTTTTGCTCAGTTTCCCGAAAGTCAACTCTCATAAAGCGTAGTGTCCCTGTTACGATAAAGTCAATGCACGCTTTGTATAGCCTGTGAACGTGAAGTATCTAGTCAGAACTTAGCTGATCTTAACGTCCTTTGAATTGTAACAACCATAATTCCGAGTCATTGGGTGATAATCCCGGCAGATACTAGGCGCACTCCAGTTGTCATGTTGCATTGTTTTGAACCGGGTATAGTACAGTGATGGTTGGACTTGGTCAAAATAGTATGATGCGGGTACAAGAGACCGAAGAATAGGAATAACTATATACCTTGACACCCGAACTTCCGGGAGGAGAACTTTCATGTGCTATTGGCGTTGGGATTAGTCGAACAATCCTTCGCCGGGTTGATGATAAAAAGTCCTTTGGGAGATTCAGTTTGAGCCTGTGTTACTTAGATGATCGGCTCTTCCTGGACTCATAAATAGGCATCTGTAAGAGAGGGCAAAGGCAGCTGATTGCTGCCCATCACCGGATCCAGTAGAAAGATCCACCGACATCATGGCCGTTCATAGATCTCAATAGTGCAGACAGGCAAGTGCCATGGCCCTCGAAGTCATGTTAAGGAGATACAATGAAAATGAAAAGTCTACTTGTTAATTATTGTGGGATATAGCACTCCATGCAACCAGAACATCTCCCCGGGACCTAAAAAAGTGCTTAAAATCACAGGAAAACCAAGGTGGATCATGACTGACTATTGCGGTAATTTTCCTCACCGGATTGGAGTAATAACGACGACAAGAACAAGGCGCATTTTTCCCACAGAATGATGGATGTATTGAGCTGACGAAGCACTTGGGATAGCGGCAGTCAACAGCGATCTCTCCAACCTTCGTCAGATGACCGCAACCCGCCGACTGTTGGAATAATAGCTGTCGATGACACATCTTAGTGCAATGATTGGTAGCGACAAAAATGCGATAGGTCGTGAAGAACAAGTGGAATGTAGACGGCAATGTGTCCAGGTCGTGGACTGAGAAATTTCCAAGTCTCGGTACGAGACCAAGCGTTGTGAAATCTACTGCATGAGACAACATGAGAAATTGAGATGCATTGGTAGAGTATTGGCCTACCTGTAATTGTCGTAGCTCTATGGCGTCAAAACATAAGAGACGATCTGAGTCTTTTAAGACCTAACTCTGTATTTAGCTCCCGGCTTGTGTGGTGACCATAATGCGGAAAGAAGAGACCTGTGTAGTGTATAGTAGTGTATACACGGAGGTTCACAGGGACGCGGGTTAGGGCCATCTAGTCATAAGGACCAAGAGGGAAGGTATTTTTTAGAGTAAAACGTATCGGCGGGAAGAAGATGCAAGGGTACATGGCCAGGTCCCCATTTATATCGTGAACAGAAAGATAACCTGATAATATATTAGGCGATACACATAGATTTCAGGCGCTGATTTCGCACCTAAGATCCAAACTGCCTGTGTTCCAGAGAAAGACAGTGACCATTTGAACTCTGGTCTCATTCAATGTCAATCAGTCAAATTTGCTTCTGAAAGGCGCGGAGGTGAACCAAGGGTATTCATCCACTTTTTCAACTTCAGCTGTACAGCCTTGTGTGGCGGTAGCGTCGAACAGTAGGACAAGGTGAGAAGCAGAATTCCAAACAAGACAAGAATCACAAAATGACGAAGTGGAAGTCGAGGATAGGCGCACGGAGATTTCCGCACCGCGTTATACAGTGTAGCCTGTTTGTTAGTCCGGTCATAGTAGAGGAAAGGTAGAGGAAGGACTAGGAAGGAACGACACCCGAGTCTGGCTCACGATCTGATCGGACATCATTCAGTGATCCGCAATATCCGAATTTCACTTGTCTAAAACTGGTAATCAACTCCAGTTTGCTTCAACTCGAGAAGTCGAAAGGTACGGTGATATCAGGTGATCCGCTGTGAAGACCGGCAGACCTGCGTAAAAATGCTCAATACCTTGATGAGCTCCAGCCCCTCCTGTAATCTCCATCGACGGGAATTACAGTGATGACAAGATCTTAATGGGTTACCGCTGGTCGGGAGGCCCCCGCCGTGCGGGGTGTACGGAGCTACTCTAAACGTTCCACAAAAAAAAAAGGATCTTAATGGGTGTTATAGTATGATTGTATACAAGTACATGGATATGAAAGGAACAAAAAATTACATAAATATAGATTCTACCATAGATGAAGGTCGCGACCCGACTGTAGCACCCGCTCTACCATTTCAGCCCAGTCGTCATTCTTATTGATGCTGCCGCCTGGTTTACCCCTTTTCTTCGACTGTGACCTTACATCCCCTGGGTGTCTCTTTGCAGATTCCTCCTTAGCCAAGTGCCTAACTTCACCAAAGTCCTTAGTTGACTGCGCTTGAAGCCATTCGGCGCTAGGGGAGCGGTGTGCATTGAAATCAGTTTCAACATAACCTTCTAATGTACCTATGAAAGGCCCGTTGAACGACGTTTCCATGGCGCGACCATCCGGCCATAGAGAGCCATTGTTCGTCTTCCCTAGTATCTGAACTATGTCCAGACATTCGCCGGGAGGGATCGGTTCCGGCTGAGATGGAGTGATGCAAGGCATGTCGACCTCCTTCCTAAGAACCTTGTCGACGTCTACCGCAGAGAAGAAGGCTACTCCCTGAGGTAGATCGGCCATACCCAATCTGCACGAAAACATGCTGCGTGTCCACAGATTGGCAATCTGCAGAGCGAGGGCGGCACGGTACCGGTCCTCTTCCTTCACCAAATACCGGAGCTCATCATGAACGGAAATGAGGTAGCGAGCTTGGATACCGTATTTGTTGATTAGATGGTCCATCGCAACGATGAGTAGATGAAGATAGTCCACCCCCGAGGACTGTACGACCCAATTGATCCGTGAAGGCAGATAGTCTGAACCGAAGCCTTGCGGAAGGTTGGTTTTGCATAGGGCTTGAGTGATACCACAACCCAGGGCAGGTGTCTGGGGCAAGTCGGACAAGGCTATCGCTTCTAGCTTGTTGAACAGAAAGCTTTCGGTACCACCAAACCAAAACTTCTTGCCGAAGAAGTCTGTCCGATACGTATTCTTGCCCTTTGTTGAGGCGTACAGATTTGATGCGAGCTTATGAGCCTCTTCTGGGGTCATATTGGGATTGCCCTGCTGAAGAAGAAGGATTGCATGACGCATACCAGCGCCATAGATACGAGAATAGTTGAAAACCTTGGCCTGGTTACGAGAAGTACCCAAAATAGCGGCCGTTTTGGAATGAAGATCGGTCCCCGCGGCCTTGGTACCTTCAAGTGTCATCCAGCCGATGGCTGTCGCCCCATGCACACCGAACTGGGCGTCCCCTATGCAGCTAGAAATCCATAATTCCTCAGAATCGACATCAGCGCCAACGATGGAATAACCAGGAGGCGCCCGAACCATGGCTTTGAGTTCAGACCCGACACGATTCTTCTTCGCATTGCTTGCAGTCAACCAAGTTCTCTCAATAGCCCGACGGGTAACGGTGCCCATTGTTATGACTTGAGGAAGGATAAGGCCCCACTTCTTCGGCCGTTCTCCCTCTGCACAAGTCTCTGGATCCTGTTCGACTGGAAGCCCCATATCCCACTGCTTCGTCTTCGTGTCCTGCCAACCAACCATCTGGCGCATGATTCGATCCCGAGAACTGATCCAATAACTGCTCTGAACAGCAACGTCGACAATCGCGTTCGCTGCTTCACCGGCACCACAGCTCAACGTTCCCTCGATGGCATAATTCATGAAAGTCTTTGTCAAGGGACTCCCAACGTTGGCTGCCTCGCCATCCTTGTGTGGTAGCTTGTAGAATGTGTAGCCCTCAAACTTGAGGTTATTAAGGGATGCATCGGCTTCGTCGTGGAAATCGAGGGCCTTCAGTCGCTTTATGTTCTCAGGAACTGGAGCGCTCTCTGGTCGTGGTGGTACACGAAATGTCCAGCCATATTCTCGAGAATAGTATAAGGGATGATTATGCCAGGACATCCTAAGCAGGAGGGGAGCAAAACGATTCTTCATGGTGATATCTAGCGACGCAGGAGGCATGTCCTTCTTCGGTTTCGTTAGGTCCCAGAACCATTTGGGCCAATACACCGACGGAGGTTTGACAGATTTGGGTTTACGCTTTGGTTTCATGGTAGAAACGGCTTGAGCGGTAGGGTCTGTGACCTCGGACCAGTCCAGCTGACTGTACCAAGGATCGTTGCTGATCTCTTCTTCTGTCAGACCTCTGCTATAAACGGACTTCGCGAGTTTCAGGACCTCCTTCTTCATCTTATCTTCCGGTCGACAAAGCTTCATGGCCAATTTGTCATTACAAGAACCCATCTGACCCTCACTCAGAAGCTTTAGTGCGTGTTTGGGTATAAGCAGTGATGCCGTGTACCCAGATGCAGTAGGTAGACGGCTGACAGCCTTCCTTTTGCCCTTGAGATAATGCCATTTTTCTGCCGTCGTGAAGATCATGGGATGACCTTTAAAAGACAAGTTCAAGAGATAGGGTAGAATTCGTTCGATAACATGTGTTGAGAGTGGATCAGCGAGAAGGCGACTATACCACCGCGGAATGACCTGAGGTTGGGGCTACATCCCGTTTTTAAGTAAGAGAATTTGAAGGCGAATTGTAGTGCACACCTTGATAGGCGGTTCGGCCTCTACCTCTGGTGGAAATACACCTCGACTCTTACCAACGACCTTGGGAGTCCAATCTAACTGGCTTAACCAAGGATCATCCTTCCACTTGTCTTCGCCTCCCTCTGCACTAACTGGATTGTTCTGAACAGCCTCCCTAGCAAGATTTTCCAGACCATCCTTAACACCTTTCGACATCTTGTTCCAAATTCCCTCTGCACGCTCCAAGTACGCCTCCCATTCTTGATTAACCGGTAAAAATCCGCTTCCCATTGTCAGTATTCCAGCAAAACTGACGGGATGAGGGCAGTTCTTGGAAAAACCAGGGAAAACCTTGGTATACACCTGATGCGTGACACTGACATCACCAGCACAATAACCGATATAGTCAGATATGTTGGCAAGAATCTCTTCGGGCGTGCACGTCATAAAATCGTTTCGAATCTCTTTGGAAAGATCGATAGAGCAGTAGAGTTTCGCAACGTCGGCTAGAGAATTCATCGAGGTCAAATCCTCCCATCGCGTTTGGACATTATCCTCAACGTCATCACCCCTGGGAGGAGGACCGGGTATGAAGGTATCCTGCGCTTGTTCCATAGAAGCTTGATGTCCTGATAAACATTCCTGCAGTTCCTTCCAACGAGCGACAAGCATCACTCTGCCTTCTTCGTCGACATCCCCTTCGGCCTCAGCTTCGCGTAGCTCATCTAGGCCACATTGTACCTCTTGTATCATACTTCGTATAACCTCCACGGCTTCTCGTCGCTGCTCTTTCACCTCTTCCTTATTCTTTTTGTGCTTCATCCAAGCGGGCCGTTGGTGGGACGAAATCCCCTTAACCGCCACATGAAGTGCCATGGTGTCAAGAAAGCGAGTTTTCGTACCATTAACATGGTACTCCTCAAGAACACGCGCCCGGTCATAAGACACGTTATGGCCTACAACAATACGTGGGACGTCAGGAGGACCGAGGGGTATAAGTTGTTCTGGGGATGCGTTCGAAGGGTCCAATATCCATGGAGATATCCACGCGTACCAGGCATTTGGAGACGCGGCACAGGCCATAACCGGGAAGTGATGATATTTGGGAAGGTTTTCGATATCGAAGGAGAGCATTTCCTCAGGTTTTCCGTCATGCATGGGGTATGGTACATGTTCGTGGTATCCTGATCCATCGCTTTTATAAATGTATTTTGTCCATCCAGCTTGTGTGTTCCAGTGTTCTGGAGGAGGATGTAGCTGGGCAGTAGCGAATGATTTGGCCAACGAGAGGTAAGGTTCTGCGTTGGACGAGCCTATCCGATAGAAATGCTCGAGAATATTGTTGCCTTGGAGCGGGGGAAGGGTGAACTCGGGGGAAGGGAGAATAGAGGATTGAGACGGATTGAGCTCGTGCACTTCCAGGTGCCCTCGTGCAATATTCATATAGATTGCCGGAGGTGGCGGAGAGGTATAATTTTTGAAGACTTGGTCATAGAGAGATTGTGATAGGAGCTGCACTCCGAATGCGTTTCGCTGATCTAGAGTACGTGATTCAGTATTTGTATAGCAATGGGAAAGCAGAAGCAAGGCGCACGGCGGTGTTTTTGCACAGGTGCTATCTTAGCATCCTGTTTCTCCATGACAACGCTACCTGTAGGCTTGTACGAGAAATTACTGGGGGCGGGTTCTCGCTTTCGTTGTGCTAGTTGAGCTTGTTTGTTTGAGCTATTAGAATGTATCCATCGAGGAAGACTGGAGCTTGGCTTTTGGAGTCGCGAAGGCATAAGCATCGAAAGACCATGAATTTCTGGCCTTGGCACTGAAGAGGAATCGATAGTGATTCAGTCTCCTTTTAACGAAGGTCGCCGTCGCTCGTTTCAATTTTTGCTCAGGTCGCGCTTTGATATGTTAGTCAATTTCAAAAATTACATCATCATCATATCTTGATCTCGTGTTTGCTCAAGACGGCTGGGCCAAATAAACCACTTCAACCAGCTCGACGCGCTGAAAACTTTCCTTCATCATGTCAGAGCCTGTACTAGGAAAGCGCACGAGGAACGGTACGGATAATGGCGCTGAAGAAGATCTCGTAGATCCTGTTCAGCAGCAGGATGACGATGACGACGATGTAGGACCAATGCCAGTACCAGCAGACGCAGAGGGTAGCGTGAAAAAGAAGCGTAAAGGTGAGCGTCTCGTCTTGTATCCCCATTTTTGAGCCTCAACAAACATAGAATTTTTCTCGCAGTACTTCCCCATGAACGACTGTATTTGGAACATCTTCCCGACGCGGAGCAATACTACAAAAGCTTCATGCATCGGGACGTGATAAACTTTTGCGTCGTCACCAAGTACGATCTAATATTTTCTCTATGGACTCATCTGTTGACATGCGCTCAGGACCGAATTTCTCATCACAACCTCGGTTGACGGCCACCTCAAACTTTGGAAGAAGCAGGACAACGGCATCGAGTTTGTGAAGCTCTACCGTGCCCATCTGACCCCCGTCAAAGCGGTATCCGCAAGTGCGGATGGACAGCTCTTCGTAACGGTGTCCGATGATGGCACTGCTAAAGTGTTTGACGTTGTGAACTTTGGTATGTTCGCTGTGGCTCGGTCTTCAGTGCGTAATTGATGAACTCTACAGACATGATTAATATCATCACCTTGGGTTTTACCCCACACTCATGTTGCTGGGTACATCGACGTGGACAGGCTGGATTGCTAGCAGTGTAAAGTAGTTCTTTGCAGCCGCTTTTGTGTGTCACACTGACCTCTTCCTAGATCTGATTCGGCATCAGGGACAATCAAACTCTACGAAGGTCGAGGAGACGGCACTCCACTCGAAACCATTGAAACTCTGCACCGATTCCCTGTCCACGTCATGACGTACAGTGACCGTTATGACTGCGTGATATCCGCTGACGAGGGAGGTTTTGTGGAGTATTGGCAGCCCTCCGAGCCTTTCTCGCTGCCCAAAAACGTGTCAGGGCTCTGGTCTTTTAAAAGCGAGACCGATTTGTACGACTTCAAAAAGTCAAAGTCCACCCCAACATGCATAACTCTCTCGCCTGACTCCTCTTCCTTCGTCACATTCTCATTGCCAGATCGACAAATCCGTGTGTTTACTTTCCTAACTGGGAAGCTTCATCGCAAATACGACGAATCACTAGCAGCAGTTCAAGAGATGCAGCAGGCTGGTACTGCTGTGTACAAGGTAGATGACATGGAGTTTGGACGACGGTTGGCCATAGAACGAGAGCTTGAGTTACCTGGTCCTGACGGCCTGATTCCCGGGCGCTGGAGCAACGCGATCTGGGATGAAAGTGGCGCATTTATCATCTATCCTTCATTGTTAGGAATAAAAGGTATGCTGCTTTTGATCAAATCTGATACCTTGCTCAACTCTTCATAGTCGTCAACACTGTCATCAATCGTGTAGTTCGCCTTCTCGGAAAGGATGAATCCAACCGATTTTTGAATGTGAGCGTGTATCAAGGAGCTCCAGCGAAGCGGAATGTCACGACTATGGTAGCGTCTTCTTCACTTCCTTATCCTATGTTGTCGACCTGAACCTGTTTCTAGGCAATGGCTGCTTCAGCGAATCCAATCTTGGCTGATAAAGCCCAACGAGATCCTTCTTTCTTCTGTACAGCGTACAAGCGGCCCAGGTTCTATATCTTCACTCGCTCGGAGCCGTACGTGGGATGATTAATAACCCGTTATCTCGGTACTAACTGCCTTTTAGGGACAACAAAGAGGGCGAGCGAGATGTATTCAATGAAAGACCCACCCGTGAAGAACAGAATATCGCTTCTGCTGTGCCCGTCGCGTTGAATGGACCATCACCCCTAGCAAACTCAGCCACCATCCACACGACAGTGGGTGACATTCATATGCGGCTGTTCCCAGCGCAAGCGCCGAAGGCTGTCGAGAATTTTGTCGGTCATGCACGCAGCGGATACTTCGAGGGTATCATATTCCATCGGGTCATTCCCAAGTTCATGATCCAGACTGGAGATCCGCTTGGAGATGGTACTGGAGGCATGTCGATTTGGGGCCGAGAGTTCGAAGATGAGTTCTCTGACGACCTCAAGCATGACAGGTAGGTTACTGCTTTCCTCGTCGATTTCATGTCCTGATGTACATGGATAGGCCATATACCGTTAGCATGGCGAATGCTGGTCCAAATACCAATGGATCCCAGTTCTTTATCACCACTACGGCCACGCCGTGGTTGGATAAGAAGCATACAATCTTTGGGCGCGTCATTTCAGGTCTGGAGGTTGTACATGCTATTGAGAATGTCAAGGCGAACAAGGCAGACAAGCCGTTCGAGGACATCAAAATTGTTAACGTTGATGTAGAATAATATATATCGGTGTCTTTATGTGCTATTACATATACTTACATACGTGGCAATGAAGAAGTACTGACCGGCACAGTTCCAACGGACTCACCACAATACTCTGGTTAGTAAAAAAAAATACAGCGAATCTCCGATCATGAGATCTATAAAAAAAAAAAGTACTTTAGCGAGCCGTTCTGTCCGCAGACATAGAAGAAAGATCAGAAAAAAAAACGTCTCGACATGGTTGTTAAGACAGGGATAACTGAATAGTAAAGGTCTCATCCCGTGCAACCAACATTGACACCAACTGACCTTGATGCACGTAATACCTGGTTTACGTCGGTGCTTATAGAAAATTAATCGTTCGATGAAAGGAAGTCCTGAGAGAGAGGGAAGAGTGAGTATGAGTCATAGATGGGACAGAAGAGGTAAGTGAAAAGAGGGGTTCAGGTTATTATAAGAACGTCAAAATAAATGGTTAGCAACCAGGTATTCCGATTTTTCAGTGTGATATAAATATAGTTATTCATCATGAGGTAACAGAAAGCGTAGACTTACCTGACGGTTGGCACGTATGAAGGACAGCAACGAGAGGATGTTGAGGTTGAGGAAGTAGATGGTCGACAATTTTCGCGGAGAGAAAAAAAGCTTTTGTCCATCCAGCCGTGGGAATTTAATCACGTGATAAACGGTCCGACTTCCGACAACAGCCGACAACTGGCAGTCCCTGAAGCCTGAAGGCCTGCTCCCTGGTTTGCGTACGATGGTGAGTTGGCCGCCACATTCAACAATTCGCACCGCGATAATTGCACCCTTCTGGTTACATTAAAATGAAGGAACAAACAGATCTTCTGCGGCACTCTCTGGGAACTGGACCTAGGCTCAATATTATTATTACTATACGCTACTGTCTTCGATGCTGTACTGTCTCAGACCTGATGACTTCGTACAGCTGAATGAAGACAACGTTTCACCTTTAGGCTGCTTCGACTTGAGGGTTTCGGCCAAGTTTGCGGCCATCGTCTATTTGTAAGCCAAGTGAATTTCACTGTCTCCATTCCAGGACAGCAACGACGGTTGGAGCGCTCTCTCCACCTCTTCCCATAACTTTATCCTGCTGCCCAATTAGTTTCTCCGGGGCAATCCTCCCGCTGTCAACATACATCATCATCATTGCCACCTCAGCATCACTTGCCATACGCTCTTCGTTCCCGTGCCGTATAGAAGTCGGCCCACTGACACTCCTTGTGACTTTACCCTCATTTTCCCGCCTCTTCCACAGTGTGTCCCAGATTAACATTTGTATGTAATTTATCCTTCACGTGGACGGCGCTTCCGGCTCAGAAGTAGTACTAAAGGTGCATAACTGCAGCATTAGCCCAACAGCTTGCAAGCACACGTCCATCATGTCGATTTCGTGGTTGGGTTTGCCAGCGATTCTAGCGTTCGTGTCCAGTGTTCCGTCGTCCGTAGCTTTGGACAACAGCGTGGGACGCCTTCCATGTATGTGTTGCCATACTGCTGAACATATGCAATGCTGAGCAGAAACTGTGAATAGTCATGGGTTGGAACAGTACGTATCCCCAGCTGCCCATTCTCTCCTTTATTTAATTATGCCTTTACAGCCTGGAATGCGTATTTTGTGCGTGTTATTGCTAGCTTTAAGGACGTGTCATCATAACGCTGTTCCAGTGTAACATCAACGAAACTCTTGTTTTAGAGTCAGCACAACATTTGGTGTCTCTGGGCCTCGCCGTGAGTGGTTCAAACCACAGTCAGCAGCCATCAGAAACTGATCCAACGTTCTCGAACAGGATCTAGGTTACGAGTACGTGAACATAGATGATTGCTATTCCGAGAGGAATCGAAGCTCGAGTGGAGACATTCTTGCTAGTATGTCCTTCAGTGCGTTTTGACCTATCTTCGTGAAGTTCATTTTCCTAGGCGCGGAACGTTTCCCTTCAGGAATGAGAAATCTCACAGATCAAATCCACGCGCTTGGGCTGTATGTTACGTTACCTATGCACAATTCAACGTTCTCATTTTATTCCGCACAGTAAAACTGGGATCGTAGGGCTGACACTACGGCTTTGTTTCTTCTCGACTGATGTTTATACAGTATAGCGACTCTGGATGGTTTACTTGCCAATTATACCCGGGATCATACCAGAACGAAGATAGGTTAGCCGTGTTTTATTTGTTTTTAGGGTATCATTTAATGATCGGTGTTCATAACAGAGATGCAAGGCTCTTTCGGCAGGAATGGGGCTTTGATCTTCTGAAGTCAGTGAAAACAAACTGTATTTGTCGTTCTCAGCCACTTAATTTATATTCATCAGATTTGATAACTGTGCCGGTAGCCTCGACGTCATCTCCTAGTCTCGTACGATGCTCAACCTTATTCTCAGTACCTTTTGACGACATAATCAGGGAAGGCATGGTTGGCAGTAAGTACTCTAGACTCGACAGACCCCATTTTCCTTACTATGTCGCACAGAATTTTCGCGGATGGCAAACGCAATTTCCAATCTTGCGGCTGAGACAGGCGAACTACCGATGTTGTTCTCCATATGCGAATGGGGTCGAGTACGGCTTTAGATATGTTTGGTCTCCGTCGTTTAACATTAGATGCAGCTTCAACCGCAGTTGTGGGCAAGACGATACGGACAATCATGGAGGGTAAGTTTGCATACTTCCTCGCGCAGTCACGTATCTCACGGGAACCGAAGATGACAGACGATATTGGTTCGCCTTTTTATTTTATAAGATAAGTTGAAGTCAAAACAAAATTCAATATTGATCCAGGCGCGAATTGGGCTTCCATTGCTAGCATCATCAATTCGTACGTAGGAACAAAGCACATTTACAGGTATCACAGTGACATATCCTTTCAGGATCTCCCTCCATTCCTGGGCGTCCGACTTCTATGGCCACAACGACTTGGATATGGTGAGTGAAACGGATCTCTATTATCCACATAGTTAATGCGATTTTCTAGCTTCAAATGTAAGGAGGCAGCACTCTATTGTGTGATTCGTCTTTAATATATCATAGTGGCAACGGCGATCTCAACTATGAAGAATCCAAAGCACATTTTACTGCTTGGAGTTTTGTCAAGTCGCCGCTCCTCATCGTGAGTCCCAGTGTCAAGATTTATTCTAGCATATCTAACTTCTCTATGTAGGGGACTGATGTGAGTCTGCTCTGGAGGCAATAACGCAATGACTAACTCGTTTCTCTACAGCTTTCTTCAATTTCTGAGCAAACTCTGAGCATCCTCAAGAATACTGAAATCATCGCTATCAACCAAGACCCCGTCGTCGGCACTGGGGTGGTACCATTCAGATGGGGAATCAACGTGAGCTCAAGTGTTTTCCACCGGAGGATGATGATCCGATTTCACGCTGACAGGCTGACTATACTTTCGATCCTGCGCACCCACCTGTGTTTTGGAGCGGAGAAAGCCAGAATGGAACAGTGTTCATGCTGGTAATGTGACACCGGCTGCAGATGGTGGGATGAACTTACGATGGTTCCTAATTCAGATCAATTCTTTGGATGAACCTGCGGACCTCTTCTTCAACTTGACGGAGTCCCCTTGGATTCGTGCTGGTAGACAGTATTCCGTTAGGGTAAGCATACCTATCGCCTTTTATTCTAGGACAAATCCTGACCTTGGTGCAGGATTTATGGACGCACACTGACAATGGGACCGCCGTCCGTAACTTCACTGCTAAAGCTGTTCCACCCCACGGAGTCGTAGCTCTTCTATTGAAGGATGCAGGTGATGAGCCGAAAGGACTGCTACCGAAGTGCGCGTTCTACGAGTGGTGGTCGGATACGTGGTGCATCGACAAGAATGGTACAAGAGTGCCGTCTTGACGAGGAGCTGATGGTAGCAGATTTGAGCTAGGCGTGTTGGATCGTTCAATCATCTACTGGTCTTTGTTACTTGAAGATTTAACCGACACTATCATTGACAAGGAAAGCTGAATAAAGAGTTTTTTTGGGTTATGGCTTCTAACAAAACACAAGTGCGTTCTAAAAATTGTTTAATGGTACATGTTTAGTGGAACTCCTTTACAACTGGGCGAGGACGGCCTCAGCACCAGAGACGGTGACGTCGGTGCCGGGTTCAAGCTGCACAGCGGTTTAGCGATGAAGTGACAGGAAATTTGAATATGTACCTCAACATATTTGACAACAAGGTCGTCAAGGATCAGAGCATAGCGGCCGGTACGGGTACCGAAACCGATAGAAGACAAATCCACGGAAAGACCCAAGGAGGCAGACCACTTGGCATCTCCATCGGAAAGCAGAAGGATCTGAAAATCGTCGATCAGAAACATCGTGGTGTTCGTGATGGCAGCGGGCATACTTTGTCCCCAACACCCTCGAACCTTCCCCATCCACTCAAAACAAAGGCGTCGTTGGCAGCGACGACGGCAATGACATCGACACCTTTGGCCTTGAATTCATCATACTTCTCGAGGTAGGGAGGAAGGTGGTTAACGTGGCAGGTAGGCTGTGGAGGACGTATCAGACGCGTCACAGCAGGAATTCTCTTGCGCTTGCTCACCGTGAAGGCTCCCGGGACAGAGAAGATCACAACTTTCTTACCCTTCCATTGGGAGGTGTTGAGTTTGATCGCTAATCGCCGTCGTCAATGACCATGGAATTCAATCTGGCGATGTAGCACTCACGAATACCACAGGCAAGCTAGTCATCGATGTCAGTATCGAAGTTGTAATAATCGGAGTTGGAACATACCTTGCTCTCGAGCTCGGGGGTGTATGGGATGTAGTTGAAGGTGGCCTCAGGGATGGTATCACCGACTTTGATTGTGGGGGCCATTGCTAAGTTATGAGGAGGTTGGATAGTTGGATGGAGAGGGATTGAAAGTTGTGGATGTGAATGATGGTTTGAAGGCGTCAAGCGTACTATTTAAACGGATTTCCATGGCCCGGATCGGTCTCCGATTCGATATTGAATATGGCGGCTAGCTTTGGATTTTACCTGGATTGGTATCCGCTGCAGCACGCAAGGGATCCATCAGACCGGCCATCATTCTATGATCGGATGGTCTTGTGTACAGTGTGAATTTCTGATTTTGCTGGTAAGCTTGGCCTAACTTTGGCCTCACGGCTTTGTCAAGGATCACGCTTTTCAGGGCGTTTCCATACACTGGAATGATGCGAACACGTTTCTCTTAGTAAAAAGTCAGATGATTGTAGATCATGCCCTTAACTTTCATCAGCCTGAGTAAGAACTCAATTTCCGAACCCGCTGACGGGCGACAGATACATGATGGTGAAGATGGGGAACAGTGATGGCGTCGTATTGCGAAATAAAGATACAATTGCTATACAGAGATTACCGAATGAGATACAACAAAACAAGATGGACAACAGAATCATGAGGGAGGTGGTGGACGTTTGATGGTGACCGGTTTGGCCGTTGCAGGACCGGCACCCTGGCCATCGCTTGTTTTCAAACGCTTGGCAAGTGAGTCGTCGGATGTGCTCGCTGTCTCCTCCCTCTGTCTCTTCGCAGCAGCACCAAGGACACTGAGAGAAGGCCCTTGTGCGGCAGCTACAGCAGGCATCAGTCGCCCTCGCGCAGCAAGGCCACCGCGTCCACGTTCTGTTCCACGAGCTGGAGCTCCAGCTCGTCCCCGATGGGGCGGTCCTGAAAGTGCCTTATTCGGTAAAGACTTTGTTTGAGATGCGGATGCCGTAGAGGTTGCTGCAGGGCCTGTCGGTGGCGTCGGCTTTGCTGTGGTAGACGTGGAAGGTTGAGAAGATGACGCGGTTGGAGCTGCGGCCGGTGCGGCGCTAGGCGTAGGGCGTGTTAAAGACAAAAACTCCTGTTCTGGAATGAAACCTTGCTGATGCCACTGGCGGACCTGGGCCTCGAATGCCTTGATCTGAGTTTCGACGTCCTTCAGTTTACTCTGATTGCGAATAAGCTGACCGTCCTTCAGCGCCAATTTCTTCGAAATCTCCATCCGGCCCCTCTCTACTGCCGCGTCGAGTTGACCTTGAGAAGGAGCAGCTTCCGTCTTCGCAGCTTCAACCGCAGCTTTCAGATCTTCTTGATATTTAGCTGCTAGCCTGGTCTCAAGTGCTTTTAACTCGTCAGCATGCTTCTTCGCGTAATCGGCAGGTGGCGAAGTAGTTGTGTTTTGCAACTCTGCCTTCTGCTTCTCCAAAGCGGCGGCAATGGCGGCTTCTTGTTCAGACTTGGCCTTGGCCTTATCTTCTTGCCACCCTTTGTGAATAGTGGCGAGCCGATTCTTCATTTGGTCCTAAAAGTATGTTAGTGAGTTTATAAGAGCAGGGCGGTATGGGACAAACCAAGGCAAGCTTTGTGGGGCCAAGTTGTCCATTCGCAGCCTCAGAACTGTCTTCTGCAGCCTAAACACACATCAGTGACATCGATTGGTGATGAAGTTATGACCTACTTTGGCCTTTGCAAGGGCATCCTCTCGTGCTTTAACCAATTCCGCCTTCTCAGAATCCCAGGCCCGTTTGGCTTCCTCGATGCCACCGTCCGTGGGAGGTTCAGAGGTAGCACCCGCAGTCGCTTTCTCCGTCAAGAGTCTATCGCGCTCTGCCTTGAGCTCTTCGTTTTCCTTCTTCAAGTTCAGAAGTGCGTCACGCTCGGAGATCAGTTGTTCTTTCTCTTTGTTCAGTTGCGTCTACACAAAAGCAAGTAAGTCACGTTGAAGACATGAGGAATAGGTGATCGACATACGATTGTGGCAGTCTCTTCCAACAGCTGTTGTGCAGCATTCGAAGTTGACTGAGCAGTACTGGCCTTATCAGACAGGAGTGAAGCTTTCTCCACCTCGAGAGCTTCGACCTTGGAAGTCAGAGTGTTCTTCTCCTCTATCCATTGTGCTTTTTCATTTCTGAGACGGTCCATGTTACCCTTGAACCTCCTGAAGTTGGTTTCCAGCTTCTGGCCACGTTCCTCCAAATTGGCTTTCTCCGTCTTGAGCGCGGCAATCTCCTCCTTCAGCTTGGCATTCTCATCTTGGAGAGTTTGCATTTCAACGGGATCGATGCGATCATACTGCAAAAGGTGGTTAGGTTTTGGATGTCATCAGGCACAAGAATATAAGTACCTTGCTTAGAAGCTGAGTGTTCCGTTCCTGCCATCGTTTATTTTCCTCTTCAAGACGCTGGACGTGGACTTTGCCGGCCTCAAGTTCAGCTTGCGCGACCCGAGCTTGTTCTTTAGCAGGTTCTAACTGCGAAGATAGTTCCTTGAGCTGGATATCCAATTGCTTGACGCGTTTGGCATGGCGTTCACTCTCTGCACGAAGAGTGGAGTTGCTTTCCCGAAGGAGATTGAGCTGGTTGATCCGTTCGATAAGTTCAGCGTGTTGGGACGCAGATGCTGCGGTCTGCACGGCTCGTTCGCGTTCCTGGTGCAACCGTAAGGCGGAAGCGCAGAGAGAGAGATAGGGGGCAGCCTACCTCCGAAAGTGTGGCCCGCGTCTCGTTCAAAGTCTCCGTCAAATGCTCAACCTGCTTCGACAACCGCAGATTCTCCTGCTTGCAAAGGTCGAGCTGGAGCTCAGAAATGTTCTTGTCCTTGCGCAAGTAGCCAACGAGTGATCGGAGCTCCGACAGCTTAGCATCATCTCCAATGGCACCTTCACCTTCACCAGCAGGAGCATCGGAAGAGGTCGCTGCTTGCTTGATACGTGCCGCTTGGCTGCTAACGTCTTCCAAGTGTCCATGCAAAAGCTTGTTTTGCTCAGCGAGAGCTTGATGGCTATCAGAAGGGTTATATTTCAGGCATAAAATTGACAGTGTTCAAAACTTACCGGCGTCTTACTTCTGCAACCTCGGCATCCAAAGTTTCCTTCTGCTTGTTCCAGCTCCTCTCTGAGGCAGCCAGCTTAGCGGTCGCTGTGTCAGCTGCAACCTGGCTGTCACGAACCGCCGCTTGGGAGGTGGCTAGTTGTGCGTTCAGAGCTTCGATAGCCTTCCTAGATTCGGCATGTGCAACCAACTCATTTGAATAGCGCTCCTCAGCAGCCTTTGAGGGAAGTAAGTACGAGAGAATATTATTGGAACCAGTAAGTATACCTTAGCACGCTCCTCTTGTAAACGAACTTCCTGCTCACGACTTGTACGGTCGCTCTCGGAGTGTTTCTCGGAAGTGCTCAAATCGATTATAGTCTCTTCCAGAGTTTTCTTGTCGTTCGTCCAAGCAGTTCGTTCAATTTCGAATGTCTTTTGAAGTTCGTTCAGTTGGGCGGCAGCCTGTATGGCGCCTTTGCTGAGCTGCCTCCAACTTCTCTTGGAAGGCCTTGTTCTCTGACTAAGACACGTCAAACTACAGATCAGAGCAACCAGATAGAACACATACCTCGAGTCTCGTGAACTGAGCTTCCGTTGTAGTCCTGTACTGTTCATGAGTAGACTGCAAGCTCTCGAGTGCGGCTTCAGCAGCCTGACTAATTGATTCGAATTGTTGGCGCTGTTCTCTGGCTGCTTGAAGATCCACCTTGGCAATCTTCAACTCGGCCCTGTAGTACAATGAATACCATCCAGACTGTAGGTCCAAGAATATTACGCACCTAAGTTCCGCGACTTCCGCCTCAAGCTGCTGCTCCTTGCTCATATCCTGACTGCTACGAGGAGCACCAAGAGTACCCGAGCGTCGCTCATATACCGCAAGTTTTTCCTCGCTGCCCTGAACTTGTCTAGTTAAGTCTTCAATACGATCCTCGAGGTGCTTCTTGCTAGTTTCAGCACCGACGAGAGCTTCCCGTGTCTTGGAGAGCTCTTCGGCCTATAGAGTATAAGAGCGAGTCAGTGAACATTAGGAATTCGTGCTTACATTCTTGTCAAGTCTGGATTGAAGATCCTTGAGTTCGATATCCTTTTGCAGTGTGATGTTTCGGACATTATCCCGTTCTTCGGTCAACTGGGTGCGCGAATCTTGTCTAGATAGCATTGAAACATTAGCGACTCAAACCGCGTAGATGGAGAGTAGGCATACACTTGTGCTTCTAAGAGTTGCAGTTGGCTTTCCAAACGACGACGGTCGTTCTCGCCGGATCGTTCAAGATCGTTGTGCATCCTCTGGACACTGCCCATCAAGTCGTTGAGGTGAGAGCGCTCCAAAGTCAAGGCTTTGTTCTCCTCGACGAGCCGGCGTTGTACATCCTACATTGAGATTAAACACACTTCATTCAAAAAAAAATAGATAAATAGAGAACGAACATCCCAAATCTTCTTCTCAGCACGTAGGTTTGCAGATTCATTGCGAAGCTGTTCGATTCGGCTGTTAGCCAGCCGAAGGTCTTCCGTCACACGACCGCATTCGATGTCGACTCGAGTCCATTGATCAAACAGCTGCTGATTCCGCTTGCCTAGGTCATCGAGTTCTCGAGCATGCAAGTTATATTGATCTTGATTGATCTGGTTTCGCTCTAGGGTGTTGTCAGACTTCGGAGAATATAAAGTTAGAAAGCACCGTACCATTATAGTACTCGCTTCGTGCTTTCTCTTTGGCAAGTTCTGCATGCAATTTTCCGACCTCCTTCTGAGCAAGGGCGAGCTCTTCCCGCAGCTTGCCAGAGTCAATGCCCATCTCTGTGCGATACACCTCGAATTGACTCTGAATTTCTGCCAATTCTCGCGCGACATCGGAGGGAGGAGACACAACACCAGCGTTGCCATTCATCCGTCCATTGGCCCCGGCGCCTTTGTCAGAACGAGCAAGGAGCGCCGCGAGCGTGTCCCGTTCCTTGACATATGTTTGCAAACGTTTTTCGCTGCTCCTCTTCTCATTCTCCAACTTCTCTTCCAGGTGTTTAATGATAGCATGAGCTTCCTGAACGGCTTCGTTTTGTTCTTGCTCCATCTGTGCCCTATACTCCTTCTCCTCGTCTTCAAGCTTCTTCGCCAACTCTCTGGTGATAGCAAGGAGCTTCTGGTTCTGCTCCTGAAGTCCATTGATAGACCGGAACAAAACCAGATTGTTGGTGATCAAGACGTCAACATCTGATTCCTGCTGTGCAAGGGAAATTTCTTCTTCAGAAGGGAGAGTAGGGTCGTCTCGGCGTCCAATTTCACGAAGTAAATTTTGAACCTGTCGGCCAAGATCATCACACTGCTTTTCAAGAAGTGCATTTTCGCGTTGACTCTTGCTCAGTTTCTGCGCGTTTTCTTGTGCAAGGATGACCTGGGTGTCACGGTCGGAGAGTGCTTGGGCAAGCTGAGATGCAAGCTGAGCCGCTTCGGTCTGCAGGCGTTCGTATTCTATGCGCTGTTGGGAAAGAATGGGGGCCTAACGACACGGTTAGACTCTGAGTATATATCCTTTGAGTTAACGCACCCTCTCTTCGATCTGTGCGAGTACTTCGGTCAACGTACGATCCATGTGATCATACTCCGCTGACTTCTTTGCATAATCCTCCTGAAGACGGACATAATCAGCGTAAACTTCAGTGAAGGTCTTGCCGGTCTTTTGCGCTTTGCTCGCCATGGCCACGGTGGGACTTAGACCCATCATTCCATCTAGACTTTCATCAAGAATTCCTCTGACTGGAGTCCCGGGAGTGCGGCCTAGAACCGGCAAGTCCCCTCTGCCCATCCTCTCAATAACAGTCTCCAGCCGCTCAACTTTCCTCTCTGCATCCTCTCTGCCCTTCCTTTCCCTCTCTACCTCGACCCGCAGTGCGCTCTCTCGTCTGTCAGCCTTCTCTCCGACAGCATCCCATTCCTTTTCTATCGATGCCACGAAGTCTTTAGCTTCTTTCTCTCTTTCTTCCAACATGGCGACCAAGCGTCTCAATGAGTTCATCTCTTGGGTAAACGTGGCCTCCTGCTCAGCTAGTTGTCCGTTAAGATCTTGTACCTTGGTCAGGGCCTGGGTGAGCTGATGCGTCTGAGACGTGTGGGAAGATTGGAGCGCCTTGAGAGAAGACTGTGTCGACTCATTGGTCTGAGAGACCGCGTCAAGGTTTGCCTGAAGAGTAACCACCTCAGCTTGCTTGGCGCGTCGATACTTAGTAATTTCTTCGGACTTGGAAGTGAGTTCGGAGTTAATCCGTTCGACTTCTGACTGAGATAGTTCAAGTTGCTGGGAAAGAGAGTCAAGTTTGAACTTCGTGGACGTCTCTGTAGACCGCAGCTCCCGGACTTGGTTCTCCAACGTCTGGTGCTCCTGGCGAGCATCCTTAAGATGCTTTCGTAGCGTTTGAATCTCCTCTGTACAAGTAGGTCAAGTAACTGAAAAGAAACGTGTAATATTGGGCTAACCTTCACGTTGAGTTTCATCTTGTTTCAATCGACTGACTACAGCCATGACGTCGCGTTTTTCACGTTCGCTATCTTCCAAACGTCGACGCACATCATCGAGTTCAGTGGAAGACGTAGACTGGGTTGTGGAAAGCTGCAATAGCTCGGCTTTCAACTCGGCCTGAGAAGAAACTGCAATGACGCTCAGCCACGAGATCAGCCCGAAATTCCCAATCACTCACTAAGCTGGTCTCTTTCTTGCTTCAGTTCCTTCACTTCTGTCTGTGTAGTCTCCAATTGAGATTCCAAGTCCCTAGAAAGTGATTCCCTGTCTTGCAGCGCCTGATCAAGTTCGACGTCTGTCTTCTCCGCTTTAGCGCGTAATTCATCGACCGTTCGGTGGGTGGCATCCAAATCTGCTGCTTGAGACAAGGCAAGACGATACAAGGCAATGATAATATCTGGCGAAGGATATGCAAGAGTAGCATTGGGAATTAATGTTGAAAGAGCGTCAACGTCGAGGTCATCAGGAATGGTAACGCTCAGGCTCGTGTCGTCCACCGGTAGAGGGGAGCTAGGCGCAGCGTCTTCAGACGCACTAGCCAGTGCCTTGGTTTTTCTCCGAGTTTTCATGGACATGACGCCTCGTGAAGTCGCCGCTTAACGACAATCCTCACTGAAAGGACTTGAAAGAGCTTGACAAGAAGTCATTCGTCCCAATTGAGATTGTGTATTATGTCAGCAAGTTTAAATATGGACAACTTTCAGAGCCAATGAAAATTTGGTCCGATTCACGTTCCAATTATGGATAGCTCTCCCCTAGAATCTTCGAGGTTCTTGGCTGTGCTTACTGACCTCCGACCAGGAGCGTCGTTGGAACGCGTAAGCTCTCCTTCTTCCTTTATAAATAACAGCCACCACTACAGCATCTCTATTCTTTACTGCCACTATCCACTATCTTCTCATGGCTGAAGACGCACAATTGCTTGCTATTGGAAAGCAGTGTTCTCATTCTTCTTGCTTCCTTGTCGACTTCCTGCCCTTCAAATGCCAGCATTGCGAACTGCCATACTGCCAGGAGCATTTCCTCGCGAAGGCTCACCACTGTCTCAAATATGACGAGACTAAACACAACCGCGTGGCTCCAAATTGTACCATCCAGTCACCAGACATCTTCCCTTTTGCTCACAACATGTTGTAGGTCCTCTTTGCAACGAGCCTGTAGCGATACCCCCAGGGCAGGATCCCAATGTCAAGATGGAGTCCCATCTTACTACAGAATGCAGTGCCACGACAGGAAGAGCCAAGACGAAGTCCTTACCTGTCTGCCAAAGAGTCAAGTGTGGCAAAACATTGTACTCACCTATTCGCTGCGACGTGCGTCTTTGTTCTTTTCTTTAGTATTTTTATGAGATCAATAGTCTGATCCAGAAATGTCGTAAACAATTTTGCCCGTCTCATCGCTTCCCAAGTGACCACAGTTGTTCTCCAACACCAGTGACTGGCGCAAGTCGGCTTCTCAACCTGAATACCAATTCTATAACTGTTAACGCCAAATCGCTTAATGCAAAGGCATCTGCTGTCGGTGCGGCTACTGTAGATGCAGTAAAGAAGAGCATACCATCATCTTCTTCGGAAGCTTCAAGTCAGAGGGGAGCATCATCGGCCTCTACCTCTTCCAAACCTACATCGTCCCTTACGAAAGCATTTTCGAAAACTGACCGGTAAGTGTACATTTGTTCCTGTTGCCAAGTCACTCATGACGCCTTAGTTCATCTCTTTCTGAATCATCAATTATCCTTGTTACATCATCGCCACCTTCACCAACGCCCGCACATGATATTGACAACAAACCTGAACCTGTAATACGGTCCACATCATTCGTTCCACCGCCCGTCTTTGCAACTGCTTAATCTGTATCCACTAATAACTTTTCAATATTTACTGTATCCATAAGACGTGCGAAGGCCGAGAGAGAGAGCCGGAGAAAAGCTCTGCGAGCTCGTGAACAGAAGGGGGTATGGAATTTTTTATTATGTTCTCGCAAATCCTTGTCTGATCACTCCGTAGCTATTGTCGGCGGAGGAGAAGGCTGTGTTAGCGGCGGAGGAGGATCAAGCTGCTCGTGAGAAGAAGGACGATTGCCTCATCATGTAGCTCAAGTAGTACATATCGTAAACTCTGGATCTCTCGAAGCTATTCTACGTGATTCAACTTTTTTTCTCGAGAATTTTGTGTCCTTGCTCGGACGTGAAGGTGATGTCCGGCCCGGGGGCCTAGACTTGCAAAGCGCTTCAACTTCAGTCCCAAAAGACCCGACACTAAATGACTTACACAATGATGAATAGCTCAGTTTGGGACAAAGACCGCACCTGCTGCCAATCACCCAAGTTTCGATCAAATTCCTCTTTTCCGAGTCGACGCGATACTTGCTGCGGCCAGGGACTACTGATGTCCCGCCTCGAACGTAACTTCAAGGTTTATGACCGTGGACATGTCTGGGGTCGGCGTTCGAATTGACATTTGGACGCTACAGTATCACTATCGAAAGCTATCGAGAACCCAAGGATTTGTATTGACACAGCTAGCATCGTTTAATTTGCGGGGTTAAGGCGCACGTTTTTCATTCGTAAACGAGAAAAGAGTGACTTGGACCCACTCACCTAGACCCGGCAGCCTTTCGTCGTCCTCCGCAGCTCGTACACTGACAATTCGTGTCCGATGCGTCGTCGCGTCAAGCTGAAATGGCTGCAAATGTTTCCAGTGTATGCCGACCCTTGACTCGGTTACTGATAATTCTAGCCAAGTTCGTACATTTCAACTGTAATTTTGCCTCCATCTTGTCGATTAGTTCTGTTCTGATATTCCATCCTGGCAGATAGATGTAACTGCCTGTCAAGCAACCCAGGCCCAGCCCCTGAATCTTAGGTGAGCTCGTACCTCAACAACCCTTTTACAACAATTTCACCTGCTAAACATTCTGCAGTGGTTCGTCGTACTGTATGCGCGGGGGGTTACGCGTCGGACCGGAACCAATCATGGATACTTGATTTCTTTTGCTCAAAGAACGCAAGGGGCGGCGGCCTTGACGACACTGCTCACCTGCTGATTGCGTACATCCTTCTCCCTTTCAACATCGTACGCATATCCAGCCACCATTCCTCATACCTCTGCGAGACGCTTTTGACCACTAAAATCTTCACAAGCTTTCGACTAAGTTCCTACGGAGCGTACACCAATAATCGAGGCTGTCTTGCCGTTCAAGGCTCGGCAAGATCAATGATTCCAAATGAAAGACGTTTGAACCCACCATCCTTGTCAGAGCCCTTCCAGTGTTCTACCTCTCAAAGAAATTTCGAACGCAGGGCAAATATCACTCAAAACATGTGGAAAGTAGAACATTTTCAGTACTGAAGTACTGATCTGCCAGCTCTGGGGCCACCCCTACATAAAATACCCCCTTTGAGTTCTGCCCTGCCGTTCGGCAGGGTGGTAGAGTTCTGCCAACAACACTATCAATGTCTCCCTCCGGGTCACCATATCCACCAAGTCCATCTGGCTCCACATTTGCCTTCCACTATTAGCTGCTAGACGCCGTCCCCCTTGGCTTCGAAGCATAATGCGATCATCATTTTTATTGACATGGTTGTTTGTAGAAGCCCGATTGTGCTCCGTGCTGTTCTCTTTGCCCACTTTAAGTATCTCTCGTCGATGACTCGGATTTTCATTATGTGCTTCTTTCCCAGATACAAAGACCTTTCAAAGCTCTAGTAGGATCAATGACTTCATTCCCTGTTCCATAACCAACATCTGTTTGGACTGGCGACTTCTCGGAGGGGGCTGCGTAGTGCATATCGTCAATGTGACACTCTTTACGTGCAGGTGAAAGACATGTTTTGGACCCTCGGCTGCCGGAGTTTCTCTTTGGGCACAGATTACTCGGTTATGTGCCTATGTCAACAGATTGGCTTACGGAAAAAGTCCCTCCAGTTTCCTAATACTCACATCGGCGATGTTGTTTTTGTGCAGCGCAGTCCTTTTACGACGAATACATGCGGTGACGGAGCAAGCTCGGTTTTGTTTCCTCTTGGATGTCCTTTTCTTCGCATCAAGTTCTGTCAACCCGTGGCTCCCAAGTAGGTTTGTAGACGATCCGTTCTCGTCTGCGTCTGTAAGATTGCCACATCGAGTTACATTTCTGTGGACATAACTCAGTCGAGATCGAGATGATTTGCAGTGATCGTAGAGTTGCATCACCGGTTCCTGACGTGCAGTTCCATGTTCGAAAATGCTTTCGAGGTTTTGAGAACCATTGTATGACTTGTTGTAAGTGCTACTTCCTTCTCTTTCGACAACTCGCGTCTCACATTGTTTGACTGCCGCTTTGAAGACGCTTTTTTCCTGAATTTTCTTTCAATTTAATCACCGCTCGCGACTGGTCGGACACATTACCGCATGCCCTTGCTGCGAGCCTCGAGGCGTAATGGAGAAAGGAATGGACCAATGACAGGCGGCGTATTTTTTTCCTACTCGCATCAATGCCAAGGACCATGGAGGATGGCGCCAGACGTCGACAAAGAACTTTCCTAGCTGCGCACACTGGAACGACGAGTATAAAGGCTGGTTGGTCTCTTCCGGGAATTCCATCGCACTTGGATACTTCTCCCTTGATTTGCGGGCTATGGTTAACTTTCCTTCTCTCGTGTCCTTCGTTCTTCTTGCTGCGACTGCCGCTGTTGCGCACCCTGTTGCTGCTCCTTTGAGCAAGGGGGAAGTTGCACGTCGTGGTGAATTCCAACGGGCTGCTCGTCGTTCGTTAGGCAACTGCCAAGACACCCTTCGCCGTCGCGGACACCTCGAGCGATCCACCGCTCGTCGTAGGGCTTTGGCAGATGACCTTCGTCGCAAGCGTGGCCTTCCTACTGGTGAGCATTATTCTCTGTTCATATGCCCTTTAGGAAACCGACCTCTTTTTCGAAGATAATCTTTACAAGCGCCTCTCTTTGGACGATGTTTTGGAGACTAGCCATCTGTCCAACGAGACTGGTTTGACCGTCGACACCAACCCCTTCGAAGGAAACGCGTCATGTGTTCTCAACCCCGAAACCACGGAAGGCCCGTACTACGTTAACGGTGAATACGTTCGCTCGGATATCACTGAGGATCAAGAGGGTGTCTACACCTATGTCGATGTCGAGCTGATCGATGTCTCCACTTGTGAACCCGTTTCCAACGTTTACATCGACTTTTGGCACTGCAACGCCACCGGTGTTTATGCTGGTGTTGTAGCTAGTGGGAACGGCGATTCATCCGACGCGACCAACTTGGTAAGTTGCATGTGCATTTTGACATTTTCCACGTATAACACATTGTCTGCAGAATAAGACCTTCCTTCGCGGTATTCAACCGACCAACGACGAGGGATATGCCCAGTTCGAGACTATTTTCCCTGGTTCGCAATGATATTTCACTTCGCTACATCCTTACCGACATCCCCATTTCAGGTCACTATACGGGCCGCACTACTCACATCCATGTCGTCGCGCATAGCGACGGAACGGTCCTTGACAACAGCACCTTCAAAACCGACACCGTCCGCCACGTCGGTAAGCCTGCGCGTGTTACAGACTGTTTGGCTAGTTATTGATCCATCATATCAGGCCAGCTCTTCTTCGATCAAGATCTGGTCACCGTTGTTGAAGCGACATCTCCATATACGTCTAACACTCAGGTTTTGACCACCAACGATGAAGATCAAATTTTGGCCCAAACTGTTGAAGACGAGACCAACGGCGTTGATCCTGTTCTTGAATACGTCTACCTCGGCGTTGATGTCTCCGATGGCCTCCTTGCGTAAGCTTTCGCAGTTACTCCAGGGGAAAAATATTCATGACTAATATTTTTCTAGCTGGGGATCTGTTGGCATCGACCTGACGGCGAGCTACAGCATTTCGGCCGCATCTACTCTGACGGAGGATGGCGGTGTGGCAAATGAAAATTCATTGGGCGGAGGTGGAGGTATGGGCGGGGCGCCAAATGGAACAGATTTCCCATCCGGAGCTATTCCTTCGGACACTGGAGATCTTCTTGGATCATCGGTCGTATCCTCGTACCCTGCATCATCGTCTTCTGTATCTTCATTCCTCTCATCTTCTCTTGCTACCAGCTGCTCCGTCATCATCTTCATTGGCTCCCGTTGCCCCCGTGTCCTCTTCTTCGGCTCTTCCAGTAGCAGCGCCGTCCTCTACTACACCCCAGGGTGGTGCAACTCCTACTCAAACCAGCGGTGGCTCTCCCAGTCAAGGCGGAAACACCGGAAGCAACCAAGGCGGCAATCACGGCAGCCAGAATGGAGGCAGCCAAAACGGCCAGGGCAGTCAGAGCGGTAGCCACCAAAATGGACAGAGTGGGCAGGGTGGTAATGGCCAACATGGTCAGAGCGGCGGCCACCAGTTGAACGGCCAGGCCGGAGGTGTTCACAATGGACCTCAAGGTGGAAACTCAGGAAGTTCTGGTCATGCCGGCTTTGGTTTTTGGTAAAATGGTAATTTAATGGTGCAGGTCAAGTGCAGGTGCAAATTTTAAATATGCTACGAAATCACCTAAGTACATAATATAATATAAAAGAGTTTGTGTGGCACTCAGCCTTTCTGGAACATCACGGTCAATCAGTATTCGAACCAGGTCGTACATTCGCTTTCATGCAATTCACGAAGAGTTCATTTGTCGTACCGTTGACGGGCATCCCCAAGCGGAACATAATTACTATGATGACGACGATAGCAATACTAGTAATCTACGACGTATCCATTAGTTAGATGCGAATTGCTACATTGCTTGACGTAGCACCTCAGTATAAAGTTTATCTGACAAGTTCCTCACAAGACGATCTTGTCTGAATATTTTACCCGATTTATGAGGTCTTAGCTCTGCTGAACCGCCGTTTGCTCCATAGATCGTGTATCCAGTCACCTACGTGTTCTATGCTGTTACACTCCCGTTTATCTGTGTAGCTCATAGCGTAACGTGCGACCCTTGCTACAATCATGCATCGCTCTCGCGGATCGCCCGCTACCTCTAGGCTCTAAACATTTACGACGGCTTAGGGTCAACTGCTAAATTTGATATTATAGTACAATGTATGCCATACGAGGCTCTCTTCAATGTACACCTATCATACAATGGAGCAGCACGCGATCATTCTACTTGCATGTCATCAGCACCTTCTGGATGCGAACTGATGCCCGTTTTCTTCCTTCTTTCCGCCAAGAAAGCATCTATCCTTGCTTTCAACGCCGTATCTATAGGGAAGTTAGTTACCCGCACAAGGCGCGAATGCACGTAGGGACGAACCAGGTTCAACGTCTTCGATACTAAGTGCTACCCGATTGAAGGGATCTTTGGAATCTGATAGCAGATGGGATTTAATTGTCGATCGGTCGACAATCGTACGGGAAGACGGAAGAATGACAGGATCCCGCATAACAGTATACATTAAGGGATCTAATGGAGACCAGGTTAGTAAAGGTGTATGTTCGAGGTTTATCAGCGTACCAAGGAACTCGTCTGGTACATCACCTAGTTCCTCTTCCGCTTCCATGGTGGCCTTCGCCGCTTCCACCCGTTCAACAAAACTCCTCAATATCTGTATTTCTGCCTCCACTTTCAAACTACGCCGAAGCGCAGTTGCTTGAGCTGATTCAAATAGCTCTTTGCTATAGCTTCGCCCATCATTGGCGACTGCCTTGACGAATTCATCTCGGTCACTGAGATTTATGAACACTTGCAAAATGTCGCTGAGGAGCGCTCTAGGGTTGAACCTATATTTGTCTGGGTTTCGAACCTTCAGCTCGGAACATTTCGGCCCAACCAAAGCGTGAAGGTTATAATCCAACATCGCTGCCTAAACGATCAACAATTTCAGGCATCATAAACGGCGTTTTCGTCTCAGCCGTGAAGACTTTTAGAAGTTCCACGGTTGCCCTGCTTAAGCTGATGTACCCAGGATGCATGGCGCTCCAAAGTGCTCAGAGCACCCTCTCTTTCACGGCGATGCTCTTGCGTCTGCAGTATTCCATGCTGGATCGTCCATCTCGACTTGGATATTGTGAATTTGGGTTAGCTCCGATAACGACTCGTCCATAAGGTATGTAACGTCATTGATCATTAGGTTGACGAAACGGACGAATTTGTCAACGTTCCTGTGAGACAAAAGTGTGAGCTCCAAACTCTAACTGTAAAGCTGTAACCGTACTTTGCTTCCGTATTTAAAGCCTCTCTGTGAACGGGGTTGTTCCAGACCACCTTCAAGATTGAGGCTATATTCCTCCTGAAAAAGATTCATAAGTATGGGATACCTCAGCTCTTACCCATGCCTACCGTGCGTCTGAAATAGTAATTCAGATTGAAGTGACGTCCTTCCATGAACATCGGTAACACTCACTGAATTTATCATAAAACTGTGAACTGGCTCCGGTTTGTTCAACCTCTAGATTAAACGTTGAGTCATCTACCTTCCGCTCAAGAGAGATGATCCAGACCGATGTAGAAATGCATCAAGGACGACATGAGATGCTTCAACGCCAGCGGATGTGTGTTCAAAAGGAATCCAAGAACACCGTCTCGTTCTCGACCAAAGTTCCAGATGCCTATGAAAAGGACCTGACAATCGCTTTTAGTTTCTTGACACGGAAGTCAGTTAAAGTAGTACATCGTTTATTTTGGACTTTAAGAACGGGTTCTTGATGTACCACGTTGAAGAAAGGAAGGTCAGAACAAAGATGAGTAGCTCGGTCTTTCCCGACAAGTCAAACTTGTCAGGAGAGTATCTGAACAATTAATTCAACTCCGTAGCGTGGGGATAGAACGATGATACTTACTGTACAGCGAATAGGAAGTACTCGACAATATCTTCGACGATATACTCCGGAAGCACCCTGAAAGACATGGGAACATCCTTTGGCAGAGGCAATCTGACAAATGACAGCAATGAATACAACAATGCCAGTGAAATACGGCTACTTACTCTATTTGCGGGTTTGGATGTGATCTCTTAGGGTCCGCCTGACGAACCAACCACGTCGACAAAAAGTTGGTGAATCCCAGGGTCCGTATAACAAGTTCTGGATCCAACAGTTGCGCTTGATACGCAAACTCGGACGCCCGGATTTTTGCAATTTCATTCTTTCAAACATCATTGACGTTAAGCGAGCGACAGGAAAACGAGCATACCTTGACTGCATTGATGGCGGCTTCACGCCGGGCCTGTAAGGGACCCTACCAGACCATTGAGCAAGGTCGTTGCATAAAAAGGTCGTAAACTCACCCCCATCCTTGATCCATCACCATTTAGGTAATCCAGATGACGCTGCATATCTTCGATGTTCTTGCCTAGTCCTGTGTACGACTGTATCGTTCGTTGATATCCGTAATGGCTCATTGCGATGGCAAGATAGAAAATGTCAGAAATAAAGTTAGGAGGAGGAGCTGAGGTAACGATCAGAATAAAAACTGCGGCAAGCCCAAAATGTCAATACCATTGGGAACCTTATTCTGCTCGACCCATTCGTTGGCTTCATTGCTGGTAGCTTTGATCCGAGTTTCTTCCTGCAAGTCAATCCGGGTCGAGTGCGCATAGTATAGTGAATCAATACGGTCCATCTGTCCGAGAATAAGATGTGTTTATGATGAAGAAATAGTTCAAACCTTAGTGTAGTTGGCGTCCATGAAAGGTTCGGCGAATCGAAGGAGGATCGTCTGTAAATTTACCATGAAGCTGTCGCTGGCTACAGTGGTAGGATCAACCTAAAGGCGAACGAGACGTGAGACACACGACCTCATTGCAAGGACTTGATCTGACCTGCATTCCAGCCCTCTTCACATTGAGAGCGATAACTCTGGCAAAATAATTCAACACAGCTTCCCTCGACTGCGCGGAGGCTCTGACGAGTGTATTAAATATTTGGAAAAGCGACGACTAAATATAGACGTCAAAACAAGTTTAGACGACACGCAGGCTAGGCCAACCTGAAGGCTCTTCAGTGTCCCTCGCAGACTAGCATAAGATGATTCAATATCGTCCTTCGACCGTTTCTCCGGATCGGAGAAATAACTTTGCGAGATGCCCGGCTGTCTCGACTTGAGCAGATAAAACATATACCCAAGGATATTAACGCACCCATTCTCTCGAGAAAACACCCAACCGGCATAATGGACCCATCAAAGATGTAGTCTCAAACGTGGCAGCAGTCGCTGACGGAGGATTCCACTCTTCCATTCTTGTGATCATGTTCGCGATGGCTTTAACTGACACAAGTGCTTCCAGTCCGCTGACAACACCTCGCCAGCTAGCATCTCCACCACCAAGACCTTCCGGTCGGAACAGCGAAGCGTGAAAAAGAAGCTGCTGGACAACAGGCCCGAGAACGCCATCGATTTCATTGTCTGGCTCGAAACGACGCGCCAAATCCTGTAAGAATTGCTCTATATCCGATGGGCCGAGCGTGTTTGATGACGATACAGGTCCTGAAAGAAGCGGTGCTGACAAAGCCGAGAGGGACAACAGAGGGGAAACCAGTTCTGGTGCACCAAGAGGGCGGCTGTCATTAGACTATCAGAATGTGGAGACAAGAAGATGGATAGACGACATACCCGGATGGCTGAGGAAACATCTCTGGTTCCTGTAATGTCAGACCAGCATAACTGATGATGAGGTCTCGAATTTTCTCCAGTTTGTTCAGAGCATTCTGTGTATCGACAGGTGTGTAACCCTTGTCCATCTCGTAAATTTCGATGCCTCGGAGGTCAAAGACAAACACGTTACCTTCTTGATCAAAGCACTCCGAGAGGCATTAAGTCTTTTCCAACAACCAACTAGATACTCGAATACAGTTTGTTGCGGAGGCAAACTGACAAGCACAGGCATGTATTCCAGGTCATCACTATTGATTGTGAGACAGATGAGAATTAACATGGACGAATCACTTACCTCATTTGCTGGGGGTCCATCTCTAGTCTCGCTATGAGGAGTCTGTCAACCAAGTTTTCATCGAGTTTCTGCGCTATAAAAACAGTCAGGAAGATCTATTTCCCATAATGCGGGCCACATACCATTTATCCCATCTGCCTCTATCTCCTCTGCCAATTGTTTGAGCCATACAATTTCGTAACCACTCTGTTCCGCCACCGATTTCTGTGGGAGATAGTATCGAGGTCGGTATCATAATAGTCAAGACGGAGGAAACACTCACCTCCAACGTGACTTTAAGAATATGTGCAACAGTCTCGTGAGTCCATGCGTCAACGCTGAAGCTTGCGGGGGCTTTTTTCTTGATCGGTACAGGAGAAGGCGCTGCTGGGGGAGGTGTTTGGAAGATTGCTTTCTTCGTTGTTGCTGGGCGTGACGGTGTAGAAGGCTTCGACGGAGAAGCAACTGGCGTTGAACTTGTCGACGCAGCAGCCGATGTAGAAGGAGTAGGCGTAGAGCCCGGTGTACTTGGGGCCGAGCTCGCTGTATTCTGCAACCGTGCCAGCCTCTTCAGGCGAATCTGCAGAGCCATCCTTCAACCCGAGCAAGGACACCATTTAAGAGAAGACATACACGCTCGGCATCATCCTGAGGGGTCGTGAGAGTATTGTCGCTCATTGCTGTCGGCGAGTAAGAAAGAGAAAGAAGGAAGTGGTGGTCAGTGGCTGGGTCAATACGGCCAGTAAACACAGCCATCACTACTTCACTCTTTACCCCACGCCGATGTCCTCAAGTCTACTCGGTCGCATTTCGTCGTCGCTGGGGCTATTCCCAATGCCTGCGCATACCATATTTAATTCGAGGTTATTCTGGTCCTCTCCGGTCGTGGAAGCCGGCTATAAAATGAAGTCTCATTCGGGAACCAAGAAACGATGGAGGTCGTTAGCGTCCGGGAGCTCATTCAAACGCGTCTGTGCTCTTTTTCCTGATCCGTTTGCATTCCCCTGATCTTTCCTAGGGTCAAGCTGGCCATGCGCACCTGAATGTCCATAAATCACCATCAAGGAAAAATCGGCTGGCGCAAACAGCACACTCAGTGCCTTATCAAACTCACAAGCTCAAAAAGCTACTCTTGCCGTATGGTTCACATTGAGCTCTACTAGTGCAAAGTTATGGAGCAAGTCTTGTGTGTCTCAAGTATCTTCTGCTCGTTCAACGTACTAATTTCTCCGCTTCAGATCGTGTTGTATATACAAGTTCTACGATGACTCTATATCACACTCTATTAATCCAGTAACTGCAGAGTGTCCCATCTCTTCGTCAACGCTCGTCCTGCGTATCTATAAACAATTGGCTCGTCATGATCCTCCTGCAAAAAAGGAGCGAATATCCTTTTGGTTTGGATCATGAGCAGAGCTGCCGATTCCTCCCTGTTGCCGCACCTTCCGCACAGTTAATGACGGATTTATTCTTCATAGCTATGAGCTTACCACATTCTTCAGATGGTCCTTTCGATCAAAGTCAGTCAGCCTAACCTTGAGCGGAAGAGAATTGATATCATCGTGCTTCCTTCGGCTAAGACTCTGAAAAAGTATGGCTTTAAGCCCACGATCGGTGATTTCGTAGCTCTGATCTTTACCTGCACCTCCACAGTCACACGAGCCCAGGCTGTGTTCCTCAGACCTTTATAGTATAAGTCGGTCGTCTTCCCTTGAGCATCCCTACCAACAAGTGCCGCTATGAGCTCCTTGATAAAGAGACCATGGCTTATCAATGCCACGCGAACTCCAGTGGTGCCGTCTCTAGCGGATTGCCAGACGTATGGAAGCAGAATTTCGTCAACAGCTTGCTCTGCCCTCCTGCGAAGGTCGTTCCTACTCTCGCCTTCTGGAAACGATTCGCCTCGATCTCGTGGAGAAGGGTATATTCCCTGGGCGTAGAGGTCGCTATATACAACATCTGCCCTTGACTTTGTGTACGGTTTCCCTTCAGCGACGCCGAAGTGCTGCTCTCGAAGGAGGTGGGAGGTCAAGAGGCTCAACGTCGGGGCCTCTTTCGAAACCTGACAATCTAAGATAGCCTGAGCAGTCAGGTAGGCACGTTTGAGATCGGATGTGTGTATTGCGACAAAGTCAGTATCTGAAAAGAATCCTCCGAGGGCTTTAGCCTGCTACGAAGAGTTACCAATCATGCATACGAGTCATGAACGTTGGATGTCGAATCTTACTTTCATACCTGTCCTATCGTGCTCAATCGTATTCTTTCATCGAGACACGAGAGAAATACCATGATTTGATAAGGGGGCGTCCTTCCACCCTGCCCAAACAGAATGCTGTTATTGTATTAGCGGACGTTAATCGATTGTGATGACCGTGAATAAGTTTCCCCGCACCAAGTTGTCTGTCGACTCGCCATGCCTAATCTAAGTCGTCCTTATCAATGGTATTTCGGAAAATGGATGAGATGAGATGCGAACCAGAATGAATGTCACCATAAGTCGGCGTATGGAAACAAGAACCAAGCAAATCACGATAAGACGACTGGTAAACTTTTCGGACCCGTAATCAGACGCGCCACTGCAACACTCATAGAGCCCCTATCTTTAGGTTCCATTTTGGCACTGGCACAGCCACTGTCGTGTGGAGCTCATCCTAGCTCATCCATTTCGACATTTCAGTGAGCTGACTCATAAATCAAATCTTATTAAGTATCTAGATCTTCCCAGAACTTGTGTTCCCATCATAGCAGTAGTAAACGCTGACTAGCGTCAAGTTCTGTAATTACAGGCCGAATCTGCACTTCATTCATTACTCTGCCCAGTTCCAAAGTTTGGATATTTACACAGCATCATACTACTTCAAAGGTCTCTGCAATGAATAAGTTAAGGATACATCCGACAACGACGAACTTGAACGCACACGCCTGTACGCGTACATCATACTAGGCAAATCCGAGCTTGAGGTGAAATTCCACAGACGGGTTCCTATACTTAAGAATCAAATATTCAAATTACTCAATCAATAATATCGTAGCGGTCTGTCTATTTTGCTTTCGTTTCACGACTTCCGTCTCTATTTTTCGCGAACAACCATGATTCGGATAATCGGTCCGAATCCGTGCCATATTCGGCGTCGTATTCCTCGGCATTCTCCGAAGCACTTTTTTCAAGCCCTCTTCAGGACCAAGCTAGGACTCGCCGTGTCCTCGCTCTCAAATTTTCTTCCTGGTCCATGGATCACAAAATGGGCAAAGAGTGCAATGCTGGTGCTATATACAGCCCACTCTTCCTCAACTTCCACCGCCAGAACCAGCTTTTCCTGGAAAAAGTACGGACTAACAGCGCCTACCCAGCATTAATCACGACACAGTTATCTCTGGCGACACTATCGCAACTTCTCGCAGTACCTTCACTGACCTTAACTGTTGCGGACGTATACCGTCCTGTCCTATTTGACCTCTGCGCGCGCTGGATTGAACAGCCTGATTGCACGGAGGACCAGCTTGTGGCTATATGCCTATTGATAGAAGTACACGAAGAACTTTATCCGTGCGTGCCTAACGCTTTCCTCTCTTCTGTCACTAACTTGACCTCTAGTATCCTCCATCAGCTCTTGTTGAAGCCAGCATTTATTCAAGGCCCTCTCACGTCCCAACATTTGGACAAACATCGCCTTCATTGTCTACTTCTGGCGTATTACCGCATATTGCAAGCCACCCGCCAGCTCCCTGATCAGCTGCTCTGGTCGTTATCACATCTATCTGCTATTATTTGGACACCTACTTTCGACAGTGGGTCTAGACTTTTGGCAATTCGCTGTTATGCTTTGCAGAGCGGTATGTGCGAAGCAGAGCGCGAGAAGCTACAACAAGAAATACTAGGGGATGCTTGTGGACTCGATTGTCCACTAGAATATGGACAGAATATAGACGGATCTATCGTCGAGGTTGACGGGTGGATTATGCCTGTTCTGGAGGTGAAGCGCATTAGGGACGCAAGGAATCACATTGTGATTGGTGTTCAAGATTATTTCTCGGATGAGCAGACAATACTTGCCTCTGAGTTAAGGTGCGGGCTGATTTTTCTCCACTATGAAGAGGCTCTCATATTCTTCCTCAAGCCCACTCGTTGCGAATATAGAAGGGATATTGTTGCTACGCACAACGGGTACCCCCAACGAAAATTCTCCACTCATCAGCACGCAAACTACGCGCCGTGCTCTACGTTCAATGGGCCATCGGTTATCATTGCGTCTCCCCGTCTTGTTGACGTCTCCTCCCTCCTCAGGAAAATCCGCCATTATATCTCACCTCGCCTCTTGCCTCTTCCCTGACTCTGACAATCATGTTGTCAATATACACCTTGCGGACACATCCTTAGACCCGCGATCGTTACTCGGTTCTTACACATCTTCACAGACTGAGCCTGGAACATTTGAGTGGAAGGAGGGCGTTTTGGTTCGAGCAATGCGAGATGGAAAATGGATTGTGTTCAGAGACATCGATCGTGGAAGCAATGAAGTTCTCGGAGTCATCAAACCACTCGTCGAGTCTCTATCTATCGACAAGTGGATCGGAGGCTGCGCGACTCTTGAAGTGCCTGGAAGAGGCCGACTTGTTGCACATCACAACTTTGCCATTTTTGCCACGCGATCGGTAGTCCCTTCACGCACGGGAAACTTTCCTAGTCCCCTGTTCTTCGGTGCCCACAAATTCAGCGAAGTCGTCATCCCGCTGCCTTCAACAGACGATCTTGTGACAATGATCGAATCAAAATTTCCTCGTCTGGCTGGAAGTGCCGCTCGAGCTTTCATATGCATGTGGGAGTCAGTAAAGGCACTGGGAACATCTACGTCTACAAGGGATGTTGGGATGCGAGAGTTGCAAAAACTATGCGTTCGCGTTGATAGATTGCTCCCCGCCTCCCACCAACCCTCGCTTCTCCCAGGAGATAAACATTTATTGTCTGACATCTTCACCGGCACTACATTCCGCGAGCACATATTCTTGGAGGCTCGCGATGTCTTCTTTGGTGCTGCAGCTTTGACAATGGCGGCACGGACACATCTTGATGCAGTTGTTGACGTCATTGGCGAGCACCTTGCACTCGAACCTGAACGACGACAATGGCTGCTGAATGGATGGGAACCAGACTTTCACCTAGAGAAGGACGTTAACGACGCGGTGGTCGCCATTAATACCGGAAACACGCGCATTGCTGCCCGAACTTTGAAGCAAGACATATTGTTGTCGCCGCCGCGACCATTTGCCATGCATCGCCCTGCTGTCCTTCTTCTGTCTCGACTTGCTACTGCTGTCTCTCTCGGGGAGCCCGTGCTGCTCACCGGAGAGACGGGTACAGGAAAAACCAGTGTTATAACTCATCTTGCATCTCTATTGAGGCGCTCACTCATCTCACTGAATTTATCTCATCAAACCGAGTCTGCGGACTTGCTGGGCGGATTTAAACCCATCGACGCTAGAATACCTGCATCTGATTTGCAGGATCGATTCTTAGACCTTTTCGGCGCTACCTTCAGTCGTCGTAAGAACGAGAAATTTGAGACGGAGGTGAGGAAAGCGGTTAGTGAAGGGAAGTGGAAGAGGGCGGTAGGCCTTTGGAAAGAAAGTGCAAAACTGGCCAGGGGACGGATTCACGGAAAGATGCAAGAATCTGCGTACGTTCACACCGAATACACTAATTCTTTTCTCATGATATATTGACAGGATCGATGAATTGGACTCTCAAACTCCAAGAAAGCGGCGAAAAGTCGATTCATCGAGTCTTAGCGCATCTGAAGCTAATTGGAATGCCTTTGAAAGCGACGTGGTGAAGTTCGAGGTCCATCATGTCCAAGGAAAGAGCAAATTTGCTTTCGGTTTCGTCGAGGGACCCTTAGTAAAGGCATTGAGAAACGGGGATTGGTACGTAACAAGCTAACATAATGCATTCTCGTCCTCATTTGCTTCAACATAGGGTATTACTGGATGAAGTTAATCTTGCCAGTTCAGAGACACTAGAATGTGTATCAAGCCTACTTCAAGGGCCGACATCTTCCATCACCTTGACAGAGCAAGGCTCCTTAGAGCCTGTTCCAAGGCATCCTGACTTCCGTCTTTTCGCCTGTATGAATCCCGCCACTGACGTTGGCAAGAAGGACCTTCCTCCCAACATTCGCTGTCGCTTTACTGAGATTGATGTTCCCCCTCCTGATGCCGACCGGGATACCCTCGTAACGATCGTCACCCAATACATCGGACATGTTGCAGTAGGCGATAAGCCTGCAATTTTTAATGTTGCAGAGTTCTATTCTGCTGTGAAACAACTGTCGGAGACTCGGCAAATAGCTGATGGCTCCAATCATCGACCCCATTACAGCATGCGTACATTGGCGAGGGCGTTGACCTTCGCTGCAGATGCCGCAAGTGCGTTCGGCTTGCGACGGGCGATCTGGGAAGGCTGTCTCATGGCGTTTACGATGGTTTTGGATGGTGCAAGCGCTGAATTGGTGACATCCCTAGCACAGAAGCACCTGTTGGCCGGTGTTCGAAATCCTCGTTCCATCCTCTCCAAAAACCCTTCACCTCCCTCCTCCCGTTCGCCAGATGACTTTGTGAAGTTCGGACCATTCTATCTTGAGAAAGGACCACTTGAACCAGATTCAGCCGACGAATACATCATGACGCCCTCGGTGGAAACGAAGCTGATTGATCTCGCGAGAATCATCCTGACACGCCGTTTTCCCATTCTCATCGAAGGACCTACGTCCAGCGGAAAGACAAGTTCGATCGAATACTTGGCGCGTCGGACCGGTCACACCTTCATTCGTATCAATAACCACGAGCACACCGATATTCAGGAGTATCTTGGGTCATATGTTCCTGAACCAGTTACCGGAAAGCTAGTTTTCCAGGATGGTTTACTCGTGCGCGCTCTTCGGAATGGCGACTGGATTGTTCTGGATGAACTAAATCTCGCGCCTACCGACGTCCTTGAGGCACTAAATCGTTTGTTGGATGATAACAGGGAACTGGTCATCCCAGAGACTCAGGAGGTTGTGAGGCCGCATCCACACTTTATGCTGTTCGCCACACAGAATCCGCCGGGGTTATATGCTGGTAGGAAGGTCTTGTCGCGTGCATTCAGGAATCGATTCCTGGAAGTGCACTTCGATGACGTCCCAGAAGCAGAGCTGGAAACAATCCTATGCATGCGATGTCGAATCGCCCCTTCGTACGGAAAGAAAATCGTTGCTGTATTCCACGAGCTACAGAATCGCCGCCAATCAGGTCGAGTGTTTGAGAGTAAACTGGGCTTTGCAACTCTTCGAGATCTCTTTCGTTGGGCAGGCCGGGACGCTATATCTTATCAGGAACTAGCAGAGAACGGATATATGTTGCTGGCAGAGCGCACACGACGGTCTGATGATAAAGCGGCGGTGAAAGATGTCATTGAGTCCGTGATGGGTGTCCGCCTAGATGAAGATGCGATGTACAACCTCCAGAATCCCGCCATCGATTTCAAAGATTTTCTTGCATGTCCAGTGCCTCAATCATCAGGTCTTATCTGGACGAGAGCAATGCAGCGCCTGTTTATCCTAGTCAGTCGTGCTTTGCGTTTCAACGAGCCGGTCCTGTTAGTCGGCGAGACAGGTTGCGGAAAGACATCCGTATGTCAAGTCATCGCAGACGCAAAACGGCAGCCACTGCACACTCTTAATTGCCACCAAGGCACAGAAACTGCCGATCTCATTGGTGGACTACGACCTGTAAGAAACCACGTGGCTTTGGAGGCTGACGTACTGCAAGAAGCCCTTGGTTTTCTTCAACAGCAGGGATATCCATCGTCCGCATCTTCGACACTGGAGATCATATTTTCCCAATTAGATTCGGCCTTACAGCTCTCGCCAGACCTACGTCCCCGAGTTGATGCGATACGACAAAAACTCCAACGCCTTAATGCTTTGTTTGAGTGGCACGATGGTCCGCTAATCGAAGCAATGATAAAGGGGGATATGTTCTTGCTCGATGAGATCTCTCTGGCGGATGACTCCGTTCTGGAACGACTAAACAGTGTCCTCGAGCCATCCAGGACAATTGTGCTAGCTGAAAAGGGTGGCGACAATCTCAGCCATTCCGCAATCAAGTCGTCAGATTCTTTTCAGCTGGTGGCGACTATGAATCCGGGTGGTGATTATGGCAAAAAGGAGCTTTCACCGGCACTACGCAATCGATTCACAGAGATATGGGTCCCCTCAGTCGACAATCGCCACGACCTTGAATTGATCGTCAACCATATGTGGCAGCACGAAGAACTACGAATCTATACCTGTGCCGTATTGGATTTTGTCGACTGGCTTTGCTCTGTCGTTGGGGACCGCTCTCTAATGAATTTACGTGACATTTTAGTGAGTCAACTCAGAAATTTGTGCGCTTTAAATGATCCTGATTCTTCATGTAGTCGTGGGTCACGTTTTCTAACAGTGTATTGTCTTCCAATGGTACAGGTGTTATCCCGGGGAACGAGATCTTCGTGAGTGTGATGCTTTTGGATCGCAGCAAAATATTTACCTCACCGTAGCACCACGCGGCTTATATGTCATACATCGATGGGCTAGGCTCACTTCCTCAGCTTTCTGGCTACTCTCATGATGCATTGCAAAAATTGAAGCACGATGCTGTCGCTAAGATGCACAATCTTGTTCCTGTCTCTGATATAGCATCGGCTGGTTTTGTTCCTTGGTACGAACCTTCAGAGTTCTTCCAGCTTGGGTCATTCGCCATTCCCCGAGGTCCTCGGCCACCCGTTTTGGATCGTTTCAATTTTCAGGCTCCCACTACACAAGATAATTCGATGCGAGTCATTCGAGCATGCCAACTTTCCAAACCTATCTTGCTTGAAGGTAGTCCAGGCGTTGGGAAGACAAGTCTGATAACTGCCTTGGCCAAAATTTCTGGCCACGAGCTTTGTCGGATAAACCTCTCTGATCAGACCGATCTTGCCGATTTGTTTGGATCAGATCTTCCGGTTGAAGGAGGTGGACCAGGAGAATTTGCCTGGAAAAATGCAGATTTTCTGGAGGCGCTCATCGAGGGTCATTGGGTGCTACTTGACGAGATGAACCTAGCCCCTCAGGCCGTTTTGGAAGGCTTGAATTCGGTATTAGACCATCGGGGAACGGTCTTTATTCCGGAACTTGGGCGCTCCTTCGTCCGACATAGCTCCTTCCGCATATTTGCTGCGCAGAACCCGTTGAACCAAGGGAGTGGACGCAAAGGTCTTCCGAAATCTTTCCTCAACCGATTTACGAAGGTATACATCGACGAGCTGCGACCTGATGATCTGCATTTGGTGTGCGGACATCTATTCCCTGACATTGACCAAGATATCCGTCGTGCCATGGTCATCTTCAATACCAAGTTAAACGATGAAGTCTCCGTTCGACGTTCATTCGGCCGAGAAGGCAGCCCCTGGGAATTCAATCTGCGTGATGTTATCAGATGGGGGTCTCTTATTCGTTCTTCAAAGAAACATCCTATCGAATATCTGCGGGCCGTTTACCTGCATCGTTTCAGAACCTTGCACGACCGTCAAGTCGCGTCGAAACTTTTTGACCAAATATTCCAGATAGAGAGCGCACGATTAACTCAAAATCCCACTTGGTCGATCACTACATCTTATATGGAAGTGGGACACTTTGCAACGCAAAGAGAGCAAACCACCTCCACCTCACGGCCTGGTCGTGTCCTCAAAATGCATCTATCCGCGTTAGAGGCAGCAGGCCACTGTCTCACGCAGTCCTGGTTGACAATCATCACCGGCGGTCGGGATGTCGGCAAGACAGCACTGGTAAGGCTTTTGGCTCATTTAACAGGAAACCTTCTGCAAGAGGTATCCATGAGTTCGGCAACTGACACTATGGATATATTGGGGAGTTTTGAACAGGTGGATTCCAATGCTGGTGTTTCCACAGTTATTCAAGATGCCGTCCGGCTTGCCGGTCAATATTCGCGTACATCATTGGGCTCTAGGGACCTATCGTCGAACTATGATACCTTAAGAAACGGGCTCCAACAATCGCGGCCGGGCGATAAAGAACTTCTTCACGCCGCTCAACAGCTGGTCACTAAGCTTCGCCAAGGCAATAATCAGGATGGCGAGCTCTCAGATCTGCAATGCAGGCTTGACCTTCTGGCAGGAAGCGTCGCAAACGCCGGACAGTTTGAGTGGCTCGACGGACCTCTCGTCCAAGCCATGAAAAAAGGACATTGGCTTCTTCTAGATGGAGCCAATCTTTGTACCCCATCCGTTTTGGACCGTCTTAATTCCGTTTGCGAAACAGATGGCTATCTCTCCCTCAATGAGCGCGGGCACGTCGACGGTAAAGTCCAAATTATAAAGGCTCACCCCAACTTCAAGCTCTTCATGTGTATCGATCCACAGCATGGCGAACTGTCTCGTGCGATGCGGAATCGAGGCATTGAAATCGCCGTCTTTCCATTACAGTTGTCCGATGACTCGCTACTGCTGCGGGATCATTCTCGTCTGCCTATTTTGGCTCCCTGCGACCATATCCAATTCGACCTCTCTCGACGGGGTCTCAACCCAGAAATGTTCACGCCGCGACTGGATACGTGCCTAGTGTCTTCAGGTCGCGTTCTGGATCAAGACTCAGCTCTTTCTAGCCTCCTTGATCATTGTTCTGCACTTCTTTGGGATCTCCCGCCGTCAACTCAGCAGGATGCTTTTATGAATTTCCTAGCTCGCTCGGTCATACCTGCATATAGCGTTTATCTTCGCCGTTTTCTCATAAATCTTGAGCAAGCAGGAAGTACTATATATTTTGCTTTGAGAAAGTTTGTCGACGCTTTTCCTGGTCCGGCTACAGACGCAATAAGTACTTTGCGTTCTCGATATTCTATGAAAAAGAGTGTTCCTTCAGCTCACCTTTTCGCGCAGGTTAGCTGCATCGTTTCAATTGCCGAATACCTTATTAATTGTCTTTGTATGTCTGTAATGAAATTGTTTAGCCGTTGGACTCCTTTGCCTGGGAAGAGCAGTTACCCGATACAGAAGCCGCTTCGAACAGCGTCGCTCTGAGGGTTTTGGATCTCGCCACATTGATGCTCTTGGATGAGTGTGAACCGTCGAATGCAAACATATCGAGTCAATTGTCCAACTTGCCAGAACGGCATGCAAAAGCTATCACCGAGATTGAAGATGTCTCGAAAGCGACACACATTGTATGCCATGAAATTCTTGGCGTCGTTGGGTCGGAGAATCGCCAGGTTGGGGTACGTCTGCAAGCGTCGTCTTACGGTTTGAATGATATCGACGAGTTTCCCAGGAATTGCTCGACATTGCACTGAAGGTCCTTATGTACGCCACGAGAATGCGTTCTGCCGCATCTCGGTCTCAGTTTGACTATTCTGCTATCCAAGCCATAGTTGGCTGGATGACTGCAGTTTTGGAGCAATGCTCATCCCAGTTTCTTTCACTTCAGGTTTGCGCACTGGTTCTACAAAATACAGTTTCGCTTTCCTCCGGTCTTGGCCTTGTAGATCTATGGTCCTCGTTTTTGAAATACGACAATGCACCAGTGGCTTCCGAGCTCGTTCACTTAGATGACTTGGTCAGTCATTTGGAAATATCGGATAAGAGCAGAGGTCGTTTCCGTTCTCTTCCTGGTTGGCTTCTCACTGAATAATTTTTAATAGACACCCGTCGAAAGACCTTCTCACTAATGGCCCTGCGTATGACAGGAAAATTACTTTCTACGGATGACGACAGCGCGGCTTTGAATCTATTAATCCAAGATGCCGAGGTAGAATCTGGGAGTATTATTTGCATTGTTTGTTACTCATTGGGCTTGTAGCAGGCAGCTCACCCTGGAATCAGGTCCGATGGTTCATTTGATGATGCTATCCTGGCGGCAGAACTTAGTCTCATCTCCATGGACCGGTCATCAGTTCGTTCTAGCGCACCCTTTAGCAAGCTTGATGGACTAACAAGGATACCTTCAGACTTCGCTGAAACGGTTTTTGCAAGCGATGTGCCGACACTCGAAGTACTCGCTAGTAAGAATTGTACCTTATCAGCATCTGCTCTGGGCGATCGATTCAAACGATGGTAAGGTGACCATACGATCTTTTCAGACTATTTTCATTCGTCATCTTTACGTCTAGAAACATCGCCCGTCGTTGTTAGAAAGCAGATCCAATGGATGAATGATATATGGGCGGGCTCCTCAAGCACTGTCAGTCCGCTATATTTCTACAAGAGTTATTGACTGACAATGCTGCAGATGGCCAGCGGTCCTTCAACCTTGCTTGGACCTACTGATCTGATATTTGTAATATCGTTGTTGTATGATCATCCTTCTTCATATTCTTTGCACGTGTCTGATTATCTATGTAGTGAGTCGACCTTTGCAATGGCGTCTTTATCAGAATATGAAGACAAGATTTCAAGAAGTGTTGAGCTACATCTGCTGCGATGCGAAAATAACACCTCTCGCTTCCATCAGATTATTTTTCTTCTTCGGTACACATTGTTACTGGTAGGATTGGACAGTATTACTCTTGGTTGCGCCATTTTAATGATCCTGCTAGATCTCGAACGCCTTTGGTTGTGCCGCAATTCCCACTGCGACTACCGCAATGGATGAGACGTCTCCCTTTGCAGGAGTTCTCACCCATTTAGAGTTGCAGAAGCACAATGTGTTTACTGATGCAGTCAGGACTTACGTTCGACCTGCTTTCGCTCGTTTCAATCTGAAATCAAACTCGCGGCGAAGAACGATGGCGGACCTCGGGCATTGCTGGATTGCCGTGGCAAAGATGATCCTACATCTTGTCATCCCTGATGTGCCTGTCGACCCCGCTGCGATCCAAAGTTGTGCATTGGCATACTCTCGCGACCAAGACACGTTATTGTCCTCTCAAATCGACCTTCACGTTCGTCTGGAACAGATGGTCACCGGGAATGCAGAAAACCCGACAACATCGTATCTTCATGCACGCCGGCGCCCCTTCTTGCAATACATCGAGCAGACACCAACATTTCCATACAGAGCAAACGTGTCCCGAATCCATATGTTCTGGTCGGAGGTCACCCAGTTTGTGAATCAAGTCGTCTCGTCCCCGAAAATCGATGGCTTGCTCCATCTCCTCGAGGCCGAAGACCCCGCAGGTGGACTTCGAGAGGAGACAACTCAGCAATCTATCCATGGTTTCCTGCAGCGCTTGGAATCCGTCTATTCCGATTTCGCAGACATCATATCTCTTCTTCGGTATTCCCTCCTTCATCTTCGCATGGGCTTGCGCATAATCAAGCACGCATTTCTTGATTGCAGTGCATCGGATGCTGTTGAGCGATTGGTCACTGCTTTGGTCTCATTCCCATCTGTTCAAAATGCATCTCTCCTGCTTCAAAGCAAAGTTTCAGTTGCCACTGCAGATATTCATCCCTTTCGACGTCTACTGCTCGAACTCTCGGCACTGGTTTATGATGCATCCACCGGTGTTGGGAAACAAGCACACGCCGGTCTGATTGAGCAAATCTATGACCAAATGATGCGCCTTTGGCTTCACGATCGTAAGAAGGAAGCCGAAGCTGAAAAGGCAGCGCAATCGTTGTATCGGACCCACGCCTCAGATTTCGTTGCCGCGAGTGAATCTGAAATCGACGAACAGGAGTTTTTGGCATTGTTCCCATCCTTTGAAGACGTTACGGAGAACGATGATGGGAAATCAAGCATTAGGAGCGGAGCACCTGTTCCATCCTTCGTTACTTCGTCACAACCCCAAGAAGTATTCGATCTCCATCAAAGACTTTTCATGCCAGACCGCCACTATCCTGACACGGATTCCAAAACATTTCTTGACCTTCGGCTACGATCACTAAAAGAATTGCAACGCCCTTTGAACGCTTTGACGGATACAATAGACGACTTGAGCCTTGCCTTCAATCTATCGCTGCTGTATGGCCGGTATATTGAGTGTAGAAAGGGCAATGTCCCAAAGTCATACAATTTCTATCTCCAGGCGAACATACCAGAGGTTAGGAAGGCTGTTGAAGTGATACAAGGGCTGCGAGAACGCCTTGAATCTCTTATTAAGGAGTGGCCAGACCAGATGGTTTTACAGCATTTGAAAGGACGCTGCGATGTCGTGCTATCACTGGACATTAATAGTCCCGTCGCCAAGGTTTTATCCGCCCTGGAGCATCTCCTGTTACAGACGGAGGACTGGGAAATCTATGCTAATCGCGATAACAACCTCAAATCCGAACGTGCGGCCATCACAAGTCTCATTGTGGAATGGCGTCGCCTGGAATTATCATGCTGGGACACACTTTTGGAGTCTGAAAGCACCAAGTTCCAATCTGGGATTTCAGAATGGTGGTTCCGTCTGTATGATGCAACGGTCCGCGGCCCACTCGACGCTTTGGAGCACGAGGAAGCGGGTGTAGACAGTGTTTCTACGTACTTCGACAATCTTCTACCACTGCTCGACGACTTCATGCGAGGCAGCCCCCTCGGTCAGTTCCATGCGAGGTTGAAGCTTCTTCGCAGCTTCGAAACATACTGCCAACTTGTAGCATCTACGAAGTCTCCATCTGGGCGCGCGACATTGGCCCGTGTTCGGTGCATACTCAAAGCGACCGCAGATTACTTCGAAATGTATTGGCCAAGCTTATCTTCCTATCTGCTCGACCAACGGTCCATGCTGGAGAAGGAGGTCAAGGGATTTGTTAAATTGGCAAGCTGGAAGGATGTGAATGTTCATGCACTGAAACAAAGTGCCCAGCGAACGCATCATCAGTTGTACAAAATCATCCGGAAGTTCCGCGACATCCTGCGCCTCCCCGTCTCTGATCGGCTTCCACCGCAATCTGTAGGCACAAGTGAAGGCGAACGTGAATCCTCAGAGCTGCTGCTACCCAATCGTAACATCGAAACTCTCCCCGTCCCAATCTTCCCTGATCATAATGACTCGGCATCGATGCCGCATCTGCTCAACCTTGATCGAACATACCACAGATTTACCGAGATCAATAACACCCGATTGCATCCTTTCATCGCATCTCTTCTGCCGCGTCATGTTGACTCGCTCGCCGTTGAGATCATCGTCCAGTCACAGAACTTGTCGACCGTTGCCATTCCGGCAGATGCAACTTCGGAAAAGCGCGAAAAGTATCAGAAAGCACTGCTTGTTCGGAAGCGGAAGGTCTGGAGTGACCTACTCAAGGAACTGAAACGCGCTGGCTTTTCCACCAGTCTACGCCCAAATACCTTGCGTGAACAGCATGACGCTCGTTGGATTAGGGAGCAACCTATCTTGCTATCGCATCACGAATCGGCCGATGCTACGATTCAAAAAAGCGAATCCTACTTCATTCGATTGCAAGGGAGCTTGACAGATTTACGCGCGTCCATTCCGAATCATCACTCCGATCTGACTACTCGTGAACTCCAGCGAGGTGTTATGTTCCTTGAATCTGGTTTTAATATGGCTATTCAGTCTAGAGCAAGGTAAGCTTCATCCAGTGTTCTATAGTTGTCAGCTCATGTTCCTTCGAGGCTGGCTACTGCGATGGAAGATTATTCGAAGTTCAAGCAAAATTTGCTTCGGATACGCATGCTCTCAACCTGTTCTGGCATTGCATATACGGGCAAGAAAGTTCTGGAAGAAATTTCAAACCTCAGAGCTGTATCTTGTCGACTGTCCAGTGCTTTGCAGGAAATTACGGGCGGTCTTACCATCCTCCGGGAAGTCGATTGCATCAACCCTGTTCCCGATTCCAGTATCCAGGAGACAAAGGACCTGCTAAATGTAGTGGAGAAATCTATCCGAGACTTGACGCTAGTCATCGATGATGTTCAGCTAACGAATGTGCCCATCCTCTTAGCAGGTACGTCTAACCGTTCAAGAATAGAGATAGTTGTTTATGATCACTGGAACAGACGAACTGCCGCTAGTCGAAAGTGCACGTAGTTGCATCAATCAAGTCGTGGCTGCACTCCCTGGTTTGGCTGAAAAATACCCTCATGCTAGACATCTTTTCGCCTCAACTACGAGCTGGCTTCAGTCTCAATCCCTTTCGCCCCTTTGTTCTGATGTAGGGGAAGCGCTTACGTCACCCATCAGCGACAATGTGATAGATGCATGTCTAGTCACTGCTCAAGGATTTATGGCCAAATGTTCTGATTCCCTTCCTCAATCTCAAGACGACGACAGAGACGCCTATATTCGAAGCGACTATGCTACCATTCACGATATGACCAAAGTTGCGAAAATTGGGGGCATGGTCGAAAACCTTGAACATCTCCTACTACGATCAGTGACTCAATCGCATGCAGAGCGGGCCAGTGCCCTCCATCGCTGTCTTCCCTTCCTCGAACAGTACAGTCTTCTTGTACAAGACCAATTGATTTCCCACTGTGCTTGGACGAAATCTCTTTTCAAACTCGACTTTGTACTCTGTTCGCTTCTTCGTAGTCTGTCGAAAGAAGGGTTTTGCAAGCCACCAGATGTCGATGAATCAGGGTCTGGAGAAGGTGCTACAGAAACTATTGACGGCTTAGGCATGGGTGAAGGATCAGGCTCCCAGAACGTCAGTAAGGAAATTCAAGAGGAGAGTCAAGTGGAGGGACTGCAGGGCGACAATGCAGATGAGAAAGACGGTGGCAACGACGAAGAGGAAGATGATGATGCTATTGAAATGGCTGATGATTTCGGTGGTGGAATGCAAGATGTTCCGGATACAGGATCTCAGGATGATTCAGGCTCCGAGGACGGTAACGACGAAAACCCCGACGAACAATTGGGTGATTTAGATGCCTCCGATCCTGATGCCGTTGACGAAAAGTTGTGGGGGGACGAAAAGGGGCCAGAGGACTCAGCGCCGGAACAGACCACTAGCAAAGATCATTCCCAACAGCAATCGGACAATTCGGAGGTTGCAGCGAAAGAGGGCAACGAGAAATTGGATTCAAAGAAGGACGAGCCACCCAAGGATGGAAAACCGGATGAGATCGATGATGAAGGTGAACAGGCTCCAGATGCCGAGCCCGAGGAAGCGGAGGAAGACCTTCAGGCCAACGGAGCTCCAATGGATGACCACATTGCCGATGCTGATACTCTGGATTTGCCTGATAACATGGATCTTGGTCTGGGGGAGGAAGACAATGATGACATGAATGTCGATGACGGCGATCTTGAAGGACCCGAAGATGATACCATGGAGCCACCGGCCGATGATAGCGCTGAGGATGCTGTAGAAGGCAAAGTCGAAGAACAGATCCAAGGCGACGATGAGATGAACGAAGACGCAGCCGACACTCAACCCGGACAAGCGGATAAATCTGATGACCACGAGGACACTTCTGGGGAAGAAGGAATAGCTCCTCCCGATGTTGGTACAGGCGACGGTGCTTCAGCTTCAACAGATAAACCACAGCAGGCTGATGGTGGGGAAAGTGCGTCGGGCGATGCTCAGGTTTCTTCAGGGGCCAGCGGAGAAACTGCTGATGCCTCAAGACAAGAAACTTCTATGGAACTAGATGGGTAAGAAAAGTCACGATCCTTGCCATCCATGAAGTTCCTGATCTTAATATTTCGCAGTCCTCGTCCTGTGGATACAGCTCAACTGCCCGATAACCCGTCAGTCGGCGAAAGCTCTGGTGCTGATGGTACTGGCCTCCAACAAAGTCAGAAAACAGTCCAAGCCAGCACCCAGACGACAAGTGATCCTATGCGTAGTATCGGTGACGCCCTAAAGGAGGTCAGGCAGCAGTTCAATGATATCCAGAACAGTGACCGGAACGACGCACCCCAAGAGAAGCCCATAAGTAGCGAAGGAACTGAGCAGCTCGAGTACCTTCGTCCTGATGATCAGGATCAGGAGATGCAAGCGCTTGGTCCAGCTGGGGAAGAGCAGAGAGCGAAGCTAAACGAGCTAAATCTACTGGATGACAAAACACACGGTGACATTGAGACACCGATGGACATCGAGATGCCGTTGCATGGGGATGATAACGTCGTTGAACCCTCTCACAAAACGCAAGACCAGGCAGACGATGATAGCGAGGAACGGCTGGAAAGTGAAGAAGGTGCTATCATGCGTAATCCGACGTATAACCTCCATTCCGATCCAAGAGGTGTTGATCCCAATGCTCCAAAAGCGGACGTTGAAATGGAAGAACATGTTCCTGACAGTGAAGTGGAGGTTCATTTACGGGATTGGCAAGAAGCAGGGTTACCTTCTGAAGGTGCTGAACGTATGTGGCGCCTCTATGAATCCTTGACGCATGATCTTGCCTATGCTCTGTGCGAGCAGCTCCGGCTTATCCTTGAACCTACTCTTGCTACTCGACTTAAAGGGGACTACCGCACAGGAAAGCGTCTGAACATGAAGAAGATCATACCCTACATCGCCAGTGACTACACCAAGGACAAGATTTGGCTCCGCCGAACCCGTCCCAGTCAGCGTGAATACCAAGTCCTTATCGCGTTGGACGATTCTCGATCAATGTCCGAATCTCATTCCGTTCATCTCGCATATCAGACACTTGCTCTTGTCTCCAAAGCTCTCACACGACTCGAAGCTGGAGATATCGGTATAGCTAAGTTTGGAGAGTCTGTGGATATCTTGCATGGGTTTACCGAAGGTGCATTCACTGATCAGACGGGGATGAAAATCATGAGCGCCTTCACTTTCAACCAGAAGGCTACGAATGTGCTTTCACTCGTTGATCGGAGTCTGGAGGTGTTGGAGAAGGCTCGGGAGAAACGGTCGTCAGCGTCATCATCGGATTTGTGGCAGCTGGAGGTCATCATATCAGATGGGATTTGCCAGGATCATGAACAGCTTCATTCGGTGCTGAGGAAAGCGGAGGAGCAAAGGGTGATGATTGTGTTCATCATCATCGACTCATTGGACACTGCGCGCGGTCTCAAGCAAGGATCCATCCTGTCCATGGAGAAAGCTGACTTCAAGAATATCGATGGTCGAATGGAGCTCCAGCTCAAGCGATATTTAGACTCTTTTCCATTTGAGTACTATGTTGTGTTGAGGGACGTGGAGGCTCTTCCAGGAGTGTTGGCAGCTACCTTGAAGCAGTTCTTCGAAAGGATATCAGAAGAGTAGTATTAGCGTGTATGAGTATAGCTAGCTTTAGAGAATGTATTATAATTCCTGTATCGCAGTAATCAATATCCTCTAAAACCTAAGAGGTCAGAGGTTAGAAAGCCGGTATGCGGTCCCTAGTGCGTGGTGTGAATATCATATATTTTGAGCATTACATCCGAATGGTGTTCGTCGTTGCCACCTGGCTAGTCCACTTTCAAGTGTAGACAGTAGGGTATGCACTGTGGTCGATGGTCAATTGATCATAGGACCAACTGTACTCTGCTCGCATCACTCAACGTGGAACGGACATGTCACATCCAAGAGGACTCAGGAGATTGCCAATATGTAAAAGAAAAAGAAAAATGCATTGATCTCCCAAAGTCCCCACAACGAACTGCAGGATCCTGAACCATTCATCATCCATAATTCAACACTGCATGATGGCTTAAATAGTGGAGGCTCAAATATTGAATTTGAAAGATATTTATTTTACTTATATTTGAGGCTAAAATAGGCAAAAGAATTTGCTAATATCTTTTCGATATTTGTGAAATTTGCCTCAAATCTTGATAAAATCAGAAATATCAAAAACATATTGTATTTATTTCTTCTATATTTTATATAGAATAGAAAATGACTAAAAATAAATATCTTTCAGTTTCAATATTCAAGCCTGATTTATTGAAGCCATCACACAGTGTCAGTGGAGAAACTGCATAATCGGAACCTTAACAAAGATATAAGTCAATGGTCATAAAGAATCATAGCAGCAACTTGTTTCGATCAAGTGACCTCGGGGTTATGGGCCCCGCGCGCTACCACTGCGCCATGCTGCTATAGTAATAGCCTGAAGTCAAAGCATATAAAAGGTCTCAAAACCGAACGAGCAGTCGCACAGTCACTCAGCGTTCCGAGTCCCTGTGTATACAGACATAGATGATGTGGATGAACAATGTCAATTTCTGACCCCCTGCTCGAAGGCTTGACATTAGACGCCTCCTCCGTATTTGGCACTTGCTCTTGTCTGTGCTAAAAAGTCGTATTCGGGAGAAGTCCCATTCGAAAATTCTGACACCATGTTGGTACCACATGAACTAGATAGCAAAGGCAGTTACTTACATTACTTCTATCCAAAAAGGCATCTAAATAATACCCATCTTACGCCTCCTTTCCAGTATTGAGTTCGACATCATCCGCACTCATCATCTGGGTCGTCTGTTTATTTACCTGCGCACATGCTCATAGCAAGCAAAGCCTCCCAGAGCGTGTTGCTGAAACCTTCGGGAACGGTGGCTACTGATCGCGATGTTCCCGAAAAATAAGGAAGGCGATCATTTGGCTGCACCGAATGTCCAATATTCCAGGTGGTGCATGCCAAGGAACGTGTCGGAGAAGATTGAAGGCTGGAGCCCCAAGGCGAAATGAGAGTGATAAACCAATGCCAATGTTTCCCGTTATCGAGAAGGGTTGTCGATGTAGTAGACCGTACTAATGAAATGTATGGGACATCTATTACCGGTTTGTAAAGTTACGAGCGGGCGAACAATCTCTCGGCAATTTTTGGATGAAAAATTAATCTTTACTCTATAGCATCAGTCGGTTTTGGTAGAATGGCAACATATCTGTACAGTCATTGGTGATTGTCCGACAGTGGATATATGGCTCCAGGAAATTAGATTGTCCAGGGAATCTGCGTCCTTTTCCACGAAGTTTCCCCAAGGGTTTCCAGGGGTGAGTGATGCCTGGGGGTTGACGCGAAAATAAAGCTGAGAAAGTATATCAGTGGCAATGCAAATAGAGGTATACGCATTGGATCTTACACGCTGCTGTGATATATGGCTTCCTGACTTGGAATAGAGACGGGCGAACCAAGCGTATTGAGCAGAGTCGATGGCAGTTGTCACTGGGAAAGTCTCGGCTGTTAGTAGAACCCATAGGTTGTAACACCTAATACTTCCTTACCAAGGTCCAAATGCCTTCGAATGTAAGGATGATCTTCTCCAAACACATCCAAGATCGTCTGTTCGTGCTCAAGGAACCAGGAATCAAAATGGGTCCCTACAAGTTCTCTGGAAAACCCCCGTCCTACCGCAAGACAGAGTGACTCCAATGTGCCACATGTCACAGGGACACTTCCGTCAGTAGGAGAAAAGAGTCCAAGACAGAAAAGCACATCGTCCCAGGCTTCAGAATATACCCCATTGTCAGACGATGCAATAGGCTCGCAATCCCAGTCCGGGAAGGAAGAATAATTCGGGTCGACGATCAGCTTTGTCACTCCACTTTCAAGGAGAGAGGGAATAGATTGGATTCGCTGATCTGTTGATGATGCGGGATCAATGGCATTGAAAAGTACGACGAACTTCCTGGTAAGGGGATTGATGTAACCGACAGATCCCACCGGAATGACCTGTTTCAACTATTGGAATATCATTGTTGTGGTCGTGATTGAAAGCTATTAGGCTTCGTGAGGAGTATGAATACGAAAAAATGTGATGACAAACAACAATATGGCCGGTGTAACCACCACGACTCGCCAAACATGGCCCGACGTGCATAGTCGTCCCTTCGTACGTCCAAAAACGGAAAATCGTACTTCTTGCAAACGACAGAGATCCAAGAGGCAGCAGAGATATCAGCTTCATTGATATTGGTAGTCAACGAAATCAAGCATTTCCACTCCTCGAGAGGCGCTATTAGGCGCTCCACTATCACAGACGTAGCCCCCATTACGGTGAGATGCCTCACTCGTTTGCCAATGGCTAATCGTTCGCATGCGCAGGGTCTGGGATAATCAAGCCGAAAATTGAAAGCCACCCAACGGCGATAGTGATAGATAATCGTTAGGTGCGTGATCTGAGGGGGTATCCAGAAGTGGGGGATGTGAACCTGAGGATCGTCCAGGAAGTCGACATAGATATGAGTCACATCTCGAGGCGGATTCGGGCCGCGGAATATTCTTCGAAGCGTAGATTCTATGGCCCTATTTGTCGCAATGGAGGGTTCGCATTTTGTATCGTAAAGTATTTGTGGCATGACCATATACTCTACCCAAATTGTTATGGTACGGCAGAGCATCGCGTTAGAAATAGTATGCATCGGCTTGACGGTATACAGATGTCCTTTACTGTAGGAGAAAGGGATCCACAAGTGAGTGGAAGTGACCTCCTTCATGATGGCTGACCACAGTCTGGAAACGAGATTACAAGTCGTGAAAAGGTCAATGCGCTTCTCAGTGTAAATCGGACACGCCCAGAGTTCGGTGAGAATAAGAGATACGAGTTCTACTGGAGCCGCCATAGTGATTTGCAGCGCTCGGAATCGTTTTTAAGTATCCGTGGTCGCAGGAACAACAATCAACTAAATTTCAGGATGGAAACAGTACGACCCCTGAGTCCCTCAGATGCTGACTAAGCTCAGATCAGGATTATGTCACCAATTAAGGTTCCATTCCACGAAGTTTTCGGACTTGGCCACAGGCCCGCAACTTGGTGCTGTTGCTTTTCCGCCGACCCTTTCGAGTCTCATTGCCAGGGGGAAGCTGGTCCTCTGGAATTCCACTCACGAGAACGTGCATAAACAAGTCTTCCCCTCCCACGTTGAAATATGTCATATATTGTTAAACTGACGCGAGCTTAGGCAGCAGGGGTTTCGATACACCGGTCCTATATAAATTTCTAGGTAGGCGCCGATGAAAACGAACAAGGGTTATTTTGGTGTACGTCCTAATACTTGCCGTGAGGCTGCTAGACTTCGTGGACCCCCATGGGAGTGTAGATTACCCACATGTCCCCGAACAATACTTCACGACATATTTTCATGGGGAAAAGTGGGCATGCCGGCGAATAGGAAAGGAAAGCTCGAGTTACCAGGTTGGAATGTCCGGTTGAAAGAATGTAGATTCGTTAGTTGTGTATATCCATAGTTTGTGCATCATATTACAAGTCGTGACTAAATCCCAGATCCCAGACAATCCATTATTGCGACTTGGCCTGCCAAAGTGAAGCGATCCAGTCCTCCACAGCCATTAGCTTGGCATAACCTTCTTCCCCCATGAAACCGCCAACGACTAGAATGAAATGGGCTATGCAAACTGTGGAAACGGTTGATGAGGAGAATATTTGAGGCAAGGGTCTTGCAACACACCTGCCGCAACCACAGACATGACGGTAGATAGCGGGAATGATTGTTCGCCCACGGACCCTTGTTTAACAGGGGCAAGAAGATCCTTAGAACTCGACTTCTTGGCGGCAGGCTGTATAGAAGCAAATATCCCATTGTTGAGCGCGAAGACAGTCTTGGCTTCTTCAGAGATGGTTTCTATGGAACACGGGGATCAACTCAAGCTGGAAGTAGACTAACGAAGCGGGCTACGTTACCTTTCACAGCCTGGTTCGCACCAGCACCCGCATCCATGCCTCCTCTGAACCAGTCCTTAATGCGTTTCATTTCTCCCAGAGACGCTGTCTTGGAGGAATGGAGCTCCTTAAAAAGGTAGAAAGACAACCCCTTGTTGTCTTCGAGTGCATAAGCTTTAGCCAGAGTATGTCGAATAGTCTGGCCACCGCTAAGATCGCCAAGATACCGCACATACGAGTGTGCTAATAAAGGAGCCGGGTCAGCTGAATTGACCAAGTCCTGTATTCGAGTCACATATTCCGTGAGAGCTGCTGGCGTGTTGGACATGAGTTCAGAATGTATCCGATGTGACTTCCACGAAGACTCGGGGACCTGAAGGAGGTGTGAAATATCGGCAGCTAGCGAAGGCGCACGCTGGAGAAGGGCCGGGTTGTAGGTGGGTTCCAGGACTGGGTGGGTGCTGTAGAGATCCAAAGCGCGCTCAAACGCACTACATGACGGGTTCAGATGTTTTCGGAAATGGGAAAGCGCTACTCACTCGTAAATGTACCACAGCATCATCAAGAAACGAGCATACTCCTCCTTGGCGAGTTCGCCTCGTAGCAGGGCGTCTGCTCCTTCACTGTGCTGAACATTCTGGTGGGCCTCCTTGGTGCCCTCCTTGAGAACGGCAGAAAGGGGCTGCGAGTAGTCTATGATAGACGGCATAGGGTGGTGATGATGATGGTAGAGGGAAAAGAGAAGATACGCACTGCGGCCTAAATTGGTTGGAGACGCTGTGATATTTATGTAACTCCGAGTCGTAGCCCACGCAGCTGGATCAAGACAATCCTGTCGCAGGAACCTCTGAGTGATGCTGATTCGGATCCGGATTTCTGTTCTGAAGGGGTAAAAAGAAGGCACTGAGCAGCGCCACGGGACGATCTGGTCTTATCAGATACAACCCGGGCAAATAACTAGAGCCCAGATCTTATCAGGATGGCCCCTATATTTCTTGACAAAGATAAGCTGATCTATTTACTAGGTAATACACTGGGGGTTTCGTAAGTAGCGAGGTGGTAGTACAACGTTTAGTGACGAAAAGCAAAAATAGGTTCCATGAGAAGTTCGAAAAAAATGCATGGGCAGATCGGAGAATATAGTCATCCATCACGACTCGGCAGAGAAATGCTGTATTATGTCGTCAGAATGAGCCAAGTCCGCAGCATCCAAACACTCACAGTTTGTATATGAGCCATCGTAGGCGTAGCAGGAATAGAAATAGCTCGAACCCGTGGGGCGACCTTTGCAGGCGATTCTCTCTCCTTCTCCTTGTCCGACAAATCGGTATCCCATTCAGGAAACCTCACCTTGAAATCGAGCGATAGCGGTACGGGCCGTAGAGGTTCCGGGTCTGAGTCTTCGCGCGTCTCGTCGACATCGACATCGGAAGTTTTGTCCGAATCGACATCACTTGCGTTCTCATAAGCTAGCGTCACAGTTGTAGACCCGTGGTTATTTGACCGCGAATGATCTAAGGGAGGGTGGTCAACCAAGGAAAAAGGGTCATCAAGATGGGAAAGATATTTGACGTACTGGGGCTCGTTCCCATGAGGACACCTCCGCCAATGACACGCCATGAGACGGGGAAGTATCCTCTTTTCATGTTCTCTTCCTTCAACGACGTGGGTTTTGGGGGCAAGTTATTATTCAAAGGCGGCCGTTCTGGCGTCGGTCCCTTCTCTCCAATTTGTTCATGGATACTACGCAATCGTTCAGATAGATGCCTAGCATTAAAATTAGACACTTACAACCGACAGGAATCACCGTTCGGACACTTCCGGTCCGCTTTGTAGTATCTACAAAGTTTAGCTAAAACGATCAATATTGAGTTCCAAGCCCTTACGGAATCGTATCAAGACGCGTACTTTTATATTTCAACGCCGCCGTAGAACATGTCTGAGAGGTCTGACGGGTAGAGGTAGGATGCCTTGAATTGAACGCGTTAGGAGCAAAGGAAGGAGAAACGATCGTTGTTTGGCCATGGACGGGAACAATAATGGGGCTCGTATAATCACGACCGTCGCGATCTTTCTCCACAGACGCGGTCTCATCGGAAGGCGAGCTAATCGGCGACGTCGGCAGAGGGAAAGGATAGCACTGATCTGGATGATGTGGAAGAGACGGCGACCATAGCGGCGGCGCTCCGCCATAGACTCCGGAAAAGGGCGGCGGAGACGCTACGTAGCACGGATAATGAAGTGGCGGCTCCCCTGCTGCCTGACTGGTTTTCAAGGAATTCTAAGAAGAGTCAGCAACAGGATATAAGTCCTGACAGTAAAAATTCACGTTTATACGGGTAGCGAACATCATTTCTTTTGATATCTGCTAGTTTGTCGCTCATAGAAGGGAGATCTAGCTGGACTTTTAGCGACTAGTGCTGTCAAAGTGAAACTTGACGCGTACCAGGGTCTACGGGGTGAACAAATCGACACCACAGGCCGTTCGAACAACTCCCCGATAGGAAGTAACGACACGCCTTGGAGCTTCGATTCACTGGTGTAGGACCGATGACGTGAGCAAAGTTGCATTCTTCGGCGGACTTGGGACATTGTGCGATCTGAAAGAACTTGCATGGTTTTGCTACAGAGCACAGAGGGAAAAGTAAGTCAGAATAAATATTCGCCAAAGCGATGAGGCTGAACACGTACTATGTCTTTTCTTGAGAGGTGGTGGTTTCTTCACTTTCTCTGTCGTAGGCAGCATTTTAGAAGGAAGGCCGGTATCGCAGACGTGATACAGCGGGCCACAGAGCTGCGTAGAGGGCGAAAGGGAAGCTTGTGCCAGACGGTTATTATTCTCCTTAAATAATAAGGGGAAAAGGATCATCGAACCCTCCGGCACCCAACTCTAATATCCGGCCTGACGCCTGCTGAAATATATGCTAGACAGAAATCAAATTGGGAAGGATTGTCTTAGTGAGTGTGAACAAGGAGAACAATGGACGCCTGCTATCCAGGCTGACGTCCACCGTTAATATTGACTGTACAATTCGTTTCCGCACCTCCCGTTCTGGAGACAAAGTTTCCCGGCACGAGGAAACCTGGAACATGAGCGGGATCTTATGAAGGCATCCGTGACAAAAGAAGGACGAGAAAGACAATAAAGACCCAGCAGATGGACTAGTCCCGGCTGATGGTATCCCGCGCTTATTGTCACTATGCTCTAATGACGAGCACACGGCCTGTACCTGTCTTATTGTTTGCCACAAATCGGGGGCTGCCACTACAAATGGCAAGTGCCGTCTATTTTCCCCGGTGGTGAATCAAAGCGTGATATTTTCAAGTACTTTTGATATTGCGTGTTGGTGTCTAGGAAACGTATATAAGTTAGTAATAACGCAGAGATGGAAGAACTATACCACGGTAATGAGCACTGGTGGCTGGAGACAACGTGTTATCTGAGTCGGAAAATATTGACGTGGACAGGGAGCTGCTGTTTACTTTATCACCACAAAAACTTTAATTTGTTGACTTCGGCATGATCGAGTCAGGCACGGCTTGTTACGACGATGCCCACCGTGAAAGAACCTCCTGAGACCCCGCCGGCGCCGCCAGAAGAGCTCGATTCTTCCGAAATTTTTTGGCGAGACATCCAGCCTTGGCTACAAAGCAGCGGATACCAACTGCGCCGGCGCTATCGTCCCAGATGGGTCCCAGCATGGAAGCAGCGCAAAACTTCGCTCTTCTGGTGGGAATTTGAAGACTCGATAAAGGCGCATGTACGTCTTCTGAATGGACGATTGGCATGGATGTTCACATTTTTCGTCTAGCACCCGTCAGTGATGGACGCAAAGCGCATTTCGGATGAGAAGCCGGTGATGCTCAAACGGATCCTCGTGTCAGAGCATCCTCACGAGGAGGAAGTAGCGAAATACCTCAGCTCCGTCTCCGATACGAAGAACCATTCAAATGTTCTCCTTGAGGTTCTTACCCCCCCTGGGGACGAGGACGTGAAGATTCTCGTCATGCCTTTGCTTCGGCGCTTTGATGATCCTCCCTTTGATACCATTGGTGAAGTCGTTGAATTTCTCCGTCAAATCTTCGAGGTATGAGGACTGCGAGCCGCATGTCATCAACTGACGTTGTAAGACATCAGGGACTTCAATTTCTGCACCATCAAAACATTGCTCACCGGCATGTCCGACGCGCCTTTTCCTTTTTCCCCCCCCCCCAGCTAATTGTCTTATTCATCTAGAGACGTGGGTGTTTTGAACATACTTATGGACGGGTCGATGTTCCCAGACGGCTATCACCCTGCGTGTCAATCGAGGACACCAGACTTCAAGCACAAAACCCGGTTCGTCTCTCGGACCAGCTCTTCGCCTCGATATTTCCTCATTGACCTTGGCTTGTCGATTCGGTTCAATGATTCCGAAAAACGCCTCGTCGTCCCTATTCGCGGAGCCGACAAGACTGTACCCGAGTTCAAAGAGCACCCAGGAGCTCTCTATGACCCATTTCCAACAGATATATACTATCTGGGTAATTTTATCAGAGAACATTTCTTCGAGGTAGACTTATCCGTTCCATTGCGGAAGGGGAGGGCTGACTATAATCACAGGGCTCGGATTCGCCGGTCAAGGCAAAGTTAGGTCTTGAGTTCATCAGACCATTAGTAGACGAAATGTGCTGCTCAGATCCACTGAAGCGACCTTGCATCGACGACGTTGTTCAGCGGTTCGAGACGATTCGACGATCGCTGCCAGAACGCAAACTCAAGTCTCGATTGGTCAATAAGGACGAAGACTTTATCGAGTCGGTAGAACTGGGCTTTGCACACTGGCGCAGGCGAATACAGCATCGTATTCACCATGATCCAGTCCCAATTCCGTAGCATACATCCCGTTCTACACCCACTGCAACTGCTTCGTTCTTTTGTGCAGATTACCCCATTATGACTTGGCTATGACCGCTCGTCAACACTTACCTACCTTTCTATACCCTCTCTTTCTACGCGCGATATCCCGTTTCAGATTTGAAATGAGGTGGGCCATCATCGCGTTCTAAATAGGCGTTGATTGCTTGTTTTGACATTACTACACTCTCAAGTTCACCGCTACCTCCATATCGATATCCAAGACTTTACAAACGATGAGTAGGTTAGAGTTGATATAAAATAATACATATACTACATTCGCAACCGTGATTGTGAGTCAAGTCCCCATTATTGAGTATCGTTAGTGTTGGTATCAGAAGTCGTAAGTAGAGGTGTTCGTTCCGTTGCGGTTTCAGGGGAGGTAGGCCGTGAATGTGATGGTGCAACGGGTGTTCGTGATTCTTCCGTCAGAACGGTCCGCGTCGCCAGATGTGGTGGCTGAGTGACATCTGCCTTGCACACCGGACACTGATGGACATGAGAAAATGGATGTCCCAAACGTAAAAAAGAGCACGTACAAGCTTTTTGCGCTGAATCAACCACTCATCCACTTCATCCAGATGAAATATGTGATGACAAGGTAGTACCCTAACCTTGTCACCCTTGGCAAACTCAGAAAGACAGATGGCACACTCTTGTTGATCCTCAAACCACGGATGCATGCCTTCAGGTTCCGGCGGTCGAGATGTAGATGGTCGCTCTGTTGATGTCTCGTGCTGCTCAGCTGACTCTACAACTCCGCGTTCAAGGTCTATCGTAGATTTCGGTGGTTGGGCAGGGTGCAAGCCTTCGCCGCCCTCATGCTTCTCCCAGCCTGCCCCCGTCCAGACTTGCCATGGCAAGTTCCGGACAATATCTTCGGGAGCACGATCGCGTTGGGCGGCTCGTGCGGCTCGAATGCGATGAATCAGAAGAGTCATGAACGTAAGAGCTGAAGGAAGCAAAAGAATAACAATAAAGGTGACAATAGGACTGAAAAGCAATGAGAGAATGCCGTTAAACGGAGTGATACGACATACGAATACCACTCCCAAGTGGAGTAGTCCGCGGTAATAAGCAAAGACAGCGTGCGGAGACCAGAATGTGAAGTGTTCGAGGCTGCAATGAGAGATGAAAGCTGTACGTAGTCAGAGTGCTTGATGTAAGTGGCAGAAATCTTGACATCAGAAGCGTCCTCTGCCAACGGGTCAAGCCATTGTCATTTCATTGGAGAGCGACGAACGCACCAGGACTGTACATGTTGACGAGCGTGTCAGGAAGTCCTGAGATGTTCGGATTTTCTCCTCCGACAACGACAGCTCGTGCTCCCAGCCGCTGGGCCTCTCGGACCTTGTTCACGAATTCGCATTTGCCTCGCTGTACAAGAGCTATCCACGTCTCAGACGGGTCTGGCTCGTATGGCCCGCTCAAACACAATCGAGGACATCCGGTATTGGGACGGGGGTCAGATACAGAAGGATCCGTTGAGCATGGCGTCGTGAAGGAGTTGACTGGGATCACATAGCCCAAAATCGGTCCTGTAATTTCGGCTCCAAATGCAGCTACAGAACGTAGTAAGCACTACATATTTGGCTTGAGATGAAGAAGTTACCCGGCCGCGAAGAAAAAGAAATAACGGGAGAACGATCTACAACAGAGACAGTGCTTTCAGCACCCCATGCCCAGCCCCACCAGCTCTTCTCCGACCGCGATCCAAACGAGAATATGTGCCGTGGACGAACGCTGGAGACAAGAGAGAGTACGAGAATGGGGCAGAGCAATCTGCGCATGGTGGTTGTCGTGAAGTCTGAGGATCGCCTAGATTGCTCTGGTATTCCGCAAGTGACGAGTATTCCACGTGCTTCATCACTCGATGTCTCTCAGTTTTACAAGAATGTTGCATATCTGGGGCTTTATTATCGAAACTACTGGGGTCTTTATATCATGGAAATAGGGTGCGAAATGGGTAGTCTACTGTAAAATGTCAATCCGACCTTACCATGCTTCTACCGTCCCTGTTTGTACACTTCCGCGCGAATTTATGCGATGTACTATATCGGGACAGTCGCGGTCAAATCAAAGGAACCAAAAAATTCTTGTGGATCTTCATTTTGTTTTCTCCTCAGAAAAGGCGCGCGGATTATGCTCCATTTTATACAGAGACAATGCCTGAACAGGCCCTTTCGTCTCTATCGAGCATTGTCTACTGCTTCTCAAGGAACAGAAACCGTTAACAAGGACGGCGAATCCTTCCTACGGCAGCAACGGACCCCAACCCCACGCTCACCGTATACTCGTTCCCTCTATGTTTATGACCTTCCAGAGGACTACGATCCTGCAACCGTGGTAAGGGCTATTGGAGAAGAGCCCATACACCGAATCAGCCTCGGTGAGGATACCATGTATGTGAACTTTTGGACACCCGCACAAGCCTCCCGAGTTTTGAATCGCACTGGTGGGATATTGATGGTCCAGGGGATGGATGCTTCTATCAGATTCAACAAAACTGCTCAGGACACCCTAACAGCTAGTTCTGTTGCTCATCTGGGCATTGCGCATACTACGCGCGCACTCTTTGTGTTCGGGGAGTCCGTGCAGGAAAAGTCCTTGGAAGAGTGGAGGAAGTTAGCTCTTCAGTACGGGCCATTGGAAAGTGTAAATTTCGGGACACAAAAGGACAACTCACCGTTTGTCGTTATCACATTTTTGTCCGCTGAACACGCTCGTAAGGTATAGTCAAACATATACTCAACAGTATTGCCCACACTGACATTTCGTTGTATAGGCCATGTCAGGACTGAAACATAGGCATACTGTCAAGTATCGGCGTGACTATGAGGCTGCGAATAGGCCTGACGTCCAGAGACGCGTCTTGCTGTCAGGACTTAACTCTACTCTTTCCACGACCGTCTTGACGAACCATATACTCGATACGATTGCATCGATTGGCCACGGAGAGAAGATAATCAAACTAAGTCGCAGCGGCCCTAGGATTGGCAAAGCGGTGGGCAAACCTGATTTTGTCTGCTTCTATTCATTGACATTACTTCTTAGGTCGTCGACTTCACCTTGCCTTCTCAAGCGAAATCTTTTTTTCGATTCTTTCAAAACTGCGAATTCGAATCCATACGGACTGACGGTGGAACTACAGTCAATTCGGCCTATATCTCCATCCCTGTACCAAGCAATCTACAGCGGTGCCAACAGAACTATCCGTTTGTACACGAACAAGCAGGAAATTCCCAGGACAAAATTAATGGACGACTTAAATTCGATGGGGCATATCGCCCAAGTGTATTCAAAGGAGTACGTATATTACCTTTCCTCAACGCTACTGACGCCTAACTAATGCGTCGTCTGTTTGCAGAGGAATAGCACTCATTACTTTCAGCTCAATCTTCGACGCGCTCAAAGCTGTCAGCGACCTTGCAGCAGGACGGCACAATCTTGGTGATTATACGGGCCTTTCAGTATCGTTTTCCAAGAACGACCTCCAGGCAATCCTGAAGCCGGCCGTTATTGCTGAGCCGGAAGGCATCAATGGTGAGGAAGATGTTGAAAGAGAGATTGCGGGAAAGGGATCTGATCCTGCGGACATTATTGCTAATGTTATGGCCTCAGAAAACTCTGCGACCACATCTGTGGATGACGGTGCCTTTAAGCAGATACTGGAAACAATACCTGCTGAACAGGAGACTGCAGATGTAGCTGCGGAGAGTCCAGCCAAGGCAGAGCCAGCACCACCCAATACCAGCACTTGAATTAAAATTACATTATTTGAAAATAGTTCTAATTGATGACGTCACCTCGCTCGCTGTGTTACTTTCGGAGTTGAATATTTCTCGTTCTTCTTCCTTTCGTGCCACCTGTCTATCTCTGCTGACACGTTGAGAAAGTTCCAGTAAAATTCAGCTGAAAAAGGCGCCAGTCACTTGTCCACCTCCCACATGTAAAGTTTGGACTCAGTTACGATGGTGAATCACACTCCATCGCCAGCGCGGCGACGACCATACGCTTTCTTCGTTCACCTGATCCTATTTCTTTCGGTGCCGATAGCTTTGCTCTATTTCTCGGAGATATCTTTGATTAAGTCAGCTTGGTATGAGTATAAATATAGCATTGGCATTGGCGCCTTTGACAGCAACCACGACCTCACCAGCAATATGCGTGCCCTCTTCGTCTACTGTGTTGGTCTCTTTACTTCGGTTTGGGCTCAGTCGAGTGCCGTCGATGCATATATTGCCTCAGAGTCACCTATAGCCAAGGCCGGAATATTAGCGAATATCGGACCCAATGGTTCCAAGTCATCAGGAGCAAAGGTACGCATCGGTTCTGCTGGTCTTTACGACGCGTACTGACGCGATTTTTTCATCAGGCAGGCGTTGTGATTGCCAGTCCCAGCACTTCCAACCCAGACTACTTGTATACTTGGACCAGAGACTCCTCGTTGGTTTTCAAAGCGCTCATTGATCAGTAAGGTGCTCCCTTTGCATGTCATCGTCGTCTTACCGACATGTAATGCAGATACACGTCAGGTCTGGACACCACTTTGCGTACTGAAATTGACAATTTCGTCTCTGCGGAAGCCACTGTTCAGCAAGTGTCAAACCCCAGTGGAACGGTCTCGACTGGCGGTCTTGGCGAGCCAAAGTTCAATATTGATCTGACAGCATTCACGGGCTCCTGGGGAAGACCACAACGGGGTATATGCGCTCCATCTCTCCTGTCGGAGCTTTTCTGATGGTCTACAGACGGACCGGCCCTTCGCGCCACCGCCATGATTTCATATGCTAATTGGCTCGTCGCTAACGACAACACCTCCTACGTATCCAGCACCTTGTGGCCCGTCATCGAGCTTGATCTGGGATATGTCGTCACCTATTGGAACCAAACGGGGTATGGATATGTTCCATTGTCATGATTGCATGCCACTGAAAGTCGGCGTAGCTTTGACTTGTGGGAGGAAGTCTCTTCTTCGTCATTCTTTACCAGTGCTGTCCAACATCGTTCACTGCGAGAGGGCGCCACGCTAGCTACTGCCCTGGGGGATACCACTCTTGCTACTCAATATAGCACCCAGGCAGACAATATTTTGTGTTTCATACAGGTAATGGACTCTTTCGAATCCCTCCATTACAAGGAAGACTGACGTTGATGGACAGTCGTACTGGAACCCCACTAGCCTCTTCATGACAGCCAACACTGGCGGCGGTCGTTCCGGAAAAGATGCCAATACGGCTTTGGCTTCCATTCATACCTTTGACCCCTCGGCTGGATGTGATGCCGTTACCTTCCAACCTTGCTCTGACAAAGCATTATCGAGTTTGAAAGTGTACATTGATGCTTTCTGGTCGATCTACACTATCAATAGTGGTATTGCTTCAAATGTGGCTGTCGCTACCGGCAGGTATCCAGAAGATTCGTATCAGGGAGGAAACGTCAGTTTTCATACTTTTTCTCAGTTTTTTTGCCAAATCGCTCATTGTCATCCATTAGCCTTGGTATCTGACAACAGCTGCGGTTGCGGAACAACTCTACGATGCAATAATTGTCTGGAAGCAGACAGGATCCATCGAAGTCACCTCCACGTCCCTAGCCTTCTTCACTCAATTCTCCTCTTCAATCACAACAGGCGTGTACGACTCGTCCACCACGACATACAGCGACTTGCTGACTGCGGTTCAAACGTTTGCTGATGGTTTCTTGGCTATCAATGCCCAATATACACCTTCGGACGGTGGGCTTGCCGAGCAGTTCAGCAGGAGCGATGGGTCGCCTTTGAGCGCTGTAGACTTGACGTGGAGCTATGCAGCAACACTGACAGCGTTTGGCGCCAGGGCAGGCGTGGCACCTGCTTCATGGGGTGCGAGTGGGCTGACGGTGCCATCTTCTTGCTCCACTAGCTCAGGCGGTAGCGGCGGCAGCACAGTGAGTATTACATTCAACGAAGTTGCTACGACGGTTTGGGGAGGTGAGTGATTCACTTCTTATCCGACCACCTCTAAGTCGTATGTCATTACTTAGAAAATATTTACTTGACCGGGTCGATTGATGCTCTGCAAGACTGGTCTACGAGTACCGCGCTTTTGCTGAACACTGATAATTACCCTACTTGGAGCAGTGAGTCTTCCTAACTTTCATTCGATGCTTTGATGGTACTCATGTTTCCTGTCAGTTACACTGGACCTACCGGCGTCAACTACCTTCCAGTACAAGTTCATTCGCATCTACAACGGTGTGGTAACTTGGGAGTCTGACCCCAACAGAGAATTCACCACTCCAGCTTCGGGATCGGACATTATTAATGACACGTGGCGTTGATAACTTGAATATTGTGCTGGATGATACTGCATATCAAAATCGTGTAGGAATACCTGTAAACAACTGAGCAACTAAAAGATGCTTTTCCTTGGCTTTTCCTGTTGAGAAAGTCGTGGAAAATATCGGAATTGGTCGGACCGATTTTGCCGGCGCCCAGAGTGATGACGTATGACGGCTTACCTCTTCACGACATAACATTCAACAACTCTCCTGTATCTCTTCCACGACTACTCACTAATCTTAGCCTCGACCGTACTTTCATTATAAATCGCAATGTCTATGCTAGACAAGTTCAAGAAAGGAGCGCAGAAGGCAGGCATCCAAGCAACGGCCTTTGTGCAGGCGAGTTCAACAAAGGTAGCCAGCGGGTCAAGGGACTTTGTGCACGGGTTCAGCCTTCCTGGAGAGGCAGAGAAAGCGGCAAAGATTCTTGATAGCTTTTTGGGTGCGTCGTACTCAATGCTTGCTGCGCCCGTACTAACTTGGTCTCGGCGTTAGCTGATCCCGAACGACCAGAGTCGGCGCTAAACTCGATTCCAAAGGCTGTTCTACACGGTGCACGGGGTGCGTACCCATATCATCTACTTGCTAAGAATTACCTTTTATGTTGTTCTGTTATTATAGGGCTGGCTATCTTCCAAGTCATAAAGGCAGGCTTCGTCTTCTCAGGGAAAGCCGGCTCAGGCCTCGTCATTGCGCGCCTCCCAGATGGTTCATGGTCCGCACCCTCGTGCATCGCAACTGGGGGCCTGGGCTGGGGCCTCCAGATAGGCGCCGACATCACCGATTTCGTCGTCGTGCTCAACAGCGAAGACGCCGTTCGTGCGTTCTCAATCGGCGGCAATGTAACCATCGGTGGAAATATCAGCGCTGCTGCGGGACCCATCGGAACGGGAGGAAGCGTTCAAGCGTCATTGGCGCACCCGGCACCTATGTTCTCGTATTCCAAGTCGAAGGGTGCGTTGGTTGGTATGTTTATCGCGACTGTTGCTTACAGGGTGCATAGGTCTATTTGCGGGGCTATCACTTGAGGGAACCGTCCTCATCGAGCGCAAGGATGCTAATCGTGAATTCTATGGCTCACCGGTGCCTGCTCGGGACATTCTCGGTGGCCGTGTCCCTCCACCCGAGGTAGCCTCCAAACTTTATGAGATCATTGAAGCTGCGGAGGGACTAGATGAGTCGGGGTTACCAGAAGCAGCCTATGTACCCACCGCTACTGGAGACCATATCCAGATGAACAGGGATGGAAACCATACGGTCTTCGATGCTGACGGTCACTGAATTCATTATTCGATGGTGGGCCTACCTGGATCCTGACAGTGTAGAGAGAACCGCCAACTTTCTTTATGAGTTTTCTCATTTTAAAGCCTCCATATTCACATCGATATCCCCATTTCTAGTGCTATCATTCTCCACTTGTACAACCTGATTAATGAACAGGATATTTATCTGCCAAAACGGATCAATTAGGCCGTTTAGATGGATGGTAAGATCACATAGCATAACTTTAAGGTCCGTAAGATATCATTTGATAAGATCCCCGTAGCTGCGTATTAGACTGACGACATACGTAGTAGTCCAAAGGCTTTAGGTAAATAAATATATAGCTAGCAGCTCGTACATAATCTATATCCCTTACACATTGCCGCTCAAGCGAGCAGTGACGAAATCGGAATGCGCTGCAATCCATTAGAATTTACCGGTAAAGAGAAAACTGCTAAACATACCCTCAGTCGGGTCGGTCGTGGACAGGAGTTGGATGTAAGGATCTCCACGGTTGCTTATATCACTTCCATTACCTACGAAGTCTCCAAAGTTGAAGACGGCGTAAACATTGCGAACTATGATACTGACTTTCAGTACCAAGCATGAATAACTAGCGCATTACTCACGGAACGACATTCCGAGAATCATATCGTACGTTGCACCCGACGCCGAAGAAAAGATAGGTTGAAACTGTGTATTCAACGTCAAGGACGATAAAGTGCTTGGGTGCAGTGTGTACGCACCGAGCCAATGCACGACGACTGGTTTTTTGAGTTCACAAGGTCGGTTAATCCCCATAGAGATGGATCCCTAGGGAAGTTGTTAGCTGCGTACTGATAGAGAGAACAAGAAACCATACATCGTAGCATCCAGGGGATGTATATGGTAGCTATTACCGCTAAATTTGAATGTAATGTTTACTTCTTCATCGCAAGGTACAATCCATACATCGCCAACGCCTGTTATATTAACTTGGTATTCTGCACCAGAGAAGCGACTGTATATCGCATCAGCAACAGATCTGATTCAACAAGTAAATTTATCAGACTTTTCCCTGAAGATAAACCATATTCACGTACTTAGGTACCAGGTTCAATGAAGTACCACTGTCTACAACGACAGTCGCCTGCTTTGAGTTTGATGTCCCATCCACCTCGGTGGTGATAGATACTGGCTGTCCGTCTGGTCCTAATAAGCCGTCCTGGTCTAATAGGACCTGGAAATGCTGAGCGGCGGGGTAGTCGCGAGCAGTGAGTCTGGTGACCTCGAGTTTCGGTTCACTCTCGACATGACTATATCCGTCTAAAAGCTCTCCGATTGATATCTCACCGGGAAAGACATCGGCTGGATCTACACCAACATGAGCCATTGATTACCGAGAGGCACGATCGATCACGTACCTTCAGCGCGTCCCAGAAGCACCGTCAAATAGTTTGGTGTTGATGTGTTTTGCAGAAATATACGGTCCAGCACCGCGTATCCGGCTGAGGTATTCAATGTATTGTAGATGTTGGACCCGGATGTCGGTCCAAGGCCTATCAGTCCTATTCCTTCCTCATGGTCATCGTCTGGCGTGACTTCCACTGTACTTCTGGGTAAAAAAATTTCAATCGTAGGAAATAACATGACATACTGAATGCTTGATCCCGTACGGTGTATTTGGCAAATTCAAGAGTTGAAGTTTTTATGGGCCCTGGTAGCAGTAAGGATGGGGACTTGGACTACTGAACAGGTGATACTCGCCTTTCGCTTCACCAATACCATAGATGAGCTCAGAGTTCGCCCCAGTGTCGACACTATCCGTAATACTACCTGCAACCCACAAGTCTGAACTAAGACAGCCATGAGTACGGAGAAAAGGTACTATAGGGGTAGTAACCTACCTCCCGGTATCGACAAGCACTGAAAAGACTTCCCCACCAAGCGTCAAGTTCGTATAATAGCGTAAATCCGCAATATTGATCAAGGTAGAGGTCCCATTGATGTTTCCCCGTTGTAGGAGTTCATGTCGAGTTTGAACATCGTGTCGGCCTTCAATCTTCAGTTGCAATCCAGAGGAGTAGGCAGCAAGGCATAACAAGGGCAAGAACGTCGTAGTGGCCATAGTGATGAGGAGACGAGGATGACAGTCGCTTGTTTTTATCCTCCTGGTGTCCCTATAAACATTCTGATGAAACGACAGGAAGTAAAGTAGAGGAAATGGCAGTGCGTGGCAACGTTGCGAAAAGAAATAGGATATAAACCAGAAGGACACAGAAGAAGTCACCAGGCAGTGTAGTGAAGCGGGAGCTACAAGCGGCTGTACATCAGCATCATGCCCCACAATAACTTCCGACGTTCAACTTTTTGATGCTTGCTATAGAGGAAGTCGCCTGCTCAGGAGGTAGAGAACGAAAGAGCAGTTAAACAAGTTATGTTTCCCTTCTTTCCTCGTCTTTTCTGTAGGTAGGGTAGTCGTGTGAAAGCGCGACGCCATTTAGCATCACAGAAAGATTAATAGAATCCTGCACGAGAGTTCTACCTTTCGTAGAGCCGCTGGGTGGAATAGCACAGCAATCATAATGAGTACTAGTGGCACAGTTCTGAATGGTCAGATGGTCAGCGTCCCGCGTTCATGCTTCTTCGCCCATAAAAATGAGTGATGGAGGTTACCATAGGTTTTCATCCATGATATTAGAGAGACAAGAATACACGCTTGGTTTCGAAGCGAGCTAAAGGAAGATGATGGTGAGTGGAAGACCTATACTTAGTAACCGATCGTCTCGATGATCGTGCTCTTGGCGCTCTGGTGCAACAATTAGGGATGACCACCATACCCGTACACGAGTACTTAACACGTACGGGCGACCCGTAACCGTACCGTAATGGTCTTTTTTTGAACGCTCGACGGTATAGTACGGCCGTAAAACGGTGATACGGGCGATACTGCCAACGCCCTACCCAGTTGTGGTATAAATTGTACCGGGTGAGGTGTAAGGAATGGAAAATTCCTTGGAACAGTACTTCCACACTGATCACCTTTCAAAGCAACCTCAACTACTGTGAAACCTTCTAAATGCCAGTGGGGCGGTGAGACTTTCGCACCTCCTCTCGAGGTAGCCTCCAAGCTTTATGAAAACATTGAAGCAGCGGAGGGAATAAATAGAGATCACACCCAGATGGACTGGGCTGGAAACCATATGGTTTCGACGCTGATGGTCATTATTCGACGATTGGTCCTATCCGGATCATGGTGGAGAAAGAACTGCAACATTCTGTAGTTTCCTCGTTTTCCATGCCTCCATATTGACGTTTGAGATATCTCCGTTTTTAATGCTATCCATCTCCACCTGGTTAATAAACAGGATATAAACAGATAAAAAATTAGGCCGTTCAGATGGGTGGTAAGATTGCATAGCATATATAAGGTCCGTAAGGCATTATTTGATGAGATCCTCGTATTGCGTCGACGGCACACGTAGCAGTTCAAAGATGCAGATAAGCAAGTATTAATAAATTACAAACTTAGCGCTAGCGGTCCGTACCCAACTCATATCCCTTACACATTACTTGCCGCTCAAGCTAGCAGCGACGAAATCGGAATGCGCTGCGATGCATTAGAATTCATCGGTAAATGATAGACCGCGAAACTTGCCTTCAATAGGGTCAGTCGTAGATAGGAATTGAAGGTAAGGATCTCCACGATTGCTTGTATCATTTCCACCAGCTACGAAGTCTCCAAAGTTGAAGGCGGCGTAAACATTGCGAACTATGATACTGACTTTCAGTACCAAGCATGCATAACTAGCGCATTACTCACGGAACGACATTCCGAGAATCATATCGTACGTTTTCCCTGACGCCGAAGAACTGATTGGTTGAAACTATTGATATATAACATCAAGGACGGTAAAGTGCTTGAGAGCAGTTTGTACGTACCGAGCCTATGCACAACGGTTGATTTTTTGAATTCACAAGGCCGGTGTATCCTAATATAGATGGATCCCTAGAAAGTTGTTAGCCGCGTACTGACAGAGAGAACAAGAAACCATACATCGTAGCGCCCAGGGGATGTATATGGATGCTATTACCGCCGAACTTGAATGTAATGTTTATTTCTGCGCCACAAGGTACAATCCAGAATTCGCCGTTTTCTGCTGTAGTAAGGTACTCAGCGCCAAAGAAGCGACTGTATATTGCATCCGCAACAGTTCTGATTCAGCAGATAAATTTACCAGACTTTCCCTTGAAGATAGACCATATTCACGTACCGGGGTACTTGGCTCAACGAAAAACCACAGTCTATGACGACAGTAGCCTGTTTTGAATTCGATGACCTATCCACCTTGGTGGTGATAGATACTGGCTGTCCGTCTAGTCCTAGTAAGCCGTCCTGGTCTAATAGGACCTGGAAATGCTGAACAGCGGTGTAGTCGTTGACAGGGACTTTGATGACCTCTAGTCTCGGTTGACTCTCGACATGACTATAACCGTCTAAAAGCTCTCCGATTGATATCTCACCGGAAACGACCTCTGCAGGATCTACGCCAATATGAGTCATTGATTAACGAGAAGGACGATCAATCACGTACCTTCGGTGCGTCCCAGAAGCACCGTCAGGTAGTTTGGGGTTGATGTGTTTTGTAGAAATATACGGTCCAGCACCGCGAATCCGGCTGAGGTATTCAATGTATTGTAGATGTTGGACCCGGATGTCGGTCCAAGGCCTATCACTCCTTTTCCTTTCTTGTTGTCAGTGTCGGGCGTGACTTCCACTATACTTCTGGGTAGGAAAACTTCAATCGTAGGAAATAGCATGACATACTGAACGCTTGATCCCGTACGGTGTATCTGGAAAATTCAAGAGTTGAAGTTTTTATGGGCCCTGGTAGCAGTAAGAACGGAGACTTGGACTACCGAACAGGTGATACTCACCTTTCGCTCCACCAATAGCATATGTGACCCCAGAAGTCGCGCCAGCGTCGATGCTATCCATAACACTGCCTGCAACCTATAAGTCTGCACTAAGACGACAATGAGTACAGAGAGAACGTCCTACAAAGGTAGTAACCTACCTTCCAGTATCGACAAGCGCTGAAAAGACTTCCCTACCAAGTTTCAATGTCGTATAATAGCTCATATCTGCAGTATCGCTCAAGGGAGAGGTCCCGGTAATGTTTCCTCGTCGTAGGAGTTCATGTCGAGTATTAAGATTGCGTCGGCCTTCAATCTTCAGTTCCAATCCAGAGGAGTAGGCAGTAAGGTACAGAAAGGTCAAGAGCGCCGTCGTAGTAGCTATGGTCGTGGTAGAGAGACGTGGATACTCGTCGCTTGGCCTTATCCTCCTGATGCCGCCATTATAAACCCCGGAAAGCAAAGTAAAGGAAAATGGTAGTGCGCGGAAAGACATGATACACTTGCGGGAATAATGACAGATATGAACCAGAAGGATACGGACGAGGTCAGCGGGCACTGTAGCAGCGAAGCGGGAGCTGCAAGCGGCTGTACTTCGACACCACCTCCCAAGACAACTTCCGATACCTAACCTGACGCCCACCGGTGAAAGCGCTCGCCCTAGAGGGAGCCGCTTGATCACGAGATGGGGAAGGAAAGGGTAGTTAGACAAATTATGTTTCTCTTTTTTCATCTTTTCCGTATGAAGCAGGGTGATATGAAGACACGACACTATTTAGCACCACAAAAAGAGTAATAGAATTATGCACGAGAAATCTACCTTTCGTAGAGCTGCAAAGTAGAATAGCATAGCAATGAGTAGTGGCACTGTCCTAAACAGTCGTAGCGTACCTGCCGGATGCCTCGGTGTCTTCGCCCATAACGACACGTTTTCGCCAATATAGATCTTCACCGTCATCAACTAGGGTGGTAAAGAGACAAGAATAGGCGTTTGATTTCACTGCCCTGGTATTTTTATAAAAAATTCAGCGGGAGCGAACTAAAGGAAAATGGCGGTGCAAGACTGAGACCTATCCTTAGCAACCGATCGTCTTGATCGTGCAATCAATGGTCCGATCGATGATCCATATTGACCGCCGTTAGAGGCAATGCAAGGAGCATACTCTCGAATACAGGAAAATAGTATTTCTCCAGCGACTCGAAGAGATTGATATATTGAAGTGGGCGTCTCTGTTCGACAGGGTAGGAGCGGGTATCGCTCTGTTAATATGGTGACGGTATTCCCATTTTTAGCGCTACCACTTACACAACCTGATTAATGAATTGGATATGTATCTGCCAAAATAAATCGATTAGACCGTTTAGATGAATAGTGAGATTACAAAGTATGTAATTACAAGGTCCATAAGGTATGATCATCTAGAAGTACTTGTCCCAGAATCCGACTGTACCATTTGTGTGCGCCGCATGCTGTTCGATTCCCAACAACTTCATAACGAGGTTGTATACTTCTACATTCTGGAATGTGTTCATGACATAGGTGTCATCGGAGGTGGAGTGCCAACCCTTGTTGGGCCTGGATAAGAAACGAGCTGAGAGTGACCGGCCGTGATGCAACGCCTTCACAACAGCAGAGAAAGGGCCGTGCGCGACGAACATGGCGTGCATGGATGGTTCCTTGTTGTCGTATCCGTGGTTCTGAGAGACCAATTAGGTCGCGAAGCATCGACAAGTTAAACTACATACGCCTTTGGACATGCCGGTGTTACCCTCTGCCTTGGTTGTCAAAGAATATCCAATCTTGGGAACCACATATATAGGCGCAATTCTATCATTGTTGGTAAAATGATACCTCTCTGGCATCGTTTCATGAGTGTAGACATCGAATTTCTCTGGATTTTCGTCTGATGCCTTGAGGAGAAGCTCGAGATAGTGTGATGCATTGGCTTCCGGGTAAAACCTCAGTCCCATAGAGGGCCACCCGTCTTCATGTTGAATCATGGTAAGGCCCTCTTCGCCAATGATGTTGTCCATGTACACCAGCTCGGGGTGACTGGTGTCCGTCATCCCATGGTCGCTGACGAAGACGATGTCGACAATGTCAGTAAGATTACGTTGTTCAAGAGCAGTATGCAAGTCTTTTGCAAACGTATCCACTTGACCAAGGGTTTTCTGCCAAAGATCAGCAGCTAGAAAACATTGGATCGGGCGACTTACATTGACTGCTGCGGACATAGGTCCCGTTGCATGGCCGGCTTGGTCCAATGACGGTTCGTACCCTGGTTGGTTTGAGCACAAGGTAATGAGATAAAGAACAAACGTAATACCCATAATCAACTGAGGTCGTTCTTCGAAAGGAAGATCTATCCAAGCTAGGAGCTGTTCAAGCTTTTCAGCAAGAGGGACTCTATCCTGTGTATCGATGAGTTCGGGTATGAGGTAACAATAACGATGTGTTTACCCTCCAAGGAATAAAGTAGGTAGGAACGGCTCCAGAACTCGTCTTGGGCGGGCCCGGCCTAACACCATTGAACATGAAATCATAATCCGAACTCGTAGTCCCTTACCACATCAGATTTGCTGTGATGATTCCTGCCTTTCCAGCAGATTCCCACATCTACGGCACAAATTCAGGCATTTCTGTAATACCAAGAGACTAGCAAGCTTACCGGTTCGCCAAACCACCAATCTGGTTTCCAAGACGATGCTTCCTGGTTGTAATGGAACTCTTCATTACTTGCCGGATCCCAAAAATTCTGTGTCACAATCAGCTATGGAAAAGACTCCGCGAGTGAGGAACGTACGTTAGCTACTATGCCGTGGGATTCGGCGTATAGACCAGTCCTAGGCTGCGGTTCAGAGAAAACGCGACCCTGCATTCGATGGTACACACATCAAAGCCCAATGATTGCTGAAGACGAGGTCAGACATTGGGTGCAGAGGAGCGATTTGTAACTCACGGGAACGTCAAAGTCTGTTACGGTGTTAAAGCCGGCATTAGAGAAAGGCTATTTATCCAACGAATAGGACGGTACCGGAAAAATCGGCTTCATGGCCTTGGCTCGCAGTCCCTTCTTACTGATATCAAGGAGATGAGGTGTCAGCCCTCGGTCGAGGTAGTCCGCCCTAATTCAAGCTTGTGAGTATCAGTTGGAGTCATACTACTACTGCCAAACGTACCGTAAGCCGTCTATAGATATAATGAGCACAGTCCTCTTGAAATCATGCGTCCCGTTCGACCGAAGTTCTTCGCCATGGAAATGGAGATTTGGGTGAGAGTAAGGAGTTCTTGAGCAGACAAGCGACCGGGCAAACGTTCCGCAGATAAGCAACAGTATGAATGACGCGGCAACACCGACAATTCTGTTCCTCGGCCATGCTGGGTGCAACGTGCCTTCACCTTTCTCGCATTGGGACTGAAATGATTGAGATCCAGAGAGCAGACCTTCTCGTTCCTCGTTCCTCTCCTCCCTGACCATGTCGAAGCGCGACTTGGAAGGACTGTCAAAGACAGGCATAATGGCGGTGGTAGGCGAAGAGGGGAACCCAAAAATAGAAGGGTGTGTTTGTCCGGAGATTGCCGACCTTTCTTGCTCCTCTACAGACGAAACAGTGAGCATTGGTCTGTTTATATGGGATATTCCTTGGTACAACTTCCGACATCAACTGAACTGGAAATACGAGTAGGGAGCACCAACGACGCCGGGCCGCTTCTCAAAGAAGGTTCTTGTAGCTCGATTCTCTCTGGTGTTGTGTGTTGCACTTATAAAGAATGTAAACCATATTTTCAAGCTTCGTTACTATATTTTTTTTTTTCAGCAATCTACTTATACTCATATACACCAAGGGTTCCACATTTCACTCACTGTACAAATCCAACTCTACTAAATGCGCAGTCCCATGAATACATGTAAAATAAGTAAACAGTGCGTATATCCAAATAAGGATGGAAGCATTAACAGATATCACTAAGCCTCATAGCAGGAAAGCGCCCTCATTAATGTCACCGAGCGCCGTCCCATGGATTTTGATAAGATCCCCCGTACTGCACGGACGGCATATGTTGGCTATGTTGTGGATCGTACAACTGGGCCTGAGCAGGCATCTGCGGTCGATCGTGATACGGTTCTGACGAAGCATAGTCGTACTGTGGCGGTAGACTGTATCGTGGAGGGTTCGCATGAAGCTGCATATCCACGGGAGGCGATGGCGACGATATTGGACGATAAGATGTGCTGCCCCGCTTTTTCCGTCGATTCATAAAGAAAGCGCACACCATAAGGAGGAGACCAAGACCGAGAACACCGGCGGCGATACCAAAATATACGGCCCTGGGAAGACCACCGCTGCCACTGGAAGTTGGACCATTGAGGGTCTGGCCGCCGGTAGTATCGTTACCGTTCAAGCGGACAGTGACGAAATCGGAATGTGCTGCAGTCTATTAGGATTTACAGGAAAAGAAAGACAGCGAAATCTACCTTCAGTAGGGTCGGTCGTGGAAAGGAATTGAACGTAGGGATCTCCGCGATTGCTGGTGTCATTTCCTTCAGCTATAAAGTCTCCATAGTTGAAGACGGCATAAACATTGCGAACTGGGATACTGAATATCAGTGCGGAGCATTCTTAGAACTAGTACATTGCTCACGGAACGACATTCCGAGAATCATATCGTACGTTTGGGCGCCTGGCGTTGAAAAGCTGATAGGTTGAAACTGTGGTATGTAACGTCAAAGGCGATAAAGTACTTGGGAGTGATGTAACGCACCGAACCTATGCACGAAGATTGACCTTCTGAATTCACAACGCCAGTCAATCCCAATAGAGATGGATCCCTAGAAAAGTTGTCAGCTGTACAATGACGGAGAGAACAGCCCATACATGGTAGCATCCAGGGGATGTATAGGGTAGCTAATACTACTAAATTTAAATGTAATGTTTACTTCTTGATCGCAGGGTACAAGCCATGCTTCGCCAATGCCTGTTATATTATGGTATTCTGCGCCAGAGAAGCGACTGTATATCGCATCCGCAACGGACCTAATCGAAGCGGTAAACCGTTCATCAAACATTTCCCTGAAGCTAGAGAGAGACCATGTTCACGCACTTGGGTACCTGACTCAATGAAAAACCGGTGTCTACAACAGCAGTAGCCTGCTTTGAATTTGACGTCTGCTGCACCTCGGTCGTGATGGATGCTGGCTGCCCATCTGACCCTAGTAAGCCGTTCTGGTCTAACAAGATCTGGAAATGTTGATCGCTGGATGCTCGAACGGGGACTATGGTAACGTCTAGTTTTGGTTCATTCTCGACACTACTATAGCCGGGTATAAGTTCTCCGATCGATATATCACCGGGAAAGACATCGGTTGGATCTACACCAACATGAACCGCTGGTCACTGAGAGGGGGATTTAGAATAATCAATCACGTACCTTGGGTGCGTCCCAGAAGTACCGTCAAATAGTTTGGGGTTGAGGTATTTTGTAGAAAAATACGGTCCAGCACCGCGTATCCAGCTGAGGTATTCAATGTAGTATAGATATTGGACCCGGACGTAGGTCCAAGGCCAAGCAGTCCTGTTCCTTTCGCATTATCACTGTCGGGTGTGACTTGGACTTTATTTCTGGGTAAGAAGAATTCCATAACGAGGGATAACAGAAGATAACGCACGGAATGCTTGATCCTGCACGGTGTACCCAGCGAATTGAAGGGTTGAAGTTTTAATGGGACCTAGTACAGTGAGAACGGATAAACGGTTGGGCCATTGAATAACTGAGACCCACCTTTCACTCCGCCAACGGCATAGCTGACCCCAGAAGTCGCCCCAGTGTCGACACTATCCGTAATACTACCTGCAACCCACAAGTCCGAACTAAGACGACCATGAGTACAGAGAAAAGGTACCACAGGGGTGGTAGCCTACCTCCCAGTATCAACAAGTGCTGTAAAGACCTCCCCACCAAGCGTCAAGTTCGTATAATAGCTAATATCCGCATTATTGTTCAAAGCAGAGGTCCCATCCATGTTTCCCCGTCGCAGGAGCTCATGTCGAGTTTGAACATTGTGTCGGCCTTCAATCTTTAGTCGCAATCCCGAGGAGTAGGCAGCAAGATATAGCAAGACCAAGAACGCTGTAGGGACCATGGTGGTAAGGAGACAAGAATAGACGCTTCGTTTCACCCCCTGGCATTATTTTTCGAACTAAAGCAAAACGGCAGTGTGCGGAAAGACATGCCAATGTATGAAACCCCCGACCGGACCCTGACTGAGCCAAAACGGGCGCTAGTGTCCGATCTTTGTCACTGTTCCCCTGTATGCACTATAAGTAGGCAATGCATGCCGTCGCGGGAGCGTATTCGAAGACTTTCGAATACGTTAAGATATACGTCTCCAACAAAGAGGTTGGTATTTTCAAATGAACATCTGCATTCGGTTATCTTGCAGATCCGGGACGTGTACCTTCACGTGTTTTGGTGACGGTACCAAAACTGCGGCTGTGGAGATCTCACGAAACAGCGTCTGTGGGGTGTCTTGATGCAGATCATCCTTGTCGCGTAATAGGGAGCGCTACGACTCGGAGGCACGTTGGATCCAGAGGGTATAGGAGATATCTTGTTGAAAGCAAATGCGATGAAATACATAATACAACGGTCAAGCCAGCAGCTTCAATATGCCTTGTACCCTGCATTCCCGTAGTGTCCGGAGTGTGGGTCATAGGGAACGGAGACATCGGCGGTACTCCTCATCCCTTGGTCCTGCAATGGAAGATAGGACGTCGGCGCCGTCTTGTTCTTTTTGAACCAACCCCCTTTTTTAGCAGTTTTCGCTGCTTTGGCACCCTTGCGACGACAACAGCATCTCCAGATGATTAGACCGAGGATGATAAGGACGGCCACAAGGCATCCGGCAAGGATGTATGGCCACCGACTGAGAATCATCTCCTGATACTTCTTCTTCTTCTCCTCGGCTGAGACGGGTGAATGCTGCATGTCAGCGGTAGAAAGCAGATCCCATTTAGAATCTCCTGTGGTGTCGTTTCCTCCTAACCGGACTTTGACGAAGTCGCTGCGAGCGTCCTCTACATTTGTGATGGAGAGAAGTTGAATAAACGGATCATTTGCGTTGCTGCTAGCATCGGCCCAGTTTCCATAATTCATGAGTGTGTATGTATTTCTTGAATATTCGTCAGGTTCTTGTAGCCATGTACAACATACGCAACATACCTCACTGTCGTAACGTTAGTAATGATGCATCTTTGATAGTATTGGCCACTCACAAAAGTTCATACCCATGATCATATCATAGTTTCCGAGAAGACTGAAGGCAGTGGTGATAGGTTGGAAAGCACCGATGCAAACTCTAGTGCCGTTGGCGTTCTTGATGTTAAAGTTGTCGTCAACGGTATCTAGTGGATGAACCGGGTAATTTTGGCCTCCAAAGTTAAACGAAATGTTTAACATTTGACCGCAAGGTACTGTCCACCACTCATTGTCAGAATCATATGAGGCACCTTGGACTCGGCCGTAGATAGCATCGGACAAGTCGCGGGGCACTTGGGTGAACGTAAAACCCGAATCGAAGACGGCAACTAGCTGGCCATTCGGAGCTTTTGGTACAATAGAATCGATCTGTATGACTTTGCCATCGGGACCAATGACGCCATTATTCTTGTCCGTCAACGCTTGCCAATGTTGTTCTGCGAAATGATCAGTAAATACCTAATCAGGAGCACAAGTTGACGAACCAGACTCAAGGAGCTTGTGTACTTCCTCGACATCAATCTCCGGCATACTGGTGATGCTCTCGTAGCCTTCGACATACTCGGATATTGTCAATTGACCGGTGATGTTGTTCCCGGGATCGCCACTGCGATCAAGGAGGAAGGAAATGAATTTGGAAGAATTAGACACTTGAGAGAAGACATTGGTCAATACAGAGTTGCCCGAATCGTTGTCGAGTTTATCAAGAATTCGGCTTCCTTCGTTAGGGCCGAGACCCATCAGGCCATCATACCCTTGGCTATGGATGTCGGAGGAGAATGAGCTCGTGTCGGTGACGAGCACTAGTCAGATGTGAGCGGTCAAGGCGCAATGAAGAAGAATAGAGCGCACAGAATGCCTGAGAAGTGATGGAATAGTCATAAAATTCTACGGGTGCAGTATGGATGTCGCCTAGGTGCTGTTAGTCAAATATGACCCTGTTCGGAGCGTACCATTACGCACCTCCAGCAGATCCTATGGCATACGACAGTGTCAGAGACTTTCCTGTATCCGTCGTCGTGGGTGTTTTGGTGGGAAAGTTGACCCAAAGGTCGGAACTAGAGAAAGGTCAGCAAGGGGCAAGACAGCCTACATTTGAATTCACCTTCCAGTATCCAATAATACAGAAACTTCTTGACCGGCAATAGTTATATTAGAATAATATTGAGCATTTCCGTAATTCGACACGGGTATCGTTGTATTCGCTCGACGGCCCAGAGACCTTGGCTGACTCGTTGTCCGTACGTGTAGTGGTAGTTTCACGGCATGTGCCACGGAATCAAGGACGGTGAGGATTAAAGACAGTGGGATAAGGGAGTGCATGTAAATGATAGTAGGCCCAGTGGGTTGAAGGGGATGCAAGGAGGAGGAGAAAAACGAGGTGTGATGGTGGTAGCAGAAGGACTTGGAAATTCGCACAGGTTTGATCGACGCCGCATGGGTCCCCCCTATTCTTTCAGGAAATCTTTGATGCTCTCCCTCCAAGAGGCTGTCCTAGTAGTAAAGCGACCTGTACATCATTACTGCTGTGTTCACTGAAAATTTATCTGATTTACTCCCGGGGAACCTATGAGTTTCTTCATCGTCGCAGAGGTTGCACCTGATCCTGGAGAATGCCAAGCACAGCCTGTGCTGTCGAAATGAGGGAACTGAATAAATCAGGGCAATACACAAGTCGAGATCCTGTTCACATCATATGTTCAGCGGCTGTAAGAGGAGGGATTGTCTAGCCAGGCTATGCCAATCATATCTCTGATTTTCTACAGACGCGCTTTTCGGCGTCACTGACCGACTTGAAATTTTAAAAAGTCACCGGTCACCATTCAGAACGTCCAACGTTCAAACGTTCACTAGCACTAATCAACGTTTTAACTATAAAGCGTCTCGACAACAATACGCCTTGTTTTCTTGAACGGACTTCGGAGGTTTCAGGGCGCGGAACGGTCGGGATCTAAGAACTTTTCAAAGAACTGTAAGAGATATCAAATCAAGGGGTTGTAGGTTTAGTTGAGAGGTTGTTGGCTCATCCGACTCCGAGCCTGAAATGTTTTGGGTCAGTCGTGCCCTGTCCTGCCCAACAGTCGAGAGCAACAGCTAAGTTGCCAGTTGTTCAGCTTGAAGGTGACAGATATCCACGTGACTGTGACATCATTCATTACACAGCCACATCCAACCGACCGATTACCACCTGCCCTCACCACGCGCCATGGCTCCCAGCGTCCTCTATCACTGTCGGTGTCTTTCAAACCCATCGGTACCGCCACCGCCACCTCATCTCGCGTCGTCGTCGCACAGCTTCCACCCGTTACATTCCTTGTTCTTTTGTGAAGAATGCGACGCCGTACGCTGCAATCGCTGTGTTTCTGTCGAAGTCAGCGGGTACTACTGCCCAAATTGTCTCTTTGAGGTCCCGAGTGCTAGTGTTCGCGCAGAGAAGAATCGGTGTGTGTCAAAGCTCTGCTGCTGAAGGCGAATGTATAACAGAGACGTATTCAGATGTGCTAGGAATTGTTTTATGTGCCCTAATTGCCGCAACACGCTCTCTGTTGTATCTTCGGACCCATCAGATCCAGGCGATGGAAGACTCACAATAACTATGAGCACTGTCGGTGAACCACCGTTCTTTTTGTTCTGTAATCACTGCAGGTGGGACTCTGCAGAGGTGGGAATAACGTTCGAGAAACCAACGGGTTTAGCTGGTGCGTCATCCTCATTTCCCTTTCATCCTTTTTTCCAACTATCATTTGTTTAGCCCAACTACAGAAATTCGAAGACTCGGCGCCAGATTCTCTAGAATTCGAAAAGTTGAAAGAACACTTTGAACCAGTCATACGCGCATCTTCTCTTTCTGGTGTTAATTCTTCTGCTGTCCCAAGTAGCGCCGCGCACTCACATCACCTTCGCTCTAACTCAATAACAGCCGCTGCTTCAGCCGCGCTTTCGCGTGACATTCCTGGCGTTTCCAAGTATACTCCTCATACGCGTTCAGGGAGGGGAGCTACGAAGGATAAGACGCCAAATAAGGACGAGATGCCCGAGTATAAAAGTAGGATGGATGTTGAGAGTGCGAGCCATTATGGCTCCGGCGGTGGCGATGTTGATGTAGACTTTATGAAACATCTGGAGAACATATCTGAAGTGGCTAGTATGGAGCAGCGGTGGACGTATAGCTGGGCAACGTCTTTGCAATCATCGTAAGTGCATATCGTATCCTATGTGAACATTGGTTTGCATTCTAACTCCCACCTCCAGGGATTTGAGGCCTCTGCGAATACCGTTGCATTCTAAGCGCTCTAAACGATGTCCAGCGTGCACACATATCCTCATCAAGCCTGAACAGAAGGCGCAGTCTGTGCGGTACAAGATTAAGCTCGTTGCGTCTAATTACTTGCCCGCTATCACGGTAGCCCTTCCACATCAACAGCAAGCACCCCCGGACGTAGCACGGCGAACGATGAATAGATCCACCGCATCTGCGGCGGTAGACGATGATGGCGCCGCGGCGGCCATGCATGCAGGAAAGACGTATCCCTTCCATTTGGCGTTAGCGAACCCGCTCTATGATCCTATTCAAGTCCGCCTTTCGGTCCAAAGAGTGCACGTTGCAGCGAGCGATGGTGAGAAGGCTCGTCGACCACCATTTTCTATTGCGTTGCCAACGTCAGTGTTTCCTATTGCTGCATTTGCTGAAGCTTGGGAGTATGAGGACGATGATGAGGATATGGACATGTTTGGCTTGGATGACGATGAAATAGGGCTTCGTCCTAGGGAGAAGGAAGGGAGAGGGAAGGTCAAAACTGTTGGTGTTCTAGAGAAGCGGGCAAATGTCACTGTCGTTGGTGGCGAGGTGGTCCTCGGCAAAGAAGCACGAGGCCATGTCAAGGTCAGTCAAAGAACTGTCTAGGACCCTTTTTTGCTTATGATTTTTCAGTTTAACCTGCTCGTCACGTACACATACCGTTCGGACGATCCAACGCCATCGGAAGGAAATGATGGACTTGACATTTCTCCGTCTAAAGGTTCGAAGCAGCCTCAGGCCGAAACCAAGACATTTTCTTTCTATACGGTAGTGGACCTTGGGGCAGTGATACCTAGGCAAGAGCCCAAGGAGGATACCGATTTTTAGCCGAATTCTATTGGAGGATTTTCGTTAAATTACTGGCATTTACATAAAAGCACAAAAGGCAGGAAGTTCCCACATTGACATGGCGACCTTGACCCATAAGCATCAGCTGCGGGGCTGAATTCTTCCTTCATTCTTCCATTTCTTCATTATTCATTATCGCTGTCATTCTTTAACTTTCTACTTCACTACTGCCCCACGTCTTGCCAGGCGCAGGACTGTCTACCTCTTTTTTCACTTGTTCACAAAAAGCCACGGCCGCAGATGGCGTCGACGTCGTCCAGTATCTCTACCCCTGAACAACGGCCAGAGGCAGGTCCTTTGCCTGTGAAGCGAGGAGAAATTGGGTTTTCAGAGGAGCTTCACGGGCAGAGAGAGCAGGCGAGAGCGACCACGCCGACTTCGACGCTTCCAATACGGCATCCTGCTGATAGGGACGCTGTTCCTGACATAATCGCCACTCCTGCAAATCCAACTCCATCCTCACCTTCATCCAACAATACCCCCCGGTCCAACAAGCCTTTTCTTACCTTTTGGAAGCGCGATACAACGCTCGGTGGAGTGCAGCTAACGACCCTGTTGGCTTTCTTGGCACAGCTATTCCTCCTGATTGGAACCATATCAGCATGGGTTGCTGCGGCACAATACCTGTCGCGAGCAGCAGCGGGAGGTCCAATGGCAAACAGTTCGGTCATTTTTCGTTCATGTCATATTCGCAGTGGGCATCCTGGGCCAGCTCCTATTCCTCGAGCGTCGCATATTCCGCCTGCGCGCTGAGAGGATACGCTTTCTTGCATTCGGGCGAGGTTCTTCCTACCTCTCACAGGCGGTCGTCCATGAGCACAACCATGTCATATGCGCCTTGGCATCGGCCACCATTACCAACGTACGCTGCTACCCTCGCTCAGAGTGGAGTTGGTACGGGCGATGTCGAGGATCACATTATAGCGGCACCCCCTCCCCCGGCATACGGACACACACGCGGAAGCACTGCTTTTGCTGAGCGGGTTTCTTAGAGACAGTTTGAGGGCACAACGGCCGATGTCTGGCCAAAGCAGCAGGCCTTTGAGCTATGTAAGCCAGGATGAGCAATGGGAAGCAGTTCAGGACGCGGAGAGAGCGAGAAAGCTGGAAGAAACACTGGCCAGGTTGGAACGGCCGACATCGTATACGCGTGCACGTTGAAGGTACGCCTTTATTTCTATCGCCTTTTCGGACCCGACACTAACCAAGGTCCGTTGCTTTCATTATTATTGCCACAATTACGAACGTTCAATGTACCTTTCTCCGGAACAATTGATGACACAGATCGATCGCCTCATGTTTTGCACAGACACAAAGGCTGTTGGAAGGATATTGACCATCTTTCGCATTGATTCAGCGCAATTGCCTTTGTATCTTCGACCTAATCTACTCACAGCCCTGTGTATCAATCAAACAAACAATGAACCCCGTTAAACAAGGATCTCCTTGATACAGTTTGATTCCGTCAAGTTCTCCTGATCGAAGCAATCGCAGCATCAATTTCATGTTCGAGTCATTTGCTTACTAACTTTTCAAGCCCTGTCCGGCACTTGCAAGGCAGTTCGTGACTCACATCCAACTTATGCGGTCCCCAGTGTCTTTGGAAGGTGGTTGCTTACATACAATGAAACCTTGTTTCATATATAACGAGGGTCTATGTCGGGTCAGTTGATTACTTTCTCTACCCCCTTCCGTCCTCCACACAATGTCGACAGAAATGTATAGTCTGCCAGGTCCATCGACGAGCTCTCTCCCTCCCTACTCCAAAACTGCCCCGCCACCGCATTATTCTTGCGACCCCTCACAAGGCGAGCGACGGGTTGAACATTCGCCTCGTTCCGGACCTCGTGTCCCAAGTGGCACATTCATTAAAAAGCGAGGTAGCCTAACCGTCGTTCTGACGGAACAGGAGGAAGACACCACCTCTCCGGTATACGGTCGCGAAGCTGCTATACACGGTGCATTACTCCTCGAGAAGATCGACGCGATTCTACGAGTTCAAATTAAAGTACTTCTGCTCGCCTTTATGTATATGCATCCTCTGACTTATCTTCCATTACAGATTGAAGGCAAGCTAGACGTGATGACTTCAGAAGGTGGCGCAAGGTCACTTGTGATTGTTGACGACATGGAGACCCTATGGACATTCGACCGAACGAAGAACGAGTCATGTCCGAGCTCACTATCCTTTTCTCGGACCTTTCCCATCAACGTTCAAGGATAGCGACAAATCATATCCTCTGCCACCCAGTTACAGAGCTTCTTTTCCCGGAAGCACCAGGGCTACATGTCACGTCTTTGTATACACTAGTCGTTCAAGTCACTTCTATCCGCCATCCTAAATTTGGTCTTTTCGCCAAGACAAAAACGTATGTCCGCACTGTCTGGATTTCATGTCAATCAGTCTAAACGAATCTATACAGTCTCCGCATCCCGATAACCTATGCCCCACGGACACGGCCGAATCGTCCCACACTATCAATACCTCTCTTTTACAGCGTGAAAGTCTTCACCCGAAGAGTGGACACAAGCGCTTACAACGATGAAGACCAAAAGCCGAGCGACCATAGCACCAATAGAGTCTAACGTACGTCTATATCTTAACATGTACAAGTACGTCTGACTAACGCTCTTATCAGTTATTTATACCGTCCGTGCAAATCTTCTCCTTCTCCGACATCATTCCCTTCCACGTCCAACTCAGCGGCCCTCTATCATCTCTGCGTCAGTTCTTCCCTGAGGTCCCATCCTCAGTCCTGTTCACAACAACAACAATCATCTGTAACTGTCACCATTCTCCGTCAAATCTCTGTTGATGTGCGAGGTACGCGAGCTTGGAGGAACACGACTATCGGGGAGGGAAAGACTACGTCCGGTGCCACCGGCTTCACACTCGCAGTCTGGCAACTCCCAAGAGGAAAGTCTTGATTGGGAGGGTGAAGTGCAGTGTTTACCGAGCGTCAATGTCGGTGGGTTCTCTACCTCGGGTGCTGCAGTGAAGGTGCGTTACTTGATGGTCATCTTTTCTGTTGATGGGATCTTGATATCTTTTTAGGATTTCATTGTCGTGACACTGACCCCGCCGACTGAACTCACCATTCCTTCCTACGATCAACTCCATTCCTATACGTTTGGTAACGGATACTTGGATTGATACTCATGATCGAACGTATTCGTGACATGGGCGCTTGCTTGTGATTTGCCACAACATGGAGTTTCGAAAGTATAATAGTAATCTCACAGTCAGTAATATCGTATCTAGTAGTCACACGTGTACAGAAAGGTACATCTATTATGATAATGTTTTCGTCATAGATGCTGTCCTGCGCTTTGAAGAAAGAGGTTCGAATATTAGTACGGTCCTCTGCTTCCGTAGCCGTTGATGAGTGACTAAAGGATTCATGCTGCCGAGAGTAGTGTCCTTTTAGCCACTAAATACATTATGAATGCGGCGCCACGGTGGAAATCCCTGAGAACCAGCGGTGTACAGATGTCGTAAATTATACAAGATTAGTGCACATAGGCAAAAGAGAGGATTAGTCGACCAAAATGGTTCCATCGATGAGATATATAACGCCATTCCCAGCCTAGGAAGAGATAAGCATCATATATAATCAGGATCGACAAGACGCACCTCTTTAGTATCCTTGATACGAATATCGCTGTTGATGACTATCTGGTCGTCACCGTTCACCTCAAATTCTACCGACTTCCCATTAAGCAAAGTCTCGTACGTCACCGACGTATGCAGGTCCAGCGGGTATTTCTGACCAGATCATCAGCGCCCAGCATGGTCACAAAACAACGGGCACCGATACCGGGATGATATGGGCTGAAACCCATCTCTCAACATTCTTCTTCGACTCCCTGTCAAACTGTTCCTGTGTGATCTCAATGCCTTCATCAATAGGCGCCGGTCCTTGGTGTCTGCGAATAGCGTCGGTTTTGTCACTGCATTTACATCAAAAGGAGCCTGACACTCACGGTTTCCTCGCTAGAGCCATCACGGCCTTGTTCGTCGGTACCAGCACTGTTAACCGTGAATTCTCATCCTCGAACATCTTACTCAGTTCCAGTTCACGAGCGTAAGAGTAGAATATGGATGCGGAGGATTCGATGGTCAGCAGGTCGCTGAGGAGGGGCTTGGTCGTCGTCAGGGGCGTGTAATCAGAATCCATGGGTATTTGTTCTCCAAGGGCAGACATGAAAGGTAGAGCGAAGAAGGAGAGAACGGAAAGACGCATGGTTGTAGTGATGGTAGTAGGAAGAGTATTGACTGAGGTCATTTATTTGGCTGCAGCCATGAGTCTGCCGCCCGGCTTCGAAGACTTCCGGGCACATCGTCCGATCAACCTGTTTTCTCACAAGTAGTCTCTTCATTCGGTCAGTAAACGATTCTTTTAATTCTTCAGTACGTAGCTTGTACATGACATTCTTGCACAAATGGGAAAAAAAATAGGGCTATTCAGGAGAGGTTTTCTATAGCTCATCAACGCCACGAGTCATTAATAACCCAAGTTCCCGAAGCCGGCGTAGTGAATTGTCTGTTCGGGTCAGACTCCCAAGTCACCGCACCATTAAACTTGCGAATGTACTTGTACTGGAACGTAATTGACGCCGGAAGATTGAGCGTGACTGAAAACAATCATGAATACCGTGACGACTACAGCAACGAATGAACAAGCAGGAAGACTCACTGCTCCAAGTTGGATAATTGTTAGTATTCAGCAAAAGCGCTGTATCCGGAGACCAGTTCTGCAGAGCATCGATCGACCCGGTCAGGTAGATATTTTCTGAATAACAACACACGAGTTAAAGATGGGCTGAGACGAAGAAGTGTATCGCTCACCTCCGAAAAATGTCGTAGCGAATTCATTAAAAGTGATACTCACTGTCCCATCACTACCTCCGCCGCCGCCACCTGAGTTAGTTGAGCAAGAGGATGGCACCGTCAGCCCACTCGCGCCCCATGAAGCAGGTACCACACCCGCCCTCGCACCAAACGCTGTCAGCGTTGCCGCATAGCTCCACGTCAAGTCACTAGCACTCAAAGGCGACCCAGTGTTCCTGCTGTACTGCTCCGCAAGCCCTCCACCCGAAGGCGTATATTTCGCATTGACAGCTAGGAATCCATCAGCAAACGTTTGAACCGCACTCAGCAAGTCGTTGTATGTCGTAGTAGAAGAGGCATATACGCCTGTCACGACTGGAGGGGAGAATTGACGGAAGAAAGCAAGGGATATAGAGGTGACTTCGATGGATCCTGTCTTTTTCCAAACGATTATAGCGTCATAAAGCTGCTCAGCAACAGCCGCTGTTGTCAGATACCAAGGCTAACAATGACAGTGAGCGGTTCGAGCATGAGCTCAGCAAAAGAACGAAAACTAACATTTCCTCCCATATACGAATCCTCTGGATACCTGCCCGTAGCGACGGCAGCATTGGAAGCAATACCGCTATTGATGGTGTAGATCGACCTGAAAGCGTCGACGTACACTTTCAAACTCGATAACGCTTTGTCAGAGCAAGGTTGGAAGGTAACGGCGTCACATCCAGCTGCTGCATCAAAGGTATGGATGGAGGCCAACGCCGTGTTAGCATCTCTTCCTGAACGACCTCCACCGGTGTTGGCTGTCATATAAAGGCCGGCGGGATTCCAATACGACTGACCATCAAAGTCAGAGACATTCGTCATGGAAAGCCAATATCATTACCTGTAAGAAACACAGAATATTGGCAGCCTGTGTCGTGTATTGAGTAGCAGCAGAATCTCCGAGGACAGTGGCAAGCGCAGCGCCTTCACGCAATGAGCGATGTTGGACAGCGGTTGTGAAGAACGACGACGAAGAAACCTCCTCCCACAGGTCAAAGCTATTACATGACCGTCAGCGACAGCATGGAACCACGAAAATAAATAGCCCTACCCCGTTTGGTTCCAGAAGGAGACAACGTATCCTAGGTCAAGCTTGATGATAGGCCAAAGGGTACCGGACACGTAGGAAGTATTGCCATTAGCGATGAGCCAATTGGCATAGGTGATTAAGGCAGTGGAGCGAAGGGCGGGCCCGTCTGTCAATGGAGACCATCAAAAAAGAGGTCCAGGAGAATAAATGGGACTATATGCCCCGTTGTGGTCTCCCCCAGGCGCCGGTGAATGCACTCAGATCGATGTTGAACTTTGGTTCACCAAGGCCGCCACTCGAGACGGACCCACTTGGGTTGGACACCTGTTGAACAATGGCTTGGGAAGATACAAAATTGTCGATTTGAGTGCGCAAAGTCGTGTCCGGACCCAGCGTATATCTAAACATTGGTTAGTAAAGTGACGAAGACGCGGTGAAGGAGATGACTAAACTGATCAATCAATGCTTGAAAGACGAGCGAGGAGTCTCTGGTCCAAGTAAACAAGTAATCGGGGTTGGAGTTGCTGGGACTAGCAATCACAACACCCGTCTGAAAGGAAAATCGCGTCAGTACGCGTCATTAAGACCAGCAGAACCAATGTGTACCTTTGCTCCTGAAGACTTGGAACCACCGGGTCCGATGTTCGCCAATACTCCCGCCTTAGCGATAGGCGACTCAGAAGCAACATAGGCATCAACGGTACCCGACTGAGCCCAAACTGAAGCAGAGAGACTAAGACAGTAAACGAAGAGGGCACGCATATCTGTGGTCAGGTCTTGGTCACTAGCTAAAGCGCTAAGGCGACTTTATAGTCAGACCAGAACGACTTATCGATTGAAAAATTCTCAAAGCAATACACCAAGCGACAGCCAGCGAGAAAAACAAGATCAGGTGAACGAGAAAAGCTTGTGGTCCTCGACGCGCTGATTGCGCGCTGACGATGGCATCATAGCAGGCACAGGCATTACATGTGGACGGAGGACAAGTGACTGGTCTGATTTCAGGTAAAATATGCCCGCTCAATAAGACTTTCTCAACATATCACTGTCAGCGGAGGTACCGAAAGAACGACGGCGCAGGCGGACTTTGAAAAGTAGCTTAAACCTCGTGAGGTGACGTCATGCTTCCAACTTGTTGGTTCAACAAAAGCTGGCGGGTCGTCAGGTGTACTTCACTCGGAAACTATAAAACTGCTCCAACGTGCTAGCAGATACAGGAAGATATAGTGAAGGAAGAGGGACGTAATGGTTGGCATGAATTGGTGAGCCCCAGTCAGGAAATTTGGTCTACACCTTGGACCCTGCCCGGATGTACCGAGGCTGCTGATTCCAGAATTTGAACCCATGGATATCGGATCGATTACTCTCTCCCCCGTTGTGAAGACCTGGACGCTTTCTGACCATCATTTTCTCATTTAGGCTTTAAAAACTGCGTGTTCTTTCGCATGTCCCATTATTAGTCATTACCCGAACCGTCAACGCTCTCTGAGTTTATAGTCACTTCGGCTGAACCTGGTTTGTTCGCGAAGGGCTGAGATTTCATATCAACGACGAGTTATATTATATTTCACTCGCATTCAATTTCTATGCATGTGATACGGCAACAATAGCGCCGCTGACAATTTTCTGGGTCTTACACCGGTGAGTGAGAGATGTTAAGTTTAACTGTCTAAATCTGAGGACAAAGGAGACGAGAGAAGGTGGTGGGAAAGAACACGACGGGAAATTGGAGGACGAGCACAGATTACCTTCGAGTAATAACCACACCCCACCATACATGATGTAGATGTACGCAGAGCTCACAACCGCCACCGCCCGTGGACATGACACCCAGACGGAGGACAACTAACGTTTCGTATCGTAACGGAGTCCTCTACGTCGTCCGTTAACACATACGACGAAACCAAATTATCGAACAATCGGGACGATTTCAGATCATGGCTATCAAGGATAAGCGTATGCCAAGGCCCACAGGTCTTTTTCGAAAGTGCGGCGTCCAAGCCTACAGCGTGAGGCGAGCAGAGAGAAGATTAGGTCTCAACGAAACATACATGAGCGCCCATACCGAGAGACACTCACTGAACAAGGTGCATCGAGCTATCTCAACCAAGAAATACAAAGCAACTTCGAGCTCAGCAAATTTGAAGACGGAGAATCCATCGCGGTTGAGGAAAAATAGAGGGCTTATCACCTCGTCGTCATCATCGCCGTGCAGTCAAGGCTTATACACTGATAGGGTCTTGTCTAAAACGCGTTGGGGCTTATTTAGTTGTTATCACTCGCTATCGTATTTTCTACCTTTCGAGAAAGCCGGCATGCATCACCGACAACTAAGTCATGCCATATTTCATGGCAATCGAACGGCACATTTAGCGGTGATTAGTGTTTGTAAACTATAGATGCAAGGCCCCGACGCCCGCGCCAACCTCTGACACCCTCACGTGACAGACTCCAAACCTGACGTCATGGTGACGTTCCAATGCTCCTCGCGTACTTATAAGCGGCTTGGATTCTTCATCTTGGACAATTACAATCATGTCTGCCGTATCGAAAGAAACTGCTTCTCGCTCTGATGATGCCAAGTCTTCTGCCATTCATGACCCTTCCACATCGGAGTCCAGCGGAACGGTTTATCCATCTGAAGTGGTTCAGCCTACCCGAAGCCATTCCGTTCTCCAACAAGGTCGGGTGCATGTGTGTATTTCCAAGCTATTTACTCATTTACAGCAGGAAATACCCAGCCAGGAAGTGGTAGCGTCGTTCACGACGGTGCAGACCAAGAGCCCAGAGTACTAGAACTACCGTCAGATGGACAATCCCATCACTCTAATATCCAAGCCCCATTCAAAGAACGTGTCGTTGGTAGGTTTTTTCCTATAATGTGATACTATGATTCTTATCTTTCTCGCAGGGGCTGCACTGGTGAGTGACGATCGCTCGTAATCTGTAGAACGAAGTTAACCTGTCTGCCATGCTTTAGAAAACTCGAGGCACGGTATGTCCACGTCCATGCTGTCTTCAACGAAAACTCATTGTGTTGGATTGCAGCTCTTGAACAAGGTAATTAGCACGGTACACGTACCTAATGACTTTGCTGACTATGAGACGGATCGAAGCCCGAAGTCAAGGAGACCGGCCAGCAACTGCTCGATGGAAAAATTGACATCCCAGAAGCTCGATCCAATATCAATTAAACGATGCATGATTGCGTGTATATGTGTGAGTTCCCACCGCTGTACATCTTCTTCACGCGCTCAGAGAACAATGACAGTTTTGGATCCCAGTTGTCATGAAACGAGGTATCCATGTTGTAAAATATGTATAATGTAGAAAGTAATCAAATGGCGACGCCAATTCTGTAAAAATCTGGAGTGTAACCGTCATTGTTGAAGATTGCAATGGTGTTATCTGTTCCTCTTTTGAATCCAGATGCCGATAACAAGAAACCGGTGAACAGGATGTCCCAGCTCTATCAAGAGATTAGTCGTAGTCCATACTACAAAGCACAACACACGCTTCACCTGTGCTGAGATGGGCATTTGAGCTTGAACTGCGTCACCACCATTGACGCTGATATATGCATTGCGACAATTGGAGCACGCGCTGTTGGAGAATGTTACATCGCCGTTGATATAATCAAACGATAAAAGTTTGGTCCCTCCACTGCCACCATCAACACCGGTGATCGTGAGAGTCCCGCCATTTCCAACGAACCCAACGACGGAAACAGAGGAATTCACTTGGCGCGTGTTTGCGCCTCCCGCAAGGATGCTCGATGAAGCTGCGGCTTCATAGTAAGTGAACCGAGGTGCCGTAACCGGGACGGCATTCGTGAGCTTGAGAACAAGGCTTCCATGTGCAGCGACTGTTGCGGTGTATCTGGTTTATAGGTTCAACCCCACAGCTTCAAGACAGAAATAAGGGGGGTATTACTGACGAAGTTGTCAAAGTCCCGAGTGACTTTCCAGTGATCAAGTCTACAGCCATCGCCGAGGAAAAGCCTACATCGGCTAGCTGGAATGTCAAGGAGCGAGTAGCATTAGTCTGGAAGTTGATGACCACTGAAAGTCGTTTCTGGGCTTAGTGATTTACGCATCACAAAAAGAACAGAGGCATTTACCAACGACCGTCGAACCATCGCTGAGTGGCCCTGACCAGACATCATGGTCATTCGCGTATCGTCGTTTGAAACTGATAGATTTCCCCAGAGGATCTTGCTGCAAGATGTTATTCAAAATACACATCCTAATTCTGCTCACTCACATTCAGGGCAATAATTCTTTCGTTCAGTAGAATTCCTAGTGCATCGTCCGAAATATTAGTCAGGTCCGTCGATACCATCAGAGGGCTTTTAACCGCCGACCAAAAGGCAAACTGAAAAGCACATCAGCCTGAGCGTAAGGTCGAGGGATAAGTAACACACATGAGTCTGTTGTTCGGTAGCTGTCAAAAGGTTGCTTCCCACATAGAGCAAGTCGAGATCATTCCACCCCCCGGGTTCAGCGAACTGCGTTATGGGAACGACTTGGTTCAGAATTCTGAATATGCTGTCCCAAGAAGCAGGGGGTCCGATATCGTTGCTGTCAGAAACGCGACTCAGTGCGGCGTATATGGACAGATTCACAAAAGATTTCACTGACGAGATACGCCAGGAATTGGCGACTTCACTTCCTGGCCATCGGGCGGGGTCCTATGGAGGATATGTGACTGACAGATATAAGCAGTTTCAGAAAGGTATCACACCTGTACACCCCATTCGCAGGCAGAAAACAAGACGGGCATTTCAGTGGCAGCCAACGCATCCCTCATAGTGACGAAGTGATCCTAAATTGACAAACAGGATAATCAGTTTGAGCCTGATATTCGTTCTTTGTCCGTCTGCTAACCTTGATCTGTTGGTACAAGTCAATATGAGGGAATTGTCGCCAACAACAAGGGAGCTTACCACGATGGGAGGGTTGAAATCGACAAAGTCTGTCTCATTTACGGCATAACAATTATCGTACTTGAGGTAATCTGCACCCCAGCTAGCAAAACTCTTCGCATCATCCCCCTCGTGTTCGAGAGACCCAAGATAGTGAGCTGTTCCTCCGACAAAATCACATGCATAGTAACCTCTGCAGAGACCCGGCGTTAGGAAGGAAGAGATCACGTCAGTGAGAACGTCTCACCCATCAGAGTAGAGGCCGAATTTCAGCCCAAGGCTATGGACGTAGTCTGCCAGTGCTGGAATACCGGATGGTATGATATTGGAATCCCATGTGAAATCGCCTTCGGAGTCTCGCTCCGTTCCTTGCCATCCACAATCCCTGATGCACCGATCACATCACCCTGTATACGACAAAGGAAGACTCCCTCACAGGTTCAGGTACTTGTAACCGGCGTCTGCCAGTCCTAGATCCACCAAAGCCTGAGCTGCTGCACGGTACTCGTCTTCCACAGTGTTACAGCTTGATGCAGTGTGTAAGAGTGATGATCAATCATTGCAGCTCCTGCTTACAGAAAAGCGTTGTAAGGATTCCAACCCATAGCTGGCATTACCCCAACGCCATTATCCAAAGCCAAAGATGGTGCGATGAAAAAAGAAGAGAGGAGCATCCCTCCGATGCCGTAGAAGAGCATACTGCAGCAAAAAGACGACAGCGTCACACAGCCATTCTCATGCGAATGTTATATGCTGGCACAGCGGCCCGTAGGTGCATGGGCGAAAATCAGATGATGCCAGAGGTCTTCTTCTACAAGCGCCACCGAGAACAATCCAGGGATCATGCTGATCAGACTATTCGCGTGACATGCAAAGAATATACAAAAAGACGCAGATCGGGGGTTAGCACAAGAATATCCGGATAGAAGAATCCTAACAGACTGGCGGAAGCTCGTCGCGGTCAAGTGACCGCGCTGGCAAAGCTGAATTCCAGAGGAACGCCGATAATATCAGACAGCTAGATTACAAAATAAAAGTACAGTACCGTTCTACACCACGATAGAATCGGAGAAATTCTCCATAGAGACATCAACTTCAAAAGCAAGAGCTGCCTTTTGCTGCAGCCGCTCCTGCTCCGCCAAGGCCTTGGCTGCATTTCGTTCAACGGCCCGAGTCTTGAGAGCTGCGATCTCAGCCGAGAGTTGATTCTAAAGACTGTGTGAGTGAGCTATCCAATCCGAGAAGATACACAAACCGATTTCTCTTCCAGCTCCGCCTTGTTGAAGATCGAGTACGGAGGGGGGGCTGTAGGAGTGTGTTTGCCCCCGTAAGCTGCGTGCTTGAAGACCGCATTCATGATATCGTGGTTTCGACGGTATCGTGTGAGAGCCAGCGCCTTCGTAGAAATCATATCAATTTCATCGCCAGAGTCTTCTTCCTCGATGCGTGGGGGTGGTCGCTACTAAAAGATCAGCCTAATAGTTCCTGGGCAGGAGAACGAGGTCATACTGCTGGCATATTCGCAACCCGATCCCGCGCCGCACGATCTCGCTCCCTTTTCCGTTCAAGCATTTCCATGTTGTTGTTCTGCTGAGCTAACATCGCCTGCTGCTGCATGTTCATGCCTAACCCCATCCCCATCCCCATGCCAACATTGGGTCCTGGTGCCATCCCAGGAGGATAAACCTTCTGCCCTGCCTTGTCTCCGCATACAAAAACTGCGGGTTCAGTGACCGGTCGGAGAGGGTAGACGCGGATAGGTTGGTTCATGAGTTGTGGAGGAACAGCTGGAAAGAGTTTGAGAAATGGAAATGAAGCTACGCTAGGACTCACGTATTGCTTGGCCACGCGAGTAATGCATGAAAATGAGTTGTGGATGACCGCCTTTTGTAAGACGAAACCGCCTGCGAACACGCCATGCTGTCTGATCGACACCCGGCGCGAAACCAAATTTCGCTTCATGTACTTCAAGTTCCTAAGAGATTATCAAGTGACAGACAACAAAGAATCACTGCATAGACGCACCCGCATGCCAGCTGGTATAGAGTATTTCACTTCTTGTTCCAAATATCTTATACCGTCGTTCGGGAATGGGGAATGATTGGGAATGAAGATTAGAACGGCCTGGCCCTCTGGCATAAGTAAGATGGAGAAATACGTCTAAACTCTAAGTAGAACGTACCTTGCGGTTTGTCAATAAATCCCCAGGTAAAAGGCATCGTCGTGGCCATTTGAATGGCGCGTAGAAGCATGTTGACTGCTGACTCGAAGCTGACCTCACGATGAAGTCCTAAATTCTCAGGATAACGAAGGCAGAGCCCTTCTGCTTGGGCAAGCTGAAGCTGAGTGGCCATTTCGAGCAGAATCGCCTTGGTGGTGGGAAGAAACCTTGGTCGGCATATGCCGGGTTACACAGCCACTTAGCAATTGTCGTCACCAGCCTTCGACGCGAACCATCATGTCCCGCCGACAGCAACCTTTCGTTCCCAACGTACTGGGGCCTGCCCAGCTTATCCGGTCTAGAAATCATATACTTGAGTCGATGTTCTGCAAAGGTTTACCTTACTCAAGGTATTGCCTCCTCTAATGAGCTACATACAGCGATGAATAGATTCGCGAATCGCGTACTACTATAGGAAACTCTCTGCACATACATCGTGTGTGAATTATTTAGCCTTTTCAACAAATGGTGCAAGGTTCCTTGCCAGTGGTGGCGATGGTGTGTATAATTCACTTTAGATCAGCGCATACGCCTGATTCTTATGCAGATCTCGACATCCATATTTGGGACTTTCATCAAGACGACATATCACATCCCCGTCATACATGTGTCGGACATACGGTTAGTTCTATTGGTAATCCATTCTCAACTAATCGGCTATCAATGTTGTGCAGAGAAATATCTTCACACTGGCGTTTTCTGCTTCAAACAAATACTTGTTTTCGTTAGTCATGTTTTATTCGCATCTGCAAACTATGCCTCATGTCATCCTCCCATAGTGGTGGAACTGATAACATGATACACAAGTTCGACGCGACGCAATTCCATCTACCGCAGTCTTCCAATGCTGAACGGCCATTAGACAGCTTATCTTATCGTGTATGTGGATCAGACAACTGTGCGAGAGCGAGTGTTGATGCTGTTTTGCCGTTAGAACACTATTCGCAGCTTGTCGGGCCATCCCTTCCAAGACGAAGTGTTCCTCAGTGCAAGGTGAGCAGACAGTCCCCTGAGAATCCGCAATGAACTCAAATGATGTTTCAGCGAAAGTGGCCGTATTATACTTCACGACGAACGAACCTGGCGCAACCCTTCGGCACGATCACGGGATATCATCCAGGTTGAAGCCGAAGTCTGTGACGTCAAATTTCATCCTACGATGGAGAATATTTTTGCTTCGTGTGATTCGAAGGGCACTGTATGTTTACGCGACGTGCGCCTAGGCTTTGGCCCTTCGAGTAAGCGCATGAATCAAGGTGTTGTGCAAGTGGTAATGCATCAAAACTTGGGGGGAATAACTAACTACTCACGTCAACGAGTTTAACACCAAAATATCAAAGGGATCCATAGCTCATCTGAGTAACCCCGAATCCAGTAGCATCACTTTCGATCGTGATGGTCAAAGCGTCCTCTAATTCATACATGATTGAGTACTTACCACCTGCTTTGGTTCAGGTACAAAACTGGCAGTCACTATGCTGGTAGGTGCAGGCTTTCCCGAATTGCTCACTTTTCAATACATTGCCCAGCATCATTATCCCACAATATACTCGGTGTCCGATCCTACTCCAATAGCCTTTTGTAGTGTCCAAACTCTCCCTGACGGCTCGCCGGTACTCCCTGGACAACGCACATATTCCAACTCATGCACAATCAAAGTAAGTTCGTCATCACTGCCTTTCGTCAGCGAGTCTCTCAAACTGTAATAGCATGGCTCTTTTGGTGGTTTAGGATTTGACAGTGATGACTTTTATTGCGCAGGGTCGGATGATTTCTGCGCATATTTGTGGAAGATCCCATCCATATCTAGTCTCGTGGAACGAAGACAAATCGTTGATCCTGACGAATGGTCTGGCAACACGGTTTTTGCTAATACCACTGGTGACCTGCGTCATCTATCTAGCACTACGCTCTCTCACTGACGTGAAGTGCGCCGATAGGTTACGCTGCCGGCCTGCATGAACCGAGATACGTCCCAGTCAATATTAAGACACCTCTGTCTCGACTTACAGGTAATTCATTTACACATACATAACTCGTCCATATTCACGATGCCAAGGGCACAATTCCATCGTTAACACAACTCTCATACATCCGAATTTTCCTTATATCGTGACATGCGGCATTGAGCGGTATATCTTCCTTCACTCTGCTACGCCTTCAACACCCTTCTCGGATGGTCTCGAATCCACGCCTACCGAAGTCCGGTCTTTGTCGGAGCAAAGTACTCAAGAAGAAATCATTAGTATTCATAATTTACTCACTGGGGTCGAACCGGAGGATCATGGAGACCTTGAAAGCAGCACTATATCCTTATTTGATGGGTACGTGTCACCAGCACGGTCACCCTTGGCTACACTAACCAGTTTCCTCAGAATTTTAAGAGCGGAGGGTACTGCAGATCCCTTTGAGACTCGAAGGTGGTCACCAGATTCTGAATCGGAGTCCGAGGATGAGCCTAGTGACTGAGAACCTGCTGAGCTCAGTATCTTATTTGTTTAATGCATACTTTATTTTTGGGCTAAGCTTGGCTCGACAAGGAGGGCAAATTCCGTGGCCGGTCTATTGCCTCGGATGATCTGCAACTAACCATACGAGGTAAAAAGGTTTCCACATTTGTCTCTAGACTATTCGATATTGGAACAATAATAATAACAACGACGCGCAAAAGTAGACAAAACACCAAAACAACTGGGGAGGATCAGTACCAAATGCTTCTCGTACGATGACATGGTACAATGTCGTCCGTCTGAATTCCCTCGATCTTCTCTTCTCCTCGTTCGATTCTCTTTGCCAGATCCCAGAGGAAGAAGTCGATCACAACACTACTGATCAGTTCGCCTTCATCTCCCTCCCTTAGCTTCATAATCTCCTCTCTAACGCGCTCCACGGCAACGATACTCGCCGCACGTAAACTTAGTTCCTCCCTGGACCCGGAGGGCATATAGGTGTTTTCTCGCAGTAACTGGACCAACGACGAAGGGTACGACAAGACTTTCAAGTGGTGCAGGATCTGCGGCACGCGATAGTCCGCAAACATAGTCAGTTGATGTATTTGCGCCCCGCGAAGTCCTGGAAAGATTGGGTGTGGCATGTCTGGAGACGATGGGTAGAATGCGGCCCATGTTTCCGCGACAAGGATCTGCGCCCTTTTCCACAAACAAACTGTGGCACATCAATGGACGGCACGTCATTGAGAGACAAAAAAACTAACCTTTCTTCTCTTCTAGGTAATGCTCGTCCCTGAAAGAAGGGAAAGTTTCTATGACCATCTCCACTAAATCTAGGGCCGTGCCATCACCGTTGTAGCGGCGCTGAAACTCGTCCAAGAATCCCTTGAAAGATCCACCGAAACCCTGAGCGGTAAATGTGAGTAGTTTGTCTGGAATAATGACGGCGTTTGTCTCACGTTACACAGTACGAAGCCAACTTCACGCATGATGGCGATTCGCTCTCGAAGGAGGGGTATACTCTCGGTAGATTGAGAAGCCTGACGAAACACAGATTCGATTACATAGTCAGGACAAAGGATATCAGATGAATAAAAGTTGGGGTCGGTGATTGGAATCCCGTCGTCCTGTAGAGCTACGGATATGCCATAAGTTACAGGAAGCACCCCGTATAAATGCCTACCTCGGTTCAAAGATGCCACCAGACTCCAGTAGCCGGTCCACACTTTCTTATTCTTCGAACCCCAAGCATCCTGCCATTCGACACCGTATCGATCAGGTTCACCTTCCCTCTCCGACCAAAAGCTGAAATTCAGAGATGAAATCAAGAATATCCAGTTCAGTACAGCCTTGTGCGAAGGATCGGCAGGATCGTGGGGCTCCAGAGGACATATATGCAAAGGGTGTGTTCGCCACGTACGTGGTGTATATGATTCCGCAAGAAGCTTATCGTGTATCTAAACATATGTCGGAGGAAGTCACATGGACGAGAAAAAAAAGCACCGACATGACGTGCAGCGGACTTGACACCATCTTCATTGATTTGGACTATATTCGTCCGCTACAGGTGCGTCAAATGTTTGAAGCTAAATGGACAGGGGCCAGCTAGACGTACACTGTAAGCCCATTGGGCGCTTGCAATCACTGGATTGACGCGTTCAGAGTCAGAGTATATAAGCCCGTCCTTTTCTTCGAATTCTGGAATGCTGAGAGGAACGGGGACTTCGAGTTCTACAGCCATTGATCGCGTCTCCATGTAGGTGTTACTGATATGTACGTGGGTTGGGCGCCAAAATTTGCCAGTTAGGGCTGAGCGTCGGAGAGCTGTGATGGGAAAAAGTAAAACTAAAGTTGCGAATTTTGTCTGTTTGTCGACGAGGTGAACAGAGTAGAAGCAGTGAAATGTTTCGGATCCCTGAGATTGACATCATGAAATTTTTTGCAGTCCTCCGTTCCGTCTTCGGCCTGGAGTCCGATCGGCATAGCCCTGTAGTTCCGGCAACTCCCATTTAAGTTTAACCGAGTGCAACTAGTTTCCATCAAAATCCAACTTGAAGCAATATACCGCATCCCCCAAACCCTTCCAACCTTTTCATCTTTTTGTGTCTTGCTTTTGACCTCAATATTTTCCAGTGTATTCGCCCCTCACCCAAACTTCGTCTCAGCATAGGCTGACCGAATTCTGGAAAAATTATTCATAACGACGATCTGATACTAATTACCAGCCAGCTTATCACCAGAGACGAAAATGAAGTGAAGTGCCTGCGGAACTTCGACCTCGTTTTATCTCGTTACAACATGCTGAAGATATAATGTGAGCGTTGGCAGATACTCAGATCGCCATTGCGTCTTGGGAGAGATTTTTATTCTCTGGTGGGTAGAGTAATATAATTACAACATATGCTGTGACGCCTTCACTATATGAATAAGGCGTACTTTAAGACAAAGCGCGCTGGTGTATGCTGAATCATGGAGCTTACGGAGAAAGGTCTATGGCTCGACAGTACTGTTCCATCCTCTCTGCCGCCCGGCCTATCAACGTAGCTTGAAGCGGCGACGATGACGACGAGGCAAGTTCTCTGTTTCCCCAAATACGACAGATTCTCTGCCCTGATAATTTCATTAGTATCAAGTCCGCTGAGCTGAAGGCCGCTTCCCATTTCTTAGTTAAGACAGCTCGATGGACCTTGTTCAGTGAGCACAGCTGTTTTCGGTATGGGGGCCCACGTAGATCTCTGGAGAGCTAGTCTGATTGCCTTACATTGTAGGCCTGAACACCGCATTTTCGAAAGGACCTGTGAAATTTCTTAAAGCGTTTGCGACCCGTACAATCGCCTTTCTAGGCTTCTGGCCTCGGACATCCATGATATAGAAACGTCCCGACCGTCTGATAATTAGCTTCGTCCTGCCTGTCGACGTGCAATATAGAGTATAATAACGGATAGATGAAATGTTTAGTTACACCTCATCTAAGCGAGTCGTGTTGTGTCTCCGAGCGTCGGTGGCTGCATCTACACCATGTATGGCATGGTGCGATGACTCGGGTTGCATGGTGTGTTTGTTACTCTAAAGTTATCTGTGCTTGTCCCTTAGATCCCTTCTTCTTCCCACCATTCTCTTGGTTTTCCTTATCTTCAGGTTCAAAATTCATCGTTATACTTTCCCACTCAGTGGCGTAATTGTCAGTGGGGCTACTGTTGCCGTATCACATGCATAGGAACTGAATACGAGTGGACGAAGTATTGTCTAATATAACTCGTCGTTGATATGATATCTCAGCCCCTTTGTGAACAAACCAGGTTCAGCCGAAGTGGCTATAAACTCGTAGGGCATTGACGGTTCGGGTAATAACTAATAATGGGACATGCGAAAGAACACGAGAACACGCAGGTTTTAAAGCCTAAATGAGAAGCAAATGGTCAGAAAGCTCGCGAGTCTTCATAACTGGGACAAGAGTAATCGATCCGACATTCATGGGCTCATATTCAGGAATCAGCAGCCTCGGTGCCAAGCTTCTGAGCAGGGTCGCTGGCGTGGACCCAATTACAGTGACCGAGGCTCAATATTCCATACCAACTGTTGCGTTGTCATCCTTCTTTATGAGGTCTCTCCATAACTGCTGGTACGTTGAAACAGCTTTCCTTCTGAGTGAAGTTCACTTGAAGACCGGCTAACTTTTGTCGAACCTGGGTTGAAGTACTTTTCAAAGTCCGCCAGCGTCTTCGTTCTTTCGATCAACTTTCGATGCCTACTGAGTGGCTGACTTCTGCTGACAACGAGACCTTGACAAAGTCTTCCTGAGCGGCAAATTTCCACTTAAAAAAGGACAGTCACTTGTCCACTCTCCACATGTAAAGCCCGTGCCTGCTATGATGCCATCTTCAGCGCGTCGAGGACCATAAGCTTTTCTCGCTCACCTGATCTTGCTTTTCTTGTTGCCAATCGATTGCATATATTGCTCTGACATTTATTTTATTGATAATTTGTCTGGGAGTCGTTATAAAGAGCGCCTTGGCGCCTCTGGGAGCACCAAGACCTGACCCACTGCCAATATGCGTGCCCTCTTCGTCTATTGTCTCAGTCTTTCTGCTTCAGTTTGGGCTCAGTCGAGCACTGTCGATGCCTATGTCGCCTCAGAGTCTCCTATCGCCAAGGCGGGGGTATTGGCGAATATCGGACCCAGCGGTTCCAAGTCATCGGGAGCAAGGGTATATATCCGGCTCTGCTAGTCGCGACGACGCGTTTTTTCCCCTCAGACAGGCGTTGTTATTGCCAGTCCCAGCAACTCCAACCCTGACTACTTGTATACCTGGACCAGAGATTCGTCGTTGGTTTTTCAAGCTCTAATTGACCAGTTTCGTCATCTCCCTTCACCGCGTGTCCACCCTTTCACCTGCGAATTTTTTAGATACACTCTCGGACTGGACACGACTTTGCGCACACAAATTGACAATTTTGTCTCTTCGCAAGCCATTGTTCAGCAAGTGTCCAACCCAAGCGGTACAGTCTCGAGTGGCGGCCTCGGCGAGCCCAAGTTTAACATTGATCTGAGTGCTTTCACGGGCGGCTGGGGAAGACCACAGAGAGGTATACAGGCTCCGTTCCTTCGTTGGGACTCTTTCTGATGATCCCCATTGACAGGCGGACCCGCACTTCGCGCCACCGCCTTGATCACATACGCTAATTGGCTTATCGCTAACGGCAATACTTCCTACGTGACCAGCACTCTTTGGCCTATCATCGAGCTTGACCTAGGATACGTCGTCACATACTGGAACCAAACGGGGTATAGATATATTTATTGTCACGGTTCCATGCGGCTGATAGTCTGTGTAGCTTTGATTTGTGGGAAGAAGTTTCTTCTTCGTCCTTCTTTACCACTGCTGTCCAACACCGCTCCCTACGGGAAGGCGCCACGCTTGCTGCGGCCCTCGGGGATACCGCCCTTGCTACCCAATACACCGCACAAGCAGCCAATACTCTATGTTTCTTACAGGTAATGAACTTGATCCTCCATGACAAACAAAGCTGATTTTTGTGAACAGTCGTACTGGAATCCCACCGGTCTTTATATGACAGCCAACACCGGTGGAGGTCGTTCTGGAAAAGATGCAAACCCTGCTTTAGCCTCCATTCACACCTTTGATGCAGCCGCTGGATGTGATGCTGTGACTTTCCAACTAGTGTTGCCACGGCTCAACCCGACTCAACTCGGCTTGACTTCGGATGACTCGGCTCCGGGACGACTCCGAAGTCAAATGAAATCTTTGACTTCGGCTCGACTCGGCTTCAAGCCACTGGGATTTGCTGAGTCATTGATCTCCTACCGAAATAGGAAGGCACAAAAAGTAAACTTCAGTAGCAGATAATTTATGTGCAAAAATAGTTTCAAGGGCCAGTATAAATGTAAATGTGTATAATGGGCACTATTTTCTAGGGCTGCTTGGTGTATACAGGTTGCAAAGACCGCAGCTTGTTGGGGTGAGAAAGTAGGGCGGCAAAGATGCGGCGATGTAAGAATTATTTTCCCACGTTATCTAATGCAAACACCCATCTGCCGCTAGTCAGTAATTCAACACAAAGGGAGGGTTCCAAGTCACTGTTCCTCTAAAACAGTTTTAATAACTTCAAATCAATGTCATGTACACATAAATGACTATCTGAGTCCACTAGGTCAAGATAAAGACAACTCTTCCAAAACTGGATGGAGTCATTGTCTCGGGCCGACTTCAAGCCATCAAAGTCGAGTCGCAGCCGAGTCAAGCCATTTAGGGCCCGGAGTCATTTTGGTGACTCGGCTCAGTCCGACTCCGACTCCGCGCGACGACTCGGCGACTCGGACCCGAGCCGTGGCAACACTATTTCCAACCGTGCTCTGACAAAGCATTAGCCAGTCTGAAAGTTTATGTCGACGCTTTCAGGTCTATCTACACCATCAACAGCGGTATTGCCTCAAATGCTGCTGTAGCTACGGGCAGGTATCCGGAGGATTCGTACCAGGGAGGAAACGTTAGTTTTCATACCTTTTCCAAGCTTATGCCGAATCGCTCATTGTCATAATCAGCCTTGGTATTTGACAACGGCGGCAGTTGCTGAACAACTCTACGATGCGATAATCGTTTGGAAGCAGACAGGATCCATCGAGGTTACCTCTACGTCTCTGGCCTTCTTCACTCAATTCTCTTCTTCGATCACGACAGGCGTGTATGACTCGTCCACTACGACATACAGCGACTTGCTGGCCGCGGTTCAAACGTTTGCTGACGGATTCTTGGCTATCAATGCGAAATATACGCCTTCGGGTGGAGGGCTGGCGGAGCAGTACAGCAGGAACACCGGGTCGCCTTTGAGTCCTGCTGACTTGACATGGAGCTACGCGGCAACGTTGACGGCGCTTGGGGCGAGGGCGGGTGTGGTGCCTGCTTCATGGGGCGCGAGTGGGCTGACGGTGCCTTCCTCTTGTTCCACCAGTTCGGGTGGCGGTGGCGGGAGCACAGTGAGTATTACATTCAACGAACTTGCCACGACGGTTTGGGGAGGTGAGTAATACCTTTCTTGCCGAGCTATCTTCTAACTTGTGTATTGCTTCTCAGAAAATATCTACTTGACCGGGTCAATCGGCGCTCTGCAGAACTGGTCTCCGGATACCGCGCTTTTGTTGAATACAGATAATTACCCTACTTGGAGCAGTGAGCCTTCCTTCTTGTTCGTTTGGTGTTACGGGTATTGTATTCATGGTTGTTCTCAGTCACACTCAATCTTCCGACGTCAACCACTTTCCAGTACAAGTACATTCGCAAGTTCAATGGTGCTGTAACCTGGGAGTCTGACCCGAACAGACAATTCACCACGCCGGCTTCTGGAAACGCGATCATTAACGACTCGTGGCGTTGATGAATTGAAACTTCTGTGAATCGGAAAAATGTTGCTTGCAAGAATGACCTGTAATAACTATATGCCGAGGAATTGAAAGTACCGTTTACGGGCGACTGAATGGGACCAGCGAAATGCCCTTGGGAATTTATAGGTAACTCACTAGATGAGCAGATTGGCTATGCCAATAGTTTAGGCTAATGCTACCGCCATGGTAATAATCCCGTGCTCTTCTTACCTAGTACTTACCATTATCACAAACTTGTCTTTCCGTTCTCTCCTTCGTCGCTCTGCCTTTCATGTCTGACCTTGCTTTTAAGGTTTGGAAACACCACCACCGCGGAAGACGGCATGACCGGATTTTCGATGATACAAGGCTTGCTCGAAAGATGCAGAAAAAGCGGTAGCAAATGGCCGGAATCTTGGGGGGATGAACGTCGGGACCTAAACGGCGGATGACGACTTATTTAGGTATCAGCTAGACCCTAGGATATGACTGAAAGCCCGAAAGTCATTACTCGTACAAGGAGTACGTCCATACCATTGCTAAAGTCAACTTGGCGCACGGCAAAGTGCATGGTGGTTCACGTTGTCCGGTCAAAGTGATCAAAGTATTTTTTCGACCTGCACCGTGGTTTGCGGATGATAGACACGATTGCATATTCGGTGCAGAGCATTGGCAATAGTCTGTCTCAGGAAAAGAAGATACCAATGAAGAACCAATCGCCCACACAGAATGCCTCCTGCTAGCGAATTAATGGCACGAAACCGAGAGCGAGGGGTATGACACCAAATCAGGGCCTATATTGTCAGAAAGCGGATTTAGAAGCAAGTTACATTAGAGTTTATCCAGCCTTGATCCATCCCTCGGACAGAACGTAGTACTGCGCTTTACTTGTATTGCCTCACGGACCATGCAGCGATCTCGTTAGAATGATTGATTCGCGTTGTACTGGGGAATTGTATTGCCAATGTAGATAAAACAAGCTGCCGCATGATCGTAAGCGCAGCACTCTTAATGGCACCGGTAAGAACATTGATGGCGATGCTTGCTATAAATAATCCTGAAAGGTTTGTAATTAAGTTCAAAGCATAGGAGCGTGGTGAGGAAAGAAAGTCACCTCTGATTGTAATTGTTGGAATGTCAAGTGTCGCGCATCATGGTGCAGTCGACGTCGGGATCTTCAGTAGGAAGCACCGTTCATCTGTTCTCCTCCTCGGCTTTCCTTATTACATCATATTGCTTCTATTAGTGTACACGGCATGTAGATAAATAGGTAGACGAACGACGATGACCCTCGCCTGTTTGCGAGGGTTCCCTGCTATATCCGGGTGAGCGGCTGGAGAATTACCGCTTATCTCAACAGTAATTTGTGATGCCTTCCATGATATTTGCCACTAATATTCACCAACATATTCGAGCGCTAACTGGAAGAGGAAAACTGTCCCCTATCAGCATCTCTTGAAACATAACACGCACACGAACAGGATAAGTAGAAGGTCTGCTTTGTTACGCCGTGGCGTCCTCATAGACCAAACTTCAAGAGTTGTACATACGAGTCAAGACGAAGGTTAATCCATATAAGAGAATGCGGCGTAAATGAGCCCGTGTGACCGCAGGTACCACGAACACTGCGTTACTTGACCGTGCAGTAGAAGGAAAAAGTAACTCGGCTGGACCCTGCAACAGTCATCAGAACGCTTACATAACAGGCACCATTTCAGAACGATAACTGATTCCTTTTCGAATTTACTTTTCTTGCTGACGGCTGTCCGACAGTGTCGTTGTAAAATAACCGACGATAAGTAACGTGAACGCGATGAGCATGGCGGCAGCTAAACATAGGCGAAGAACTCACGGGGACATCAGTGGACTTTGTGCCGAATTCTCAATTTGGGAAGCCGTGCCTTCACGCAATTGAAGAGCATATGGCGCGCTTGGCCCTACACATGCAGCTATCCGTTAAATGTAAAGTCCTTTGCACTCCATCTTGCACGTTCTCATGTCTGCTGCCAGTCTCCCTTCTTATGTCGCACCCAACTTCAATCGCAGTCCCTCTTATACCGCCGAGCCCCAACAACATGAGCAGCGTCTTGCTGTAGCAAACGGCGTTCGCCCCCGTCCCTCGGGCAATTTCATTAAAGAGTCGAAGAGCGGTGGTGCTCGCCTGCGTTTGACCTCCCAGGAGGATCATGTCACACTTCCGGTATACGGCTCCAATGGTTCCGTGGAAGGTACAGTCGAGGTGTCAAAGTCCGAGGGAATAACCAGCGTCGAAGTCAAGGTAATAATCGATAACTTAAATTGAATGATTAGTCTGAAGCATTTCCGCTAGGTGGAGGGTAGGTTACGCCTGCATGAGCTCGCCGCTGGTGGGACTACTGCTGTCAAACTATGTCTGGACACAGTCTTATTATGGATCAAGAATCCTAACCATCTCGCTTGTCCACCGTCCTTGCGTTTCCGGTTGAATCTTCCCACAACTTTTCAGTACGAAGGACACACCTACGTACCGCCGCCTACTATTCTTATGTATCGCCAGCTGACTCTTACTCCTCTAAGCCATTACCGCCCACATACGATGTCAAACTTGATGGACTACCAGGCTTCACGGCCGCTATAGACGTGAGTTTCTTTATCCCGACCTGTATCATCACTAATACACCTTCCCAGTACTCTGTCACCGCCACCCTTATGAAACCTAATGCCGTACCGTTAGTAAAGACCACTATCTTTGGAAAATCCCTCGGAAACATGTGTGAATGTCCAATCTTATTTTACTACCATACTAACACTCTACAGTGTTCTCTCGACACCCTTTATCTACTACCCCCGCACTCGGCCAGCCATACCTCTTCCTGCACCTCTTAGGCCTGCTCAGAACGGGTTCAGGTACGATCCAGAGTGGCAAGTCTACGAATCCGTCATAAAGGCAAAGGGTCCTGGAATGCAGGATATCAAGACCAAACTGTACGTTCCTGCCTCTCGGGTCTTCTGTTTCCGCCACCCTATACCTTTCCACCTTACGTTGGAATCATCCGCACAATCCCTGGCGGCGTTTCTGCCTTATGGTCCTAGTCCGACAGCGAGACGTGCCACAAGGGTGCAGCTAATGCGGCAAGTAACGGTCGATGTTCGGCATGCCATGATATCAAACACCAAGACTGACATTTGGAGAGTTGATAGTATCGGCGAAGGGAGGTTTAGGCACGCGGTGAGAATCTTCTCTATTCGTCATTCCGAAGTTTACGCTCAATACCACATGCGGCGCAGGGCGATGGTCCCACATGGGTATCTTTCAATGGTGAGATAATGGTGGACAACTCGGTCAAGATAGTAGGGTTCAAAGCAGGAGGGCTGAGGGTGAAGGTTTGCCCGGCTTCCCTGGTTGTTAAGTATACCCCAGCTGATTCTGTCTCGCCGGAAGGACTGCTTACTGTTTACAATGTCGCCCGCCGATCCGTCCAAATCAATCTTCTCACCCATACGTCAGGTCATTCCGACTAGGCTTACTACTGATGCATGGACCACGGATGGAACTGGAATTGGGGTGCATCCTTCCTCTTCCGAATATTCGATACCCCCAGTTCTAGGAGACTTTGACGCAACGGCGGGAGCCTATGCGATCTGAGCATGTGGAACTGGAAGGTCTGGATACCACCGACATTTTTGGACTTGTACTCTATAAATAAATATTATATATCCTGTAGATATAATTCGCTCATCCTTATATATGCGGTGCGCAAAGGAATGTATACTTAGACATCATAGGCGTAATACAATTTTAGAGAGAAGGACCTAGCGCGCGTACTACTCCACGACCGTGAGTATGTTGGGGGCTGCCCAACCAGCTGATGCCCCATATAATGTCATCGTTCCTTCCTCTTCACGCCATCGTATTCAATCCGCACCGATAGAGTGGCCCTCTTCTGTCCGCGAAATAGAAAAATGGAAGAATTTCGATTTCTTGTTACTGGTGCTTGGGATTCGGAGCCCGGCGGCACACGTCCCTTTTACGCGAAAAGGGGTTGTTCAGGGTCACGGATAGGACAGTGGCCAGTCACTGATTTTCAATGATACGCGTTGTTGCGAATGGCTTTTTTTTGACGAGCTCGTGTGGAATATCAGCCGGCTTTGAGGACCCGCGCAGACTCTTACACCTAGAGGCGCGTGAATATCAATGTCATAAAATATCACACGGTTAGGTTCTTGACAGTTCCGTGAAAAGACTCGTCAGCATAGCATAGTAAATTCATATGACTGATTTCTTTCCGGGCGGAATGATGTTCTATATGGTATGCATACAATGCGAGGGTGACTCCAACAGATGTGTTGGTTAATGTATCTCAATAGGAACGAAGTCCTCACGCTCCTTACTAAACAGTTTGGTCGAGTTCCTTGGCCGTATTGGCCAGAACCTGATGTTGTCAGTACCAAGCAGTTACAAGAGGGGCTTTGCACAATGTCGTGCGATGGTAAGAGTCAAGAAACGAAGGGTCAGTGACTAACTCTCTCACATCGGCAAGATGCCTAAAACCGACGAAGCACGTTCTTGAATGGGAGTTACAGAATGATTGAAAGCATTCATCAAGACACGGGTTAACAAGGCAGTTGAATATAGTATGAATACATTGTAATAAATATACACGAAAGAGTTCATGTCAAGACATTTGGCTTGATTATAGAGTAGTTGGAACATTTAACCCCGTGTTGGAACGCTCAAATGCTGTTCGGTGACAATGAGAACCCGCAAGCAACGAGTCTAGGCAACTTACGTTGAGTTTCTCCGCGTGCTCCCGTCTGTGAGTTTGCGTTCGGCAGTTATATCCATACCAGCAATCTTCCGGTATTTGTCTGCCAGCTGCGCGCTTTCTCTCCAATAACCAAAGATGCAGATGTTCGCCGATAAATATCTTCAAACATGATGTGCATAAGAGATCTTCTTTATGCCAATCCTCAAACTCAGGTCTTTTGACGTCGAAGAGCTCAGCCACCATGTTCATGTACGGAGCGGGTTGGTTGGTAGGTTGAAGCTGCAACCGCAAGAATGCGATTTCAGTAAAGCTCTGTGGTAGTAGACCCTTAAGGTACTGGTGAATCTGATTGATGGTAAACGTAGGCACTCCGCGAAGGTATTCCCAGTCTTTAACCTCGTGAGCACATCCAGCCGCTGTAGAAGGCAAAGACACCCACTTGATTCAGACCACAAGTTCAAACCTTCAGCTGCACCGCATCGCTTGCCTGTAAGAGTCGGAAATGAGCGGAACAAGCGTCTCACCAATAGACATATTTACGCACAGACGTCGCTTTCTCCTTCGACGGAGCTCAAGATCTTATTCCAGAGGGTTTTGTCTTTCGCAGGTATGGCAGTTTTGGTCGCCTCCAGAACAGTGCAAAGGGGATGTTCGATATATTCTGCGATTAATTCTTCAACTATGTTCATTTCTTCGGCAGCATCCTGAATGGGAATCACTAATCCTTGTTCATATGATTCAAGTATCGCTCCTGGTCCAGCACACAAAGCAACGTCACCGAAATAAGTCGCTAAGGAAATGCATGAGAATTTCGCGTCCCTCTCTTGGGATAAATTTTGACATACGGCCAACAGATCCGATTTGCGCCAGCGATACCCATTCCGCCGTCTCGACAAGAAAGTGCGTAACGGCATACATTTCAAGGATTTCCTCCGTGAAAAAGTCTTCTATGAAATCTTTCCTCGCTTGTCTATCCTCGCGAATTCTCTTGAAATTTGCGTCCGGATCATCATCATCGTCTTCGCCTTCGTCGTCACTGGGGAAGCCGTACTTGGAACCAGGGAAAACACGAGAGAAGAGCATAAGACGATAGATAGCTCGACGAAAACGCCATGATTCCATTGATGCCAATTTGTTGACTTTCGACGACCGATTTTTATGTCTGAGTTTACAGGTCAGGGTGATACTGATCTGGCAGCTAGCAACGCACCTGAAACTGAACAGATCCTCCAGTTTACTTGCTACTCGGGCAATCTTTATCAACTTCTTCGTCTCGGATTGCGTAAGAGGAGGCCCGTTAGTCGTCTCGGCTGCTGAATTCGATACAGGTCCATAGTCGGACAGAACCTCATCGTCCGGATGCACTGACTCCTCGGAAGAAGACGAATCTGTATCATCCTCTGTTCTATACCGAAGTAATCTCATGGCTTGCGGAAGAGCTGGCCCAGCAACGTTATACGCCACCCTTCGCACTATAGTCTTCGGATGAGTATTGAAGATCCTGTGGAAAGCTTTGCACACTCGAATGGTTGATTGAAGAGAGGAGAAGGTTGGCAAAAAGTGGAATATCTGCTCTATTACGTCGTCGCTCAAAGGCAGCGAGTTGCTCCCGCGGATGGACATCGTTGCGGTGGTGGAAGAAACGAACAGACTCGGTAACGACCAAGTCACTGTCAGAACTGGTTTCACCACGACCACGTGATACTTCCCTTTTTACTCGCCAAAGGCCCAGACTCTGCCAAATTGCAGAAATGAAGGGAACAATACAAGAATAACGATGATTAATATCGCAGCGCTGGAGTCACCCAGCTACCTATAAGTAGTATATGATATTTAGAAAACCTAAAATAATTTACTTCCAGGTACAGCCATCATAGGCACATCGTGCCCGTAGGCAGCGCTTTTGTCAGAATAGCCCATCCAACTCTGAGGCTTCAGTCACCCTCGACTGTTTCTCTTCCTGGGACTGCCAGGACTTTAAGACCGTCTTCATCACCTACCGCTTCGCACGTATGCTAGCGTCCGCGAACGTCAGTACTCTTGTTTGTCTTACTTGGTCACTAGGTACTGACAGCACCACAGTAGCGCCACCTCCCCTTTTATTGAGTGGGATCTAGGGTCCTTGAATACCATCGGGTGGAGAAGCCAAAGTAATGCGGCGGTCATGTTGATCGCTGCACACCTCCAACCGCGCAGGCGCTGATGTATTTTTAGTTTTATTTCGGGTTTTATGAAGGTTATCTCACTCTAGGACACCTCATCCTTTGATTGACATATGTCTCTCAGATCTCAGGCAAAATACGATGCATTCTATACATCCCCCTACACATATATACGTAACGTCGTCTGCATACTCGCTATTGGAGCAACATGTATATTAGTATCAATCTAAACAACGCAGCATCACTCAGTTAGACCATCATGTGCTAGCAGCGCCAGCATTGCGTCAACGACAGGATTGTTAGGACCTTGTGCCACAATCGTACTTTCTTCGATGCTACTCAGTAGTTGTGCATCAAGGAGACGGCTACAACTTGAGTCAGTACTGCGTGTGATAACTCTCATTGAAGGAACTTGCCGCAAGTGGTTAACAAGTATGCCTATTCGTGGCCATCCTTTGAGCTTTATCACGCCTTCCTTTCCATCGATGCTTATTCCTCCTGTAATTTGATTAACTGACACGGTTCCGCCGAACAAAAGCATCGCATATAAGGGGACCTGGAGTGATTTTTTAGTTGGCGCCAACTCGCAGTTTTCAACGATCTTTGTACCTCTGTCGTGTCTCTCAGGAAGATTTTACTGGTCTTGACCTTTGTAAAGGACATCACATATTGCGATCTCCATGCTGAAAAGTCGAAAAGAACACTAGTAGGGTGTAGAAACACCCTCTTGTTCCTGAGATCATAGATCTCGAACTTCTTGGCTTTGTTTTCTCTCTGAACCGTTCCACCTTGGACCTTCCTTGCCGACAGAGGTAAGTTGACACGAGCAACTCTGGGCCACAGGCTGCCTAAAAGGACTGCTTTGAGGAGATTGGTGTTTTCGCTGTTGGTATTGATGGATGGCGATGATGAATTGGAGTGCAGAGGGATAAAACCGATAGATTTCAGGGAAGAAAGCAAGTCGTTTCGGAGGTTGGATATCTCACGAACGGCGCTCGCTGAGATGAAATTCTGAAGAACGAATGTAGGTACGATTGAGTTGGAGGAGATTGGAAGACAACGGTTACACACCTCTTCACGAAATCGACGGATTTCACCAAATGATTTTCTTTCAGTCTGAAGCCGCATATACTCATCATAGGCTTTGGCATCTGTCAGAAGATCACTAGTGCCTTCGCAAAAACGCGCGCGAGCCCTGATATCAAAGTTAGCTACGCTTTGAAATGCATTTACTGCACAAAAACATACTGTGATGCTTCTTTTCGTTTCTCTAGCGGACTAACAAACAGCGGCTTTGAAGATAAACATGCCGCAATGGTGAGTACGGGTCCGAGGCACCGAAAGATCGTGCCTAGGACAAGCATCTAGATGGGGCATCAGTGGAAAAGCTTCGCGTGAGAAGAGACAAACAACTTACTTTGGCTAATCGTACGTCTACCGGAAGTAGCGACTAAGAGCTGTCAGCAAAGACCAAAGCAGGGACAGATAAACGCACAAGATGCCGCCCTAGCGCTGTCAGTCTTCCTTGTCCGTCCACGGCTCCTAGATTTTCCAATGTTGCCCAAGCTGTATCCATTGAACTGACGTTAGGAGGAGAGATTGCCTTGGCTAGGAAATGCTTTGAAAAAATGATATGAGCGTCCCATGTTTAGTAGGCGAGGAAAAGACACGTACTCTGACATCTTCGTCCTCCCTTGTTACTTTGACGGCAAGCGAAATATTTTCGAGTGGAACACGTAGAATCTCTGGTACAATGAACTTGCCCATTTTCGATTCTTGCTTCCTGGTGTACAGCTTATAGCATATACCTGGCTGGGTTCGGCCGGCGCGACCCCGACGTTGCCTTGCCTCTGCCAACGTAACCCATGTCTCCACTAAACCAGAAATATCTGATTCTCCGTCGTACTGTGTCTGCTTGACCTTTCCCGAGTCTAAAACGTATATCACGTCATCAATAGTGATAGATGTCTGCGGAAGTATACATTCAGTAAGTCTACACAGTATATTGCTCGGAGACGACTGACCTCTGCAACGTTAGTGGCAGCTATAATTTTCCACTTGGTTGTCTTCATGAATACGCGGCATTGCTCCTCACTTGACAGATTTGCATGGAGAGGCATAATGTCGGCGGGAACACTCGGAGGTAATACGCTCTCTATCATGTCTACACACCGTCGAATCTCTTGTACACCCGGAAGGAAAATGAGGATACCCCCACGAGTCTGCGATGTGGTGATGATGTGCCTGACCACTGCGGCAACCATCTGGAAATGGGGAATGAGTAAAATGTGCTTTCTCCCCGTAGCATCCTACCTTATAATCGATGGCGTTGGCCCGCGTAAGATTCTGTAGGGCAGTAACGCATTCGTGACTCAAACCACTGGATGCATACTCGGCACGGAAAGCTTCCTGTTCTTTTCGACTCTCATTTATCCCGGGCTTGACCGCTGGTGGTCGATAGTCTATCGATGAAATAACGTCCTCCAAGTACCTGTTAATCTTCGCATAAAGACAAACGATTTGGATACAAATAAAGACTCACAGATCGGTTACTGGGTGCGTAAACCCGGGGATGGTTAATAAAGGTGCACCACCAAAGTACGTGGTAAAAGTCTCGTGGTCGATAGTAGCAGACATGAGAACGACCTTAAGAGTTTGATTTTCCGTCAAGAGCTCCTTCAATTCCAGAAGTAAGAAGTCGCCATCAACTGATCGTTCGTGTACCTGATTACCATGTCTGGGTGCGAGACAAAACAAAAGTAATTGCAGCGTACCTCGTCCACAATGATATGCGAAACGTCTTTCAGCTTGTCGCCGGAGCTGAGGCGTCGAAGAATCACACCAGTGGTACAGAACAAGAGTTTGGTCTCCCGCCTTCTAGTACTTTCACCACGGATAGCATATCCTACCGAACCGTCGTCAAGCCGCTCATTAGATACACGAGATGCTACGCCGATTGCAGATATACGCCTGGGTTGGGTAACGACAATAGATGCCGTCTTTCCCTGGTTGGAGTCGATGAGGGAATCCAAAATGAATTGCGGCACTAGTCAAAGTCAGCTTATAGCTATGATTTGGCCATCCTTAACCTACGTTGCGTCGTCTTTCCACAGCCTTGGGGTTGGCTTATTAGCGAGAATAAAAAGACGGAGGCGGTACCAACCTGTTTCTCCCACTACAACAACGACACGGTTATCTGCCAGCTTTTTGAGGAACTCGTCTTTAGAGGCAAAAGCCGGCAACTTTCGTCGAACAGCCATGATGTATTCATACTGTGCTTTCTTCGCCCTCCGCAGACTTCCATATTCTTCTTTGATTTGCCGGGAGGTCCTCCAGTCTTGAGAATAAAGATCGCCTCTTCTCCGACCGGTACCCTGTGCGAAGGGCCCCTCCTCTAGTTTCAGATTCGAGGCGACTTCTGAGCGTGGCGAAAAATGCCGGAAAACTGTAGATATCCTGGGTGGCCCGTTGGCTTCTATCTTGGCCCATTCTTCATCCAGAATTGACAAAGCCGTTACGCAGAAGCTTCCGCCGGCATCGAACAGCTCGCCCGACCGTAAGAGTTGGGATAACATATGAAGGCGAACATACGCAGGGACTTTAGAGGATGTCAGGTACATTGGCATGTAATCTACAAAAGAGGTGAACTGTCGCCAATTAGTCGAAATGTAACAAATACCTTGTCGAGGAAAAAATTTCGCGGAGTATAGAACGTGCAACTGAATCGGTGCAGTACGGAGAGGTAGGATGAGCTGGTGCTCGTCGACATGGCCACCGAGACCCTCTACATCTTCCAGATTGATCTCGTATGGTGATAATGTCTTGCTCTTGTCGAATGAACTAGTAACATCTTCGCCAATAAGCCTCTGGCACAAAGTGGCGACAAGAAGATCCCAGGAATTTGTCAAGTTCGGATCAGAGAGACATTCCCGAACAATGTGAACAGGCCAACCAGCCTCTTTGGTCGCCTTCTCTATGACCCACCGTGGGTTTAGATCGTCAGTTCCAACATGTACTGAAGTAATAAAAGAGTTGGAGGAATCGACCTCTGGTAGAAAACGTTCGGGAAGATCACATTCTGGTACATGGAGAACAAGGTATTCGATGGATGCTTCTAGGACACCTTGAGAAGCCAGGAGAGTCGCTGAAATGGCAGAAGGTTCAGAGACAAAATCAACCGCTTCCCGAGCTTGGATGGGCGTGAATCCCAGAAGTTGCAGCTTCTGAGTTACCGCCTGTATCTCCTCCTCCGGTATGTCCTTGGGCACTGCGGCTTGGGCACCTTCAGGAAGTGAGGCCCAACCCTATCAATCATTGAATAACTATTTTCGTAACAAGAAAAGTGGCAGACCTGCTTGACAGCATCCTCAACCTGGTTGCGTAGCTCATTCGACATCTTGACTTCAGGCCAGTTTTGGAAATCAAGAGAAGCCTCCCGGTGCGGGTCTGATTTGGCCTCAGGTTCAGTACGTTTCTCTGCTGCTTTGGCTTGTTGTTCGAGTTGCTCCGCCATTTTACGACCGGCAAATGGATTAGCGTCATACATCCATTTGAGATGTTTTGGCGAGTGTTTATGCTCTGCCGCAAGTTGGATCCAATATGACCGTGGTCCTTCTGGCAATACCTTTTTGAGCTGAATATCGTTACTACAAAACTAACGAAATAAGTTCGTAAGGGAAAAGCATCGATTAAGCCGTAGACGAACACGGTACAAGGCGTATGTGGCACCCCAATCTTGGGCTTCAGGGGCGCTTGGCATCACATATGGGGGATCTGGGGTTAGGCGAACAGACTCTTTGTCGGAGTGCTTCTTGTCTTTTCGACTCAAGATGACCGTGAATGTCCAGTCGGCACCTATTTGACGCTATCAAAAAGGGTATGTCAGCAGTTTGAGAACTACAGTGCCAGGGGCCCAAACCTTACCGTTTCGACAATAGGCTTCTTCCATCCATTCTTTTGGCACCTGAAGTTTGAATGAATGCATATATCTCTGTTCAATCAAGTGGTTATAGAGGAAGATTACCTTTCATGTAGCAAACTCAGAGGATTCTTTGACCCTGGAGGAAACTGAGATTTCTTTCGATTTGTTGGGTCACTTGGTTTACCTGACTGTTTAGAAGAGTTCCCAGCGTTTCCTGGTTTTACGGTCCCTTTTCGGCGAGACATAAGTAGGTGAGGATGCAAATAAAGCTGGACGGTGGCCAAACGGTAGCAGTTCGGCGGGGTGGGATAGGTGTTAGCTCGAAGCTGGGGCTCCGAGTCGATACAGGTGGTACTTGAATAGTACTACGAAAGAATCATATGCTAATGGTCCATGGTGGTTATCGCGTGTGAAACAATGAAAAACGTACATAGGCCGTGTGCCGCAGTACAATGCCAAAGTCGTCCCGTTAAAGTGCGGTGATGATGAAGTGGTGGGCCATCGCAGGGCGTGGCACAAGGTTCATATTCGACGCAATGACAACACGATAAAGCTAAAGAATAGAACAGAAAAGTGATTGTATTCCGTCTCCCCCAGAGATTAAATTCACCTCCAGATCCTAAAACCACAAATAGGTCATAAACCACAAACAAAATATACAGAAGGAAAGAGCACACCTTCGCAGTCAGTGGTAGGTTGATCAGGGCATTGAGTGATGCTACTGAACGAGGTTGCTTGACAAGGTGCAGGAACACTATGAAGCAGGTCAGGACAGGCCATCCACAATGCCAATGATAAGAAGAACGCACAGGTACTTGTATTATACTTCCCGGAGACAACCTAAGACGTTCGTTCTGTTCCCACTCAGTGCCGTTAAGACAATGTCCGATGTAAAAGTCGGTCAAGATGCCACCATCGACGATGGTCTACCCACAAGTACACGGTCAGTGATCAAACCAGAATCAATAAGCAGTACGTACACACGTGGGATACATGGATACTCTGCTAGCCAAGCCCTTTCAACGGACTGACAGCACCCTCAAAGTATGCTTCCCAGCTGAGGAGTGCACTGGTGGTGATGTTCCCTCTTGCGCGCGCTGTAGCTTCCGTGGAGACCAACCACCCTCTTTTCCTCGTCTCGTCAACTTGATTCGCCTGGAGCGCCCATCATTTTCGAGAGTGCAAACGTCTTCAGCATTTGTTTACATTACGGTCCAGATGCTCTTGCGTGTGATATTGAAGAACGGTATCCAGAAAACTGTGTCTCGTATTGTAGGCCTTTGCAGCGGACTTGAATTTGAGTGGAAGTGAAGTTGATGCCTATGGACCGTGACAAGATGAGGATTGGGGACTAAGGTTAAGGCCGTGCTCCTACCAGCAGTATCTATTTCATGAGAGAGGCGTCAGGACCACGAGATATGAGGGTAAGGACATAGCCTAGTTTAGTAAAGAGACGGCTGAGGAAGAGTAATCAATGCTCAAAAGAGAACGCGTAACAAGTGTGACGTGTGACATTACCGTGGGCGACTACACTTAGGATACTTTAAACATGACATCATCATCATCATGGTCGTAATACAGACCCTGTATGTTGGCCACACAGGGAAATAAGAGCACTGGTCCTCTGATTTCCCTGGGTGGCTCCCTTCCATCCATATCCCTCCCCTCTCTGGATCTCAGCCATGATCTGCTCTGGTAACCCATTCCACGATACCCACAGACAACAGCCCCTCTCCCTTCATCATCCATCACTTCCTTCGACAACCGGGCCCCTCCCTTTTTAACACGTGTTGAGTTGTGTCGGATTGTGTGAATTCTATAAGCAGCATACTCTGCCCAGTCTCTTTTCATTAATAACATCGCAAAGTGTTGCTGATATCAAATTCATCTTCGGTAACACCCTGATCACAGACATGTACTAAAGACATGACGCAAACTTGAACATGACGATAGTAACTGTAATGGCCCTGGGTTGGTTCTATGGCCAGAGCTTCATGAGCACAAAGCTGTTAGAGAAATACCGAATCTGAGGCCATCGAGTCCACGTTTCAAGACTCAGCGTCTATCGTCACGCCCTCTATTATTTAGGCCTTCTAGTATCTTCGCAGTCGCTCGATTGTTGACGTCAGGAATACATCTAAAGCATGTTCATCACTTGATAAGTAACATGTCTTCGTACCAAAAGCGCCAGGTGACGGTGTGTTCGGCGGTTGTTGATGTTGGTATGAAGCTAGTAGCTGGCAGATCCTGGAGGAATCCCTGTCCAAAAGTGGCAATCACCGCCAAGGCTACAAGGCTCTGGGAAGCTACTTACATTTGAGATGAGCATGGGTATGGAAACGCAGAAAATGAATGATATGCGAGCCCAGAAGAAAACTGGCCACTTAATCGAAAATGGAAGAAGACTGACTGAAGGGAATTAAAGAGTAATGAACGTCTGCCAGAAAGAATCGTCGCGACTCGGACTATGAAATGATCCCTGGTTTCGACGCTAGTTTCCTTTGGTTAATGTGGTATCTTCGCATGAGCCTCCATGATTCCGCTGACGACTACATCAATGTTTTGCGTCGTATTTTCTGCAGAGCGCGCACCAAGGGAAACGAGTAGGTTTAGATACGGCATAATCCATCGAAAAATAGAATACATAGGAAGCACGATATATATATATATAAAAGATAATATGACGAAAGATAGCGATCCAAATTTAGTTCAAAGTCTCAGTCCGACTTTCAGTCGTTCGTTATGACTCCGACTTGTGAGCCCTGCTGCATCTTTCTACAACTACCACGAGCTCATCCGACCGCTCCCGTTGAGCTTCAATGTCCGTTTCAAGAATTGTGTTCTGCATGGTGGATTCTTGAAGGTTTGTCGTGCCAAGTTCCGAAGGTGCTATCCGGAAATGAAGTGCAGACACCATACTCTCATCAGAGTTATCATTTGGTCGTGTATGTCCTGCCGCTGCCCGACCAACAAGCAGCGTGGGTGCAGCTCCCTATGCAAGGTGCTGAATAAATTATAAGAAATTCCAAAGTCTTGAACGCACCTTCGCGATGGAACCTATGACATCAAGGTAAAACATTCCAAAATCATTGCGAATGGTGAGAGCCAAACATAGTACCAGAGATATTGAATAGAGGGCTGAAGACTCAACCAGCACTTCAATAAAACGATGATAAACTCTCAGTCGGCCCTCTGCTCCACGCCTAAACCCGACCACAGATAAAATGCGGTAAATGATGAATAAAGTGCACCATAATGTCGTCGCCAGGATAAAGGATATGTAGAGCATTCCGAATACTCCTGGTAAATTGAAGTATTCTTCATATAATTCAATGATTTTTGTCGCTACACAAAAAGTTGGATATATGAAAAGAATAGATGAGCTCGGACACTTTACCAGATGCGGAAATTAAGGAAAGTACTGGAAGCAGAATAAACAGCCAGCGATGTCCCCAAACTATCCAACAACACCAGATCTAGAGTAGAACGTCGGTGAGCTGATGTGGAGAATCTCCAGCGGAGTCATACGCACCATATACAAGTCCGAGAGAATGGTACCCATAAACGCAGCGATACCTGCTTCCAAAATGGTAGCTTTGGACGCATCGTTAAACCTCGAATATACGGTCGAAAAAATTTTCCCATTATCGATGAATGCCGATCGTATATATGACCACTTGGTAGCAAGACTGATGGTAGTCAGAGCATAGAGAAAAATGATCATGACCACTAAGGCTCGTCGAATGGGCCAACATTTATTGATGACTACGTGTTTCATGTTAGCTTCGTTGTTGTAGTAGAGGTACTCCGGGCTTACATATATTCCACAGCGTAACAGCAAAAATGCCGGTGTATATTCCTGTCATCAGTCAACACTTACATGTCAAGAAACTGAACCTGGTCGCTAACCATGTAATAGCGCGCAGAGAATTCCGCAGTTCAGCTGAGCGTCGAAAAATTGAAATATGTAAGCTTTATCGTTGTCGGTAGGATCTGAAGGAATATTTGCCTGAGCCATCATGGGGGAAAGCAAGAGCAAAGGAGTAGTAATTTTAACTGGTTTATAAGAACACATACCAACGTTATAAATACTGTATTGTTACTGGACACTGCCTGCTGCAAAGATAATCACCGCCTTTGATTCCAACTCAAAAGGGTTCCTTCTCAGATCCTTAGATATGTCTCAGCGCAGATGCCAGCTTGAACTGGATCCATAATGGCATGAACCTGAGATTACTGCAAAGTTGACAGAAAAAAGGTGGAAGGTTTCAATGGCAAGCATGATCGTAATGCAGACGGATCCTGAATCCTAACAGGGGTTGGCAAAGGTATCGACGTCCGCTAGGTATGTAGAGATGAGATCCCACGACACGGCTATACACGATGGGAGAAAGTTTACCCTGGAACTGGTGCATCTAACAGAGAAATAAATAGAGAGGCAGACAATACAGCACATACCCCATGATGAGCTTGAAGAACTCCGATCTGTTCCAGACGCAGTTTCCCTTGCCCGCACTGGGTAAATCTTTGAAGCCATGGCATTACGCAACGTCTCGGAGTCGACCCATCTTTGTTTGCATCGATAGTTCTTCACTTAGACGCCGAAATGGACAAAAGTAGCTGTGATAACGCACATCAATACTGAGAGAATAGACTGCCAAGCCATAGAAGCAAACATCAATACGACCGATGCCGACATGGCACGATGCCATTGGCGGGAAGCGGTTTCAAGTTACACAGAAAAGTGACTGGAGCACCTCGAAAAGATCACGAAGAAGGGAAGATGCCTGCTCGATGAGCGATGAAGAGGACAGGGTTGCATAGATGGATTCTTTAACCCAGAGATGTTGCACTAACATCCTGGAAGTGACGTTTCGGCACCTTTGTCATCTCAGGCGATACCAATAATCCCCCAGAGGCGAGCTAGATAACACGTCAAAATAGCGATTATGGTCCAGGCCAACGGCACTTTACAAGATTCACCTATCTTTTTCCCCTCCTTGGGCAGTGCCAGGTACCTTGCGGCTTCTATAGCACTGGTTTCACCGTTATGTGATGATGTGATCATTGACGCTAAGGTTCCGTAACCCGACCTCATGGAATTTAAACATTTCTGCGGTTCCGAAATTTCCCAGTGATGATGGATTCGGTGTAATTGAGGACGCAGAGGTAGAAGAGTATTGGTGCTGGCATAGCGCTGGCCTGCAAGTCACGAATAAATAGACAGCTTGCAATCACCAAGGCTCCAGGAAGGACAGTTGATAGATAATATGCCGTCAAACGAAGCTCTGAGCCATAATAGAAGTAAGAAGTTGAGAACGGTCCCAATGTGAGGACAACTCCACCGTGGTCTGTTATTAGTTTGAATACAGTTCGTCCCGTGGAGACAGCCGATAAACACAAAGAAATTCACAACATGCGCGTGCTGCCTGCTTTATGTTTTGACATCATGATTTTGGGGCGCCACTTCGTCTCATCGCATCAATCAAGCTCGGCACCTCATCATCGTTTGCAGTCAACACGGCCATGGCTACCTCGATGGGCATACTTCCAGAGATAGCAGGCGAGTATTCATCCTATGGTTGTCCTCGTCACAGCATTGAGGAAGGAGATGAAAATGGGCCACTCTTGAAAGCCATTGGTAAACCGAAAGCACCTTGATTATTCTACCCCTACTTGTCAATGTCTCAGATCGACCCAGCCAGTGGTGCAAAAATCAAAACCATCAAGCTCTGGTCGTAATACAAACCTTGCATGTTGGCCACACAGGGAACTACAGGGAAATAAGAGCACTGGTCCTCTGATTTCCCTGGGTGGCTCGCAGTGTGCTCCCATCCATCCACATCCCGCCCCGGGCCGGGCCCTCTCTGCCATGATTCTGCTCTGGTAACCTATTCCACGATTCCCACCGACAACAGCCCCTCTCCCTTCATCATCCATCACTTCCTTCGAAAACCCGACCCCTCCCTTTTTAACGTGTGTTGAGTCGTGTCGGGTCGTGTGAATTCTATAAACAGCGTATTCTGACCCGTTTCCTTTTCTCAACGACATCGCAAAGCGTTGCTGATATCAAATCCATCTTCAGTGGCGCCTGATCGCAGATACACACTAAAGATATGACGCAAACATGACGATGATAATCGTAATGAGTTGGCAAGGCAAACCGGGAACCACCGATATTCATTCTGCTCAAGGATAAAGTGAGTGAAATCTATTGCAGTATTATAACTGAACGATGCTAAATAATATGATAGTACATAAACCAACGAGAGTACATAGCGAAACAGTTTAGGTCTTCTATACAAAGCATACACACAAACCGACGAAGGAAACTAGGGCCTTTGTTTAACCAGAGCACATCACGCAAGCGTCTTTGTTTTCCAGCGAGCATAGAAGCTTCTCAGCTTCATACTCGCGCTCCTTCTGCCGTCTCAACGCTGCTGCGTACTCCGGATTCTCTTCAGCAACCTCTTTCAGGACATCATCCAGCATCGATGATGACGATGAAGATGAAGATGTCGATGACGACGACGACGACGGTGACAAAGTAGGGGTATCTGAGGGCGACACTGTAGGCGACGTAGATGATGAGGAGGCAGGTGTGGGTAAAGCATTAAGGGTATTCTTAGCGGGGTTGACGACAGGGGCTGCGGGTGTGAGAGTACGCGACAAGGGAGGTGTGGCTTGGGACTGGTGCACTTTCGCCTCTTTCAGAACGCTCTGGTCGACGGTGAACTGGATGGCCTGGGCCGCAGACCGTGTCCGAAGGTAATACATGCCCGTCTTCAATCCCTTCCTCCATCCATAGAAGTGCATGCTTGTCAACTGACCGAGCGTCGGGGCTTGGAGGTGGATGTTTAGACTCTGACTCTGGCAAATGAAGGCACCACGATCAGCAGCGAGGTCAATGATCTTCTTCTGACTGATCTCCCATACAGTCTTGTAGATGGCTTTGACGTTATCAGGAATGTTGGGAATGTTTTGTATAGACCCATTGTGTGCGATAATCATGTTCTTCATGTTATCGTCCCAGAGACCAAGGTCAACGAGTTCACGGAGTAGCCAAGGACAGACGACCTGGAATTCACCAGCGAGCACACGACGAGTATAGATGTTGCTACAAAGACAATGAGTAATAACATTACGTCGAAGGAGAGACAACACACCTCGTGTAGGGTTCAAAGCATTCATTGAAACCGAGAATCTGACTGGTTGATGCAGTTGGCATGGGAGCGGTCAATAAAGAGTTTCGGAGGCCCGTCTTAGCAATCTTCGCCTTCAGGGAATCCCAATCCCAGAGATCCGTCGGCGTAACGCCCCAAAGGTCGTACTGGAGCTGACCTTGTTGAGCAGGACTGCCCATCCACGTTTCGTAAGGTCCATCCTTCTCTGCCATCTCAGCGCTAGCCTCCAGAGCACCATGGTAGATGGTTTCGAAGATCTGTATATTGAGCTTCTTGGCCTCGGGAGAGTCGAAGGGCATGTGGAGAGCCATGAAGGTGTCAGCGAGACCCTGCACACCGATACCAATGGGACGGTGCCGGAAGTTCGAACGGCGTGCTTCGGGAACAGGATAGTAATTGACGTCGATGATGCGATTCAGGTTGAATGCGACAACCTTAGCAACAGCATGAAGCTTCTTGAAGTTGTATGTACCGTTCGAAATGAAGGTAGGGAGGGCAAGCGACGCTAGATTGCAGACTGCGATTTCATCCGGAGAAGAGTACTCAATGATCTCGGTGCATAGGTTGGATGACTTGATAACACCGAGGTTCTTTTGATTCGACTTGGCTACAATTACGATCAGACCCGATACTCAACAAAAATAACGAAATCACTAACCGTTGGCGGCATCTTTGTAGACCATGAAAGGGTTTCCGGTCTCAACTTGGGCATCGAGAATCGCATACCACAACTTCTGTGCTGGGACCGACTTGCGTGCACGACCTTCCTTCTCATACTTCTCATAGAGCTTCTCGAACTCCTCACCATAGACCTCATGGAGACCAGGTGCCTCGTTGGGACAGAAAAATGACCACTCGGCGTTGGCTTCAACACGCTTCATGCTATTAATATATGATCAGTATAAAGACGCTCAAAATGTGCTTCATCACTCACAAAAGGTCAGGAATCCAGAGTGCATAGAAAAGATCGCGTGCACGGCTCTCTTCTTTGCCGTGGTTCTTTCTAAGGTCTAGGAACTCAAAGATGTCGGGATGCCAAGGCTCAAGATAAATGGCAAATGCTCCAGGACGCTTATTACCGCCTTGATCGACATAGCGGGCGGTAGCGTCATAAGCTCGCAGCATAGGAATGATACCATTAGAGTATCCGTTAGTCCCGGCGATGTATGATCTATTAATCCTATTAGCAAGAATAGATGGCTATGAATGATGATAGACATACCCAGTGGCACGAATGTTATGAATGCTGAGACCAATACCACCAGCCGTCTTACTAATCATGGCGCAGCTCTTTAGGGTATCGTAAATGCCCTCTATGGAATCGTCCTTCATACAAACGAGGAAGCAAGATGATAGCTGAGGGTGGGGGGTCCCGGCATTGAATAACGTCGGCGATGCGTGGGTGAAGTACCGTTCAGACATGAGGTTGTATGTTTCGAGCACACGGTCGATGTCGTTGCCGTGAACACCGACGGCGACACGCATTATCATGTGCTGAGGGCGCTCAGCAACACGTCCATTGAGGCGAAGAAGGTATGATCGCTCGAGAGTCTTGAAACCAAAGCTAGAAGGAAAATGATTACGATAACTATCACGACGCATGCAAATGCAACTCACTAGTTGTAGTGGAAGTCACGGTTATATATGATGGCGGAGTCAAGGATTTCAGCATTAGCTTTGACAACTTCATACGTCTCTTTGGAGATCATTGACGCGGGTCGGTTGTTCTTCGGGTTGACTATATCCTTGTGAGATGTTGACAAGTAAACCAAGATAAGAAACGTACCGTATGTGTAAAGGTCCTCAATAACATGGGAAAAAGTCTTCTTAGTTTCCTTGTGCAAGTTAGAAATGGCAATGCGCGCGGCGAGGACGGCATAGTCGGGGTGCTTGGTGGTTAGGTAGGCAGCAGTCTCAGAGGCAAGATTCTACAGAATAGATCAGCGGCGAAATTGTGCGAGAATGATTGGTGACTGACGTCGAGTTCTACTGTAGTAACACCCTGATATACACCTTGCACGACTTTCTGAGTGACCCTACGATAATGGTAAGCGACGCGCTTTTGATGGCAAAACGACCCTGGCGTACTCGATGGGATTAACATAGTTCATGTCGAGGCCATAGCACAGCTTATCGATGCGCGTTGTGATCTGCAGATAAGGATGTTAGCCAGCCCCCGACGCGTGACTAGGTGAAAGATGTGCTCGCCTTGTCGAACTGGACGCGTTCCTTGCGCCTGAAGAAGCAGAAACAACAGTCAGTCACAACAGGGACGCGCTGCGACGCGTAGAAGGAACCAACCCATCTGCAAAGGAAAAGACGATGAGACAGTGCGCAGCGCAAAGGTAGACAACGTACCTCTCTTGAAGACATAGGCCATAGACATGTTGAACAGCGTAGAAGGTCAATACAGTCAGAGAGATGAATGGGAATCGCAAGGGATGGAGAGGGAGATAGAGGGACAGGTGGTGGTAGAGAGACAAGGGTTACTGGAAAAAAACGCGTCTATAAATTATGTCTCTGACTAAGCGTCCCGTTTAGGAAATCTTCGTCCTGATGGCTTTCAACGTGGACTCGATGGACTCGTCAGACTGTGCCGAGACACTTGTGGATACAAGACATATGAAAATGCATCTGAGAGACTATTGTCGCGTGTGCAAAAAATTTCAGGATATTCTTCCTTTCTGCTGGACATGTATACATTCTTTAATTGGCGGTCACGAGATTTCAACAAGACGCGCTGTTGTGCTCTATCGACGCGTCTGAAACACGACGCGTGATTACAGTGGTGCCACTTTATGCCGCTCGTGTCATTCCCATCAATCAAATCATAATATGCATGAGTCATGACGAATCAATTCGGATCCGATGAACTATGCCGCAAGCCACTATATGAGAGCGCGAATACACACACGGCCCAGCGTTGCAAAACTGAGCTCGAGGTGCAACACCCTGCACTAGGCTACAAGCTTGAATATCAATTTAAATTAAGAAGCAACAACCGACACTCGACGCAACAGTTACTCAAGCAGCGACAGAATGCAAAATTGTGAGTTGTCAAAAAGAGAGGGGTGTCGGATTTGGAAAGGAAGTGATGGGACACCTAGTCGAAGGTAGGTTGTCGTTAAAGATGCGGCTCGACATCTGGAGATGGGGTACAAGGCGGTTTAAGGGATGTGGATTATGGAGAGCCAGGTATTAATGGATCAGGACTCAGCACACTGCAAGCCACCCAGGGAAATCCGAGAACCAATGCTCTTATTTCCCTGTGTGGCCAACATTCAAGGTCTGGGTTGCGACCTAACCTTGACAGTTTTGATTTTGGCACCACTGGCTGGGTTGATCTGAGACATCAGAAATCTGCCGGCTAGAGAATGCTGAGCTCCTTCAGCTCGACGCCCATTTGTATATCTGCATCGCCCAGAGTTAAATAAGTAAAAATGAATAACGGAAGCGCATACTGACATTCGCTAGCTATTAATGGTAAAGCCGTCGAATCAGAAACGCACAAATCGTACAGTGCTTCGATTATCTGGGGATTGCCGGAAAACTCGAAACCTCCGAGTCATATTGGAACCTTGCGCCGGTACCGCCACCGCCACCATCATTCTAGAAAATGTTAGTAAACTCTAAAACCCCACGAAACGCAATGGTTGTGCATGATTATCACCATTTCCATAGAGTAAAACAACATACTATCATTCAACAGGAATAGTCTGATACACGAGGTGAAGTGTGCTCATCACATGGACACAAGCATCATCAACCATCAAACATCTTTAACCTGATCCTCGAGCCAGTCCCACAACTGCTTCCCCTTCTGTTCATCTTGAGATGCAGGATTAGGCGTCCCAAGGCGGGCCCAGGGAATGAAGTACTGAAGCGCCGTTCATTATCTCAAGTGACAATATAGACGAAGTAGATTCACCTTGCCATTGAAGTCGGCGCCTTCAGGCGATGTCCCAGCATACAGTTGAGTCAGCGCGCCGTATGGTGCAGGATATAAGATGCGACGCTGTAGCAAAGACATCAGCAGATGGAACGAATATGAAGCGTGAGCCTAAGAGACTCACGATCAGAAAGCGCTTGACACCCGGCTTAAGGTTTCGCAGCAGTTCGGTCGCAAGATTACCTGAAAACAAACATTACACCATGCGAAATGCTAGAATAAGAAAAAACGCTGACCGGGGTTAACGCACGAGCAGACTATCCCAGCCTCGCGATATCGACGGGAGAATTCCGTCGAGTACAACAGATTAGCCTAAGAAAAAATTTCGAGTCCAGATAGATACCAAAGTTTGAAGACATACAAATTTGCTCTGATAATACATGGACACTACTCCAAGTCTCCGTCGAATAGGTCCGTCCTTGAAAGTGTCATAGTTGAGTTTGTCATTCACCTCGGAAGCAAACGAAGCCGCATTGACGATCCGGGTCTCAGTGCCAGAAGTATTTTGTGATACTGCCAGGAGCGCGGGAAGCAAGAGTTTTGTGAAGTAAAAATGGCCTGTTTCGTCAAGGGTCACTCGCAAGCTGCACAATCATGCGCCAATGATAACGAACCGATGACATTGACGCCAACGGTCAAATCGTAGCCTTCCTCCGTCAGTTCGTCAATGCTGGGTTCCATGACACCACTACATGATAACATTTACGGGTGCATCAACGTGACCAGAGAAGAATTCACGCATTGTTGAAGAGGATGTTCAATTCCTTTTCTTTGCTAATCAAGAGCCGTGTCATAAGAAAGTCTATCTTGTTCCGAGCCACAATTCAACACACCTCAGAAATTGCTCTGCAGCCACACGGATGGACTTGAGGCTCGCCAAATTCAGAGGCAAAAAGATAGCGTCCTTCTCGGTAGCTTCACGGAGCTTCTCTATAGCTTCGCTAGCCCTCTCAGCGTTGCGGCAAGCAATGTAGACCCGAGCATTGCGAGGCAGAAGCGCCTACAGAATCCTGCTCCTGAGTTAGATACCAAAACCACGAATGAGCACACGAACCTTCGCAGTTTCGTATCCCAGGCCCGTGTTTCCTCCAGTAATGATAACAACTTTTCCAGACAGGTCAGGGATTTGGTCGATGGAGAACTTGGACTGGGGCGGCCAGGTCTGGGTGATGAATGATTGTACTGCGCCCATGTCTACGGAGAAAGGAGCAAAGGTAGCGTGAGATTTCGGCGCTGGTCATTTTATCTTCTGGACGGTCGTGGAATCTTCGACCCACAAAAGACGAATCGGTAGTAACCGGTGATCTCGCTGATCTCGACTACATTCTTATATATGTTCCCACACTCTGACCACAACTAACCATGTCTTTTTGTTACTGCTCATTCTAGCCACCAACTTCTTATCTTATGCAATTACTGGGCTTCAATGGCCGCAGGATTTTAACTTATCTGACTGGAGGAAAAATGTTAGTATGTTGCTGGCCAGAGCGATAGCTCAGGAAGCTCCTTTAGATGGGTACGGCCTAGTTAACCTTGCCTGGAGCCTCGGACAGACGTGTTCAATGCGAGAGCAAGAGTCGCACCGTTGCCAATACTTATTTAGAAATAGTTTGGAACTCGGTCGGACCAGGAGAACCTCGTCGTATCGTACAGATTGGTAACATGGAAACTTCAGTACGTCTCTGATCTCAGAATACCAAAAGAAGAATGGCCCGAACTCTTTAGACGCTTTTTCATCAGATTTAGCCATCCGAGCCATTTTCACTGCGGTGTTATGCGTAAAGATTTCCTCTACCTGGATGGATGCTACCATGGCAGGACCATCGCCATTGAGTGAAGATACAAAGTAGAAAAGATTCTAGCTATAGTAACTACTAGTTAACTAATAGCCCCAGTGTTAGTGTTAGTCCTGGACTTGTACAGCTCCGTCAGAGGAATATGACTTAGTTTCGCTCTTCGAGGGAATTGTCTGTATTTATACTTACACCAGAGGGCGTCACTGAAGATGACTTTGCGATGTTATGGTTGAGAAAAAGAAACTGGCGGAGTACTCTGTTTATAGAATTCACACAACCGACACGACTCAACACACGTTAAAAAGGGAGGGGCCGGGTTGTCGAAGGAAGTGGTGGGTGATGAAGGGAGAGGGGCTGTTGTCGGTGGGAATCGTGGAATAGGTTACCAGAGCAGAATCATGGCAGAGAGGGCCCGGCCCCGGGAGGGATGTGGATGGATGGGAGCACACTGCGAGCCACCCAGGGAAATCAGAGGACCAGTGCTCTTATTTCCCTGTGTGGCCAACATACATGGTCTGTATTACGACCAGAGCTTGATGGTTTTGATTTTTGCACCACTGGCTGGGTCGATCTGAGACATTGACAAGTAGGGGTAGAATGATCGCTATGTTGGACAAGTCAAGTACGAAGACAGGTAAGTCGACGTGACTTTCGCACAGTCAAGGGAAATGCATGTACTCAATAGAAAAGTCTGAGAACGCCTCATTTTCCTCAATCAGCGGAACAAGTTTCAGAATGAGAAAACTGAGGCCGGAGCAATGAAAGGATGGGCAAGATTCGGGACATTATCTCGATTGAATATACCGGTAACCTTATGGTACGCGACGTATCCCGCTACATCTATGCAGCATAAATGTCGCCGACGTCTCGCATTTCGTTGACAGTTAGTGGTAACTGGTATTGGTGTTGGTACCACAAGCCCTGGAATTTGAAAAAGATTCTGCATCCGAATAAAACACGATCACGAGCGTGCAGGTACCAACCGAAGGGTATTACATATGAAATATACATTAAATCTTCGTTTCCCGACATCCTAGTCCGTATGCGTCACAGAGAAGAATTTCGATCAGGCAAAGGAATTATGAAACTAGGCTGATGTAACCTTTCGTTTCTTATGCCTCGGCTCCAGTTCAGCATCCTCTAGTTCTTCATCCTCATCAACCTCCCACAAATTAAGCCCCTCAATCTCTTCCATCTCTTCCTCCTTAATGTTGTACCTATTCGTCACCACCTCTACTAGCTTATCATATTTCAAAGGTATCTTCCGACGCCTTTGTCCGATGGTGTCTAGGGCTTTAAGATGCGATCGTACGGCCATTAGGACGCGTCTTGACGTTTCAGAGCGTGGCTCATAGTCCTCAATAGCTTCGGACAGATGCGCGCTCTGAGCAGTGATACTAAGATACTCTAAGATATCCTGCTGCTGTCTCGTCGTACGCTCCGAAGTGATTTGACGCTTCAGTGCTAGAATCGTAGGTGAGATACAAAGAGGTGCTTAATGTCACAACCGTACCATCTATCTTGCGTTTGTAACGAGCCGTTATCACAGAGTTATCATCTCGCAATCTTTGAATCTCATCTGGCGAATAGCCCATTCAACTTCGGATAACATAAAGATGACAAAGACCGTACCTTTAAACATGTCTTCCTGCTGCGAATCTCTATGCAGACGATCTAGATCTAGTTTTCAATGAGGACATGAGAGATATCAGTTGCATGTGTGTGATCAAACCTTCAAGCTCTTCCACGTCGCTTCCATGCCTGCGAAGACTCAAATGCCTCGCTTCTACTAAAAAATGGGTTAGACTCAATTCCCGTGGAGCAGAAGCTACACTCAGGACCTTCTTGTCCACTTCTTGACGCTGAATCCAGATCAGACATCAGCCCCGGCAGTCAACTTAAGATGATGATCCTACATTGCAATGTTGGGTCCGTTTCAATCTGCTGATCATTCGCGATTTCGACACCTGAATATGCATGAAGACCGAGTTGTAGGAGATTCCCAACTGGCACATACCTGACATCTCTACCAACGGTTGAACTTAAGTGCGGAGTCAACACTCATTGCGGACGGGCCATCTGAAGCCTCACCTGCAGCCTCTGACACCTGACGCTCCTGGCATGTCTCTTTTGAGCGTTGTGCATCTTTACGAACTGGCATGAGGGGGAGTTCGACATTTACAATCAACAGGCACCGACCTTCTAGTTTGTTCTTTAGCGTCGCAAATTCCTGTTGATATTCTAAACTCCAGGTCAGGCGAAGGAAATACCAAGAAGAGGATGTAACTCACTAAACGACTGCTGCTGTATTTCGCTTTGTAAGGTGGTTATTGTCGTAGTGGCAGCTAGAAACCTGTCACACAGGTTCGTTCTAGGTGAAGTAATATAAACGAACCTGCAAGCTCTGAGTCTTTATTTTTCAGACGCTTTTCTAGTGAGGATAACTCAGCCTGTAAATTCTCTGCGTTGGTATTTGCAACTTATATGCCGTTAAGCTAGCTGAAACAGGAGATAAATGGATGAACATACCGGTAAGTGTAGCTTCCTTCTCTTCTAAATCACGCTTCAACGCTGAATAAAGTAATGAGCCTAGCTGTAAACTACTTTTGAACATGAATATTACCTGCAATCTTTTCATCTGCCGTTATTTGCTGAGAATTGAGAAGTTTGCGACATTCTATCCAGGTTTAGCAAGCAAGGACACTTCAAAGATGTGCGCGTACCGGCCATCTTCCCTCGTAGATACGTTTGTAGCGTATACAACAGCTTATCCCGAGCTAAATGAAGATCACGAAATGAGGCACCGGTACTTTCCTTTTGAACGTGTATATGCTACCTTCATTAAGATCTTCTTTCAATTTCATGTTTCCACAAGCTTGTTCCGTATATCTTTAGCATGTCAACGTAGCCATCTTCCTGTGGATCCTCAAGCTGTAGCGAGTTCATAAATCAGCAACTCCTGTGTGCACATACTAAAACTCAACGCACCACCTGTAGTGGAGCAACGGGTACTGGCGCTTCAGATGTACGCGTTACGGGAGACCCAGAGGAACTGTTATCAGAGCTCAGTCGGGGAATTTTGAGAGTCAGTGACCGAGTCGGTGTCATATCCTTATTAGCATCGAAATGAGTTGGAAGCTTTTCAGGCTTCGTTGCTCTTTGGGCACGAGTCGGAGATTTCGAAGGAGTGGGATATGAACTTGGCAGCGCTGAGACGTGTTCACTGCGTTCCGCAGTTATTTGCTCCTTTAAATGTACTGCACGGCTGGTGAGGAGCTGAACGATGTGGTCAAATTTCCCTGTATCGCCCGTCTCCTCTAGAAGGGCTTCATGATCGAGTCGAACGTTCGGCTAATGACAATTTATCGGTCACCGACTTTCACTTCGTTGACTCCTAACACGACTCACCATTAGGATTGCATGGATCCAGTAAAAGATTGCGTATTTGATCTCCCGGTTGTCGATGTCGAAGACAGCCTGCATCACCAGGAAATCTTCGGCCTTACGCATAGAGCGCTTAAGAAAACCCGACATAGCAGTAAGCCTATGCTCTTCAATGAGCCTATCGTAGAACCCGTGGGTACTAGAACGACTCTTTCTCCCTTGGTGGCCGCCACCGAGAGCATATTCTACTGTGGAAACACCCATCTCGAAATCCGCCATAGTGGCGAGAGATGAAGCAGTAAGGGCCAGATTGCGCTGTACATCGCCATTTCTAAGCCTGGAGGACATGAAATACTGTGAGCGCTTTGATAACAGTAAATTACTCACCTCGACGACGCGATATACGCGCAAATGGCCGCCAACGCAACTGTGCCAAGACCGGAAACATTTGGATTGGATTTTACTAGACGATATATTTCTCTGGCTTTGTCCCGTGTCTCCTGAATATCGCAAATATTATCAAAACGACAGAGGTCGTCATCTTCAGAGGCCATTGGAGATGCTGAGAATTGTGGAGGTGGTGGATACAAAATTCATGCGTCACCGGGCCGGGAAAAAGCGTCGCGGCAGTACGTGCCTTAGCTAACGTTGTTATAGTTAAACGGTTCCAGAATAGCTCTAAAGGTAATTATGGCGGGTTAACTATCAATCATATCACAAACACAATCGAGCAAGAAGAACAGGAACGAAGAAAGATAGGCAAATCCTACTACTTGAGATTTGAGTATCACGACACCAAAGGTTTGGCATTTTCTTTGCAATTAGACCTGGCGCCAGAGGAGAGCGTGGCCTGGTCAAGACATGGAATAGTGAATACAATATACATAAGATAGTCTTCAATACTATTGCGAAACCCAAGTCAGCATGATCAAAGCACAGCAATCGATTCTGTTCACCAAACAGCGTAACGTATCACCGCCGTCTGCTCCTCGTAGAGCTCTGGAACTTGCTTGTTTCTCTCCTCAATCTTCTGGTCGCTCTTTCACGCTCAATCTCCCTTCTCTCCACTTCCTCTGCCGACAATTCCTCAAACCTAGTAGCAAACTCCTGCGCATCAGCCCAGTCCCGCCATACACTCTGCAGGCCCTTTGGTCGGTTACCGCCCCATCCAATGTTTAACCCTGTCTTGTCCTTCACGACCCCAGACTTGTCAATGACATCTCCAATCACGCCCCATTCAGCCGCGTCCTTTTTATGCCGAATGAGTTCTTCGTGGATGGCATGAGCAACTAGAGGAACAGGCTTCTCCGGCCAATCCGAGGTCTGCACAGAGCTGAGTAGAAAACGCTTCAGGCGTTAGCGGTGAAAGGAGGTCCCACTCTATGTGGTCCAAAAGGTGGTGTGTGGCAATCTGCACATCGATCTACGGAGAAAGATTAGTATAAATGTAGAAAGAGAACGAAGAAAACATACGCTGAGAATAACCCGACATTCTGCGACTTCCTCACGGCCATCTTCTTCGCCATTCACTGCTCCATCAATACCCAAATCCATCGAAGCGATACCCTCATGGTCTTCCAGCTGAGCTTTTATTTGATTTGCCACCGTTTCAGCCCAGGGGACGATCGGTAGATCAAGATCATTACAAAAAGTCTTTGCGAAAGTCTCTGGTCTGACGATATTCTCGTAAAGATTCCACACAAAGCAATCTCGTATTCGGTGCGTCTCTGTCTCAAATTCAACACGTATAGGCACCAAAGATGAACGTCTTTCTGAGTGAGCGGCTAGGATGTCTGGAGACGCGTACGTATGGGGAGTAGGATAGAAAGGGCGGGCTGTTATGAACCGAGAAGGCGGAACCTGACCTAGATAACTCTGGTCGAGCTCTGTCTTTTCGGGTAGTGGCGGTGGAGGGGGTGGTGGCGTCGATTGCTGGCGTGTAGTAGTGACGCCTGTTGTTGAATTGAACACAGACATCCCAGCACTCATGCGTGCCCTGGTGGAGCTACCCTGTTGTCGGATCGCTGTCCTCGTTCCTCCGCTCGCTACAAAATCAGAGTCGTCGGAATCGAGCGCACCAGCGTCAGGAAGGTCGTCGCCGGAACCTGGGTCGGCATAGTTGACTACACCGCCGCGTCGTGTGGCAGCTCTTGTACTTGTTGAAGCCGCGTTGGATGAAGACGAGGCAAGTATAGGCTGCATTAGTAGCGTTGCACCTGTCTTTAGCCGCGAAGAATAGGTAGATACCAAGGCTTGCGGTGTAGTCGGTAGTATTGACCTGGGCGGGTTTGGCGGCGGTGGAGCTTGTATCACTACTGGCTGTACTGGCGGCTGAGGAGTGGCTTGTTGATAGACTATCTGTGGTGTATATGTCGTCGTTGGTGTTGGTGTATTGGTGAGGTTTGTCGACCGGTTCGCTCCTCTCGCCCGTGTACTTCTGGCGCCGGTCGCAGCATTTTTTGGAGGGGGTGTCGCTGTCGTCGTCCACGCATGAAGATTCTTCACATATGCTACCCTAAAGCATTGGAATAGATAGCAGGGCTGAATCAAGGGTATCCTCACCTTTTGAGACCGTTTGTGGCAGTTGCGGCGTCGGTGCATACGTCCGGGCAGCCGACGACAGCTGAAACCAAAGTCGTCAGTATAAATTCTTTCGCATAGATAGCTGACGCACCTGATTTATCGTCTGCCCCAGCTGTACGTCGGACATATTGCCGAACGATGTCGGAAACGACGAATTCTGATTGTCGGCCATGGTGGTAGTTGCCAAATTGAAGGTCACCAAAAACGCGTCAGTCACGGCGTGACGTCCATGCTTTCACGGTCACCATATTTTTTCCGTCTTCGACCACCACTACTGCCGCTATTTCTTCGACATAACTCTACTCAAGGACACAATGATGCTATCATCAAAATGCTCATCGAGAGTACGCTTGTTTCCTAGGCCGACAGTTCCGACGCTAATTTTTTTTATAGACAGAGAAAAGGAACGAAGGAATCCTGCAACCGATGACCAGAAACTACGCGCTTTTGACAAGGCTATCGCAGTCCTGAAGTCAATAGACTTCCCAATAAGATCTGAATCAGATGCTCTCAAGGTTAGCTATCAATGAGCAAGTTCTGCCAGTGTCTTATTATCTCCCTAGTTAATGCATTTGGGTGATCGCAGTGAGCGAGCGAAGGAAGAATCTGTGGATAAAGAAGCTTCAACCAAGGCAAGTAGTGATTCCCCAGCCTTATTCCTTGTTTTGACCTACCTTCAGGAAGTGGACGAGCCCACTCCCGTCGCACAAAGCGATTCTGCACGGGTTGTAAGTGCTGTGACAATGTGCCTTCTTCAATGCTGACAGCTACTCCATAAGAATGAAGTTCGCGAAGGTACTAAGAGGGTCGTGTTGAACGAACTTCAGCAAGTTCCTGGCCTAGGGTGAGTACTGATGCCCTATTTCCCAACAATTCCCTGACAATTGCATAGTCCTTACACGGCCAGAAAATTATGTGACGCAGGCTGTACCTCTGCCAGCGAACTCCACCGTGCGAAATTCCAACAATTACTCACTGCACGCCAGAGAATCCTAGTCGCATACTACACCCACCTTCGCCAGCCTGTCCATCGCAAAGAGATAGAAACTATCAATGTGCGTCGTGATATTCAGCACCATGCCAATACTGAGCTCTTCGGCTGATCTAGGACTTTATCCGAACGCAATTACCCTCCGATTTTCAAACAGAGCTCGCTGGGAGCTACCGTCGTAATTTCCCTTTCTCTTCCGAAATTGACCTCATTCTCCTCCATCCAAGTTTTGACATTGCACCCCAACCCCCACCACCCCCAGAGAAAGCACTACAGTTTCCACGAAAAGGACGAGCAGAGAAGGTGTACGGAAGATATGCACAAAAACAATTCGGATCTAAATCACCTCTTCTTACTACTGTCATCCCCACTTTGAAAGTCCAAGGATTGATAGCAAAAGAGGTCAAGATGAGCGGGGGTGACAAATGGGATGGGATAGTCAGAGTTCCTGAGTTCAGTGCGGATGGACAACCAGAGTCCCTCGAGTCGAGAGTCAATGCTATAAAGCGGAAGGAGGGGAGATATAGGCGTTTAACCATCAAGTCAGTTACGTTTCGTCTCGTCTAAATACTTTACTGAGTCGGTTTGCTAGTCTTGTCCCTTGGGAATGTCGAGGTCCAGCTCTGCTCGCACTGACAGGCGACATGGAATTCGTGCGACAAGTACATGATAGAGCCGACAAGTTGGGACTGTTCCTCGATGGGAACGGTCTATGGCGATGGCACGAAAATGAAGACTTTGATGGCTTTACACCTACCAAACGCCGTAGAGGACGTCCTCCGAAAGATGCAAAGACCAACGACGATGAATTGCGGGGTAAATGGGAGCTCATCACTCGGGGTTCAGAGAAGGATATCCTTGCAGAGCTGGGGATGGCTTATGTGGAGCCGTCTAAACGGAATTATTCCTATCTGCTTAGCAAGGTCACCAATGGTCGGTTACCGAAGTTGTATGGAAGTGTTGTCCGCAAAAAGTGGATGGATGGCCAGCGGTAAAGCTCTGGCTCCTCCCGGTGAGAAGTCGCATTGTATCTTGATACCATCATTGAGGTGTATAGTAGAACGTACTTAATAATATCCAAGTAATCAAGTAATCGCCTTATGCTTCGGACTATAAGGTCGAACGACGCGCGATAGCATATTATGTCGTCTAGTTCAACGATTCGCTTCTGCGTCGATGAGTATCAGTGGTAGACGCTTGGAAGACCTTCGGAAAGCGTAACACGTGTGTCGCGAACAAATTTGGATATATTAGAGTGAACCGTACATTCACATCTTGCACTGAAGGTTTGTATACCTCCTGACGCTCCCGACCAGTATACGGACCGCTGGACGGATCTATAGCAGGATGAATCTATGATCCTACGTTCCTTCGTCAATCCCATGACGGTGTATACACCCGGTTCCGGACCGATCGTTGGTATTATATATCCTTGATTCCGGGATTCAGCTCTATCTCGCCTCCCTACTATGTCTTCCATGAAGTTCACATCGCGAAATCTCTATGACCTCTCCGGCCTCGTGGCTGTCGTTACTGGTGGCGGAACAGGAATAGGTGGAATATTCCACCCAAGAACACTAAGCAAATAACAATAACTGAACTTCAAAATAGGATACATGATCGCGCGAGGACTTGCAGAGAACGGAGCCAAAGTGTACATCGCAGGGAGAAGGAAAGAGGTCCTAGATAAAGTCGTGGCGAGTGGGTCTATAAATGGGACAGTGGTAGCGTACGTCCGCTTGTTCCTTTTGTCCTGCTTGCGGTATTGACGCGAGGTAGACTGCAGATGGACGTCACGGATAAGGAAAGTATACTCTCAGCAACAAGGGTGTTGGAGGAAAAGGAAGGAAAACTGCACATTTTGGTTAACAAGTATGTATATCATTCCTTCTGCTTGAACTTTCGATGATGGCATCTCTATCCAATAACAGTGCCGGCCAAGTTGGTCCCATGTCCGAATTCTTCAATCAGATGGATGCCCCAGAACACAAGGACGCTGAGACACTCGGCAAAGCGATGTTCAACGAATCAATGCCAGGATGGTCGGATCTCTATTCCATCAACGTGTTCCCCATCTTTTTCGTCACCATGGCGTTCTTAGGGCTGCTTGATAATGGGACAAAGGAATGCGCGAACACCCGCCCAGGATACACGGCCAGTGTCATCAACGTTACAAGTATCAGCGGGTTGATGAGGCTGGCACAAGGATCACGTATGTTTTACATTGACATCTTCCCGCCTTTATATATAGGCTTAGCGGCATGGCAGTTCGCATACAACAGCGCCAAAGCCGCTGCATCGCAATTGAACAAAATGCTATCTACAGAACTTGCGCTTAAAAACGTACCCTGTGCGCGTAAACGCCATAGCTCCTGGACCGTACGAGTCGGAGATGACGACCGATGTGATCACACCCGAAGAGGTGGACAGTATCGGGAAGGGCGTGTCGCCTGTGCCTGCGAAGAGGGCTGGGAAGTAAGTTTTTTTTTCTTATTCAATCTCTCTAATTTTGTTCGTGCCGGATGATAAATGATGATGCTGACGGTGGCGAAACAGAGGCGAGGAGATGGCGGGTACGGCGGTTTACCTGGCTTCGCCGGCAGGGGGGTATATGAACGGGCAGGAACTCGTTATCGATGGGGGCTATCTAGCGGTAAACCCATGAGCTTAGTCTGCGGGGAAAGTAGTTGGCAGGCAGATTGCTAGTGCTAGAACCAGGCAAGTAAAATTGCAGACGTGTATTTTTGTACTTTTTTAATTACTCCTCTTACACACCTTGTGCACTTTGCAGCAGCAGACTGATGGAAGCGTGTGGACTGTGGAGGTCCGTTTCCCCTCAGACGGTGCCGACCCCAGAACGGAAGAATTTAGCTCCGGATCCATGATCATGTTAGTGTTGCCGTTCAGGTGCGTTGAGCCTTGGGGAGGCAACCATCGATGGAACGTTTGGAGCCCACATGCACCCGAATGTCGCATCACCTTGTTCGCATTGGCGAATATAATACATCATGATGGAAGTACAATACAGGAGCCCAAAATGATGAGAAAAAGAGAAGTCTGTCAATGGTTAAGTGGAGAAGTTCCCGCAACAGTTCCCCGCATCGCTGATTTCACCCCGTGGCGGAGGGAGTAAATTGATTCCGGCGGCGGGATGATAGGCATGATATTGTCATAGATGTGACGTGTCAAGGAAGAACGTGTGATACATTATCAAGTTATAATCAAGTGGAATCTAGACTGCCTATCTCTCTGTGCAGTTATTGTATTTGAGTTTGGAAGCACAAAGATTACGCCACCCAAGCTCGAGACCAGGCAATGGCCAAGACCCTTGTGTCCGGCATCATAGACCTGGTTATCAAGGCCCCACCGGGCTATTTGGGGCAACAGATACGGCGGAACCAAATTCTTTTCCCCTAATTCACCTCCTGTCGGGCGGGAACGGAGCGCCCGGGGATCAAAATATGTTTCGGAACTACGGACTGATACTCTGTGATCGATGACGCATAATTTGTGAAGACGCGATTTATACTTGGATGGTCAGGGGTTGCTGAGGGTTCGACGCGACTTGAGGCTGACAGGCAGAAGGTGCTGTTAGGTTTTACACGAGGACACGCGGCTGACTGATTAAAAAAGCCGACGGCTTTCAGGGCCTGGAAAATTACGGTACCATTGACCTGGACCATTGCAAGTACGTGTACATGTAATTAATATGGGGTTCTGACAAAAGGAGCCGACCATACGAGAGACAACTCGGAGTACTCGGAAGGACGAATGGGAGGGGAACGAATAGTAACATCAGGCAGAAGTCGACGATAAGCGCACCCAAGATATGTCCGGTATTCATCCGGAAAGGTGGCTGACATGGTAGACATGGGAAAAAAGCATCGTGTCCAAGTCGATAGAGGTCGAGAATCCTGAGAAGTTCCTTACCCCATTTCCGAACCCCGCCCCCATAGTGATCGGTGGAAAGCTGATATGTGTTCGCAGCTCGCAGTCGTCACGGCAAACAGAACGCACACATATTGAGGCTAGAGGACCGGAGTCAATGAGTATGTGTACCTACCGAGCTTCTACAAGTAAATGTACGAGGTTATGGCACGGGAAGGGGGATAAATCCGAGATTGTATGTTGGAATGTATGGGTATGGGTCCAGTACATCAACACAATAGTAGAGAATTCGAAGGGGTACGAGATAGATAGTCAGGTGAGGGACTTACAGGGTCTGGATGCCGTTATCGCCGCAGACTTGCATGGAGATTTGTAAGACGCGTGGGGGACATCGACTCGCCCGTAGGCCTGGAAGGTCGAGGTCCTAGGCAATTCTCCGGCAGTAGAGTGGTCGTTTACAAAGAAGGTTAGAAGCGACTTCTGGAGAGTCGCGACCTTGACAACGTGAATGAATGGACGAATCTACTACGGGTGGGTCAGCCCCAAGAGTTACGTGACGGAAAGGCGGGCCGCCAAGTACTAAATGCAATGGTGAAAAATAAATGATCTGAAATAAATGAAAGGAATGGTCAGCTGGCGTGGGGAAGTGGGGGTACACGTGAAAATAGTTGGTGGGGAACGGACCGGAATAACTAAGTTCCAAAGGTGAATGTGACGGTCAATCAGGAGGAAGCAATATAGAAAGGAGAACGTGTAAGGTGGGAAGAATGGAAGAGAGAAGGAAGCAATCTGGGGTGGTAATTCGAAGGGCTACTCCAGTCTGGAGTTGACTGGAAGGCGTCTACCCCAGGCTGAGGGGATGATGCCGGGGCATGCCGGAGCGAATCATATTAATCCCGGCGGTGGAGGAAGCGGATAAGCCATCGGCCCGGAAAAAGATCGGCGGTCTCCGCCCTGAAACGCCCGTCATCTCGCCACTGGTCGACCCCTTGGCTCTGTTCTTCAACCCTACCTTAAGTTCTGGCAACTGGCCAGCCCCACCCCCCTTTGGTTCCCTACCACCATGGTATCCTCTACACAACCCGATAAGCCTGTTCCTCGTCCTTACAAGTGCCCTTATCCTCTCTGCGGCCGTGCTTTCAGCCGTCTGGAACACCAGACACGGCATATACGCACTCACACCGGCGAGAAGCCCTTTGTATGCAGTTTTCCGTCCTGCGAAAAACGGTTTTCGAGGAGCGACGAGCTCACTAGGCATTCACGGATACACAATAATGACCACAACAATATCACTCACCACCAGCCCCCCAAGAAGACAAAGTCGAGGGGTACTGGCTCTCCAGATCATACCGATGAGCCAGAAGAAACCCAAGTCAGGGTAAAGAAGAAAGCGAGAAGCAGAGCAAACAGCGACGACGAGGTACGCTGCAATCTGACTAGCTTAAGCGCCTTTATCTCATGTCTGAGTTTTCAGGACGACTCATATGCCCGGCCGACGTCTGTCGGTTCCTATGATATCCCCCATTCTCGGCGCAGTCGTCCTCAGTCATCCACCACACCCCCGACGACGACCTCATCATTCACGACACTGTCCTCTGTCGCCATGGACGAGTTATATGCCCTCGAACGCGAGGAAGCGCTGCGCCGTGCAGAGTATGAGGCACGCCATGCGGAAGCCCTGCGACGAGCTGAATACGAAACACGTACACGAGGCGGCATGGGGCTTGATTTTTCCATTTTACAACAGTATCCCTCACGTCTCAGCAAGAGCGCTACGACTTCGCCGGTTTCTACGCCGGCGCTTCATCCGTACGATGACAGCCGTGGCTACTTTGGCATTTCCAACGAGCGCGATTACTATCAGCCTCGTCACCACCACCACCGGCAGTCACGGTATCAAGTCGTTTCAGACGATGAAGAGGGCCCAGGTAGCAGCAGCGCTAGTGAACGGAAAATCACCCGCAGACTATCCGGCCCCGCATGGCAGATGACACCCTTCTCCACACGTTCAAGCGGGGATGACTCTGGCCATCACGTCGATTCTGCCGTCGCCAAGCACGCTCACCATTCCCACCCTCATCACCCATACTACATTCCATCACATCATCCCCACCCCCATCATGTGCCCCCACCCCCGCAATATCACGAGAGTCCTTCTCCAGCTAGCTCCGATTCAGATTCTCACGTTACTCAAAGTCATTATGGACGTCAGCCTCACTCTCCCTATTCCAGTAATATAAGAACTACAAGCAATTCTACGTCTCATACGCCAAGTACAAGTCCTTTTCTTGGCCCGATGAGGGGACTCAACTTGCACAGCGCAAATCCTTCTCGTGCACCTTCACCTGTGCTAGCCATGCTGCCTCCTCCCGGGTTGCCTTATCATCACCACCACCAAAGCAGTCATAGCGGACGGAGTAGCCCTACGAGCCGGAGTGCGAGCCCCCCACATCACATGCCTTCGCACGCCTCGCATCATCATCATCATCTCGCTCATTCTGTACGGATGGCCTTCGGAATGACGCCGATCCACCCCCATGTCACACCTCCTGAGTCAAGCTCGTCATCGCGGGAAAGTCACAGTCCAGGCGCGTGGAGTGGTGGCTGGTAATAGCCCCAGGATTACGTTGGCGCCGCTTAAGATCGTAGAAGATAGCAGCAGCGGAGAACCTGAGAAGGAAAAGGAGAAGGTAGTGTCTTTGACTGAGGTCGAGCGTAAGGAAGACAGTGAGAAGAACGGAGAGCGAGAGAAATTACCGGGATTCAGCCTTTTCGAAGCAGCGGTTCGGGGTGAGGGTGCGCTACCGGTGGTCGGTGCAGGCTGGTAACGACTGTATGTTATTGCGATCGTCTTCATGTTTTTGCTTTTGTTCTTTTGATTATCCATGCTATGTTTATTGCCTAAGGGCCCATTAGTAACCGGGACCCTCTTCTACCGCGATCTCTTTCATTATAGATTTTTGCATCCCCATCTCACTTGCAATATATACCATCTAGATAGAACTATAGAGCCTTTTTAGAGTATGCTTTCTTATCATATACTACAGGTACTATGCTGTAATTGTGGCGTTGATTACAATTCCATGTCGGCAATGGGTCGTTCGTGTTGTTTATCAGACGTGTTTGACAATGAGAAAAAGAAGAAAAGTAACATCCCTCATGGTCATGACACGCGGCGCCAAGGGACATTGTACTCATTCTATTGGTTCACATGAGCTTAAGTATGTCTTCTGACATATCAGACGGTGGGTTTCCTGCGGTCCAGAGGAGGAACGGTCTCGTACGTCTTTTATATACGGCCGACGTAAATTCCGGAGTCCATCCGTCAGTCGGCTGTCAAAGCGCGGGCGATGTGATGCTAGACCTTATCTTATCTAGGGACCTAATAGCAAAAAAATCTATCGTTATCGCGCCATTCCAATTTCCAACCTGCTTCGGCATGATTTCAGTTGTGTATTTTCGCGATTTTTCAACCGTTTTACCTTTTTTTAAGGGTCGCCTGTTCACTGATCATCCGTTTCGTTCCGCAGTTCCATTTTCCATGGGGCAGGGCGACGTCGCATGTGTTCGGAACTCTATAGTGAAAAGCTTGGCCTTTCAGCTTTCCGACTATGTATAACATGATGACTCACCGGACCAATTTTTGAACAGCCCGCTCGCCTCGTCCTTCGCAACAATCATGACTCCAGGCTACATAGACTCCCTGTTCATTCCGAAGGCTGCTACGCGAAAGTGGGGGACATTTTCCTTCCGCTGTTCCGTGCCGACAGTGGACACACGTTTCGTCGTTTAATCGACAGTCAAATTCGATTTTAGAGGGTATTCATGTGTCGTATGTGGACCCTCCTCGACATCACGCGTAAGGGTACGGTACGTGCAGATCCCCGGACCCTGGAATATATTCCGGCGCTAGTGACTTATCGACACTTCGAGCGGATCCCGATGGAATCAAGACATCTCGCACTGAGGATCGCAGACCCTGATTTCCCGAGCTGAGTAAAAAGGTCAGAGATAAGTACTTCACTTGATCGAGAATCATACCGGGGTAGATAGTAGGTTTCCAAGCGACGTCGGACTCCAAGTTCAGACGACAGCACTGGTGTACGTAGTACGGAGAGTCTAGAACGCAAGTGCGAGACTTCAATGTGGTAAATGCGAGACGACGGGAACGGAAAGGCGGTTCCTAAAGGGAGCAAAGAGGATACGGGTGGAGTCCTTAGCTGCGAGATTGTAACCCGCATGTTTGATGCACCTCCCCTACAGCGCGCGCTGGAGCCATTGGAATACGCGCAGTACCTCGTAGCACAGTCATTCACAGCTCACGGTCGGAGATAACCGTCTTTCTACCGAGGGCGACTGACAGAAAAGCTCCCGGATTAACAAATCAATACTGTTCCGGTGGGGGGGACTCGAGTAGAAATTCGAGATCTAGTACCTATCATCAGTGAACGACGCGTCCAGAACCAGATTGAAATATTAATGGAATTGAACATTCAGTTGAAGAGGCATCTGTCCTCGAGGCGGAGGCTGCGCAGAGAAGACCTCCCGTTTGAGACATGGGAATTACAAGAGTTACTTGAGGGACGTACGCCGATGACCGATTGACCCACTCACAGGTTCAAGTGAACCTCATGGACATGCAGTGAGTAGTGAGTCGAGGCCCCCGAGTGCTACTAGATCCATCAAGTTACCACTGAGTAGGGCTTTCAGGTTCCTCCGAGTCAAGATTGATCATGCTCGCATGGCCAATCCAAAAAGAGGAAGCTTAGCCTCAAGAACCAGTGCCGGCAGTCATCAAGAGACTGAAATGGATTCGCAGTTTGACAGCGGTTCCGAGAGTTCTCGAAGCCAAGGCCTTTTTGGACGAAGGTCTGATAGAATCAACAGCACCAGGATTCGATACACAGAGCCTAGACTCGCTGTTGTTACACATAAGACTCCAAGTTGGAGATACACATATTACGCTTACAAGAGCCTAGACGACAAAAATCGAGAACCGGACGAACACTAAGTCGTAAGCTGCAAGAGCTCGGTGATATCCATGATTTTGATGAACTTGAACCTGAGGTCCAGATTCATCTTCCAGCCTCGACGTATTCGCAGAATCAAAAGCTCCGTAAGCGTTCTCACAGCAAACATCTTCTGATGAGTGTCTTCTCCGCGCTTGTAGCAATGTGCGTGTTGGCCTCGACACCTATATGGTCATATTGTATGGACCCTTCTCCTGGGACTGATATCGAAAGTTCGAATATTATCCTGTGTGGACCAAGAATCAGATGATTAAGGACGGAGGGCAACGAAATATTGCTCCTGTGAGAAACCAATAATTCAGAGTTCTGAAGCGTGCTCAGGACCGGAACTTGCAGGCCCTGGAAGGCAAATACTTCGTCCACCTTCAAACCTCCGCAGTTATTGATGAAGCGAAGGGATCGCAATGGTTAGTTACTGTGCTGCATTCGTAGATTAGTTCTGATCTTCGATATTTTAATTATTGATTTACATTTTGGCTCAGAGTAAGGATATAAGCACCCATCGTAAAAATTTGACTGGTCATGCGTCAAAAGAGTATGGTTCTTCCCGCGAAGATACTGGATATAAAGTCCGAAGTCGAGTCGTTGTTGACCTCGTGGATCGATCGATGCGATGCAAGCGTATAGGAATATGAACGTCCATTCTGAACGATCAAACACTGCCTGAAGCTATAGGACCATGTAATGGCTATACTCCAGGGCCCTCCTCGACGTGGAAGGGGATAAACCTTGATGGGCTGTTGTACGCCAGGAGACACGCTACTGTACCCGAGCCTACTCAACATGCCTTGTCTTGTACCAATTTCGAGCTACTCAGTTTGAACATCAGAAGGTAATATAGAACGACACTAGAGACGCACACCGAGGTTGACCAGCGAGAGCTACAGAGAGCCTACAATATCTTCTGGCCAAACAAACCACACTCCAACTTGGCATCGCGTGGTCTCGGTTAACTACTGCGGTGACTTACGAGAGTATTGGAAGTAGGCAGCTGATTATCCAGTTCCACAAGACACAATCAAAAACCAGAGAACAAGAATCTAAGATAGTATATCTTTCAGGCCAGGCAGAGCTTCGGGTAAACAGAACAGCTCAACAGCAGCAGTAATGTCTACGCCCAAATTTATATCGAGTTCACTGAGAACTGGCTGGCCAAATTAAGAAGCGCTTAGTTAAAGGACGGACTTGAGTGGTCCAACTCTACCATCGGCTTTTTGATGAGAATGCGAAGCGGAGGCCAAAATACCAAACATGTGGTAACGAGCCTGGGAGTAGCCCGCATTCTGTCCACGGTAGTCAAGGGTCAAGGGGGAACGGTTCATGGCACCCTTTACTTTGACTAGTTCCGAACTATCAGGCTGACCATAAGAAAACAATTAAGAGATTGGAAGGAGCTGAAAATTACGGGCAATCTGAAGATCTTAAGCTTGATGGGAAAGTCACGTTCAGTGCAATAGTCGGAATAGATAACAGAAAGTTTGGATAGAGAGCAGGATTACGAGCTTATACCCTTAAGCTTGAGTATCGAAAGAGTAGCTCACCAAGCTTAGAAGAGGAGCTAAAGGAAGCGCACTGTCTGGCGACTTGGAAAAGGCAAGAGTCGGCTTCGGTCCGATCTACCGTGGAGGCCCCGGGTAATCCCTATAAAACCATCCAAATTTGGACCAAAAATCCAGGATTCTCGACCCATTTAGGCGACCATGTATTTTTTCCCCAGAAATTCGACAATCTTGTGCAAGGTATGGCGCCAAATTTCGGATTTTGGGTCACTGTAGATGGTCTGGGATGTCGGAGGGCTTAGGCTCTCGCCCGATTCAGAGTTGAACGAGTTGAGCACCGCATGCCAAAGACCAAGCTCGTGAAAGGTGCGTTTTTAGATGAGGAAAAGGCTTCTGGCATTTCAGTCTGATGGAATACTACAGAAAAAACCCAGATATAGTCCTAAAAAAACCCGGGAAATGGCTTCTGGGAGGCAAAGTATCAGGCAAAACCCAGAAAACGGGGTCATTTGGAGACCCCAGAAATCCCGAAAAGTAGCATTTCCTGGATTGGAGCTCTACAGACAAATATTATCCCCGATAATTGGGTCCTGAGGCTACTTATAGTTGTTTTGATCGATCAGTCACTTGTCGTCCTACAACTCAAGTCAACAACCACGCACTTGACGCCTCGTTTCTTGTACCAGCGCCTATCAATTTGGTCTTCTAATGAGCTTGCTAATATTTGCTGCCAGTCTATTATATCGGAGGTTCAATTTGGTTCCTCTATAAATGGGGGGAGGGAGAGGGTACAACTTCATTGAATCAACTTCATCGCAATGCCTGCGTCAGCCTTCTCAATTCCCGAGCTTTACCAACTGATTACGCTTGCCTTGTCCTCGACCTCGCTTTCGCGACTTCCTCCGATTGTTGTCATGGCTGTCTTCGTCGGTCTCATCGCATATTCCCTCACCTATCCTTACTATGGTCCCTACTCCCCTGCGAATGTCAGGGAGAATATCGCAAAGATCATGGAGGATGCAAATGCTACATACGATTTGCTGAAAAGCGAGCGTATCGCTCAGTTGGCAGACGAAGAGGAGCATCACAAGTGAGCTCCGGGCTAACTATCTTATATCGCACGTTCTTACTTTACAATATAGACACAGCGCCGCTTATGATGCTCTGTTTCAGCAGCCCTTCTGTGATATCTATCACGAACGCGCCCTTCTCCTTCATCCTATGGATTCTTTCCGCTTCTGGAGGGATGCAGGGATATGGCGATCCGACATCAGTAGCTGGGTCAACAGAATGAAAGTACGTCGGACTCTCTTGTACTTTCGCTTGGAATCAACTGAGGTTTGTGCTACAGACAGCCATCAAGGCGAAACAATTGTCCTCGGAGTCCACCAATACCTCCGACGAGTTAGGATTGGAAGCAAAATCATCAAACACCAGTTCTGGTGAGGGCTATTCCAATATCTTCTGGGGTGATCACCCATCGTTGCATCTCAGAATCCAACATATATGCATCCGCATCGAGCGGCGTCAACGCCGATGATGTTGTCGGTGTCGGTGCGTTGATTCACCAGTTCGCAGGCATTGACTTATGCTGGCGTCCAGAGTCCTACCCTCTATCCTTTATGCAAGGCCCCAACAGTAGTAGTAGAGGTGGTAGCATGGGTCCACCAGGCGAGGAGGATATCACCAATATGACCGCAAACTATGACGCATCGAGGGAGTTAACCTGAAAGAAATGCCCTCGCAGCCACGTCAAGGCACAAGACCCTGGCAATAGAAAGGAATTAACTCCCACATCGGTATACAAAAGCTACCCTCAACCGCTTAGCAGGTGTCTTGATTCATTATCCGGATGCTGTTCTCTTAAGATCCTTCCGACCGTTCTCGGTTTGATTCAAGATTCAAGATGGCCTCAAGATTGTCGCCGACTGAGATGTCCTCTCAGCCCTGAGTCGGCGACTACCTCATCCACCACCCATGACTTGCAACAGCCTCAAGTTAGTTTGTAAGCGGAGATCTTGTGACTGGAGATACCACTGCACGATATTCGCATGTTCCTTCTCAAGTCTTCCCCATCTTTTATTTTCTAGATATTTTCTCCTCACATCGATGTTCAAGCACATATCGTACCATCTACCCTGAACGAACGAAGGTCATCTCGACATACTGAACTGTCAGCACTATATGGGATGCTAACCAGTGAATACGAACCCTTCACATATCACTATCATTGCAGCGTGATTCCTCCGATTCGGAGCCTTCGCTACCATCGAACCAAGGTACTCGATAGACGAGGCACTTTTCGATTCTCGAAGCGCAATTGTTTTGACGAGGTTCTGATGCCCTAAGAGTATTCGACTTAGTATCCATATCTCTATGCAACCCATGTAAAACCAGTATCTGCCGAATCTCAGTCCGCCGAGAACAAACACAGTACATCCAAATTTCTGGACAGCACTGGTAGGAAAATCGGTTTGTTCTATATTCCCCTTTGGCAAGGCTCGCTTCTAGTTTCGTTCCCACTCGGTGTTCTCTTTTTCACTGGCCAAGGTGGCGTTGATTGAGACTCGGACATAATTCGCCCCTGCAGGTTAACGCATGGCCTCTCAGATGCCCTGATTCGCGTGCTCAATCACGGATAATTAGGGGGCCCTGGGAAGCTGATGCAAAGTTGCGTTAATTAGCTATGTGTTAGCCAGGCGGTTGAGTCCAAGGTACTGATGCCTTACACTGCACTGCAATACACAATAAGTGTCCGGATGGGCACCCGGGAAGCAGTGTTTATTATCAAGTTGCAGATATTTGGCATTGATTCGCGCCTGTAAAATGGCTCTACCTCTCTGCTGATAAGCTGTAGAGTAGCACCGATTAGTCCGTGCTGGGCTGATTGGCACCGCTGTCGCTGACGCTCGGAGGCATCGGTTCATACGAGTTGCCGCAAAATGATGGAGACAAGTTTGGTTTGGCTCACAAGCTGCCCCGAAATTTCCGTATCTTGCATGATCCAAGAGTCCCGGCATCTTGATAAATACCTCTTCCACTGAAAGATTTGCGTTGATGCATCACCTGTTATATATATACAATTCCACGTGTGCTAAGAAGAGTACAATGTCCTTGAAAAGCGTAACGAATGACCTAAGCCGGTTAGGTCATCAGTTGCTAGTGTCATTAGTGTGGGGAGTGGGGGCGATTCCAACTCGGCTGTTGGTGGTATCGTAGACACTGTAGAACCTCTGGAGGAAGGCGAACCCGTCTGAACGAAGGAATGGGTCAATCGCGTTTGGAGGAAAGGCGGAAATTGGTACGAACCAATGAAGTCGAGACCTGAGCCATCCATGCTTCCCATGTCGGCTACGATAAGATAAATTCCATTGGCCTTGCCGCCCATCATGGTGTTCAAGCTTCTCGGCCAGATCTGCGCATTGGGGGTCATCTCGAAAGTAGTCTGATCACCAAAGTCATTCTCTTGGTCTTACAGTGTTTGAACAAGTCAGCTCACCGAACCAATCTTGAAGGAAAGGTTATGCATCTTCTCGAATTGCGCCTCAGTGACAGAAAGTAGTCCGGTAGACCTGAAAACATGTCAACGTATTTCATGGAGAATATAATACAGGGCATACTCATCCATCTTGGCTCCCGTCGCCGTCGTGTACTTCTTGAAAGCACCGCTGGACAAAAGAAGAAGAGTAGTTCCGGTATCAACAATACCCGCGGAAGTTGACATGATGGTAGTGCTTCCATATGTAAGCGACTGGTCAATACCCCAGTACTTGTTAGCCGGAGACGTAGAAGTGATCGGGACGTAGGTGATTTCTCCCGTATATCTAATCAAGGGGTTATTCAAGGCAACAACATGAGGATAATTAAAACATACTTGGAAGAATCCTCAGTGCCGAAGGTCAATTCTCCGTTCGCCATGTCCGTACCCGTCGTCGGCACGTACGAGATACCGATCGACTCCTTGTCAATCTTACCCTCGCTCTTGAGGTTGTCGGTAACAGTAGGGATGGTTCCCGAGCCACCAACAGTGCCTGAGAGATTCGCAATCAGTCAAAGCATCAGTTACAGAGTGGGGGATGTAGAGCATACCCTCGGTAAGGTCTACCGGTCCGATGCTGCGGGCCAACTACGTCAAACATCGTTCTACGAAAAGAAAGGAGAGCGTACCCAAGGATTCCGTCAACTCCACTGAAACCTTCAGCAGAGGAGGCGACGCCGATGGACTGTTCGTCGATGACAAGGTCCGCAGCGAGTTCCACTTGGTCGGTGTCTGAAGGTACATGTTAGCAAGTCACTAGAGATGACAAGTGTGAAGTATACATTCTGTTCCAGTGAAGGATCCGGATCCATAGCTGACGTTCTACAGATCGCGACACGTTTGGGTGATATTCTTTCATCATAACTAGAGAAACATACGACAGTCTTCCGAGTGCTGTGAAGGCCATCAATCAGCACCCTAGCAACGAAGGAGTACTAGGTTACACACCTCTTGCTCGAAGATGATGGAACATATTCCTTATCAGCGCCAACCCAGGTGTTGGAGCTTCCTGTGTAATGAATGAGCAAAATACGAGAGAATTCAACGAAGAATACGTACCCGTATCAATAAGAAGAGTGAAAACCTGAGCCGACTGACCAACCTTCACGGTCGTAGTATAAGTAACGGCTGGAAACAAGATCACTATCAACACCTATGCAGATATGGCTATGCGTTCAAGTACCCACCAGCATCCGTCACGTCGATTGAGCCTCCACTACCGCCAGTCGGGTCGCTTGGCTCAGTGGTTTCCGAGCCACCGTGGTGGCGGTGGTGATGACTCCTCTTCGCGCGCAACTCTTGGATGCCCATAGGGCCATGAGGCTGCACGCCAGACAGGAGCTTCTGTGCGCGAGCCCTATCTCGAGCAAGAATGTCCTTCGCATGTCCGACCTTAGGGTGAAGCCGAGAAGCAAAGGGAAGAGCAGTGACCAAAACGCGAGACATGATGAAAGTTCAGCAGAGAAAGGCTAGTATCCAAGAGATATGATGAGGAAGTATTGAATACAGAAGCGTACCCCTCAGCCTTTCGGGCTTTATAGTGGTATCTTGTTTGTGTATGTCGTGCATACCTTGTCCAGAAGGGCTCTAAAAATAGAACAGAGATAGCGTTGGACGTGCTCCCGATCGGACACGAATTAGGCCGATGATCATGCATTCTGTCGTGAGGAAGCCACACACACGTACGGGCCCGGCACCGCGACTGAGAGACACGATATGAGCGACTACGGTCCCAGGCTTGACGGTACATTCTGCCAGCGGGATTTGAGCCGGGAACTCGGAAAATTAAAGTGTTATCACTATACCTGAGCGAGTATCAACCACGTATTCGTCAATCCACCCCGATGAAGGCATGACAATGCAATAAAACGTGTTGATGATGTCAAGACGAGCAACCACAAGCGAATACATCAGATGTTTTGTTGGTACGCAGCAGGTGTAGCACATTGCAGCACAGCTTCGGGAATGCCTCCGTTGCAGGGCTCATGAGAATGTGATTGAAAGTTGTTACAAATTGGCAATTGCAATCGCGACAAAAAATAAAATTTCCAAGAATAACCTACTTACTGGACGTAGTACCTTTGAAAACCAGCGATGAGTAGCAGTGCTCCCAAAGCGACCGTGTGCCATGGCCGAACCCTTAAGCGATCGGCCAGCGCACGAATCCTCGAGAGACCAGGTGGCCCAAGCGCACCAGCTTCGTCAATTGCAGCAATCTCGTCTTTTGTCAGTGGTGCTGTTCGCGTCAATTAGTTGAAAATCAAGTCAATAAATCAATTAGGCATGACAACTCACGAAGATCTGCTACAGCCAAGTACTCCAAAAGACGCTCCTTCTTTGAGCTTGTTCTGGAAATGGGAAATTGAAAATGAGGGAAGTGATATGGATTAAGCGACTCGAAGCCTACGTCACGATAACGGCGCCCTTGCTGAGGACCCATAGCTGTAGCACCTGGGCTGGCGTTGCATTGCGGCGCCGCGCAGCTTGAGAGACTGGGGCGTCAACGGGACCTCCTGGTGCTTTCGTGATCGGACTAGGAGCCTGTAAGCGAATGCCATGTAAAAGGAGCACCGAGAGGTACCTACGTCAGACTGCTGTAAGCTTCCACGACAATGCCATGCTTCTTGCAATATTCGAGTACTGGAACAGCTTTTGCGTAATTGTACGGATGAAGGCTAATCTACGCCACCATCGTCAAGACGCATTCCTTGGTAGTGGTCTGCCAGAGACACTCACTTGGTCGACGGCCGGAACGACTTTTCCGGTCTTGACAACTTTTTCAAGATGTTCGACTTCGAAATTGCTTACGCCAATACTCCTGGGAGGCGAATTCCGAGTCAGTAACCGGCGCTGATAGTCCTGCGACAATACGTACTTGGATAAGCCGTCCTCCTTGATTTTCTCGAACTCCTTCCAAGCATTCTCAAGACCTCCCGTGACAAGTCGTGGTGAGTGAATGAGGTAAAGGTCAACATATTTCAGGCCGAGCTAACCCGCTGATAAGGACCATTCAGTCGACCAATGAATGGGTTCTTCACACCTTTGTCAGGCTCTTTCGAACCTCCTGTTGAATATCTCCGCCGCTATACTTGGTTGCAACATAAAGGCTCTTCCGGTCGAGTCCGCTCTCTCTGATTCCTATACCGACGCCCTCCTCGGTTTGATAGTCTTCGGATGTTAAACCGTCAAATTACGCCGCCTGTCGATAACAGAAAGCACCCACATGCAGCGGTATCGATGTGACTAAACCCTGTCCCCAGGGCCTGCTCGACGTATGGCACAACATCCTGAAATTTCCAGACTGAACCTGTTCCATAGGCAATAAGAGGGATCTTGGGAGGCGCAATCAGCCAGTGACGTCAACGCGCTACACGACGACTAGCTCACCTCAGTACCGTCGTTCAAAGGGATGGTTCCAAACGCCATGGTGGTCGCCACAGGCGCTGAGCAATCACAACTTTTCTATTTACGCTGACCATTCAACGCGAATATGAGAACAGATGATGCAAAAAACATAACCGGCCGGGAGATAGGCAGATTCGTGCCGCGATTTGCCGGTTCTGGTGCTGCTCCGCAACCAGCCGTGCTAATTTTGGGGTCCGCTCATCATGAAGGAAGACGTGGACGCTGTCTGTGTTCCTATGGCTGGTGATGCCTCTGCAACAGCCTCTTCGAGTCGAAAGAGGAGAAGGTCAGACGATAGCCAGTCAGACAGAGACTCTGCGGACGAGCTTGGGGCACAAGTTAGGGCTGCGAGGAATATCAGAAGAGACGATACCTTTTACTTGGAAGACGGGAGCTGCGTTCTTCTGGTAGAGAATACTTTATTCAACGTGCGTGACGAGCGACTTGTTGAATAGCACTGAATTTTGTTTATCTTTTACAGGTTCATCGAACTATGCTTTCAAAGGACGGCTCTTCTTTCAAGACAATGTTTACCTTGCCTCAGGGTGGCGAACCGGCTGAAGGGACCTCTGACGACAATCCCGTATCTCTGACGGGAGATAGCGCTAAAGAATTCAAAAATTTCCTCGGGGCACTATATGCCTTGTGAGCACAGCGTGTATCCTGCTGCTTCTGGACATTGCTCTTAAAGAGTTTTTCCCAGACCTCCGGAAATGCGAGCTCTAGCGACGGACGTCTCCAAGCTCATCGACATTGCCCGCATATCAAACAAGTATGCCTTCAAGTCGCTGGAAACATGGGCCCTTGACGCTATTCAGGAATACATCAACCACCGTCCGAGTCCCATGCCCACTTTCCCCTTCTCATTCTTCACACAACCTTCACTAACAGCGACACCTATCTTATTCGGTTCTGAACCCGAAACTATCACTCAGCTGACTCGCTTAATGCGCCTGGCACAGATGTGCAACCACGAACGGCTGCTCAACACGATGATTGGTTTGTTGAGGCAGCTCATGACCACTTCCCCACGTTACGCCTATCTTGCCATGTCTCTCTCAGACGAACTTGCTCTCCGGTCTCTACGCGGCGAGGCTTACTTGGAGGTCATGCATAAGCCTGTAGTGGTCAAGAAAGGCCCTGCAGACCTAGGCGACGTCGACGAGGAGGGCCGGTTGATCATCAGTTCTACAGAACAGTTACGACTACTAACGGGCTACTATCGCCTATCGAGAACGTGGGAGAGACTGAGACTGACCGCCCCTCGTATCGACCACTCTCCCTCCTGCAATGCGACTTGGCATCAGCCTTCATGTTCCCAAAGTTGGGTCGAGTTCTGGAAGGAGAAGACGAGGGGCGATGCCGTACTTTCTTTAGGACTGGCGGATGTACTGGGGAGACTCAAACAAGTACAAAAGGACTTTGATCGTTGGGGCAGCGCTACATACATGCATCAGGACTGCCGGCTAGCCGCCCGACGGAGTATTTTACATATGATCAAGACAGTGGAAGACGCGCTGCCGGATTACTTTTCGGAAGACAAGGACGATGATTGATACTCACGGAACTGTGTTCGTACGTATTTGTTGTAATTCCAAGTGTAACAGTAAAATACAGTATATATATTTTGTACAGATGACGTTAGATACAATGTATACAGCTACCAGGCGTTGCGGTTTTATTACACTTTCCTCTTTCCTTTTCCACGTTTTCTGGATGGTTGTGGCGACCCGTTTGCGGGTGATCGCCCCGGCACCGATGTCCCGTACCCCTGGGTAGGGCCGCCATCCATAGCCCAAGGAGCCTTGTTGGCAATAAACAGACGGCCTGGCGGTTGTCTAGTGGCCTGTCTCTGAGAATTTGGCATCATGCTCTGCATGATTTCATCTACACCCATGTTAGACTGGGGTCGTTCCGTCCCAATTCTGGATCCGCGGAACATTATTTGTTGTTCAAGCATCTCGTTCTCCTCGACCATTCTCACTTCACGGCGCAAGCTGTCCACAATTTGCGCCGCCAATTCTGTGGTAACATGTCAGACATTTTCCGGTATCATTGGCTCGCGAACTTACCCTCCGCTTCAGAGAGCGTGGTAGGTCGCTCAATCAAGACAAGTTGATTGGCCTCTTCTTCTTCTGGCCTTGGTTGATACAATTTTAAGCGATGATCATGTTTCGTGTCGAACCCCGACTGCGAAATAACAGATTCCGAGTCTGAATACGAAGTCTTGTCGTCCCCATGGTGTGAATCGAGTGATTCATTGGGTGAAGGTGAACGCGTGAGCGGGGGAGTGTATAATAAAGGATGGCTGGTCAAAGCAGGGATAGCGAATTGGGGGGGCATGTTCGCCAATATTCAGAGAGGATTTCAGTATGAAAGGAGTCAAAGAGATTCCGAAAAGGCATAAGAGGCGCTTAAAATGGGTGGCATTGTTCGAGACAAAGGCCTGAGAACTTCGCGTGCCATCATTATAATAGGGACAAATAACGCGTCCCTTTTTGGTATCTACTCCGATCAGACATTATCGTTGCTTTCGAATCGACTATCACTCACTGAGGGGGACTGGGAGACGTCCCAGCTTTCGAATATATTATAGAATCATAGTCGCCCTGAAACTCCAACCTGTGGTACCTGTGGCGCCCACTTCCGCCGTGGCCATCTACTTTTGCTAGTCCATGACAGACGGGGACGATCAGGTGCGTTATAGCCTATCAGTGCCCTCAGTTCCTGTGATCTATGATGATCTAGAGCTCCCAACTCGTCTCAGTGTATTCCGAGGACAGCGGAATTAAATATTCTTACAGACTCGGGATTTCGATCTCAAGACGAAATTCTATAGAGAATTGAACGAATCTCATGAAACAAGCGATTTTTCTGGCGTCAATTGTTGTATGGTTTTCTTGATCATCGACGCTGAATCGATGCGCTCATCCAAAGCAGTGTGGTGGAGTCATACCGGCGTCGCGGTCCGCCGGATTCCTTGGTCCGGCCTCAACTCTCTTTTCAACGTTATCGTTTCAAATTCTACCACCAACTCATCCAAAATTTATTGGCACTACGCGCTGTTTTGCAAGGGTGGACCAGATATCCCTTCAGGGCTTTCTGATTCCCAAGTCCAAGAACGTCTCTTTTCGCTGATAAACGCGACATACTCCAGATCGGTCCCAGAATACGTTCACAGCTAAATTCTCGTACTGCCCTTGATTTGGAAAGCTCGTTATCATCTGTGAAAATCTCATGGCGTTCCCCGCCGCCGCCACCACTCCGCAAGAAACGTCGGCTGCGGAGGTAATCTCCTATGCTGCTCAATTCATCATCCATTTAGTCTTGTCCCCTTTCCATAACATTCTGCTGGCTTACTCCTGAACATGCCATACAGTCTATTATAGTCTTATCTTGTGAGAGCTTTCTTGTTGCTAATCCTGTACACTTTTTTCCATACAATTTAGGACGGACCGTGGATTTCATCGGAACTTGCGTCATCTCATGCTCAACGGCTTCTACAGCCACATCGTGCCCCAATATCCCGACTCCCAACCCTGATGGCTCGGCTATTGCCCTCAAGTCTCTGGTTGTCGTTCTCTCCTTGGGTGCTGTGGTTCTTTAATTTCAACTTCGACCACCGCGGTGCTTCGCGGCAGAACGACAGAGTACTATTTGATCTGCCATCAACGGCGCGCGGATGCTTTGGCGGATCACAGCTTTAATTGCATGTTTCTGTCTCCGAGTTGTCGTTGCCCAGCCTTTTAACGCATCTTTTGTATCATTGAGCGAGTGTAGGGGCGTGGCAGGTCCAAAAGGATTGTGCTGAGTCACTATATCTGTTCGTCCGGTCGAGGATCAAGACGTCACAGATAGGGTTTCCAGCTCGGGGCATCCGTAGAATGGGCAAAGGAAAGGCAGGGTGAGAACTTTCTTTGAGAGATGCATTCTTTCACTGATTGGAGACGCTCAGAATAGGCATTTTGGGGACCCGGGCTGCATACCCATATTTCATCCACATGACGGAAAATAAAATACACTGACCGACAAAAATAAAGAAACACATGGTTTTTTTGATCGGAGTCGCAATAGCTCCTCAACGCTGCGATATTTTTTTGGACTTCCAGTGAGTGTAATGTAGCTTGATATCTGTAGTTTAATATTATGAAAAGAATGAGGCAAAAATACCAGTCAGTGAGCAAAGTACGAGGGCTGCAAAACCACATGCCAATTTTGATGATGTAATGGCATCACATCAACGTCGGAACCAACTTGAATCTGAACCACCACCTGGGCCGATTGCACTGAAATTCCTATCATGTATTCACCTCCTCCTCGCAAACCAAATGTGCCTATTACCCCTATGAAAGCAGCCCGTATTTGCACTCTCCTCAATGAAGGCCACACCTGCACTGAAATCAGCAATGTCATTGGATGTTCACGCTCTACCGTCTGCAAAACTGGCCACAAATATGAAGGGAAGGAGAACTACTATGCTCACATCGAAGGGCGAGGCCACCCGTGCAAGATGGATGATGCAGATATTAAATTTGCCGTGCGAAAAATCCGTAGTCACAACTGCTGGACAGCGGTCGACGTTCAACGGGGGTATTTCGACCATCTTTCGGAGCGCACTGTGCAGCGCAGGCTTTCAGATGAGGGCCTGAAGGGTTACAAGAGGTGGAAGGTACCAATGCTCACGAAGGCTCATGTTAGAAAGTGAAGGGTGTGGGCAGAGGCACATGCAGAATGGGGAGCAGAAAAATGGGGTACTGTGCTCTACTCAGATGAGTCCAAATTCAACTTCTTTGGGTCAGACGGAGTGCAGTGGTGTCGTAGGGGTCCTGGTGAGGCACTAGATGTGCATAACGTGTTGCCCCGGTTGAAGCATGGAGGCGGGGGGGTGATGGTCTGGGGATGCATGATGAGTTTGGGCTTCAGACAGCTGATTTTGGTGGAAGGCACTATGAATGCTGTCCAGTACTGCCAGATACTTAATGAAGGACTTCTCGGCACCCTCCAGGACTATGAACTCTCAGTCGACGATGTCCTTTTTCAGCAGGATAATGACCCCAAGCACACAGCTCAGCTTACGAAAAAGTGGCTCGCCGACCAAAACATCTCTGTAATGGACTGGCCACCAAACAGCCCCGACCAAAGCATCATAGAGAATGCTTGGGCTACTCTCGAACATCGTCTGAACAACAGACCACGTCACCTGACAACGACTGCCACATTATTTGCCATTCTGCAGGAGGAGTGGGCTGCACTTGGAAAAGAGTATTGCAATGCGTTATATGGTAGTATCCCATCACAGGTGAGGTCCTTGATATTGGCAAAGGGCAGGCATACTAGATATTAGGTTGTTGGACTTTTCGTCAGGTCAATTATCTTGTTTTCTCATTTTACTTACACTGCTAAAAATGACACTCTCGGCTAACATATTTATATCTCATCATTTTTTTCATGTATGTACCTCATTCTTTTTCTAACAATAAACTACATCAATTAAGCTACATTTCTCTCACTGAAAGTCTGAAAAAATATTGCAGCGTTGAGGAGCTATTGTGACTCCAATCAAAAAAACCACGTGTTTCTTTATTTTTGTCGGTCAGTGTACATAGTTCTCTTTCGACCCTTCTGTGGCCCCGAATTCGAAGATAGGCTACCTAGCTATCAGAATTTCTCTGGCGTCACGTCATCTCTCGGAGGAGTTTCTCTTGCGATGGGATTCTCACTGCTCAGTCCCACGGTCTCCCGGACGGTGAGAGCTTGCTATCTACATTAACATGAGCTCCCGAGATTTCTCACAGCGGCTCAGCTGCGTTTCGGTTGCATTCATAGCCCGTGGCGGTATTATTACAATAAGAAATACGGTTACCTTTCAAAGTTCTCGAATGGTTGACTATTAAGCATTTTTTGCTGTAGTCGCTGCGAGCGCGCGCGTGTGTGGTGTCACATTCACCATACAGCAGACTTCCTGCGATGTATTCCTGACGTAGAATAGCTCCCTACCAGTGGGACGTGTAATCCGCAGTATCGGCGGCTGCGTTCTGCCTGAAAAACTCATGATTTTTTTCTAAAATTTGCGATAAGCAAGCGAGACGCTTGCAGTACTGGCTCAAGGTCGTAATCATTAATGAGATATTGTAGCATGGTAGTACACTACAGGCGTACGTCACCTTGGCAACCGGTTTGACGCAACGGAAATGATGTCATATCATAGTAACGACGCCCACCGCCCAGCCTTTATTAGATATTGATTCAAGACACTTTAACTTCGTACCACCACGACGCCAGCTCATCAAGAATGAGTTTCTTCAAAAAGATTATCGACAAAATTCCAGATGGCATAGAGCATGCCAGGCAGGAAGCCGTAGGTAAGAGAGCCTGATCTCATTCAGTGCAGCCCTGTTCATACCCTTCCCACATAGGAATCTTGCGTCCTAATCGTAAGCTATTCCTTTATCAGATCTTGTTGAGATGTCCAACATATTGAAATCCAGGCCGCCACGATGATCCCGAAGAGAAAAAGGCTGACGAGATTAGGCAGGCTATCAACGACAGCCACCGCTTTTCCAGTTTCGCAGAGGAGAGGGCAGGCAATTTTGTGAAATGGCACATTGATGGGCACGATTACATGTGGGCGCTCTCTGAGCTGCTTGAGAACGCCAAAGAGGCGATATTCATCTTGGTACGCCCACAACTTCATCGTTCTACCATCTAGGTCTCACCTTTCTAATATATTGTAGGATTGGTGGCTCACCCCAGAACTTTACCTTCGCCGTCCCCCTGCAGACTATCCTGAATATCGTCTTGATCGCTTGCTGAAGCGCAAGGCAGAGCAAGGCGTCAAGATCTATGTCATCGTATACAAGGAGGTCACGCAGACGATGGCTATGAGCTCCTGGCACACTAAGCATACCCTCGATGATCTTCACCCCAACATCACCTGCCTGCGCCACCCAGATCACATCGGTTCCAAGGATAGCGTCCAGTTCTGGTCCCACCACGAGAAGGTCGTTGTGGTTGACAATCATTTTGCGTGCATCGGCGGTCTTGATTTGTGCTTCGGACGGTGGGACACGCATAACCACCCTCTCGCAGATGTGCACCCGACGGATTTCAGTCGGACCCTGTTCCCTGGTCAGGATTACAATAATGCGCGCATCATGGATTTCAAAGACGTGAGATGGTATGCAAGTAACACGCTTTCCATCTTGGAGAGCGCGAGGATGCCTTGGCATGATGTAGGTACTCCACCTTATCATGATATACGGTGTGTTTGATGCGTTCTTCGTAGGTCCATATGTCCTTGACCGGACCCGTGGTACTGGATATCGTTCAGCACTTCGTCGAGAGGTGGAATGAAATCAAGAAGCGCAAGGCGAGTAGCTTCTTTTCTTCTTAGTAATGCTTCCATTTTGACGACCCTTCTTATCTGTAGTATCGTGAGAATCAGTACGAGATCTTTCTGTGATTATCATCTGTTCTGCTAAACTTGTTCAAGGGAGGTCGACTGGCTGTCCTTGCCCCACGACGTCGAAGCGGCTCCCAATGAAGCTGTTGCCCGTAAGGGTATTTGCAATCCGGCTGTAGTCGTCTTTGCTAACGTTTGATAGGCCACCCTCACCGTGAGCATTGGGCGGCGGTGGGACGCAAGTACCGTCAGAGATGGCATCGCCACGTGCACGGTGATGAGGAAGAAGACGAAGACGAACCAGAATACAGGAGGCCAGCCACACCGTCGTGCCGAGTCCAGGTTATACGCAGTGTCTCAGACTGGAGCCATGGTGTTTTGACAGAGCACAGTATCCAAAATGCCTGTCAGTGTCGTATTATGGGCATTATCTTGGCCAAGGTTGACATCTCTTCACAGACATCCAGTTGATCCTCGAGGCGAATCACTTCATCTACGTCGAGAATCAATTCTTGTGAGCGTTCTCTTTCCGTCCTCTATCTGCAGCTCAGCGATAACGATATTTTCTAGTATTTCTGCTACTCAAGAAGGTGGTCAGGTTGTTAATCTCATCGGGAAGGCTCTGGTCGAGCGTATCGTCAGAGCGGCGCAAGAGGGAAAGAGGTTCCGAGTAATTATCTGTATCCCAGAACTTCCAGGATTCGCGGGCAATGTCAAGGACGAGTCTTCGCTGAAGATCATTATGGCCGGCCAATACCGCACTATGAATCGCGGCGGTAGCAGCATCTATGAGGAGATAAGGAAGGCTGGATATGAACCGTGGGTTTCAATCATCTCTCTTAATAAGCGACTTCATAATTCTTGGATGCAGCTCGGATTACATTCGGTTCTTCCACTTGAGGTCATATGATAGAATCAACTCGCCCGGTGGGTTTAATCTATATTTTGCCTGCCTGGTATCCATGTTTAATGCTTGTAACCCCTTAGCTGCGTATATCGCCAAAATGGAGGAAATTTCGGGCGTCAAATTCCATGAGGCACAGGTTGCACTTGCGCGTATATGGATTGGCGACGTTTCAGAAGGGATACAAAAAGAGGTCACCATTGCGTTGCCTAAGCCTACAACAGAAGGGTTAGTCGTCACGGAGAAGTCGTCGGATAAGAAGAAAGACGATACTATTATCAAGGTGTGTGATCTTATGCATTCCATTGCTACTGTTTAAAAATCTCGCCATCAGGTTCCTATACCCGAGACAGAGGAGGAGGCCAGAGAAATCATTCGTCGATGGGAGAGCGCCTCTGAGCAAATTCGTGATGACGAACTTGTTAGCGATAGCGTGGCGCAGCACATGCTTGATGACAAAACACACTTGGCAGATGAATTGTGGGAAGGCTCGGAGGAGGAGGAATTGAACGCGTCAGTTGTGTCCGTAGATCGCCATCCCCTTTACTAATGGGCTGCTACAGATACGTCTCGGAATTGCTGTATATTCATTCCAAATTGATGATCGTCGACGATACCAGAGTCATCGTATGTATATTCCATCATGTCTATGGCATTTCTGACTTCACGTTTCACAGATGGGATCTGCTAATATCAATGACAGAAGTCAGAAGGTAAGACTTGAATGATTGCTTCGTATATGATACTCCAACATGTGCTTCAAAGGGTGACGGTGACTCGGAAATTGCACTCGTGGTGGAAGACACCGACATGATCGAATCTACGATGAACGGACAACGTGTCATGGTTTCGAGATTTGCCGCATCGCTTAGGCGTAAGCTATTCAGAGGTACATATCCTGCTGTTGCCATAGTTATGCACCACTAACCTAATAATAATAGAACATCTTGGTCTTATCGAACCTCAATGGCCCCTCCAGAGGTCTAAGGAACCCGACTCGTTCATGCATCCTGCTCCTCATCCTAACGATGAAGAATTCCACTTGAGGGAAGATGACTTGGTGGCTGATCCGATTTCAGACGCTACACTTGCTCTGTGGAATGACACCGCAAAGAAGAACAGAGAAGTGTTTACCGAGTTGTTCCGTCCTGTGCCGTCGAACTTGGTTAGGGACTGGAAGGCTTATGAGGTTTGTCTCTCTTTGGTTGTGATTGATGGTGTGGGTGACTGATAATGGAGTGACTAGAACTATGTTCCCAAGGTTAAGACGGGCCATGTTATTCCTGGCGTTACCCTAGAGAGGCTCAAGAACCGCCTGTCCGAGGTTAAGGGAGCGTTGGTTGAATGCCCTTTGGTTCGTCTGTTTCTTTTGATGTTTTGTATTAGGGCTCATCAGGTTTCGTTCAGGACTTCCTCATAGATGACAAGGAATTCGTTTCCGGTCCGGACTGGGCTGGCTTGAACCCCACGTTGCCTATCTATATTTAGGGGAGATGAAACGAATGGTAAGTGATGAAGAAATGGTTCAAGTATACCCTCTCTGTACGTAGTAGCAACATTGTCAATACTAGACATATCTGTGTGGATGTCGCTTGGATTGAGCAGACAGTGGTTTGGATTTATGTACGACACGTCTATTGGACTTGTTTACTCCTTAGGTGCACTTCTCTTTCCGGATCCTTTCAACATACCCAACCTCCATTTGAATCGTTGAAACGTTAATTAAAATACTATTTAGCAACCGAAGAAGTTCGTTGAGTGGGTGGATATTAGCATTGATCCGCGAGTGTTTTTAGGACTGTGTGAGAGATGTGGATTCAACTGATCATCACAAGCGTTTTCTCGCTGACCCTTATCGGTTCCGAACGAGTACCCGCCTTAATGAGGGGATGAATATTTCATGTTAGGGAGGGGTCGGCGTCTCTTTTACTTATAGACTGGTTGACGAAATTTATGTAACCAACGAGCATTTATTGCTGTTGAACCATGTTGTACATTTTATTCTTGAATTCGTTACTTTGATGCCATCGTAATCTTCAACTTCAGTTGCGGCCCCTTATCCACCTCCCCCTCGACCGTTGGTGTAACCACAGCACATGGCTCTCTGCGTATTCTGTGAGCATCAGCGGTGAGCTCGAACTCAAAGCTGTTCACAAGTTCAATAATAAAAGCGTGCATCTCCAACAGCCTGTAAGTAGTTCACGTTAGCCCGTATAAGGATGAATATGGACGAGACGTACGCGAATCGCCAGCCCGTGCACGATCTTTTACCACCGATGAAGGTAAATCTATATATCCGCAAAAATCAATCTGCTGCATCAACGAGGGTGACGAGATAAACACACAGGTTGGCGTAGACACCAATTGATGCGTCATTGCTGGGCTTCACGGTGCCATTTAGCCATCGTTCAGGATTATACAGATCCGCGTCCGCTCCAAAAATCTCTTTGTTGCGGTTGTAGGCCGCAATGGAACAGAATATATACGTGCCTCTGGGTATCGGTATCTCAGTGAGCACCTTTCCGTCCGCATCTATGATAGGTTGGCTTAAAGGTAGTACGTCATCTTCGCAAGCATATCTATAGGCGTGATGTAGCGTTGGATGGAACCGAAGACTCTCCTGTTTCTATGTAAGTAAAAATAACGGCGAGGAAAAAATATGATGAAGACCTTGACGACCGCGGTCAAGTAAGGCAAAGAATCGAAGTCCTCTGCCGTCAATTCGGAGATCGTTCGGTTGCAGAGGTAGGCGCGTATCTCGGCGCGAAGCTTTGTTTGGATTTTAGGGTGTCGCGCCAATTCCAATAGAGCCCATGCTAACGCGTTAGTTGTCGTTTCATGACCGGCGACAATGATGGTACTGTTACAAGAACGTTAGTGTCGTTTCCTCGTGGTAGTTGAAGACATACTTCATTTGAGCCCATAACTCGTTTTCTGGTAGCCTTTTCTTATAATCCTCTGATGCATTTGCTTTTACTGAACCTACAATTTTAGCAACAGTCTTTGCAATGTCAGACAGATATAAACTTGCCAAGCAAACTCATGATGTCCTTGTTACCTTTCCCCTCCAGCAACAAAGCCTGCTTATCATCGATGAGGCCTTTCGCCACCTTCGTTGATATACTATTCACATTCCTCGCCACGTTCAACCGGGGAACGGGGATGTTCGTCAAGGACTGACTAACAGATTCCGGAAGCCAGGAGTCCATAGCACACAACACTAGGAGCGCCAGTTTAGATGGTACGCCAAAAACATTAAGTCTAGTTAGCATCTTTCAGCGGGTTAAACCAACTGATAAAATCATATCGCGCACGCCATATGAGCATACGCCTTCGCGAGCTCAGTCTCTGAATTATCCAAAGATCCAAATTGGTAATCGAAGGCAGCTAAAAGATCAATTTCGAATCAGCTTCTAGCCACCAGTGATAATTGAATTAAGAGCACCTTCTCCAGTGGCGTCCAACAACACACGAGTAATCCAGGACGTTACTTCTATAATCGCGGATTCTGAATTGTCGGCAGCTATAATACTTCGCCAGTACGCAGTCATCTAGCACTACGGATCAATACGCGATAATACGATCCACACGGAAATATGATACAAACCCGACCGGCGTAAGAGCAAAAGATGGGAACAAATGTCCTTAACTCACGGCTGCCGAATCCTGGTAGAACAATCCTCCGTTGACGCTTGTGGTCTTCTCCTAGTGGATGCAACGATATCAACTCATATAGTCCCTGGACTGTAATCAGTGCCTACCTTCGGCGTGGAACAGGCCCGGCCCCAGGACCGTTCCCAGGATTACTCGTATCCCGGTAGGTTTGGAGTAGCGATACCCAGAATTATAAAAGATGTGCTGAAGCGCTTTGGGATCCATCAGAAGGAGGCGATTTTCCTGCTCAAATTTCAGGCAAGGCAAGGCACTCGTAGCCAAGGAAGCGTACACCTAGAGGCGCCCTGATTCTAATTACGTCGCCATAAGTTCCCTGGAGTTGGAAGTCTTTCTGGACAGAAATGGATGAAAATTCGAAGAGGGAACAGAGACGCGACTAACAGCACCAGCCTGATCCTGAACGAGAGTAGGGATATAGCCTAGGACAAAATCAGAGAGTACCTATGATCTCACAACGACCTGACCCACCGTAAAGGAAAGATGGCGACTTCGGACCGCGTAGGCGCGCGATGGTAACACGAGGATTTCGTCGGGTTAATTGGTAGAGAAGGAAAACGGCGAGGAACGAGAGGGCAACAACTGGAAACATGCTGTACGTATCTTTCATATCGAAAGAACTCGTCCTTATATCGCGCACATACCCGGCTATTGATGGGGTTCCTTGTCGAGGCATCGAATCCACGGGGCTAGTCTCCATGATTAAATGGCTTCGCAGTACGAACTCGGCCACACACAACCGTTGCTGTTAGGGGATAGCGAAGGGTGGTTATTTCAGGTTGATTGGACGCACGCATTAAGTTGCTCTCGGCCCTGCCCCAGTGAACGCTCGAATATAATAGCCGGATAGGTGATAACCCGAATGACTATTACAATCGGACATCCTAATTAGTCGCATATGTAGATCTTTGGGTCTTCATCCTATGAATGCAATCAGTCTCCATACATGATGATGAGAAACGAGACTGAGGTTTTAGAAGTTCTTCGCGCTCTGAAAACTGCCGGAGAGAATCAGAACCGGTTAGCCTAACTGTCGAATTCAACTCTGGATTAGCACCGTGTATCTGGCTTCCAAGGATTGATGGGTGGTACCTCGGGAAAAAAACGAACTTCCATCACTAACATGACTTAATGATGTCGGCCATCGAAAAATTCCTCCCACACTACAGTCAAGTTTCAGAGTGTGATCAGAGGGAAGAATCTTGTATGTTAGACTGTCAGATAAATTAAGAACTAAAATAAATCCGTTGGCATGCAGAGAATATCCAGGGGGAAAATTCAAAAACATACCAGGAACGCAGCCACTACCATAAATCGACCATAAACATCAATGTTGTGAGACCGAGTGTATACCATTCGACCCTGCACTCATTATCACGAGTAAGTGGTTAATCAGCGTCCGACGACCCGCTCGTTGGAACTGGTCACGAGTATCGAATTGTAAGCATCACAGGAAAGCGATTCAATTCATCTCCTCTCGACCCTTTAATGGGTTAGAAGATCCTGGAGCGCTATAGCCCGCGAGAAGTCGTTCGATTTACTTCTCGCGTGTATAGCAATCGAAGCAACAGAAAATATCTCCTTTTGAAGGCATCTTCGTTGGGTACGCAGATGATAAGCGGCAATAACAAGGGAACGAATGAGATGAGGCGGGCAATACAACCGTTTTCGTGCTGCACACATCTGTAAGTGCTCATCTTGGAGAATGCAGAAGAAAATAGTACGAATACGTACCGCAGAGTCGGAGATGAATGTGAGCCAAGGTGATGTGAAGCCAAGCAAGTAACGGTGCTGCGTAATCCACCGTTGTATCCGATAAGCCGGCTTGAAACGGGATCACCAAAATTTGACCGCTTACTTGAGCGATAAAAAAAACACTTGCGGTTAACATCCCTCATGGTGATAGGAACAGAACAGAATGAAAACTTCTCCTTGTTACCACAATGAGTATCAAGTTTGGGCCATGGTAGTGTAGATAGAAGGCTAGATGCTCAGCATTCCTCAAGATGCGCTAGCCTGGTAAGGGACGATAGTGCAAAGAAATGCTAATGTTCACTGCGTATCAAAGCTTCCTCGAAAAAAAGAGGCCGCTACCTTATCTGTGGGACGTTACGCTCTAGATCCCATCTACCTCTGAGCAGAGCCGAAGTTAAGGAACTAATTTGCGCACCACATGAAAATGCACTGGCGTAGAAATGACCTTCATCTATGTGAAACATCACCAGACCCTCCTGAAGTCCAAGGAAGTGTCATTAGACCTTTTGTGGACCATGGGGGTTTTCGGCATACAGAAGACGGTGGCCACTCTAGAAGCTGGAAAGGCGGGAAGACGTCGCGCCCCTTTGGGACCGTTAGAATTCACTGGTCAGAGCCGATTGAAGTCCATAGTTGAAAAGCAGTGATATATGTCTGGTCTGGATGCCGTTCACCACCGGATCTGGAGACTCGTCATAGAATGTGAGAGCACTGTGCATATTGGAGAAGCGGGTATAGCTGGCTACGCAGGGGTGCTGTTGTAGTCGCTACGACACTTTTTCACATACTAGCGGGTGTGTCAGGAAATTCGTGAGCACAAGGATAAAGGAATATAATGATTGAGCGCGAAGAACGTTGCGGTAACGGTGCAAGTTGCGAAAAGAAAAAAACGGCCACGTGCCTGAGGCGGAAAATCCCGAAGCCAATACTTACTTTTTTTATTTTAATAATTCAATATTATTGTGCATGAGAGAGAACCCCATATCGCGATATTGTTCTATCTACTGGAGGTTCCTACTAAGCCGCAATACTTGAGTAATTTGCCATCGTTAGTGATGCATGGGCAGAGACGACCGGTACTATTGTGGTCTCGTCTGGTCTCGTTTGTGTCCTTCTTTACCCCGCGAGAACATAAACATCAAAGGTATTCGTGTATATTGACTGCTGGTAAGTGTTTCATAGACGTATGATTAGGGCGGTCCTCCCCCTCCAGGTCCGCCGCCAGGGGCACTTCCTCCTCCTCCAGAACTTCCATTTTCCACCCCGCCATCCTCAATAAGCGTGGCCGCCGATGAAACCGAATAACTCGCAGACAAATCAATACCCATAGATCCCCAGCTAAAAGCAATGAGAACTGGCCACAACAAAATGTACGTGTTACTCACAGAAGGAGCCCATCAGAGATGCTGTTACCAAGGTAAACGTACTCGAGGATGGGGTCGACGCCGTTTGTGCCAGTTACAGTGTTGACCAAGATAGAGTCATCCTCATTTTCGGTGAGCTGTTGAGTATTGCTGGTGTAAGGAGAGGTGTTCTCGACAACAGTGATCAACGATTGGTCGAAAAAGAGTTGGCCTAGTAAGACAATATCAGCAACAAATAGGGAATGAGCAGATTTTCGTAGGACTTACCGACATGACGGTCGCTACTTGTCTTGAAAGTTCCATTAGAGAAGACAGTACCATCACCGTGGGCAATAATATGGATATGGTTAGCACGACTCGTATAGTGACCTGTCAAAGTTGTTAAATGGCAGGAAATTGGCTGCAATACGCGAGCCCCAAACCTGGGAAAATAGTCTCGAATTGGGCGTAACCTTCTGAGTTGGTCGCCTGGATCCCACGGAGGAAAGTCTTGTCCTAGTAGAAGTACGGGATCGGCGACGAGGACAGAAGGACGTCAGATTTCTTCTATTCACCAGATTGGACTCATCATTCTGATTACCATTACCTCCAGCGACAACACCAGAGTAGACGCCAGTAGCGTTACAGTGCCAGAAGTCGATGTAAACATCGGCAACAGGCTCACAAGTGGAGTAATCAATTAGCTCGACATCAACGTAGCTGTAGATACCGGCCTGGTCTTCAGTGATGTCCGAGCGAACGTATTCGCCGTCAACGTAGTACGGTCCCTGGGTGGACTCCGAGACAAGAGTGCAGGATCCAGTTCCACCAAAGGGATCCGAATCAGCACTATAGTTCTCGTCGGACTCGTGGTCAGTGTTCAAAACATTGTCGAGATCGAGACGCTTGTAAACGCTGCCTGTAACAAATAGTCAGCTCTATTGCCCTTTGTAGATCTTGTAAGGTATCACTCACTAGTTGGAAGTCCCCGTTTGCGGCGTAGGTCATCGGCAAGAGCCCTGCGACGAGCAGCAGAGCGCTCCGTGTGTCCGCGACGACGAAGAACATCCTGACAGTTATCAAGCGAACGGTGCGCAAAGTTCTGGAAGTCAGCACGTCGTGCGATCTCCAACTCGCTCAAAGGAGCAGTCGGATGCGCAACGACAGTAGTGACAGCGAGGAGTACAACAGCTGAGAGAGCGCAAAGATTGACCATTGCGCGGAGAGACCAAAGGACGTAAGATTCCAAAGGGCTATGATATCTTGGACTCAAGAATTTCTAACCTTTATACCTTTTCGCGTTCAATTAATCGCATGCTAGGAACCACAAAATCTTTGACTTCACATCGGTGCAAGCAGGTATTTAGCATCCTAAAGCTTGGCAAATGCAGGCCTGATCCCAGTAGTGAAAATACGTCAATTGGGATTGGCCCCCTTCCCTGGCTACATCACGCTTCGTCGCCCGCAGCAAGTGCCATGTGTGTTGGTTTGTCCGACACCGCAGTTAGACACAATAATAGAGCGAGACCATCCAGAAGGAATCTGACAAGTATTTTGCTCCTACACAGCAGCAACTAAAATCAATAGAGGGAAGCGGTAGGAGAACTGAGTAAATCCCTTTCAAAGAGCCCAGACCCGAGGTAAGTTTAACACTCAGAAGAATGAGCAGTGCAAAATACATTGTCGGAATCGTCGCCATCACCTCCAAAGAGAATGAAAACTCGTGTGAGGGTCATATGCACGGTAACGCTATATGTACACATCCCGAGGTCGATCAGAATAGCCGTCAGGATTTGCTGAAGAGAAGGTTCGTCGTCCCAAGGTAGACAATCGATGTTTCCATTTGTTCAAAGACCATTGTACCCATGTGTGCTTCGCGAGGCAGATCTTCTTCCACCTCGACGCCTCGTGAAGGTCGTTGACTGCGGAAAGGCGCCCGTGGTGCTCACTGCTCCACGGACCAATCAAGAAAAACATATGGGTCATCAATGCCATTGTAACACCCTATAGTAACAGAGATTAGAACTGTAGCAATGCTCAATTCAGCGAATATATCGCGCGCGCGTTATCACCTGCTAATTTGAACCCACCTGCGAATCAGTAGTCACGGAAAAAGTTCGCAGAGGTCCAAGTTACATTTGATTGAAGGGGTTCATGACAAGAGTGTGCTCGAAAGCAGGAAAAACCATCGGAGATTTCTTCCTCGGGAATTACGCCATATGGTGAGCAAGTGAAGTATTTTGTTGGATTAGATTGGTGATTGCGAATCAATTTGCTTCGATCGTGCTTTTGTGTCTAGGAGAAAGAGCACGCGAGCCTCCAGCAGCTAGTTCGCCTCCCAGCATCTCCTTTTGTATTCTGGTATTCATATCTTGTGCCAGAGGGCCATTTGCTGGTTGCCAACAGATATTGCTACCACGATGAAGCGAAGTGGAACGATCCGTCATGATAGTGGAAGGAAACAGAACGGGCCGCAACGGACCGGATTCCTCCGCGTCCCAAAAGCAAGATTTAGTTGGTGGCAGGGGCTAAAATCATTGGCAGTAAGTCTGAAGCAATAATAACGTTTTAAAATAAACACAAAGATGTGGGTCTGATTTTCAACTATTTTTTGACAATTTTCTTATATTTTTCATGGCGCGTGTTGTAATGTACGCGACTGAGGGTGTGACAGCTCGTGATCGTGATTCGTCACACTTATGACTAACGCGGCTCCGCTTTGTCTTTTTCTCCCTTGTTCATACTGCCCTTCTCTCTAATAACCATAATAATTAATGTCTGGCGCCACCTCTGAACTTGAGCCTATCGTCGACGCTGACAGTGAAGATGACATTGATTGGGAGGAAGTCGAAGTCGAAGCACAGCCCGAGCCAGAGCGACACATAGAAATCACGCTGCACGAACGACCCAAGTCAAAGGACCAGGTTAAGTCAGTCCTTCTGCTTTCTTGGTGGCGAAAAGCTTTTCTTAATCGTCGCGATTCTACAGGAAGAAAGGGATATCGCATGCAGAACGAGTCCTCCGGATCAATTGCCACAAAATCCATACTGTATCTCTTCTCGCGAATGCATGGGTCAGGAACAAGTGGCTTAATGATGAGCTTCTTCATGTACGTCGTACTACCTCGTATTAAGGATGAAATTTCATTTATTTCCAGGCCCGGCTCATATCCTTTGTGCCTATGTCCATTCAAACTTCCTTTGCTATGATTCACAAATCTCGTGTACCACACCAAGCGAAGCGTGGCCGAATGTTCGAGAAGGCTCTCGATACTCTTGTCAAGTGGTGGTACGAGTCCTTCTTTGAGGTCCTTCCCGAGGGACACATACGAAATCGGACGTTTGTTTTCGTTCAGAGGCATATGCCATTGGATTCGCAAACACAAACCGGAGAAGAGTGCCCTTTTGATACAGAGACACTGCAAGATATCCTCGACGATGATGGTGAACGCATCAAGAGTCCCAAGAGTCTCATGAAGCATGCATTGATGCAGTGCGGGTCGCGAGATACGGGAGCACAACTCTTTACGGCACTCTGTAGGGGCCTAGGGTTGCCCGCGAGGCTCGTCGTGAGCTTGCAGAGTGTGCCGTGGCAGGCGGCTGTTGGGAAGCCTAAGCCTAAATACGATAAGAAGAAGAAGAATAACCAGGTGAAAATTTCTGAGGACGGGGAATCAGAAGACGATACACCAATCGCTTCAACATCTGCCTCGAGCTTGAATGGCCTGGCGTTCAAAGGTGACGGGCAGAGACTAGATGGTGCTCCCGTCGGAAAGAGCGACAAGGCGAAAGGAAAGGAAAAGGCTAAACCAACGGTTAAACTGCGCAAAACCAAGAGTAAGGGCAACGTTCTGGGTGCAGCGACACCTAAGAAAGAAGGTATGGAACCTGTTCTCCTTGACTAATATCTTTCAATACATGTATTTTTTCCTAGATCCCACCTCCACTCCGCCAGTATTCTGGACGGAAGTCTTCTCGCGACCTGATGGGCGATGGATACCAGTTGACCCTCTCCGCGCAATTGTCAATAAACGGAATGTTTTTGATCCCACGGGACTGTCGCAGCAGAATCGGCTAGTATATGTTTTGGCTATAGAAGAGGATGGGTATGCCAGGGACGTGACAAGAAAGTATGCTAGACAGTATGGTGCCAAAGTGGCAAAGGTTCAGGGCGGTTCCGTGGTTGGGGGAGGTGGGAAAGGAAGAGAAGCTTGGTGGGAGAGGGTCGTTAGTACGGTAACGAGGCCATATCGACTCGTAGGTTTTTTCCTCTTTCATTTCGACTATTAATCATGGCCATGGACGTTTTTCAGAACCGCGACGATGTGGAGGATGCCGAGTTGGAATCAGCGCAGATCCGAGAAGGTATGCCTACAACGATTGCTGGATTCAAAGACCATCCATTGTCAGTTTCACTTATCTAAAGTATATGGGTGCTATCTAACTTTGTTATACAGGTATGTTCTAACAAGGCACCTGAAGCAAACAGAAGCCATCCATCCGCCGCCCCCTGACACGCCTGAGATGGGTAAATTCAGAGGAGAGCCGGTATATCCTCGGTCGTCGGTCGTTTCCTTGAAAACGGCGGAGAATTGGCTGAGAAGCGAAGGGAGGTCAGTTCGCGAAGGTGTTCAGCCCATGAAGATGGTCAAGTCGCGTCCAGGGACTATCGGAAGGATGAGGGAGCTTGAGATTCTCAAGGATAACCTGAGGGAAGCCGGACAGGCGTCCGACGATCAAGCCCAGGTCATGCATGGCTTGTATGCGCGAAGCCAGACCGAACTGTACGTCCCCAAACCCGTGGTTGATGTGAGTTCCCCCCGACCCCTGCTCGATTAAAGATTTTTCATTGAGTTTTTACCCCCATAGGGCAAAGTTCCCAAGAATGATTTTGGCAACATCGATCTATACGTGCCTACGATGCTTCCTCGGGGTGCTGTACACGTCCCTTGTCAGTCCCCCTCCCTCCAATTAAAACGTTAAACTGACACGGACCTCGCAGTTAAGGGTGTCCAGAAACTTGCCAAAAAGCTTGGTTTAGATTACGCCGAGGCGGTCGTGCGTATTTCTATCCCGATCTTGCACCTTTGAAAGGCTTATTCATACATATATACTATCAGACAGGCTTCGAATTTAAGAAACGCCGCGCGTTTCCGGTACTGGAGGGCGTGGTTGTCGCTGCAGAGAACGAGCAAGTTCTATTAGATGTGCGTTATCATGCTCTCATCTCGTCTCCCTTACTCAATATGAGGTCTAGGCCTACTGGGAATCGGAACAAGATGCACAAGAGAAGGCGCGAGTGAAACGGGAAGAAAAGGCTATCAAGAGATGGACAAGGCTGATCCATGGGTTGCGAATCCGGCAGAGGCTGCAGGAACAGTATGCTGGACGCGGAGAGGATAAGGCCACGGAGAAGGAGGAGGATGAAGAGGTATGAACTCCGAGGTTTTTTTGTTTTTGCAAATTCGGATGGATCCCTGACGCTCACTTGTCAGAAACAACCCGAGCAAGGAGGAGGATTCCTCGTGGGCGCTGAAGATGTCGTCCAGGCGTTTCACTTGCCCAAGGCCCCGCATCTTGATACAGATCTAGAGTCCGATCTGGTAGCCTCTACCGTGCAGTTGCTTTCAGAAGAAGGTCATGAGGACAAGAAATTCGAGTTGGAAACCATGGATGTCGATTCCGATTTGGACGAAGCCGTAGGTGTGGCAAATGCCACGAGCCACACTCCGAAAACCATGCGTGAGTTGGCGGAGGACGCTGCGCGGTTGCAGGTAGTGGACAATGAGGATGAAGAGGAATGGGTAAAAGAGCAAGTGGATCCGCCCAAGAAAGAGGGGAAAGGAAAAGGAAGGGGAAAGGGAAAAGAATCGAGCGCGCCTAGGAAAGGGGGAGGCAAAGCTAAACGGCGAAAGAGGGGTAGGGATCTCGATGAGAGTGAGGATGAACTTGGTGAGAGTGAGGCGTCGCCTGCGAAGAGGGGGAAGACCGTGGCGCCATCGACGAGAACGCTGCGTCCGCGCGCTTCGAAGAGCAGGGCGAAGATTGAGGAGGAGATAGCACAGGAGGATGCGATTAGACTTGCTATTGGAGAGTAATATTATTTCAGAGTAATAGATGAGGGCATGAAGAGTCAAGAATGTTGCTTGCTTTAAGGAGCTGCCTTGCCATTCAATCAGGTAGGAATGTGCTCGGAATAATAGTACATATGATGTAACAGTAATATCACTTTCAACCTACCGAGGAGCACGAGGAAAAGACCCGACATTTCATGATGATAACATTTACTGAGCGCAACGTTGGATGGAAGGCAGAAACCGCAATTACAAATCATTAGTACTGTATCGTTGCGGTGCGAGGGTCATTTCCATTGTAATCCGCCGAAACAGCGTCGCTCCTTGCCGCTCATCCAGGCTCCAGCAAAGTCTGACAAAAACTCCGGTCGCCTCAGCATTAACCGGCAGAGACCACAATTAAATCGCTGTCGTCTCGTTGAGGCACAAGGGTCATTTCCGTTGTAATCTGCCATTTAAAACAGCGTCGAAGTCTCTTTTCCTTGCTGCTCACCTTCAAGAGTCCGGGCGTTTTCGGCTTCCAGTAGCAAAGTCTGACACCTAACCGAGAGACACAGGTTCTGGGCAGTCACAGAGAAAGAGAACTTATAAACCCGTCTGAACACAGGAGACCCATTGCCTGCGAAAGTAGGTCGCACGAGAGTAATTATTGAAGCGTGCATGCGACAAGTATGTATTGTACAAATTGCACGATGAAAAGAGACCTCACCGACAGTCTGCTTTCGATATCAATGTCGGTTCTGTCACAACAACACAGGAAGATACGCACTCATCGTTGTGTGCTGACCAGATCTTCCTCGACCTCAACCTTGTCTTCTTTGCCTTCACCCTCCTCGTCTTCCTCCTCCTCAGCCAACCGTCTCTGATGCTAAAACCGTCTATCAGCACACACACACAGAAAACAGAAACATCCAACCAAACTGACATGATACACCGCCGTCCAGTACCCAGCCCAGTACATCGAATTCATGGCTCTCTGAAACGCCTCATCTTGTGATACGGAGGACAAGGATGGGTCATGCGAAGGGAGGACGTTGAGCGGTTGAGAGTCCTCGAGTGGGGGCTCTAGGTCTGTTTTGGAGTTGTCTTCGTCTGGTGGGAGCCTACAAAGTCGCGATTAGACACGAAAGAGCAAGGTGGAGGGTGCTGACTCTGTAGATTCGTTCTTCCAGCTCTTGTCATCTCCACCATGGTATGCCTGATCAGTAAAGTAAGCCAACGAAAGAGATGTAACACCACAACGCACAGCATACTCTTCATTTGCAGCAGCCCAAGCGTCAATCAGAGCCGAGTCATCCCAGATCTCGTCATGCGTGAGCTCCCTACTCTCTTCCTCATTCCTGCTGCGCTTCCTGTTTCGTTGATTCCTATTTGTATTATGATTCGCCTTGCGTTTCTTCGCCGGCGGGGGCTGAGAGGTTGGAACAGACGCGATATCATCGTAGGACACAACAGGCCTCATCGTCACGTCACGTCACGTCACGAAGTCACAGTCACCTTCGGACCGTCTATCCGAAATCAAAAGGCGTAAATCTCTGCGTTGTTCCGGTAACCCAACAAGGTGGCTCTTCTCTCGCGCTTTAGAAAAAAAAACCGGAAGAAAAAAAAACGACACGCGCGACAAAACGAAAGCCGCAAATGGCCCGCATCGGGGAATGGATTCGGAGTCGGCGATGTTTGAGGGGGGCGTAGAAAGGGCGTTAGATGAAACACATAGTGGGATGCAAGATGCTAGCAATGACTTCCGCATAAGTATTTGGGCAATGGCAAACATTGTATCCGACTGTGAATCACTACGAGAAGAGAGACTTTGGACATTTCCTAGCCTCCATTACATACCAAATATTTGATCGGCATAGTGGGCAACATGGCAGATATTTTTATTTTTAATGATTCGACGCACATATCAGTGATATGTCAGGCAAAAGGCAGGCAAACGTCAGGTAAGACGTATGCCCCCTCACCTCCGACATCACCTTCGACACGCTAAACTTGTTGTTCGTGTTCGGTGTTGTGAGATCTTGTGGGATCTCGTCTGTTTTCACGGAGATCTCTTCCGTGGCATCTTCCGTTTTGGTACGTTTTACCTCGAGGAGCGCGTCAGGGTCCGCCGAGTCGCCTTCTCGTTTCCGTTTGGTGCGCTGTCCTTGGGCGATCTGTTTTAGGCGTTTTTCTTCGCGCTTGAGTTCTGCGCGTTTGAGTTTCTCGGCGGCGTCATCGATGGAGGGGAGGGCGGGGATCTGGGATACGTCGTGTGGGCGGAGAAGGGTTTCGTACATTGTTATGTCTGGGTGCAATAAATGAGACAATAATGAAGGGTGGAATGTAACTGAGATGCTTACCGGTGAAGCCGGCATCGTTGAGAGCGCTTACGGTGCGTAGGACCTGTTCCATGCATGGACTGAAGCAGCATATTCGGGTGATACAGTCTTTCTGTGTGGATGATGAGATGAGGGAGATCTAGGGTTTGAGGGAACGCACCCGAAGAGCCTTCTTTGCATGCTCGATGGCGTCCCATGGGGCTGGGATATCAAGGAATACTATATACATCAGGACCTGAGTAGATTAAGGTTAAACGGGATCTCACAGCTATCAGCAGTGTCCGTTACGGTGAATCCGTCCTTTGCAGACGTTGCGGTGAGTGAGGGTGACGACTGTCGAGGAGACCATGACGAGCAAACTCATCCCTGAGCAACGATAAGCGGGGGCAGCGAGAGGAGGAAAGGACGAACCTAGCTTTCGCAGCCCTGGCCTCGTGGAACTCGTATGACCAGAGATGGCCGGCAGAACCAACGGAGCGTATAACGGAGTGGGAGAATGATGCTGAGCCAGTTCCTTACGGAGGATTCGATTAGCACGCGTACCTGGAGAAGAGAGAAAAAGGCAAGATTGGCTAGGTCACAAGACGGGGGGGCTTACCTGCCTCGATGACTCGACTGCCACGCTTGATGTTGAGCTGCGAGGTGATGAACGCGATGTCGGCGAGATACAGAATCTGTGTTCGATGGGGCAGCGCCATTGTCCACAGCTCTGGTGTTGGCCGTAACAGGTGAATAAAGCCTTTGCCGCTGGGTGCGCCGACCTTGGAGCCATAGGGGATGCCGATAAAGTCGTTGTGTCGATAGTTGCCGAATCTACTGTTGAAGTCTTTGTTGGGTGTTATGAGCAGTGGTTGAAGGAGATCACGGGTCTGAAAAGGTATAAAAAGAGAAATCTTTGAAGAAAAAGGGCAACCCACGAGCCAGACAATGACAATATCACCAGCTGCTATGGTGCGAGCATTTGACCACATCGTGGCAAGATGCAGAGTGGATCTGACCAAGATTGCTCGCCGATCTCGAGATCGCCGAATCCGCCCGTATGTATTGAAATGAAGTGGACTTGCTTGGGTGGGCTTTGACCTGTACGTGTAAGCGGGAGGACGTACTTGCACCAGTTTAATACGTATTTATCAATTATCCGTGATTATTATAAACTTTTTTCTCCATCAACAGCTCTTTGATCCTGCCCTCATGAGGTCCTGCACCAGCCTGCCACCAGCCTGATGCGTCAATCCGATTCGTTCGGTACCTTGTTTCTTGCCTACCACCGCCATTATATATCCATCCCCCAATGTCTGACTAGCCTGCCATGGACCAGAACACTCCTTGTTATTCCTTTAGTCCGTATTCTTTCCATCTATTCGATACCCTTTTCTCACCCTCATTTGTCTTCTAGTCGGCATAGTCGATTTCTCCCAAGAAGTTAGTCGCTCGCTCTGGGGGCCCCATCACTCTGCTTACTCACTCACCCGTACTACAGGCAAAGTGGCTCTACATGACCGACTCTGTCGTCGAGCTCTTGGGTACGTTTCTCTCCTCGTCCTTTCTCCGCGTCCAATCAATCCAACGTTACACAGGATACGAACCACACGAACTCTATGGCCACCCCTCGCTCGAACTCGTACATCCAGACGAAGTGAACCGAGTTCGCAAACTGCACCAGTCCGTCTCGCGGTTTGCTTGCTCCCGTGCCGCCTAACTTCCACCCCACAGCGACACAATCAAGGCAGACAAGGCTGCGGTCCTCGTCTACCTTCGTATGAAGCACAAAGATCCTTACAAAGGCTATGTTTTATGTGGTGTAGTCAGTACTCTCCATTCTCTAACCCGTCGCTTTCTTTCTAACTTGGCCCGTAGTCACGGTCAGTTTCTTCGACCGCAGTGACGCCCCACCCCCCAGCTAACCCGCCCCACAGCACAGTCGTCCATAACGTCCTCGTCGGAAGCGTCTCCTTTGCGTCTCCGGGCGCCAAAGCCCTTCACAACGCATCTACAGCTCAAGAAATAACTGTCATAAGCCCCGCAGCAGAGAACTTTCAATTCCGCGTACGTCCCGGTCTCTTAATCTCGTAAACTCACTAATCGGTCAATACAAGCGATGGAATGACCCTTCTCCAATGCCGCCTTCCCCGCCCCCATTCTCCACCCCGCCCCCAACTCCCGCCGACCCGATATCCTACGAACACCTCCCGTCCCAGTCCTTCCGCACAGCCCTCATCCTCAACCGCTTCTCCCTCCGCTTGCACCATCCAATACTGCTCCAATGACCTCCTCATAGAGAGCACCGAAGCTATCGGCAGGAGCTTCTTTGACTACGTCGCTCGGAAAGACGAAGCGATCGTCACCAGCTGGATCGACGTTATCAAGACCTGGGGCGTCAACGAACGTGGTCAGCCGAGCGACGGCGGGTTTGGATTCGGTAAATTCGCACTATTGACAGAAGCCAGGGAATCCGAGTGAGTCTTCTCCCTTCGTATATATGACTCGAAAATAAAACACGGCTCATCATCAGCTCTAGGCCCCGACAAGAACCACCGAACGCATCCAGACATCATAAACACGGAACCAACAAGTCTCGCTCCTCCAAACGGAGCAGCCAAACACCGAGAAAGTCCTCACACCAACCAGAAGCGCTCCAGGGGACAATCGCAGTAGACGCTATTTTCTCTGCTCATTCAGATGGTTTGATGGTCATTCTCAGGAGGGCGTCGTAAAGGTTCATTTTTTGTATACTGTATTATTACCTAGATCTTGCCAGCCTATACCTATATGTATCTCCCCTTCCCTTCCTTTTCCCATGACTCTCTTCACAGGGTCCTCCCACCCCCTTAAAGTAAAGTTACGAGCAGATTCAGAATCTATATTGGCCCTGATCAGTTACCGTGGGTTGACGGAACCTTTTTCCACTTAGATAAGAGGGATCTGGGGCGTGGCTGTGTATTTTTGGAGCCTCTAGGTGTTGTTCTCTCCCAATGATAATCGCCCAAACTCGATGGTATATATCCTGGTCCAGAATTGATACTCAATCTCCGTGTTGTGCTGCCCCCCCCTCCAAATCACCCATCTGCCCTTTTCGGTCAAAGCCGCGTTCCTTCTGTCAACGTTCTGTCGCGTCAAACTATTCGGAAAGTTTCTTATCCCTGGCTGTGATGCGGGTCTTTTAACTTGTACGACTCCCTGGCAACTCTTCGTGCCCAGGCTGCAGGGTTTATCACCTCGCCGAGCGAGGCAGAACGTTCCCATTGTCGCAGGGCTTTCTATGTCGCAGTTGCCAGACTTTCATCGAACTCTGGCCCTCCTGTGATCGTGCGTGTTCTGATGTTCAGGGGCGTGTCGTGTTAGGGCTGCCGTTTCAGGAGCCCATGAATCTTCAGCCCTCCTTTTGGTCCTGTTGTTCAAAGTGCTCAGATCCCCGTCGACCATGCTATTGACGCTTCGCAGCTGAGCGAGCTTGGAGGCTCTGTTTGTGCCAACAAAGAGCCAGGGGACTGCACACTCTCTCGGATCGATGATCGTGACAGGTGGCGCGTCCCTTCATCACTTTCTTACCAGCACTGCAAGTGGAAACAGCACGCTATGATGAATTTTGTACTGCATAGCACTTTGAAATCTGGCAGACGTTTTCTGTTAGCAATTGCTTGTTACTCAGACCATGAGCAAGGCAGCGCCTCTTCAGCACCGACGCGACGCGCGCGCAGGCCGATACGCGCTACTACTGGCTCTTGCGCGCAATGAGATGACACTACCAAAACCTGAGGGAAACTGAGCGGTATTCTTCGGCTTACAAGTTGCCCGCTCTCTTCGAGGATACTACACCCACACAGCGGTGTCGTAGTCCGAATCCAGGTCCTTATTCTATGCATCTTGCAAGTTGCTCGTTCCAACCACAGCCGGAGTTAAACAGGACTCGTCACTTTGATCCCCAGCCGCAGCGGTAAATAACATCGAAATAATCCATTAGATTCGCGCACCGGACCGGTAATCTAGTTCGACTACATGTGGTGTGGGCATTCCCCGAAGATTTTCCTCATGTACAATGTGATCGTCAATACAATGTCATGAATGAATGATACTCACCGTAACAATCTTCTATCTCCGGTGTGCATGCGTTCCACGGAAAGGCTCCAGTGTATGGGCTCCGCTTGGCTATACGTGGGCTTAATATTCGATGGTCGGCTGAGGGTTATCATTAGTTGCCGTAGGGAGTTGATATGTACACGTAGTTCGTTGATATGTCCGTGGATGGAATGTGGGTAGTCTGTTGGAAGGCTCCATCGCTCGCTAGAGGAGGCGAGGCGAATGGACAGGCCTCGAGGAGGTCAAGTGATGTGACAAGAGACAGCTTGGATACACCCTGGGCTGTCGGCAAGTGGGAGAATCCCGGCGGGCCGCATCATGCATGAGGACTAACCGGCCCACCCTTCAAGGTTTATTCGCCGTACATAGATTCATGACCATCTAAGTCGGGAAAAAGGTGGAAAATCTGTCCGGCGAAAATATGTGCAACCGTTGATCTGAAATGTTAAGGGCGGTGTGGTATTTACCGTTGCCGCTGGGGATCAAAGCGGTAAAAAAAAATACTGAATAAGATTTTTTGAACCCCGAGCTGTGAGGGCGCAGCGGCTAGTTTAGACTGTGATGAGTCGGTTTCGTACCGTCGGGAATTACTGGTGAACCTAGTTTACGGGCGGGAGTTTCCGAGTTGCGGCGCGGCAGAAACACTGAGTAGGACGAGAGCTGACTAGATCATAGAAGTTAGAGTGGATGCGGCAATTGTTGCAGGTATTGCCTTGGTGGCAAAAGAAACGTTGTAAAGGATGGGAAACCACAGACATGCCTCCTCCTCAGCAACTTCGGCATTTTCCGCAGATTTGCATCACCTGATAGCACCGCCACCGATCCACACGCATTACGTTTTAATTTCGATCTTTTGTTGTTTCCATCTCAGTGCTTATTCGCCAACTCGTTTCTACCTCATCACTCCTATTTTCTACGTGTACTTGAATCCAAAAGAACAAGAAGAACATGTCTGCGACACCTAAAACCGATGCTGAGGGCGTTACCCCGCCAGGAAAGCTCACAACGACTCCGCCACCCCAAATCCCCGAATCTCGCGATGCTTTCTACGGATATCCTGAAGAACGGACGTTCCAGCATGTAAGGGGCTGACTGTTCCACTATTGAGTCGCGTATTGAAGCAGATGATGACAGATCGAAGAGAAGATGTGGGCGCATAGACGTGGCTCCGACGCGCGCTCAGACGGGGCAGCGTCATTTGCAGGGAGCATGCTAGGGCACGGTGTAGCTGGCGATGCGCGTGTATCGAGCCCATTTGTCGAAGAACTCGAAGGGGAAGCGGAGGAGGCGGCCAAGTCTGTGATGGAGGGACACCCGCCAGGTTCGTAGCGAAGTGAACACGCTGGACGGTTACCAGTCTGATGGTTTCTCATAGAAACGGTCCTCTCTTCGGAGCTGGTTAACCTGTTCCAGTCATTCCAGCGTTGCCTTGAGCTCCGTGATAAATACACCCGCAAGTCCTGCCAGAGACTGGGGGACAATCCTAAAGACTACGATGGGTATTTTCAAGGACTAGACGACGAGTTTGCGGATGTGAATGGGGTGAGGCCGGATGCGGGGATGCCTCCTAGTTTAAGATCAAGCGGTGCCAAGCAAACGAAGCCGTGGAAGGTGTACCCGAGTCCACCACCTCCGCATTGGCACTGGACAGACGACAAGGAGGCGGTAAGCGTCGACGGGGGATACGGTGGAAGTGGGAAAGAGTTCAAGCTTGAGGAGTGTGAGATTCCTGAGGATCATGATTGGGACTTTAAGATCGATGAAAAGGGCGTGTTCCAAGTGTATGAGCCTGGTCAAAGTGCGTTTGCCATTGCTGGAATGGATTATCGTACTGATCAGTTTTAGCGATGCCGGCGTTTGACATACCCAGCATCCGTGAATATTTCGTGGACCTGGATTATATTCTAGGTGTCATCTCGGATGGCCCAACGAAGAGTTTCGCATTTCGAAGACTCAAGTATCTGGCAAGCAAATTTACGATGTACAGCCTCTTGAATGAGTTCCAGGAATTGGCCGACATGAAGGTATTTGTGCTTCATTCGTTTCTTTGGTGGGGATTAAGAGCCTCGTTTATTCATTCAGCGCGTTCCTCACAGGTAATCAACCTCTCAATTAGTGTTTGCACGAACTCATGACATCTTATCTTTACAAGAGATTTCTACAACCTTCGTAAAGTCGACACGCACGTGCACCATTCAAGTAGCATGAACCAGAAGCATCTATTGCGGTTTATTAAATCCAAGATGAAGCGTAGCCCTCAGGTTTGATTATAGTTTCCTTCCGTTTCTTCGTTTGACTCACGTTATATAGGATGTTGTAATATTCCGCGACGGCGCTGAATTGACGCTGGAACAGGTATTCCAGTCGCTCAAATTGACAGCCTACGATTTGTCTATCGACACGTTGGACATGCATGCGCACCAGGACACCTTCCATAGATTTGACAAATTCAATCTAAAATATAACCCGATTGGAGAGTCGAGACTGAGGGAGATCTTCTTGAAGACAGATAACTTCATCCAAGGAAGGTATTTGGCGGAGATCACCAAAGGTTCGCTTAGGCGTCTTTTACGTTTTCAAATGCTCATAGCTGCTTTAGAGGTCATGACCGACTTGGAACAGAGTAAGTACCAGGTACGGTACTTGTCTACTTGTCGATGTATTTTGCTGAAGGATAGGGAAATTAGAACTGTGAATGGCGACTTAGCATCTACGGTCGGTCTCCGTCCGAATGGGACAAGATCGCAAAATGGATCGTCAACAATAAGCTCTACTCGCACAACGTCCGATGGCTCATCCAGGTTCCGCGGCTGTATGACGTGTACAAAGCGAATGGATCTATCAAGACCTTTGAGGATATCGTTATCAGTACGTCCTTGGTGGATTCTTTCCCTTGCGTTTTGCATGTTCACAATTCGCCAGATGTGTTCAGGCCGCTGTTTGAGGTAACCAAAGATCCGACGACTCACCCAGAGCTGCATGTTTTCCTGCAACGCGTAGTCGGCTTCGATACCGTAGACGATGAATCCAAGGCTGAGAGGAGGATATACAAAAAGTTCCCTTATCCGCGAGTCTGGGATACCAATCAGTCGCCACCTTACTCATATTGGTAAGAGATTTCATCGATGGATTAGCTTGCCTTATCTCTCTTACCGCTAGGATATATTACATGTTCGCCAACATGGCAAGTCTAAATAACTGGCGGAAGTTACGCGGATTCAGTAAGGCTCCTTCTATTTTGTCTTCCTCTCCCCCTTATCCCACGTAGATACTTTCGTGTTCCGACCACATTGTGGCGAGGCAGGCGATACGGACCACTTGACCTCCGCCTTCCTCACCTCGCACTCGATCTCGCATGGTATCCTGCTTCGCAAGGTCCCCGCATTGCAGTACCTGTTCTACCTCAAGCAGATCGGGATAGCGATGAGCCCCCTGAGTAATAATGCGTTGTTTTTGACGTATGAAAGGAATCCTCTGCCGGATTTCTTCAAGACGGGACTGAATGTCAGCTTGAGTACGGATGATCCGCTGCAGTTCCATTTTACCAAGGTTAGTGGAGTGGATTGTTCAAAGTGTTGTAGGCAGCATTGATTGAATTTGGGCATAGGAACCTCTGCTGGAGGAATACAGTGTTGCTGCTCATGTGCTTCCTTCGGTTTCACGTTCCTATCACCGTCTCATCTCATCCTATTTTAGATTTACAAGCTCCCTCAAAGCTCGCTGGCCGAGCTCGCGCGAAACTCGGTTATCCAAAGCGGATTCGAGATGGAGCTCAAACGACACTGGATAGGACCCGAATGGTACCTACCTGGGGCCGCTGGAAATGATATCAACAAGGTTCATCGTCGTCCATGGTCCGTCATCTCCTCGTGTTGCTAACAAACATCCACGTAGACGAATGTACCCAATATACGACTGTCTTACAGGCACCAGACCTTATTAGAGGAGCTCGATATGATCTGTGCGAAGAATCACGGGCACGGGTCTGTTGGGAGGCGTGATTCACATGGGCACGGCCATGGGATGTTGCCGACCGCTGATAATGTCGCGGCGCGGGCGATGGCGAGGCATTAATCCCCTCTACCATGTTTCGCTCTCCTATCTGCTGTATTTACGTTGAACTTGGATGATCAGTTTAGTGTTGGCGGCGGAATTTGTTGCTAGGCTGGGCTCCTGACCGAAGCACCCAGCCTGCCTGCGCGGTTCCTAACCTTGGGAATGTTCCTTCTATTTCCAGACCTTTGGGTCCTCTTTTGTCTTATCCAGGAGATTCCGGTTGGCAGAGAGAATCTGCGTCAGCTAAATAAAGCATGGGAAATCTGATAAACGATCAAGATGCAGAGAGACTGAGTTTGATGTTTGGCGTATTCATTCATATGTGTAAGCCGCAATCTGCCTCAATTCGGAATGCCAATCCATTGACGATGGTGCGACTCGTCGAGTTTGAAGCAATTGGAACCGACTAAATCTTCTGTGGTGGGATCCGTGTAATATCAACTGTTCGGGCGGTACAGTGTTGTTGAACACACACGGAAAGGAAGGAGTGCAGTTTGATTCTAGCGTCCGGAGTTTCCTTCTATGTTTTTATTATTATTTCTTTTTCCATCTCAATTGGGTTTCAAAGCGGTCAAATGATGGACACCCGCCGCTTTGACTTCAGCGGACACAATAGAGTTGAAGGCTTCAGCGGTTGCGCCAATCGGCGGGGACGATCGTTCTCAAAGATCAGTGCTAGATCTTCCCGCATAATTATTTTCGCTGGTATGAAAGGGTATGAATTGTCTTTCCGAACAGGATAAAACTTAGCATTCATCTTCACACGATGATGGTGCGTGACTATATTTACCTACAAATGTAAGGTTGCCTGCTTGAATGCTAGATGCTCCTTTGTGGAACTATATCTTATTTTACAGGTAACCGCTGGAATGGTCAGACATGGAGGAGGGCGTCGACAATTGACGGTCGGGGGATAAAATCCCCTTGGCTTTTCAACGCCGTGTCGGCCCTCTCTCTATTTAAGATGTCTATCTGATGGGCTGTGCAAATAACAACACGGCGGTCAATCATTTATCAAAAAAAAAAATCTCTATCTAGCCATTGATTAGAATAATAAAGACCGGACCTTGATATTTAATTCTCGCTGCGTCTACTCATCGCAAATCGAATAGGCTGTATAATCGTTGAAGCTTTTCAAATTTCTATTGTACATTACATATGCATTCTTAATTTATGCGGCTCTCAGCGCAAGTAGATGTGTGTGAGAGACGACCCGAACCATATTCTGAACTTTTTAGCAAAGAATCGACAAAGAAAACCCCAATCCCCCCAGAAAAAATGAGCTATCGACAGCCAAGAGAGGATCGCGGAAAGAAATGTCTACTACCGCTTTGCCTAAGCTATCCCGACTATCCCGAACTGAATCACTTTTAGACTTTATAGACCACTCATTACAAGATGTTCATCCGAGCGGTACTCGGGAGTATACATAACATTGAGCAGCATGCCCGCAGGTCCACCTTTCCAAGGAGTGATGATGCGTAATATCTGTGCTCTTCCCTCATCTGCATCAGCCAGAGGTTCAGGGCTTGTCGCCTCTTCTTCGAGGTCTTCGTTTGAGATTATAGTAATGGTTCTTGGCAGCAACGCGTAGTCGCAAACGACTACAAGACGCCTCAGGGGATGGTTTGAATGCTTTTGTAAGTACTCTCGTTTGAGATCGCGGACATGGCGTGCATTGGCTTTAAGCTCCTCGAGAGCACATTGTCGAACGTAGAAGGAGTCGTGCTCGCCCATTGGCCCGGAAATGCCATCTATTCGAGAGGATGATCAGTTGAGAACGAGATGAAAGTACACTATAGCATTACCTCTCCGCCGCTGTGCCAGATCGTGACATTCGTGCCGGTGTGCTTTCCAACCAGCCTTTTGGCAGGCGCGAGAGCAGAACAGTCTAATCCAGCAGCCGGTGCACCGTTTGGGATGTCGTCCTACATTGGGGTTGGGACACTGTTATATTACGGAGATTAATGTGGATGATGAGAGAAAGTAGAGTATTGCGAACGAACCTGAACGTTATTGCATTCCAATTCCTGATCATTATCTAGAACCTGAGTGTGGTAGTAGCTCTTAAAGGCCTGCATGTGTTTTGCGGTCGTTTTCATAGCCATCCATGCTTCTTTAGTCTTTCCCGATCTCAAAATAGACTCTGTTCCATCCTGCTCGATATTATCCAGGGCTCTACGAGCTCTCCGTAACACACCCCGAAAGACCAGTCCCATATGAAGCCAGTTTATGATATCTATTGGCGCATCAGACGTGCGAGGCATCAGCAGATGGAGGTTGAGAAGTGTGTTTAGGATGCCCGCATCAAGCGCCTCAGCCATATATTCAGGCCCAGATTGCCTCAGGCATCTGGCGAGGTAGTTCATGTTCGGTACCAGCATTGGCCCATATTGGGTCGGGTTGGCGGTTATGAAGGGGAGAAAATGTGCGATGCTGAGGGAAAACCAGTAGAGTGCTCTATTGGCAAGAAATATTCGGTTGTATCCGTCTGATGACAAGGAAACAGTGTAGACAAAGGCGTGAGCACGGAGACGTGCGTCAAACGATATGGTGGGATCCTGGACGCGTGCGACGATGCGCTGGAAACATGACATCATGAGACTGTGAGCTGTGTCGGCAAATGGTTCATATCTCGCTGATGGCGTATTTGCGACAACTTGAAGGAAGCGCAGGAGCGGTTTCTCAAGGAGAAATTCAAGGTGAAGTAGTGGGCGGTAACTTTGAACCGCTTTAAGGTACAGATGCGAGGTGATAGAGATGTATGGCCCAGACGCTATTTCGCGAGAATAAATATCGTCGGCACGGAGGAGAGAGTAAATGAACTCGTAGAGCTGTTCGATGACGACCCAAATGGTGGACTCGTCGAGACACTCAGAGTCATATCGGGCTAGGACGACCACAAGCTGGGTACTTCATTCTGTTATTGTATACCATAGACCTTGAAATAAGTCGCCGTTGCCATTCGGCCTTAGGATCTCGTTCTTGGAGGACTGAAGAAGGTCCCGCAGACCTCTGAAGAACGTTTCATAAAGGTCCTGGGTTTCTGTGTCAAACAAAATCGAGTCTGTCGGACATTCTTCGAAACGTCGCTGCAGAATTCCAAACAGTTTGGGAAGTACGTAGCGGTTTCGCCGCACTTTGGCTTTTAGGCTGATAAAAGACTGTTTATCTTCGTTCATCTGGATGGTCCTATGTGAGACGTTAGATCAGGTATGATATGCCAGAAGTTATGAAAGTGTTTCTACCTGCAAAAACATTCAGAGAAGTGAGAACAACACTGAAGATGTCGATGGACGATAGTTTACGTCCTTGAAAATAGAAAACGAACATGTTGGTTAGAGTCGTGCCGAAATCGTTCCGAGTCCGAAATACGGTATCGGCAGACAGCGGCAAGTCTTGTTGGCGGTTCTGAAAGTCAAAACCCAATCGAATAAATATTTGAATACCTACCAATGGCAGACCTGGGTTTTCGACAGTTTGAACTTGCTTCGTAGATGTCAGGTGTAAAACTCTGCTATCCCATGCTGGAAGATCCTCGTATCAGTAGAACCGTGACATTGTGGGTGAATACACTGCTCTGCAGGAAATCATGCCTAAGTACAACCCTGGAACATACATTCAGATCTCCATATAATGTACACCCCTTATACTACTCCATATACCGGCACTGTCCTTGCAACAGTAGGAGTCCCCACAGAGGTAGTAAGTTCGATAAACCACTCTTACTTTTGATTGATTTTGCCTCGAACGTAAAATGCATCACGGTGGTAGTTAAGACGCTTCGTAGTAAGAAGCGTCCATCATCCCGCCACCGCGCTCCATCGACCCGTCCAGAGGTGAGATAGATATCCCTGGACCGGCATAGAGTAGAGGCCAGCACATGCGACAATACACCGAACCTAAGTGGGCGAATGAGAAAGATGGTTGCAATTGGTCAGTAATGATGAGTAAAGAGATAGCACAAAACATGATAGCAGTGAAAATCGAAACTCCAATCATAAAGTAGATTAAATGAGCGTAACAAATAAAGACAGGCTCACACCCACTCTTCCGTGTGGTAAATGGGCTATGAAGGTGGTGGTCCACTTGGTGGCGGCCCACCCGCCATCATACCTGCGGGGGCCGCACCTCCCGCCTGCGCAGCTCCATAAGCGCTGATGAGGCTTGCGAATGTCGCAGCATCGGCAGCGCTCTCTGATATCCCTAATTGCTGTGGGTGAAGGGGTGGTGGCTGTGGCTGTGGCTGTGGTTGAGATGTCGACTGTGGTTGTTGCGGCATCGGTTGTGGCTGCGGCATTGGTTGTGGAGGGTGCTGCTGCTGAGCCTGCTGCTGTCGGGCATTATTTTGAGCCTCCTGTGCCGCGCGCGCCATGACATGAGGCGGATAATGGCTCTTCCGAGGTTGTCCAGCTTGTACTGCCAGCTGCTCTCGTCGGAGTTTCTCGCTCGTAGATGGATAATACGGTCCTATAGGCACTGACGAATCATACTCTTCCGGTAGAGCTGGTATTACCGCCGCGTGTCTGCCTCCCAACGGCCTAGAGTGTATTCATCTGTCAATCCCTAATCCCGGACAAATGGTATGACAGACTTACCCTCCCTCCACGAAATTCTGCCATACGTAGTCCCTCAACTTGTCTGCATTAGGCAGCTGTTGGATAAGGTGCTTGATGGTATTCTGCCCCAACCCGAAGAAATCCGGTCCAGACACAGAATTAGAATGCTGCCGATTTCGGATTGCATTCGCCTGTTTCACGATGCTCGACCAAGCCCCAGTCGCCGTCCCTGCAATGACAGGTTTATCGGCAACATCTGAGGGGACGATCTGAAACTTGGGTCCATCGCCGCCGTCAAGAATTGTACAGTGATATACAACTTCGATGTTGGGGTCGATGGTTGAAAGGTACCGTCTGTGATGGAATCAGCAAGTTCTACCTCAAAGTAAAAACCAGTGCAGGGGCAAAACTGACCGTGTGACTTCATACCCGACAGGGAAGATATACCTCTCTGTATGAAAATGCTCCCTCATACAGACCTCCCCAAGAGATATAACCGTCATAATACCCACATTCAAGGGTAGCATTGGCCGACCGCTCTTGTCCCGCGGCACCATTGGGATGCTATAACTCTTACTCGTCACCGTGTGAGCCTTCAGCCGCTTCGGCCTGGCCTGTCGTTGTGACTCCGACGTCGGTCTTTGTTGCGGCGGTGATTGGCTAGTTCCAGGATGCGAAGGCATAGGAGGGCCCGGAGGGAACGCACCAGGCGGCATCATTCCAGGCGGCATCAGTCCTGAGCCAGGCATGTAATAGTAGCTATAGGGAAAAGGGTGTGCAGGAGTCGCGGTGGCGCTGGGGGTTGGGTAATACACAGAATAAGGATTGATGCCCATCGTCGGTGAGGGCGCTGGGGGTGACATAGAAGTGGAAGGGACCGATCCATTTCCTGCGGTTGCCCCAGTCGCGCCCATAAGAATAGGATTAATATTGTGCATCGGTGTTGGTGTCGGAGTCTGAACTGGTGCTGAACTCGACACTGAAGACGCGGCACCAGGTATCGGATTGGATGGAGCAGAAGAGGAATTTGATGCCCCTGAAGCTTCGGAGTTGGATGCCTTAGCTGCCGCTCTCGTTTTTCGAGCTGGCGGGACCTTTTCATTCTTTGAAGGGGAAGCAGTTGGTTCATCATCATTATAATTTACTGGACGTCTGGCCCTGGTACTGCGGCGAGTAGGTGCAGGGGCGGGATCTGGCTCAGCAGCGGTTTCACTGCGAGACGCAGAGACAGGAAGGGAGGTAGAGATCGATTGCTCGACAATGGACGCGTCTTCAGGCGCCTTCTCTGACGTGGCTTCCGAAGCTCCAAGTCCCGGCTGCTGGGGAGGAGCCGAAGGACTGGCACGCGTCGTATCAATCTGCATTGGCGCGTCTTCACTGATAGGAGAAGGACGTATGATACCGCCTTGTGGTAAGAAATGGTCTGCAAGGGGTGTTGGAGGTGTTAATGGACGGTCATAAGGATTTGGAGGCGGTACAGGAGGGTGGGTGTACGTTGGATGCGATGAATCGGGAGCAGGTGAACCAGGCGCGGCAGATGTCTGTATATGCAGTCGAGGTGTAGCTGAACCATTCGGTCCTGGACTTGCGGTAGCATCCCGAGACTCTCCATTTAAAGTACGAGCTCGTTTCGCTGGACGCTCATCGGCTGCTACTCCAATGTGCCGAGGAGCAGTTGTGTCAGTGCTAGCGGTAATACCTTCGTCCTCAGCGGCCTGACGCAAATTATTGATAAAAGACGAACGTGCGCGTGCAGTGAGCAGACTCCGTGGGAACGCACTGGATGGTGGCTGGTCAAGAGTAGAGGAAATGAGCTCCCCGCCATTAGCCTTGAATTGAGGTTGAGCCTCTAACTCCATTATTCGTTCTAATAGCATGCTGTGAAAATCAGTTAGATTGGCACGCTACAGACAAACAGATAGCGGCGTACTTTCGTTCTTGTCGTATCCGCACATTCCGTTCACTTGATCTCTGTAATTCACTGCTCGTTTCCTTATGTTTCTAACCAGCATTAACAACATCATCATACACGAACAGAACCAGGAGATCCTAACCTCCTCGAGCTCGAAAAAACGTCTCTTCAGTTTTTTGTACTTCTCGAGAATATTGTCTGATTCGTTTTTTTGTGTAGACGAAGAGGTCGCAGTGGGGGTCGCGGTAGAAATATTAGATTGATCTTGGGGTATCCCGTTAGTTGCGTCCTTGTCATCCCCCGGCCCCATTACGGCTGCGAGGAGGGAAGAATTACCAGAGGGGTGTTGTTTGAAGGAGAGGGCAATAGTTTGCCATTGTTTACAATCCCGATAGGTTGTATTCCAAACATGACCAAATACCGCTAACATCCCGGCCCGAAGGGTTCAATAGTAAATACGGCAGGCTTCTTCCCGTGTTCCCTTGCATCTTCCGTTTCGCAGCGGTATATCATATTACCTAACGCGCCGGATACTGCATAACCTTCCAGTTAGCTTCTCCACAAGTTGACTAGCAGAATAACTAGTTCATCATTTGTGTACTGCTCCGAAACCCTATCATATTTAAGTTACATATGGTTGCGGCAAGTTGGCGGCAGGCCAAGTTGGACGTCCCCTCTTACATACAGACCATCCCTGCTCCTCATTACCAGATCTATATCGACGTCTGTCTTACGAGAAACTAGACTTCTCCCAAGTGTGGTAAGATTTTTGGTCGAGACTGCGCACTTAGGTATATTGAAGCATTTAGCCGGAACAAAAAATGACTGTCGAATCAAACCGTGGTTCAGTGTACTGATCGTGACCTTGGATTGGCATACCTTCCCCGGCTGGCGATCCACACAGGTTGTAAAAGTGTTTCTTATACATACCTGGATTCCGTGATCGGAGCTGATCGGCATCAATCAACCATCACTTCCTGTTCCACTGACCGGACGGAGAAAGGGCTGTGTGAGAACTCAGTAAGACACTAGTCTATGGTTTGACAGTTCAAATTGGACAGACCGTCATCCTTCCGTATGTTATACAGACAATACTACTTTTGACTTTTTTTTTACAGCGATAAAGATATTTTAGGGTGTGGAGGTCCAATCTCCGGACGGCATCCCGTCTACGTACAATTACAAGGAATCAGGCCAGATCAGGGCGCCGGGGGGGGGGGGGGGGGGGAACCCTCATGCAGCTAGGTCCCCCATCACATACACACTTCCTTGAGCTTTGATCTCGTAATTTTTTAACGCAGACTTGGCGTCTCCACGATCGGCATACTTGCGATCATGCGGAACTTCCTCATCACCGGCAGTCGCCATGCTCATAGAATCAGCGTGCTTTTGCATGGCGAGGCGGAAACGTCTGCGGTCCATAAGCCCAAGGATCGAGAAAGAAGAACGCAAGTTAACGAACCGAAGTTCTTTCATGTCCATAGGCGTCTTGTGCCTTCCCCACAACCCAGCTGATGCATGGTGCCCGACTCGATGAAGAACTATGCCATGTGCATTATCATCATCCATCCACGCATCACGGGCATCACGAATTGAGTGCCTTGCGTTGAGTGTCGCTAGCAAACTATTGACATAGCCTTGTGAAACATTAGCTGCATATTCAACCTACAAAATAGGAAACACACATACATTTGCTAACAACTAAGTTCGGAGCAAAGAATAGCATCTCTCTGCGTCGAGCAACAAACTAATGAAAGAGTCAGATTTAAATAAATAGAAAGTGGTGTTCTTACTCACCACAATCAACTGAACAAGCGCTACGACGCTAAAGGAAAGTTACAGCGGCCGCACACATGCTTGTTAAAATAGTAATACATACCCTCCAATCATTCCCATATTAATGGCGTGAACGACAAGCCGGTGGACAAGCTTTTCCGTCCTGTTGTTGTGTCAGAAACACTCGAAAGGAGAATGCAATCGACACATACATCTGCATTCCAGTTCGCTCTGCACGAAGGTACCAGACCGTCGCGCAGGTGATCAAGCAAGTCACCTAGCACGGTACTGGACAGTTCCAGTATCAAGACCGCCTAAAATGTGTACCGTTTATAGGTGTCGATTGTCACAACAACCGAAGCACCTACACTATTTGAGAATATGTCCGTGCGCGAATTGGCGCTGGCATTGATCCTGGTGTACAAAATATAATGAGTCATCGCCAATAAAATCAAAAGGCTTGCTTACTCCTCTGCGACAAATGCTGATAGCAAGGCTGTATGAGACGCAGAACAAACTGCAGTGGTATCAACGGCTTACCAGTGCCAGAAGCTGATGAAGGGTAAGTCAGAACGAGCTTTACAACGAATCAAGAATCTACTCACCAAGTTGGACAAGCGCGAAGAAACACTAACCATAAGTCAGACAGTGATTCAATGGAGAAAATTTCACTCACTATCGCGCCCACTATTATTTTATTGTGTCGGCTCACTATAGCAAATGAGTACCAGCGCGACGGTATTCAAAGTGCAACAAACCTTTAAAGACCCGATATCCGTAGTAACTGCGCGTCAAGTGTCAGTCAATGGTAAGAACGTGAATCATGTGCACTAACCTTTGTACAATGAATGTTATTACATACTACGGACGCTATAAGCACGTCTAGGAAAATGGAACAAGTCGAGAACACGTACGGTGGTCATCAAAGATGCCTGAAAAATAGTTAGACGGGTTTACATACACGGCAAGTAAATGCCGGACTTACAATTAGTTGCCTGTACAGTCGACGTTTCATCGTCAATGATACGCCGGAAAGGTCGTACTCAACCTCACATACCAAGGGAGCGCATTGCCGAGGGTCGAGCTAATCCGCCCTTCGATGAAATAGCGCCAAAAGGAATGGGCTGTCGCGTAGACGTGAAATGAATCCAATGAACTTCAATCCTATAATCAACGACGACACGAGGGAAAACAGAAAACCGATGCGTACAATACGAGCAAGACGAGCAGCTTGAGTGTTATTTCGTCCTCGTGGTAGTAATATTGATAATAATGAAGGGTCTGTGATATAGTAAGTCCGTACAACCTATACGATGCGCGTTAAGAGGTGGTAAATGAAAAAAAAAAGCTGAAACTCACCCCACACTGACAATAAACCCTGGTCGCGTGACATCAGAGCCTAGCAGAAGGCTTCAAGACGCGACGGACTTACCAATGAACCCCGGACCCCATATAGCGTCGATAGAACTGTCAGAAAAAGTGAGCGCGCTTGAAGACATCTTGAGGGCGTATTGTCGTGGTAGTAGTTGAAGAAATCGAACGAGAACGTAACTCTTATAAATTTTAACAAGACGGCAACACGACTCAGTGTCCAAACATAACACCCGCGAAAGATCTGGACCGACTGGGCGATTCGTCGTCGTGTTCCAGAACGAGCCTCGAGATCATTTTGGACCTGAAATTATTGATCAGGAGCAATCGATGTTGAATCGATCCTTGGTAAATATCCTCGATCCGCCGGAGGTGGCGGTGTGCGACGCTCTGAGGCTTTTGAGCCCACAGAACATTCGTTTCCGAGGCAAAAATGCCCGCATTTGTTTCCGATATCCATGAGAAAAAAATAGGATTTTATGTACTTCATTTTCGAGCACTCACTTGAATGTCTACACAGCATCTGTTTCATGTCTGCCGACTTGCAATATTGTTGCGCCCCGCAAGTCTCCGAATTTCATCGTTCCTGAATACATTAGGTTCTCGGTATACTCGGCAGAAATCGCGACGTCCACGGCCCCAATCGGATGGCCAATATTGGCTACACTGCGCACTGTTAATTAAGTCCTCCCGAATTGCTGGTAAATATGTTAATGCAACACACTCACCATTTAATTTATCCCCAAAAAAGATGGCTATGTGATCGAAAAGGCCTCCGAATTTTTCCTCGCTCTCTGGCGCATAGTCAAATGAATGTTCCATCCCGTCTATCACCATGATTTCGCTATTAACACCGGCATCTAGAAGTGAGCAATGAAGGTATCGGGATTCATCCGCGGGAACTGCCGTGTCGATCTCGCCATGGACAAATAGAGTGGGGGGCCAGGCACCGGTAACATTCATCTGGGGAAATAAAATCTTATGTTTGAGGGTGAGTTCATCGATTGGAATGGGCGGGGCCCGGGTACGGAGCGTAGCGCTCAGGCTCGGTTCATGTGCACCGGTATAATAATCAAGGAATATTCCGAGTTGCAAGTACAACCTAGCCAAAAGCATTCGAGGATTCGCAGGGTACCCCGGTGTAGAAGATGTGCGGGGGTGATACTCAAGTGGAGAGTCAGCAATGGGAGGCGAGGTTGCAGATGTGGGAAAAATATGATCCGTGAAGTCAGAAGGATCCAGAAGCTCAGCGTCCGCGAAAG